AATTTTTGCATGTATGGGTAAGGTAATAGTCGATGTATACAGAGAGCCAAAAACGTTTCTTAAACATTCCAGTGTGAAGTAAAGAATTTGTGTTTTTCATTTAAATTTTTTTTTTTTTTAATCTTGAGTGGCGGGTAAAGTAACAATGTTACTAGTGTGATCGGAGAGGTAGTTTCTCATCATTTGAGTCTTAGAATTGTAGTGTAGTTGAAGATTGACTTGGATTGTGGATTTCGGTTTTATTATTAGTTTGTTGGCTTTAAATATTTGTCCTTAGATCGTAAAATTATTAAGAAATACGTCCTACCAATAATGGTCAAATAATTATTTCATCGGACTCAGTTTGATAAGTAATCTGTATATTATTTGGTCAGTGTCTGAAAAATGAAACATAATTTATGTCATTTTTTACTCCTCGGTGGAACACAAAATGGAATCCATTCTTTTTTTAGTTTTGTACTCTTTTTTTTCACTTTTCATTCTCATATTAGTCTCCACAAGCCAGCTCAACTGCTATAGATTCTCACTGTGATATGGTTATTATTTTCTCTTTCAAATTTGTGTGCTTTTATTTTTTCTTTCTTTCTCAGGGGAATTACTCTAGAGTAGGGACATCACACTAGGCAAGTTCTCAAACAGAAATAATGCGCCCTCCCCCCCCCCCCAAAAAAAAGATTGCACATTCAACAATGTTGTGCTTCGCTGTGTAATTATGGACAAATGACAAGTCTGGTACTTTAAGTTGTAGGAGCAAAGACATCAAGACATACTTCTGGGTACCAGACTATAGTCTTCTATTTAACCTTATTGCACTTCAGGCACAAAATTTGCATGGTACATGTACTTCGATCTCTTCTAACATTTGTCCATTTGTGTGCTTCAGTATCTTTTCAATAATCTCATGGTCTGCCAGCACATTTATGTCCATAAAACAGGCATGAAATTTTTTCAGACTTTTACCTGAATTCTGACTTTTTAAATCTGGGAGAAAGACACTATCAGTATAGAAATAAAGGCATCTTTTCAGACATTTTATCCAACTTTTCAGACCTTTTCTAAACTGACAATCTCATCCCCAACCTAAACTTGTATTCGAGCTAAACAATTCCAAAACTAGTATCGACTCTCTTTTTTTGAAGAGACCCCCATGGCTGTTGGCAATAATTACACAAACAATAAGCTGCAGATTGGAAAATGAAATAAGAAAATTGACCTCACTTACAAAAAATTAGATAAAAGCAAAATTGGGACAATAATCACATTAAAACAATAAAGGATAATTGTAATAATAATGTGCAATACAGTCGAACTTAACTAAACTTAAAAGGGGCCCAATACAATGATATTGCATAAGAAAACGGACTTGGAGAAATATAGTGTACTTTCATGGTAGTGCAAAGTGGAGTGTTCATGTGAAGGATAGGCCAGAAAAGAGACTCGTGAATTGTGACAAAAGTTTGTGACAAAGCATATTTTCTAGTCCATTATATACCTTTTTTTGGTTAGTTATTGAGGATCGATGTATTATATCATGATTGATTGATTGTTGTTTTTTTCTATTTATTTGTGTAGAGTTTTGATAGAACTTACTATAGAGTATCATTTTGTTTTTAAAGAAAAATTAGTGATCACCACAAATTTGGTTGAAAAGATATCACTGCCGCATTCCCTTCTATGCAGTTTTTGAACAATCGTGATGATTTTTGTTTTTTGGATTTGGATGGATATTTATAACTGTAATCAACACTAACTTGTTCAACTGTTGTGTTATATAGTTAAGGGATTGTGGACTTATTTATTGTACTTAATTTGCACTCTTTTCCCTGTGAATGTTTTGAAAGATTTTTCGGGTTTTTTGTTTTTGTTTTCTTCCCTGTTGAGCTCGGGAGAATATTAAAAAGTTTTTTAATGATGTTGCCGAGATGCAAATTTTTGTCTGATTCTTCGATTGTCTTGTTAATTTATTTTTGGTATGTTTTAACTTTTCCCCCAAAGTGTAGTACTCAACTAAAAATGTTTTTAAAACTTTTCAACCATAAACTTTCTTTTCATTTTAGTGTATGATTATAGGTAACACACAGATTAACACACAGTCAACCCCCCCCCCCTCCAATAAAAAAAGAAAAGAGAAAACACAAAATAAGTGTTTACCCACATTTAAAACATTACGTGTTTTTTAAGTTGATAAGGTCATATTTAGGTCCTTATTAATTTCAAAATCTATTAATAAATACCTTGGAGAGTTGATAGCTTCTGATTGGTCGAGACTCGATCGCGTAGGGGTGCATTATGTGATATAAAGACTGGCTTCAAGAACAACCGACTGAATGGCCCCAGATCCAGCATTGATCAGGCATCATGTAAGCCAATGATTGGCCAAATAGACAACAGTCCCACGGTAGCTTATAACAATACAGCAGTACGTATTGGCTCAACCACCGTTTGAAGACTTGCGCGCGCGTATGCAACACATTTGCTATGCGGGTCTTCCCATGACATGGCCCTGAACAAGAACACACAAAGTCTGGAAATGTTGCCTCAAGAAAAGTCACAAAATTTGGAGCTTTTTTTAAGTGTTTATTTCGTTAAAAAGGTATTAAGTAATGGAAATAACACTGGGTGACCCATCCCCAAACCTGGTCATTATCACACAGTGAAGACCAGGTTCTGGCACTGTTATTCCCTTATTAACAATCTGTACAAATCTGGCAATTTTTACTGACGTCACTACCCAGAAAATGAAAACACCGAGCCACTTTTATAGAAATTATCCACACTTTTTTTTTTATTTGTTTACAATCAACAGACAGTTCTATACAATGTCACAATTCAAAACATAAGGACAAAAATGTCTTGGAACAGGCGTAACGACAATATCAAAGATCAGAGATGTAATGATGTTGAATATGAACAAAAACTCCCAGTTCAACACCTTTCAACAAACTTAAGACACTGATGTTTTAAAATCAGCAGTATGGATATATATTTTTCAACATATTTTTAATTGAACCACATTTCTCTTATTAACTTATTAACTTCGTAGAATGTACATATTTGTCAAACATTCTTGTAAAACAATTCTAACTAGCAAAACAGCTTGCAGCTACAAATCTAATTTGAAACAGATCTAATCCGAAACAAAAATTCTGGTGGATAAAGTGGTAATATCTGTAAAAAATAACTAGAAAAATTAGGATGTACATGTGAGGCGCACACTCGAGCCTGGCATCAGAAAAATAGCAAGTGATTAAACGGTTCAATTAGTTACAAAATACAGGGGTGTAAGTGGGCTAAATAGAACGCCAGAAAGGTGATGGGATTGTGCCTTTGATGATACAAGCATGGAATTTAGCACACAGTCGGAGTATGTCATGAGAAAGATATTTGGCTATAGGGCCATCGCAGGTTTGTCCTTTGAAATAATATAGGTAGAATAACAAACAATGGCAGCCATTTTGAAAATTTTGAAAGTTGCTTGCTGTTCTACCTATATTTTTTCAAAGGACAAATCTGCGATGGCCCTGTAGCCAAATATGTTTTTTAAGACATACTCTGACTGTGTGCCAAATTGCATGCCTGTTTCGCAATTCCCCAAAATATTTTCCCCATCTGCCCCACTAAAATAAAGCGAGGTTTACAAGAAAAGCAGGCGGAGCAAATATGTTTTCTGCAAATTTCAGAATAAAACGGAGGAAATGCTGAAATTGCTTCCTTGTGTGAGAACGGATTTCTTGAGGGATTATTTCCATTAAATTGTTGATTGCTAAAGAATTTAAGGCCAAGGCAACCCAAGTTCCCATCATTGGACAATAAACATGGCAGATGCCTTACAAAAGACGCGTTTCAGTTATGTTTCGATGTATTCACTGCTGAATTCCGCTCGGCAAGTTCCGTTAGCAAAACGTTCCACTCTGGAGCTTTCTGAATAATGCCACATATTGCAGTAGTCCAGGGCAAAGCCCTTTCCAGCTTTTTCTATGCCAACATCAGCATAACCTCTTAAATTCCCTTCCTAAACATAATACAAGTCAAGCACTGAATTATAAGAAAAACCAAAATCTGGAGTTAATTTGGATGTACTACTATTAGTTTTACTCACACAAAAATGTATCTGTACAAAATCTTTTTACACAAATTTACACCTTTTTTCCTGACAATTTATAATCGCATGCAAAACCTTCAAATATTGGGACCATACACCGTATGCATATTACCATTTGTTTTGTTTTTAAAGATTGATCAGAAACGGAACAATGTAAAAAACAAAACAGGTTTAACAAGTCTCAATTCACATCCGGTACGAGTTGCAAAATAGAATCATTCACTTTTTTTCGGAAGAAGTTCCGCCTTGTTTCCGTACATGTTCCGGGGAAATTTTTATTAGCAACTGCTTGACTCACCAATACTGATGACTTCATTGCGGGAAGATTGCGGGGAAGTTGCTCAGAATCCTGCAACGTACACTAGATATAATGTCTGCAACTTGTCCGGAACTCATCCCCGATATGAATTGAGATGGCCCTTGTCAATCACTGCTAATACTTTTTTTTTGTCTTCAAGACATGTCTTTTAGATTTTTTGTGGGGGGGGGGGGGTGTGAACCTGAAAAATGATTCCGACATCATTTCAAAATTTTTTACAGACATTTTTAACTTTCTTTTTTGACAGAAAAGGTACATTGTGCTTGACATTTGTGTGGCCTGTCAAATTTTTTTTTTAATTTGACAAATTAAATTTCACGAGTGAGTCAAAACTATCATACAACTTCGCACACATCCTCCTGTAAAAAAACCCACATTATGTTACTCAATTGTAAATAATGCATTTTTTGTCTGCCACCCCACAATTTACAAACTCCAATGTCGAAACCTTGAACGTTAGCTTCCAGACTTCTCTTGTCCATCAAACATCTGAATTTTCAAAAAAAAATAAACAGATCCCACAATTCATTTCTTTTTTTTTACACCACATCATCTGAGCAAGCAAAATTGACATTTTTAAACAGAATCGCCAGGGGCGGACACTGTGTAGCGCCCTCTATAAAATCAAGCCAATCACTGGCAGGCAAAACTGGGACCTAGCTCAACGTCTTCGCTTGGCGTCCCGTCGCCTGTTGTCACTGCGCGCGGTCTCGTTGCGCTTCCTCTTACGACTCAATGTCTCCTCCTCCAGCTCCTCATTCCAGTCTCTTCGTTTGTCCGCTGCGGTCAAATTAATTCATCAGAGTTAGACACTGGCTCACACACACAAAATTGAATGTATAAGATTTGAAGGTTTCCATGGCAACGTCAGCAATAAGATTAAAGTTTGCTGTTGCATCGTGTGGCATGAAATCTCTTTTGTGAGTTGAGTGGTTCCGAAAAAAAGAGTTGGATATGTACCCATGTTATATTACCTCTGTTTACTTTTGTGACTGGGGTTAATAGAACAGGATATATAGCAATTATATCACACCTGTTCAATTTTGTGAGCAGGAGTTATAAAACTGTGTATGTCCAAGACTCAAAGTAAATATAAACATATATGCCTGTGAGAATACAACACTGAAATGTCTTGAAATTTCAGATTAAAATGCCGATGCAATTCTACAAAATAAGATGATTATTGAAAAAAAACAGGGCTTGTAATGTATATTATAAATTTGGGGGTAAGGTATTAAAGTGTAAAAAAGAAATAAACTTTTGAACAAGGGCAATATTTAAATTTGATCAAGGGCAATATTTAAATTTGATAAAAGGGCAATATTTAAATTTGAACAAGGGCAATATTTAAATTTGAACAAAGGAAATATTTATAGGTAGTGGTAGCAGGAAAAATATAAAATAACTACTGAGAGATGATTGTTAAAGGTGAAGATACAGGTGAAGGAACAAACTATATCATTTAGGGCAATATCACAATATATGGACCAGGAAACATAACCATAGAGAGGAAAATATTGCCCAGGGAATATAGTAACAGAATGGAAAGGGTAATATACAACAAAGAATGAAATATTTATCTATTTACCTGTTGCTGCTTCCTTCTCCAACTCATCCCAATCTTTCCCACTTTCCTCGCTGCTACCAAGATCCTCTTCTGCAACAAGAACCAACAAATCGTAGAATAATGGTTATTCTTTTCCCCGATAATAAACTATTCACTCTTGTGTCTGATAAACTGACTAAACTGTCCAGTCAGCGTTCTCTCCAGTATTTCAATTCTAGCCCACTCAGGGGGGGGGGGGGGGGGGGGGGAGGGGAACACGACTTTCGAAGAACTTGTCAGGGCGGATGGAGTCAAAATGGTTATTTTCCATGTATCTCATAGTTTTTCTAGAGTGGGGCACCATTTTCTTCAGTATGGGGAAATTCTAAATTGTTCTGGTCAGTGTGTGTGTGTGTTGGGGGGGGGGGGGGTGTTGCGGTGTTGGCACAGCTGAGTCCAGCAGTGAGATTGGGGGAAAATGAAATATCCACAAAATAATTGGCAGAATGTTTGAGGGTCGCTGAGGGCTCCAGAACGACATATGGTCTATGGTATATGTTTGTATTTGCCTAACAATTCTTTCATTTTTTAAATAACTTTTACAGGTACAAACACATTTATAGTAACAATGCAGAAATTCCACATTTCAAAAAGGGATTCTTTAATAACTCCTGAAATCTGAAAACAAAATGGTGAAGGGAATCTGGAAAAATCCTGACAAGTTTCACCCCTGTGGGTCTAGTACCTGAATAATAACTGCCCTCTGATTCAGAGTCTTCTGAGTAATCGTCGCTGTCGGAGTCGTTGCTGTCAACCTCCTCCTCCGAGCCCGATGGCTGATAGGCGTCCTCTTCTGATTCATCATCGTCATCCTCGCCTCCCTGTCATGGCAACAGTATCATGGCAACAGTGTCATGGCAACAGTATCATGGCAACAGTGTCATGGCAACAGTATCATGGCAACAGTATCATGGCAACAGATTGAGAAAGTAAAAAATAACTTGTCGAAAGTGTCGTGCATATGCACGCATGGCAACAGTGTCATTGCAAAAGTGTCATGGCAACGGTGTCATGGCAACGGTGTCATGGCAAAAGTGTCATGGCAAAAGTGCCACGGCAAAAGTGTCATGGCAAAAGTGCCACGGCAAAAGTGTCATGGCAAAAGTGCCATGGCATAAGTGCCATGGCAACAGTGTCATGGCAAGAGTTTCCCACATTGCACAGTGTAACATCAACAGTTTGAAACCCACCAAAATTCCAAGTATTATACACATGTTGTGTAAAATAGAACAGTATAATTTCCTACTGTGACAATGATATAAAAAACGCTTAGGCAAAATGGCTCCATTGTGGCAACAGATTGACATACATCACTATCTGGCTCCAGGAAATTCCAGCCACCGTTCTCAAAGAATCCATCCGGGTCGTCCAGAATGGTCTTCATGATCTTGCTCCAGTTCAGGGACTGGACTCCTTCTGTGTACTTGATGTCGCACGAACTGAAAAGTTAAAAGTTTAATGAGTCAGCCAAGCTAGTCATAAGATGAAATTGTTTTCTTATGGATATCTGCACTAGTAAGCAGGAGGTCGTGGGTTCGAGTCCCATCCGAGTAGCTTGTGAATTTTTTCTCACAATCACTCGGACAACAGTGAGTATACAGTTTTATAAAATATGCCAGTGAATGGCAAAAACCAACACTGAATTTACAGTGAGCCAAATTAAACATTTAAAAAAACTAAATACATACCAATTCTGTTCAAATGAACACTAATCTTAAAGTAATAAATTTGTTGGGTGAAACTACAGTCTTACTTGAGCCAGTCTTTGACGTTATCCAGGAGATTCATGGGCACGGCGTTCACCATGGCCGTCTTGCGTGTGTAGTCCTTGAAGATGAAGACCATGTCAAAGTTCTTGATGTGGAACTGCACACGCTCAAAGTGGACCAGCTGGACTTCCTCCAATGAGATGACAAATGGGGGCTGAGGACAAAAGAGAACAAGAAAGACGTGTGTGTTTGAGGTCACCAAAAACTTGTAAGCAGCGTGAGACCACTAGCAACAGAATTGGAATAACAGCTACGCAATTCAACATCAACAGCAGAAGTACCAGATTAATGAGCAACAGTAGCAGCAGTAATAATAACGAGAAGGATAAATTAGTACTTTATAGCACACAAATCCTAGAAACTAGATCAAGGAGCTATAGAAAAGATGGAACATAGAGTCAGTACGGTTAAGCTCTGGGCAATTTCTTGAATGTCAAGCAGTATTTTGGTTGAAAATACAGTAAGGTTTATGAAAATGTATGTGCAAGAGATACAAAGGGAGACTTTTGAGACATTCTTGGCAGCAAACACAACGCTCCTTTTCAATAGTTAACATCATGTTTAAGTTAAAGTGAGAAGGCTCAATATGACGCAAAAAATGGACAAAGGACCGGTGTGTCTGCTGCAACCTCCGCCTCACAAGTCTTGCATTATAAGAAACTGTAAGCCCCATTAGGCTAACAGAAACTTGTAGATTATCCTGTCAAAGTCAAATTGAAAGTTTGGTTGGGAAGTGTTATCTCTGGAAATATTGGTGTTGGAAGAGTAAGTTTATGAATATTAAAATCCCAAGAATGAACCGTAGTCCCAGAAATGAAAAGCCCCTCAGGAGGTTTGTTAGAAAGTTAAAGCAGTTAAAAACAACTAAATGTTACCCATCATAACACAAGATATGATGAAAGTCCTCCCGCTAATAAACATCAACCCCCAAGGACTGCCAGCTTACCCATTCAGTGACAGTGACAAGGCAGCTACTGGTTGGCAGGAGCTGCACCGTGCTGCGGTGAGGGACGCCGGGGAATCCCAGATCACGGAACGGCACCTCAAACTCTATATCTCCCTTGGTGATGCTTTCTACCTTCTCGATGAAGCTCTTGAAGGCTGCCTTCAGCTTGTGGCGCAACTCACGCTCAGCCTGAAGGAGAATCGACAGAAACAAACCATTCATTGCACGGCGACTTGAATTGGATTTTGGGTGCAAGTTTGCCTTAGCGCTGTCGTTTACGAAGGCATTAAAGGGTCCATACGATAAATTTTTCTTGGGAACATATCTTGTGCAGCTTTCTACTCCTCTTAAATGTATGAAAAGTATTCAAAATGCACTTTCCTGGACACTGAAACAATTTCAATGCTTTTCTGGACAACTGAGGGCGCTGTTGCCGTGATGTCATTTCAGGAAGACACTGTTCAGTTTGTGGGTTTTCTACTGAAATGTGAACCCAAAATATGCTCCTTGAAAACATTTGTGAGAAAAGTTTGCTCACTGGCTTACTGCCATGCACTGACACAACAACGAATCACCAAAGAAAAGAAAATAGCTGTAAGCTGTAACATTGAGGTTTCTACCTGAAATGACATCACAATTTTTATCACGAATGTGGACATTTTCATCAGCATAAAAACCAAAAAAGGCATCAAACACCCTTGAAAATGGCAAAATGAAAATTGAAAATAAAGTTAAATGGAAGACAAAGGTGCAGTTTCAAGGATTGCATTAAAATCATTACATCACATGGGCCCTTTAACCATTGAGGATCACGATACCCAAAACCCTGCCACACGCAACACAGAACTGGGGTCAATGTCTGTTGGACCTTGCTACATTTAGCTATCAACACCTGTGCATAAACGACCCATTCTGAGACACAGGAGTGATGCTGCGTCTGAAACAGACAACAGCGTCCATTTTGAACACGGCCATAGCATCAATTTCTGCAGAAGTCTGGTAACCTATTCCCAATGAAACTTTGTAGTTGTAGTCTGATGGTAAGAGGTCAAAGTTCAAGTCTTGGGTTACCTGTTCGCTGGCGATGTCGTCCCTGTCGTGGATGTTGTGATGTTTCAGCAGATCTGTGGTGATTTCTCCCACTTCGGTGTAAAACTGGATGTCCACGTGTCTCTTGTTGGAAAAGAGGATGGCATTCTGAAGAAGGAAAATAAAAACATGCGTGAATTTTTCAATCAATATTTGATTAAGGGAATCAATGTGTGCTTGGGAGGTTTTAAACACTCTGTTTAAGACTGATTGGAGTAAATACCTTTTTTGGTCAAAAATAATCCAAAAAAATGTTGTCAAAAGTCAAAAAGTCTTAAATCTCAAACAATTTCATTCAACAATACTACTTCATGTTTTACAAAACACCCCTCGAGCTAAATAATGGAGTGTCCAGCTCGCGAGTAAGTCGTAAACAACTCCTTGTATGGAAATTGGCGTGTGCACACTATGTCGCGCAGAATGCAGCTGTTGCGGTGCATTGTGAATTGGTGAATTTGCGTTGGTATTTATGAATTATATTTTATATTGAAGTGTGGCCTCTTTAAGGTAGGAATTGTACAGTAAACTGTGCCGCAAAAGATTGAAAGATTGTTCTGTACAACTGGGAGGACACAATATGAGGAAATTCCAAGCTTTACCAGACTTTTCAGTTTTTAATTTTTAATGGCATAAGTGTGAAGTGAAAAAAAAAGAGGAAATCAGCTGATCCAAGGAAAAGAAGCATGCCCGGTTTTAGTGACTTCTGTTAAAGCTGAACGGGGGACGTAGTGGTGCGTTATAGCGGCATCTCGTATAACTTCTAAGACGTCTTTTCTTACCTTGAGGTGAAAGTGAAGAACGATAACCATTTCTCCATCACAAGGCTGGAAGATGGCGTGCTTGATGTTGTTGTACAAGATGTCCACTTTGTCGCCGCGCACAGACGTATACCTGAAACCTGCAGAAAAATGATAACGAAAAGTATTTCTCAAATTGAAGGGCTAGCATTTCTTTGAAAGTTACATCTCAAAAATAAAAGAAACTTGAATCAAGAACATATGACTGGGTTGTATTTTACCGTTCATGTGTGCTTCTAGGGAGCCTTGTATTCTCTTCTGGACGATGTTTGGCCTGATGTACAGATCCTTGAGTTTAGGGTTGCCTCGTACGGGATTGATGACCAATTTGTCTTGTTTCACAATGCCCTGCGAGAAGAAAACATTAAAAAACAACAACAAAAAGTTAGGCACAATGCAAGATGTTTACAATCCATGATCGGTCTGCGATGTGGAAAAATGTAGTTGTATGTAACAAAATGGATATAAGGGGAGTCAGGCTGGCGTAGCGATACTTTCCTCGCCTTCCACCGCTGTGACCCGGGTTCGATTCCCAACTGGGCCAACATGTGGATTGGGTTTTCAGTCCCTGCCTAATTCTGCGGGTTTCCCCAGAATATTCTTCTTGGGTTTTCCTCCCACCTGTAAAGCTGTAATTTCTTCTCATTGTGTTCTCTCTACAGGTTTCTTCAGGCTTGTGAGCTACAGTGCCTGTGGCTCTTTTGAGGAATCCTTGGTTTCATTACCAGAAGTAATAGTAATAATCAGACTAACTCTTTGTTTTTCTTTAAAAACATTTTGCATAATCCGTGGGAAAGTGTGCGATGCGCCAAAACTAAAATTATACAACATGCAATGTGAACAGTTATATGTACTGATACTGCATAATGCAATTTTGGGCATTCAGGCAATGCACATTTCTATTTTCATGCATACAGGTTGTAGCAGCGAGAGTACATTTTTTTCACAGGAGAATGTAACTTATTGGTTTCATCCGTTATCAACTAACTCAGTGCTGTCTGGGGGCTAGTAAGAATCCGCTCCATTCACAAGTACCCCCTCACCGGCAAAGAAAGTACAGTTGGGGGTGACCGACCGACGCCATCTTGCCTGACTGCACTTTTGCCACGACGCGCGGCCGTACCACTGCGTGTACATAATACAAATCCCCTGGTGTACGTGCGTCACACACAAGGAACGATGCGCGTCAACCAGCTAAATGTCCCACCCATGGGACGTCGTTGCTAGGTAAAAGGGCGCCCTCTTTCGTTGGCGCACGGAGCCCATACTATCTTTACTTTTCACTCTCAACCTATCTCAGGGTAGACTTGACCCATCTTCCACACACCTCTTTCTCTCGTTCCTCGGCCTCCCGAGTCTTGAATTTCTTCTGGACGTCTTTGATGAGTCTGAAGGCAAGGTTGAGATTGCTGGAAGGAGTGGAGGACTCACCTGCTCCCTTGGTGTTGGAACTCCGATATGTCCTTGCGGAAAAAAATAAATGTATTTTACCCAATAAACTCCCTCAGTGAAAACCTGTAGTGAGTAACCCTATGGGTCAAAATCTATCAGGTTACAATTTTGAACAGGTCTGTAAACTGGCCTCATAATTGGTACAATTGACAGGTTAAAATGGCTGCAACACAAGCTGTACCGGTATTAATGGTCAAACTATCTATCAAACCACTTCAACAGGCTTTGGCAGTTATACGGTGTAACCGATAGGGGTTTCTGGTAGTTGGTGACCAGCCTGTACAAAAGCTACTGAGAGAGGTAGGGGTTAGGTTTTTGACGGTTTGCGATAGTTGTAAGTATAGGAGGGTTAATCCGCAAAGAGTCTTACGATTTATATCTCATACTGCACGAAATGATCTTGTATTTTTGTGGTAATTTAAATTTGTGGAAGAATGTTTGAGTCTTCTCAAACGTCTTAATTTTTTAAGTGATATGTTTGCTTTATATTTTTCCCCCCTACTGAAGTCCCTCTATTTGTTTATACATGCACCTGAACTTTTTATTTCGTTTTTTTTGTGTGTTCATTTGTAGCGCTCTGTTTTAGTAACGTTATTTTACCGAGAGACTGTTGATTTGTTTTTGTAGCTGTTTTTTTCTTTTTATCTTTTTGCTTTCTATTTGTGTTAAGTGCATATCATTTCTAGCCTTTGATTTTGTAAAATTCATATTATTAGTTTATTTTAATGCAGGGCCCTAATGAAAGCCAGCTTTTTGCTGTTTGGGTTTACCCTGGATAAATAAAGGTATAAATAAATAAATGTGAAGCGACTAACGCTAACAGAGAAGTGTGGCTTTAGGTACCTCTGGTTCTTCACAGAACAACATTTCTTACCTCTTTGAATCTTTTGCTCCAAAACAATTATTAATTCCATTAAGAGGTTAAAATACTTTGAAAGGCAATCTTACAGTTCTTTCAGGTATGTGGCTTCAGGGTTGGAGAACATGTTGCCATCGGTCTTGCCCAGAGCGGCTCCAGGATGGAAGAAGTTGATTCTCAGGTACGTGTAGTCGCCCTCAACGCTCTGGCTGATGTTCTGTAAACCAAGAAAAAAAGTATCAAAGTTGGCAAAACGTTACTCCAATCATATCGTCAAAATGTTCAACATATTTCTTTATGTCGGAAACAGAGTGATTTTAAAAGTCATAATTCTGTCTTGTTTCCCTTACATTTTACCTAGGAATCAAAACAACTTTCACAATTTTGTTATATATGCTCTTTTTACGACAAAATTGGTCTTGCACCCTGACTCACCTTGATGGTAGATATATGGAATGGTGTGGCGTGTCCAAAGACTGGCAGGATCACTGTCTCGTACTTCTTGTCCACATACAGACGTAACCGCTGCACGTCAGGGTCTCGGGGCATCTGGGATACGTGCTTGTAAGACGCGTTGGACTTTCTGGTTCTGTAGACAGAGAAACCATTGATTAAAAAAAAAGGCTCAGAAATATAGTTTTTCTGGACAATGTATTTCAGCATTTAAGAACTCGCCTGATCCATATATAAAAACAAATGTTTCCAAACTTTGTATATATTTTCATATTTATTCCGCTGTGTCAATGTGTTGTGTTTATTAGAGACGAGGCTTTGCCTCACTTTACATATCCTGCAGCAGAATTCCATCATACAAAGGTGACTATCACATTAACAACATATTTAGAGAAGGCTATCAACTGACTTGGTCTTGCCGGATTCTTCCTTCACTTGTTTTAACCTATCCAGAGCTTCTCGGTTCATCTCTTCTCTCAACTCTCGCTGTCGCTCCTTTCTCTTCTCTTCCGCTGTCATGTCCGTCTGGAAAAAAAAGAAGCCGGTTAACTTCAAGTGCAATTTCTTTAAGAATGCACTGATAGAATTCTGACAGAAAATTAAATCTACAAACAAGCTATTTCATGTGTCTCCGGTTCAAATCCTGTTATTTCAGATAAGTTACGAGGACTCACCCTGAGTTTGCTGTCCAGGACAGCCCGCCTCATCCCTCTACCCAGCAGTTCCTCTTGCTTCTGTTTAGCGTCTTCGTCTTCTTCATCGTCATCATCATCATCGCCCTAGCAACAAGAGGTGCAATAGGAAAACACTAAGTGATCTTTTTTTATACGAGGCTATTGTCAAATATTTCATAGTGCAGTTGGTAGGTGCCTACCTAGTTGATTATAGTGCATGTGTCCATAAGCAAGCTACTTTACAGCAACTAGCACATGACAGGAATATTCACACTGTTGTAGATCACGGAAACTGCATAACTCACATCCACTGGGTTTTACTCTCTACCAGTGAGTTCTGAAATGTTTCTGGAATAATTAGCTCAATTGCACACCTTACAATCATACACCTACCATGTCTACGCAGAGAAATCAATAAAACATCAGACAACTAGTCTGTCCATTCTACTGGGAGAAAGTTTACCTTGAGGAAGATACCAATGTGCTTCATTCTCTTCTTCATTGGTGTCAGGAGTGCGGCCGGCCCTTCCTGTTAACGAAAACAAAACCAACCAGGATGAAATATTTAGATCTCCGAGTACATTTGCTGTCATCATAACAATGTGATGTTAGGTCAGGGGGGTCAACATCATTTGATGGAGATTTAGCACAGAAATCTAGTACGCACTACAAACATTAGTTTTGAAAAATAAATACCAGCCAAATTTCATTGTGAATAATACTGCATGCGAGTTGTTCTCACATGCAGTGAATACGCAGTGAGTACGCAATTCCTTTCATTACTGTCGTGAGTATTCAAAACAGCGCCCTCTAGATTCCCCGTTCAGAGCCCAACCTACCTCCTGTACAAGCACAGTGTCACCGATGAACAGCGCATAGTTCTTGCCGCCGGTGTCTTTAGCCTCGCTGTTTTGGAGGTTGGAGAAGCCCACGTTGATGTTGAAGATCATTCCCTTCCGGGCCACGGCTTCCGACTTGCTGTTGATCAGCATGCTGCCCTCGCGAAACTCTATCCCCATCAGAAACCTGGCATTTGGGAAAAAAAAGAAGACACAAAAGTTGGCTTTAAAATGATGAATCCAAGTTCATTCAGGATTGAGGGAAAAAAAAGGACAACTATTTTGGTGTGGTGTGATGATTTCTCTGGCAATATTTCAAATAAGAGACTACTAGAGATTTATCGACTTCAAACCAATGTAGTAACTCACATTTTAAATTCATTGTTAACACAAGTCAGCTTCTTTTTTGTAAATCTTTGCTGATAGGGGGACAATGAAACCGGTGCTTAAACTTTCTGTTTGCGTTTTTTGACGATTGCTAACTCTTTTTTCTTTCTTTCTCTGTTTTTTTCCTGAGTAATTAACTTACCCAACATTCTTAGTCATTTTCGGAAGGAGATCTGGTTTCTCCTTTTTCACCAATGCAACGACACTGTTGTAAACATCCGACACTTTTTTACCTGTAGATAACAAGATCAAAGAACATGCATTCATGAACATTTCCATTTCATCATTCCATGGGATTGCTCTGGAATATCCTCCTGGGGTTTTCCTCACACCTCCAAAACTAAAAAGTATCTTTTCTGTTTCCTCTTTCTTAAAGATTGTCTTAGGCTTTAGAACTATACTGCGTGGTGCAAAAAGAAGGAACCCATTTTTGACAGGAATTTTAACCTACTTTAACTTATTTGAACTGGTTTTTTTTTTTTATAATGTAGTGAAGCATAGCTCTTCAACCATACATGGTGAAAACGTCTTTAAAAAATTGCAAGAATAGTGTTATTATGACTAATTAAATTCAAGTCCCCAATATCACTGTTGTCCACGTGTAAGTCTAGTGTAGTGTTTTTGTCTTCAAATCAAGCTCCAGAGATCAGGCAAGCACAAGAATAAAGCCGTCTGTTTAACTACCATATTTCAGAGACAAAATATGCATTTGCAATCATTTTTTAGGCACTTATGTTCCAAGATAAATATTTTAACACCATTAAATTGAATTTTTGAAATATGCTCAACAAGTAGGTGAAAATGCTGTCACAAGTGGGTTTCCTTCTTTTTGCACCACCTGTAGTGCCCGTACACTCTTGAGAAATCTTTTTGGTTTTATTACCAGAGAGAAAGTCAAAGCACTTGCAAATTAATATAGTAAACAAATACAAAGATGTGAGAATCTTTCTCACCGTTTCTCAACTTGCTGATGACTTCTTCCTCGACGCTGAGCAGGAAGTTGTAGTTCTCCTGTTGTTCTTTCGTGGGATCCACCATGAGGGTGCGAACCACATTGGAGCAGTAGGACTTGTAGCGCACTCCGAGGGAGCACGTGATGGAGCCAAAATGGAGCTTGTTCTCATCACTGTCATAAAAGGTAAAAAGCTCTTATTATTCCAACTTTGTTAACATTTTTACAAGAGACTTTCAACATTTCTTCTTGCAGGAGATCAGTAATCAAAGTACCCTTAAGTACACTGCGGTTCACTCTTCAAACTCCTCAAAACCACCCGTAATTAAAATCCTTTAATCCTCCTGCTCTTTACACAGTCACAGACAGTCAAAATTCACTTCCACTTCCCCTGCTATACTTTTAACAAAGGCTAGTTACCAGCAGTCAGATCATATGTCAAGCAAGCACTGTGACTAGTCAAACTGGGTCAACAGACAAAGCAGGCAAGTTGTGGTCACAGCTGTTTTATCACTCACCCGGAGTCAAAGCATAGCTGTATCAAATACTTAAACAGTCCCAGCCAGTCAAACCTACTTTATGTAGGCTGGGAATTCTTAACTTATGAAAACAGTCACTTGTTTGATTTTGAGTGAAACGTGAGTTTGCACAGGAGTGTTAATGAAAAGAATCCCAACAATTGCCACAGAAAATAGCAATTAAAAATTTTATCACGATCTAAAACAAAATTGGTTTCATTAAAGAAAAAGACGAAGTCAACGTGTGTTAGTCTCAACTTTGAATAATTTCATAAGACAGTATGAAAAATCAATGACTTCGTTTCGTACATTTGTGTTAGTGATAATGATGTTTATTATAAGTAAATTTCATGCCCAAACCTCATTTTAATTGGTTGCGGGATACACAATCAATCCAAAAGCTGCAAATAATTTTTTTGAAAAAAAGACAATCAATACATAAAAAATTTGCTAAGTACAGAAAATATCTGCTTAGCGAATATGGGTTACCAGCCAAAATGCCATACTTTGTATATTGCTTGTAACTGGTTTTCTGCCGATTCTAATTAAGCAACACTTTCTACTTAGCAGATTCATGAAACTGAGACGAGTCATTTACCTGACGACGCTGAACTTGAGATTGTAGTTGCCCCCGCTCTGTATGATGGGCGGGTAGCAGACTTCTACCAGCGAGGGGTCCGTGTTGCCTAGGATCTTCTTGTCTTCCAAGGCGGCTTCTATGCTGTCGGCGAGCTTATTATGTCGCACTTTCTGTTGGGGGGAAACAAATAGTCCAATACTCCCATCAGATGATGATCTCAATATGTCATTTGGTACACACTGCTTGCACGTTACTCAGTTGATGTTACTATCTGCTGAGCTTCATTTTCTGAATAACATAAAAGGTCCACAAAATCTGTCCAAGCTTCCCTTCTAAAATGGCCCCTTGGTAAATCTGAACATAGCCTCAACATCTCACAAATTACTTGGCTATGGCTGGCAATAACACACGGCTCTATGGGAAGTGGCCGCAGCCGCTTCCATAGGCACATGTGTAATCTCCAGCCGTAGGCAAGTAATGTGGACACGGGCTAAGATAAGCCAGCGTGTTGTTGGCCTAATGACCTATGTGGGGTCAACTTGGCGGATCAGAGCAGTTGACCAATCGAGCCAATAGACTCCGTTCACGTACAGTAGGACGAAACTCCAGTGGGAAGGACACAACGCTTCTGCAGACTGATTTGCGCAAAGTTTGCACGTATTAATTTGATCCTGTGTGGACGAACCCACGGCATCAATGCGTGAGCGTCAGGCGCAGTTTGTAATGCATTCAAATGTCTCTCCTAGTGGTCTCCCCCCAACTCTCCCTTCCTAATTGTTGAGGGGGTACTTGTACATGGAGTCCATTAGACAATGAGGGCAGCATCATCGAGGCACACAGCAACCAATCAGAGATCACTGACGTTGGTGCCTGCCCTCATACACGTATGATGGGGAGTCAGGTTGGCGTAGCCGTACTTTCCTCGCCTTCCACTGATGTGATCCGGGTTAGAATCCTGCCTGGGCCAATATGTGGATTGGGTTTTCAGTCCCTGCCTGTTTCTGTGAGTTTTCCCTGGAATATTCTGGGGTTTTCCTCCCACCTTGAAAATTGTAATTTCTTCTCACTGTCTTCTCTCCACAGGTTTCTTCAGGCTTGCGAGCTGCAGTGCCTAGGGTGCTTCTGAGGAATCCTTGGTTTCATCAATTACCAGAAATGATTCATAATAATAATAATAATAATTAATAAGAATAATAAGAGGTCAGGTATCCATTTTAGTGCTCAGTTATTCTCATCACCAACCTTGTCCGCATCAACGATCTCCATGATGTCCTCTTTGACTTTCTTATTGAAGACGTCACACGTGATCTGAGCTGCCCGCTTCATCAAGGAAATCTCCTTCTCCTCCTTGACGGCCATCAGCTGGGCAATGGAGCTGCTGATATCAACCTGAGATCACGACAAATATCAATAAATATCGATATAATTTGCATCTTAAAACTAACATGGCATTGTAGAATCAAGAGGGTAAGTCAACGGAGGGTAGGAGACAATTTTTCATACCTGTGTCACACCAGTACCACTCAGCGCTTGCCTCCAGCTGTCCATAAAGTCACCAGGAAACTTGTCCTTTGTAAATGTACCCACGCGCTTGCCCTGGACCACAAAGACAAAATGTTGCCATTTAATACTCTATCCACATCAAGGTTTGTTTGAACTCATAAAGTTCAAATGGAGATGCTTCACTTGATAAAAAGAAAATCTCATGTACAAAAACGGGAGAAAAATAGTATTTGATCGGAATTCAGGTTTGATCACAATTCAACATGTATCAACGCTTAATCGACTTTTTTGGAATCTGTCTCTAAAACGATTTAACTCATGTAAAATTCAAATAAGGAATTAATTGTTCTGAAATTTCAAATTTCCTTTAATTTTTTTTTAAGCTAATGTTGTTTTTATACAGATTGTTCCAAAATATTTTTTATCTGATTAACAGATAATATGTTGGTCATGAGCATGACTCCCCAAAAACTGGCCGAACCTTTGAACGATTAAGAACAGTTAGCGATAGTGCAGGAAAAAATTTAAGTGCTCTATGTATCAACAAAGAGCAGCAAAAATCTTCTTTTTTTATATCTGTTTTAGGATCCTTCATGAGTGCAGTCATGTGACAAGTCATGTGACAAATCATGTGACTACTGACCTCTCTGCTGCCTTTGATGGCTTCAGTCAGCTTCTCAAAGTTGGCCTGGTTCCCATCGCTCTTGTCCCTGGTCAGCAGTGTAATGACCGGTACTCCGTTCTGGTTCTCCTTCTCCGAGTCGGCAACCTGTCGCAAGAAGTCCACTTTCTTCTTGCTGGCCAGGAAGATGATCTTGTTCTCGCACAGGACCGTAACTGTGTCTGTCAACTCGTAGCCGAACAACCAGGTCTAATATTAAAAAAAAATAAGAAATCAGTCGGAAATTAAATTCCTACATTAAGGCTGGTTCATTATTAGCAGGGATAAGATTTTACTTTGATACCGCCACTGCAAATGGTGAGGAACAACAAAATGACCAACACTCTTTGATCCTAACAATTTAAATACAACCTATTAGTTGAAGATTTATGTAAAGGTAGAGTTCATCATTTGTAATTTGTGCATTTTGCTCGTTTGAAGCAAAAAAAAGTGCTCAATATCTGAAGGATGCTAAACAACTAACCTGATGAAGTTTCAGCTCAGCTTCAGCTGTATATTTCGAGAAAAACAACATTCTAGGATCTCGATTTCAAATCAAAAGTTGCTGAATCATGTTTTGAATTGGGCCTGTATTCAGCGCCCGAGACGCGTTCTCACTGAGCCGATTGCAGCTACGCGATGTCGCGCATTGATCCCACGAATTATAGCAACCACGCGCGCGTGTGCGTCGTGTCAACGCTTGCGCGCGCTTTCGCCGAATAAAAAAACGAACTACAAATGTAAATTTCCAACGGTGCTTCTTAAGACGCATCGTTGGAAAGGCCTTCTTTCGTTGATTTCTTCAAAATGACAGCTTGCCAGAAGGAATAATTTCACAGGGAGTTTAGTTCCCTTAACCCTTACTCTCTGAGGGTAGTTTACTGCATGTCAGTTGGTTATGCCAATGCCCTCCAGCTGCAGTTAATTGGAGGATAAACTATCTTGACTGTGAAGGCTCCAATTGGCAGGAGTTGGAGGCCCTGGAGGGTGCCTGATACTGACCAGCTGGGGGCACTCACTTTGTTATCAGAGGACTCTCATTGTTCTCTGTGGCATGTATTGGAGTGCCTGTCCAGTTACCCTTGAAATGACATGGCAGATATTGGAGGGCCATGCAAAAAACATAGGAGATTTTCTTGAGGCACATATCGGCATGCGTAGGAGGGTCTAGTAGGGTAAGGGTTAATTAATATCTTTCAACCAAGTATGTTTTTCAACAATAATTACGCCAGTTACTTTTTGGATAGTGCAAATGATGGACTCTGGCTTTAAGCCACACAAACCACACAATGAAGTCCATACCTGGACATCACTTGACACCCTGTGCACAAACCTTATGAGGCTGGTCTCAAAAATGGCTGATACATGTAAGTCATTGCAGGGAAAAATTAGTGATGTCCACATGTAGAATTCTTTCCCAACCCCCAACCCCCCCCAAAAATGTTTCAAATGTGTACACTGTGAATGACCTTTCATTGTGTACAGACAGTGGAAGACATCTAACAGACACTTTTCTGGCCTACACAGGATCTTCATATGATAAGCCATGTTTAAATAAGTCTACACATGAATGTACTTTTTTTTTTTAGATGTTTCCATTCCTGGTGTTGAAAATGATGGGAGAATAAAAGTAAAATATTTCATCAAAGCAAGTATGAATGCTGTAAATCGGCAAAACTCAAACACATTTTGAATCCAAATTTGGCTGCAATTATTTTGTGATGTCATGGAAGTCATGCTTCTCACCTGTAGTGCCGTAGACTTAGCATACACCACATCCTCATCTAGACCCACTGCTGTGCAGATGGCGTCGACATTGCTGAGGCCATTATTATCTGAAGAATTCTGTGGATAAAACATCAATAACAATGAAATAATGCAAATTAATGACGTAATGTTCAATATTGAATACAAGAACAAATACAAGTCCAAATATTACTCAGTAAACAATAAATAAAAACTGTAAAACACTGTTCAATGATTTCGTAGTAAGCTCAGCTGACACAGTCAACTTAATAAAATCAACAACAAAAATTGAAATAGCAGGAATAAGCACTTTCCCGATATTATGCGCCATCTTGTTCACGGGGCAAAAAGAACTTGCCCTGCTAGACAGGAGCGCATATATTGGAATGAACGCGTGATGACTTAGGAGCGCAAAAGATTTTGATTGACAACGTATGCTGCATATAAACATGATGAATTGAGAGTGCTTATTGAAAAGCATCCTAAGCAACGTCAATATCAGAATTTTCAATAATCGATATATCGGAAATCCAATAGAGAATATTCGATTTATCAATAATCCTGTGTAAAAGTTAAAGACCATAAAGATGACATTTTGATTAAAAAAAAGAAGAAAAAAAAGAAACAATCTTAAGTCCCAAGTTGCCACCAAGTTTTATTTCATTATACAGCAAACGTTAAACACAAAAAAACACAAACGGGAGATTTATTTTGACAGTAATCTGACGCATTTTCGATTATTTCGATATCATTCCTCAATATCGAACATTTCAATATTTCGATATGATTACAAAATTGCTATTGGCATTTTGGCAATATCGATATCAAAATAATATAGAATAATCAAGTAATATCGATATATCGACAGTGCTTAAAGCATCCTGTTAAAAAGTTGAATCTTTTTGTTTAAAAATCCCTTAAGGCCATTTAATTATTGCTATACATAATTTAGATGTCAAATGATGTCCAGGGAGAAAGGAATGGATATAAACAAAGAGCTGCATACTAAATTCACAATAAAAGTTTTGTAACAAAATACATGTTTGTGTAACTTCCTCAAACTCTATAGCAGAAAATAAGAAAAGAACTAAGATTGACATGATTGAGTGTAGCTAGGATGATCCTTAGCGTTATGTTTATGCATAACGCTAGGAAACTCACAATAGCAAAACTGGCAATTTTTTTTCAGATACGAAAAGGTTTATAATATATTCAATATTGAAGTATTATACTAATACAGTATGAAGTATAGACCTATAATGCACCAAATGATGAAAAGATGAATAGTAAAATACTGACAACTCACGTTTTTACAGATAATTTTTGGAGGTCTGTTTTTGTCAACTCACACTGAAGCACACTCAAAATGACTGTCGAGTGTAAACACATGTCACAGGTCAATGCAAGGTACTTTGCATTAAGTAGCACGCATTGTTTACCAGCGCTAAGCAATGGTCGGGTGCGTTTCCTCCACCATTATTTTCCATGTTGAATATGTATACCAGACAACTGTTACATGTTAATATGAGAGAGATAAGTATCATAACACACAGCATGGGACCACAATAAATATATCAGCATATGACATAAAACAGTCGTATACAATCTGGATGTAATGTGGGGTTGGGGACACGATCCAAATCTCTTGAAGTGACCGCATGGTGGCGATGTTTAAGCCAGGAAGAAAATGTGTATGCATGAGGCAATGAAAAGACAGTCGTGTTTGTTGACATGTTGGTAACAAAGGTGTCCTCAGTTTCAGCCAAAATATACGTAAGAAGTGAACATCTCTGGTTTTATTTATCATTCAAGTACTGGACAAAGTTTAGCAACTATTATTATCCAGGTTCTAAGACAGTTCTCTCCGTTTTGAGGAATATATTGCAAATAACATGGTTCTGAAAGAGATGTGCAATAGCTAGATTGAGTGAGGATTGTAATTTGTAAATAACTGTTACAAAACTTACTAAAGTTGCTGTAAAACTCACTAACTTGATAACATAAATAAATAAATACATAAATAATAAAATAAAATAAAAGGGCAAACAAATTGATTGTTTAAACAATATATATTACATAAAATTTCAAAATCACACAATCACATTTTAATTTTAAAACATGGACAAATGAAATGATGGATTTTTTCACTTACGTTCTATTGCAGAAAACAATTTGAGGAAACCAATATTATGTAAAGGTGTATGGTATGATTAATAAGTACAAAGTATATGCACAAAAATGATACATGTTATGTTGCTAGCTGATCATGTAAATGCACATGTAATTGCATGGCAAATGTACATGTACATGTATAATGTACATGTACATGTCATGCAAATCGTATTGCGTACAAAGCAATTGAAATGAAGGTTAAAATCGGTAACTCACATTCCATGCGTCGTACAGCACTTTCATTCGCCTGAAAAAGGCATCTTTGTCCACCGAGATTGCCGACATCTTGCTTTAACCGACGTGATGACGTGATGAGACGAACAAGAAATTCGTAGGCCAAAAACCACGACAAAAAGGTGTCGTGCCTCCAAGCAAAAGTGTAAATGCGTGAACGAATATGGCGGGAGATAAAATTTGCGGGAGATGTCAACAGCGCCCTCCAGTGGCAAGGCCGTTCTGAAGAAAACAACAATAAGCAAACCCGCACTAGCACTGCACTGGTACTCCTAGAACTATGAGGCTCCACGTAGTGGAGCCTCATAGGTTCAGAAGCCCGCAAAATTGTTGTCAGCACAAAACACTAATTAAGTACAAAAACGTCCATCCCAAGCAGGCCGTTTTCCACAGAACCGCTGCACAGTTTGCCCCTAAACTCCATACAATACCTCATGACATACTCACGTTATGTGCACCCAACAAACATTGGTGGATTCTGTCTGTTTTTCGGCAAAAATGATGAAAAATATGCCCTTTCCGCACTGAGCCAACCTAACACTTGAAACGAGCACGCGTGCAGAATGATCGCAGTTATTTTCGGTTCGATCGCTCGGAGCGCGCCGCGGGGGGTACGTACTTGCACTTGTACGCATGTGCATACTATCGTTCCGCTCCTACACCATACCCCCCGCGGCGCGCTCCGAGCGATCGAACCGAAAATAACTGCGATCATTCTGCACGCGTGCTCGTTTCAAGTGTTAGGTTGGCTCAGTGCAGAAAGGGCATATTTTTCATCATTTTTGCCGAAAAACAGACAGAATCCACCGATGTTTGTTGGGTGCACATAACGTGAGTATGTCATGAGGTATTGTATGGAGTTTAGGGGCAAACTGTGCAGCGGTTCTGTGGAAAACGGCCTGCTTGGGATGGACGTTTTTGTACTTAATTAGTGTTTTGTGCTGACAACAATTTTGCGGGCTTCTGAACCTATGAGGCTCCACTACGTGGAGCCTCATAGTTCTAGGAGTACTGCACTGGGACGTAGAACTCGCTCTTTTTTCATCATAAATTGTCCCTTTCTGTGTACATTTTCCTCCTCAAAATGTCTAGGGACACTCAGTTCATCCTCAGACATTTAGGGGAACTTGAGCAGCTTGCTGAAGAGGTTCTAGCAGATAAAGAACAGGTGTTAATTAATAATTTGTTACATTTTCATTTGTTTAACTTTTGTTGCTTGCTTGTGTTGAGCGCAAAACTGTGGATAATTTTGGAGGGGGCGGGGCGGGGGGGGGGGGGGAGGAACTTTGATACAGGAGAAATCATGGAGGAAGGAATTAAAATGTGCTAGTTGGGTCCATCCATCATAAGTCTATCACAGGTCCAGTGATTATGCAGATACTGGTCACTCTTTCATTGTTATTTGGTCCTTAATGTGGCTATCGTTACAGCAGCGGTAACGCAACTTTCCACTGCTATCGTGTAGTTCCTGACGTAAAAGTATTCAACGTCAGCTGTTGGAACCAGACTATCAACCAAATGGTTCTCGGTGTTTATTTCCCCTTTTTTTTAAAATCCTCCCAAACCACTGATTTCAAAGAAGAAAATAAAATCTACTTAAAAATATAAAGAACAGTTTGATTAAAAACCTGAAACTGAAGAAATCTACTCAAAACAAATTCCAAAGATGAGTAACACAGCAGGGGTTCGAACCAGGGTCCCCCGCACATTGAGCTAACGTCTGTACCAATGGAGCGACCGAAGTGCTCTGGTTGGATGGGCAGTTGTAAATCTGATATATGTTTGCATTGTGTTTTTTACAATGCCGTAACGATATTATTTGAAAATTGCGTTACTGCTGTCGTAACAATATCCACTTTGTTATTTTTATTACAGTTCATTTTCACTTCTTTTTTATTTTGCAGATTGTTGATTTGGATCGGACACGCAACGGCAATCGTGAAGGTCTGCGGTCCCTCATCAGGCAAAACCGACAAAGTAAACCTGGGCAATGTAAGCCACTGAAACTCCCATTTGCATTCCTATTGCCTATTTTTAGCAATTTTCCTGAGATCTCAATGTTTACAAGGAATGAAGGAATACACAGTTTGTCTTTTGCAATATATTTCTCTTATGTCTAGTTGTGTTGTGTTTGTAACTGTGTTTTGAGTCTCAGTCTCACAGTACGTAACATGGCATATTTGAATTGTGGCTCAAAGTGAATTTTCTCCTTTCTTTTTTTCCCTGTTTTGTGCATATTTTTATCTGCTTTAATAATCTACAACTTCCAGTCTGAGTATGCGTTCTTGTGTATTTTTTTTGGGGGGGGGCTAAATTTATCATTAATCAAACATACTTTTCCTATTGAATATCTTATGATTATATTTTTTTTATTCCTTTCATGTATTTTAGCCAAGTCATGGGTTTGTTTTGGTGACATGTTCATCAAGCTTCCTGGGCCTACTGCTCAAGCAATGATAGAACAAGGTAAAGGAATGAGTCCACATGGTTATATCCCCTCCCCCCCCCCCTCCACCTTCCAATCCCCGCCTCTTCAGTCCAACCATCCCCCACATTTGTTTTCTTCAAAAGTGTCAATCTTTGGACACACTTGTCGATGTCTGAAGAGCATTGCAATTCTGCTAGTATTTGTGCTTGCAGAAGTTTACAAATGTTGGTATCAAGGTTCAAATAGTTGTCAAGGTATCCTTGTCCCTAGGCAGGACATTTTACAGCAATTACTTCTCTCTGCTCTAGATCAAGATTGAGGATGCATTATGTTTTGATTTTTTACTGTTAATGCTTTTGTAATTTGATAAACAGTGTCTAGAAATTGCAGTTGTTTTGTTAATAACCAGCGGAATTCAAATTTTCTTTCTTCAACAGATCAGGAGAAATTGACTGAAGAAATTGACCGACTTCATAAGGAGCTCAAACCCAAGGTGGCAAAGCTTAGAGACATGGAAGGTGAGATGCCTTTAACTGTGGCATGATCATAATTGTCAGTTTGCGATTACTAGAGCAAGTTGGCATTAAAACTACCGTGGCACTGAAAAAGCTGGTGATGGTACTTTGTATTTCCTTTTTGTTAAACAGGTCAGAAGGAAGCTAAAGGGTTTGATCTGACGGCACTGTCCAGCGATGAAATGAAAGCAGTCGGGAGGTGACAAAGTGCGACAGCCACCACTACCCGATTAGACGAAAATATCTGGAACTTAAAAACAATTGTGCTGCTTCGAAGTGCTATTCCTTGGACTCAATGAACTGTTCTGGTTTTGGCTTTGTGCACAAGTACCCCCTCAACGGCAAGAAAGGGAGAGTTGGGGGAGACCACTGGGAGAGACATTGGCTTCTGGCAGTACTAATCCCATCATTCGAACACATTGCCGATGTTGCCTGATGCTCACGCGAAGACGCCTATGGCTTTGTGCACATTCGGAATAAAACGAGTCGTGCTTACTTAAAGCTATACACATGCAAACCAGTACACGCATGCGATGTGTCCCGTCCAGTCAGCTCTCAACAGTGGCCAAAAAGCGCCCTCTCTGTTCGCGCACGGAGCCCCACCCACGGAGCCCCACCCACTTTTGCATATTGGCAACACCACCTGCATCTCAGGTGCCAACATCAGTGGGTAGGCTTCTCACTTCGAATAGTTTTACATTGGGAAGGCTTTCTAGACCATATAGCCTAGAGGGTTATAGTGTGATGTTGATTCATCGTGGATAACAATGTTTTCTACTATTTCTAGGTGGAGTTTCCATGTGTGAGCATCAACCATATCACTTTTTTTAATGAAAATTCCGTGATGAAGACAAAAGATGAATAAAAATGTTCGACATCACTCGCTCAACGTGATAAGAAACAAAAGGAGAAAAATTCGCAATGTGTATTCTCATTTGCGTTTCTGTATTTATTATTTTTTTTTACACAACTGTCTTTCGCAACAAATGTACAAATACAACAAAATATGTAAACATAAGGATGGAATATCGGGTAATTCTGTGTAAAAATACATTGGCTTTTAATGTAATGAGTTCTTAATAAAACTGGAGCATTTACAAATGTGAACAAACCAAGGACGGAATGTAAAGTCATTTTGCTTTAAATTTTTGGTTTGTAGTGCAATTCCATGTGCTCTTCATAAAAATGAACATTTTATAAGCAAAAAAGCTGAATGACGGAGAAAAATCAGCTGAATACTAATAACTGTTCTATCATATGCAGGGAGTGAGTAAATCAAATATCCGTTAGTTATAATGCTCAGTTCTAAATTCTAGATATAGGAATGACATTTTGGAACCAGCGGTCTTTGTTTTAATTTAACACACATCACATTTCTTTTCTCATATTCATATTGTATTATAAACATTGTTATTAAGCCATGGGACGTTTGCAACATCTCCCACTTGAAACGGCACATTTCTCAAATTTCATGATCATTTGTAAAAAAAAAATAAAATAGTGTACAGATAATGAATGTTTATGAATGCAATGGTAAGAATAATTTCATGGATGACAATGGAATGTTTCCAATAGGCAAAGCCAAGTGGACTGGAACATTCCATCTGCGCATGAATGAAATTATTCTTTCCATTTCACGAATGTGAAACATTCATTATTTGTTTTATGCAACACTGAATAAATTTCATTGGTCAGAGCCACCAATTGTGTGACTGTGCAATGGAACTTCTATTTACCGTGGACTTAAACTTTTATTTTTGCGGTATGGCCAGGCTGTGGATTGACATTGCCCCCCCCCCCCCCCCACGAAAAGCAAAAAAAAAAAAATAATAATAATCTTTAAAAAAAAAAGGGGTAAAAAAGAAAGAAAAATAGGCGCGAAGTCATATTGCTATTGGGTTGGGGTTGGGGGGAAAATGTCCCTGCCCACCCTCGAAAAATGATAAATCGAGAATATGGTGGAAAAGTAAAGGGATTCCGGGGGGAAAATGTGCTTTGCCCCCCCCCCCCCCCCTCTAGAAAAAATCCTGGCTACGCCCATGTGGATTGAATGAATAATTCAATGAATGTGATCAACGAGCAACCAATCAGATGACAGAGGTTCATTGAAGCGCCGTATAATAACATTATAGGCCACTTGGGGTAGTTATTTATCCCAAACCGAGGAGCTCAGCTAGAAGGACCATTACTCTTTAACACAGTATCAACCTAAAAGGGGTAGTACAGTGAAACTATTAGTCTGTTCTGTGATCACCAAATTGGGGTAGTATTTAAAACCCCACTGACATGTGTTGTGATATCCCACTCAGGGTAGTCCAGTGAGATTTTAGTCTTATGCTGTGACCCTTATAAGCCATCCCAATCAACTAGTGCCAACACTCTCTCATCATGAAGTTGCAGGCTTGGTGGTATCCAACAATTAATATCAAAAAATATCTCCACAGTCTAGATTCAGAAATAGCTATTGCCACCATTTAAGGCCGACGATGTGCTGCTAGGCTATTACCCTGCTACCACCGCATCAACAGTATGGACGGATCGGACATCTTGTGATAGAAAGACAATGTGGTGATGAGTCTTCCATCACGTCTTTTTGTTGGCTGCTAGGTGCTTGAAGAGCTGCCTTAGTTGCGCCTTCCTGTCAACGTGACATCCTGCAAAAAAAATAATAACAATAATAATAATTTTGGACCACGGGCAATCGATCTAGCCTACTTGCTACATTAAAATTTTGCCTCTAAATAGTGCTTGTTTTTTGTTTTACTTTTTGTTTTTCGAAATACCCCTCTAGCTATATAATGGAGTGTCCTGCTCGCGAGTAAGACGTAAACAAATCCTTTTATGGAGATTGGTGTGCGCGTTGCGTGTACTGACCGATGAGATGCAGCTGTGGCGAGTTTGTTGTGAATTTAGGACTATGAAATACTGACTCACTGGTAGTATTGAGCATGCCTACGTGAGGATTGTGAACATTCAACCAATAAAATGGTAAAAGGCACTGGATTTCATAGGAGTCCAAATTTCATGTAACACTGGAAAAGTGTTAAAGACCAGCCAGCCATGTCTTTATCATCCATTTAAGACCGGCCACGTGACGGGCTCTCGACCAATGGGAATGGGTTAACTGTCTTAGGTATTTATGAATAGAGATTTACTGTCGGATGGTGAGAACATACTTCAAATCAATGACAAGAAAAACTAGTCCAGCGGATGTTTCTTACCAAGGAATGTATTAGTTGAGTAGGATGGAGGGCTGATGCAGTCCACCCCGCCCTCCTCTGCCATGACTGGTCCATCGTCCCACATCAGGTCAAAACCACCCACTCTCTTCTCCTTCCCCGTCAATCTGTAACAAGAAAGATTGATATAGTAAGGTTGGGCTTTTTCTTCCGACTACACTTTAAAAGCAATGTATTATCAGTGCTATCTTAGAGCTAGAAACAAAGCATGTGTGGGACTTGCAACCGCACCTCCAGCATTCATATGTGAATATCTCATCAAGCTAACCCATTCAAATGTGATGTAGCACCGGGTATCACATCAATTATTTGATTCCATCAAAAGCCAAGTGATTAAACAAAATCACACAAAGATGTCTCTGATCAATGTTTACAGTGTTAGCATGAAGGATAATGTTAAAAAAAAAGTTTAGTGTCTTTGTATCTTTTTAAAGTGTTCAATTTTGTTGGACATTAGATTCCATGCTGATGTGTAACACCTATTAAGCTGTTTCAGTTACCATAGTAGAACAAAGCACTGCCATGGATTTAAAGGCACTAACTACGGCAGTTTTTTGGTGTAATTTTAATCCAACAGCAACGACAGTACAAGGAAAAAGACTGAGAATCACTTTCCCAAAATTATTTCCCAAATCTTGGCTTCATCTTCAGTTTCAGTAGATTGAGGCACCTGACTAAGGGTACTCCAGCTCAATCCAGTTTGTTAGTGACTTTGTCGTACACGTGTGCGCACAAACAGGTTTGCTTATGGTGTAAATCAAGGATTTTCTATTGTTCCACTTCCCTTTTCCTTTGTTTATACTCTAACACTATTTTGCAACAGCTCTCATTGGTTTTGTACACGTTTTCTAATCGAGATCATCCTCGATTTGGTTCCTGTCCTCGATTCACCGATGATGTTGCACGTGTGTGTCCTCAATTTACACCATAAACACGCACCACTGTTTACTATCGCACATTGGATAAACACTCCACTTGTGTATCTTCTGGTTCCAATGGCTCCAATGCTACTTAATGTGCAGTGGGCATGGTTCATACTGAAGTGACGTCACACTAACGAACCGGATACAGCTCCATGTTCTGACTCAGGAACTTTGAAATTGAAATTATGAGAATCACAGGTGAAGCCAAAATGCAGAGACTGTAATCAAGGCGTGGGAAATATTCTAGAACACAACCATGTCTCCTACTTGTTCTCCATGTCGATGATGTGCAGCATGTCTTCCAGCAGGCCAACCTTGAGATTGTAGTCATCTTGACTACTGGCAGTCAGAGAAGGGGATGCATTGACTTCAATCAGCCAGCTGCAAACAAGGAAAATAGTTCAATTACTTCACAAAACATGGCAACCATTTTGTTGATCTCTTGTCAAACAATATTAGATGCAAATCAGCCGTGAGACCCCGGCTAGCTTGGTGGGCGTGTGGTTAAGGCATCTGCAGTAGCGACCACGAGGTCCTGGGTTCAAGTCCCATCAAAGCAATTTGACAGAAATTGGTTTTCTTCTCATTGAGAGGGTTGCATGTTAAGCATCCAAAATCAGACTTCAAAATCTGATTCGTTGAAGGAAATATTTATGTAAGTCTCTAATACAACAGTTGAAATAAAGTTATCTAAATATCTAAAATTACTATCTCAAAACAGACTAACTGTGTTAAAAAAACTGACAGATTTTTTAAAATACTTGTTCTTCTTCAATGGCTATGAAGTATACTACTTTTAACTTTTTTATACTACTTTTACCAATTAGCAGCAAAATTATTTTCGCAGAACATTTTGTCGCAAAAGGCCAAATTTTCCAGCCAACTTCTGATATACAGCCAAACGCCACAAATACTGATTCGCAAAAGTAATTTCAACAGTATTTGTGCAATATTTCTTGCCGAAGCCTCATATGTTTCAATACTCTGGGGTGTGCACTGGAGCGTAAATTGTACAACAGGCCGTGCACAACGGCCAATTAAAGATCACCACACGGTCCGTCTCCACAGATTTCATCAGTGGACTTTGTGTGTACAAAAGGGATTAGCATGTTTAGACGTCACCCAGAGGCGAGTCAAGGCAATCTTGACTTCTTAACCCGTCAGCCGTGCCTGTGTATAAAAACAGCCAGTTCGTGTTATCACGTCCTCCGACGCCAACGGGTTAACGGGGCAAAGTTGGTAAATAGACTGGTCTGGAGAGCTTTGAACAAAATAAGCTTTCCCACTTTTAAATGACATCAAATTTTGACGACACAAAGGTGTCTTTGTTTCACAGCCCAAGCTTTCTTTTATCCCAAAATGGCACAATAATGGGGAGAATGAAATAGAAAGTTTGAAAGTTAAGAGCCCAACTCACGGTTTGAGATCGTGCCCAATCAGGATGTCATAGCCGTACAGCTCAAAGCAATGTTTGTCATTGATCATGATCTTCTGTACGCTTTGGAGACTTTTGATGAAGATGTCGTTCATTTTTCTGTACATCTCCTCCACCTAACAATGATGCAGAAATAAACTTCTCCTGTTAGATCTTACGATGTCTTTTTGCCAGAGCTGAAGGGTCAGTATTGCCATCCAACCGACCGACTGAGTCACTGGCTGAGTTACTTAGTAGAAACACGGTCACAAACTGATACTTTGTGGTACAACTTGAGCGGGCAAGAGTAGTCTAGTTTCTAAACTGCAGTCAGATATTAATAAAGTAAGATGTTTCAGGTAAATGAAGTAAGATGTTTTGAAGATGTTTGTAGCAGAATCCCGGAGTTCACAAGTATTCCAAGGAGTTAGGATTAACAAAGAGCAATGTTTGATCAAAACACAGACACATTTTAATTTAGTGAAATCTTCCAATGAATTTGAAGGAAGTACAAGAAAAGTTCTTCCTTGGTTGTCTTCAACTTGCCTGCGGATATTGTTGTGTGTGAATTTGCCCTTAAATTGTTCATTCTGAACTTAAAACAACAGTCAAACATGATCTCCCAACTTCTTGGTCCTGCGATGTGACCATCGTTGGTTGGCTGGTTTCAAACAGCTGAACAGACTTATCAAACCATTTTTGATGTGTGTGCATTCAGTTTAAGTTAGTGGAACTATGGTTAACCTTAAAATTTAGATTGAACATGCTTGAAGCTTTCTTGAAATAATGCAAATGACTTACATCTTGGATATCATGCCTTGCAGTCAGGTACTGTCGGAACTGCTGCATCGACCACTTACAACCTTTCTCTGGGTCATAGTCAGGCGCCGTCTTCTGAACGGCCACGTTGGTCAGATGAACAACTGTTTAACAACATGGCTCGTTAAGGAGAATAGTATATCAAGAAAACCCTTGTACTACAAAGCTGAGATCAAAAGTTTTAGAGTCATTCAGAATTCACAGTCATTTGACTTGAATATTAAGGATTTGTTTTCAAATGGCCACTGCACTGTCAAACTTTCATGATTTTATCTGATTTATGTTGGGAAAAACAATTTGAAAGTTTACTGACTGGCTAACCTTTAACAAATTTTTCTAAAAAAAAAACCCATTTTGAAAAGACTCAGAAATGACTTTAAAAAAAACACCTGACTACAGCCATAGCGCTTTATCGTGAATTTAAAAAAACAACTCTTGCGTCTCAATAGACTAATTTCGTAAACAAAATTAGAAGCCATTTTGAGGTGGAACCACGTCCACGTGCATACCGCATGCGTTCTTCAGGCATGCAACTGGGAAATCACAAAAAAAAGAGGAAATTCAAATTTTTCCCAGACTTTGTACAGTGTTTTTCTATTTTCAATGGCACACATGGGAAGTAAAAAAAGAGGAAATCAGCTGATCTGAGGAAAAGTTGCATGCCTGGTTCTTAAAGACAAGGCGCGCGCGCATTTGCTTTACCCTATTGGTTGTTGGAGCCCGAAGTGCGTACGAACTAGACCTAGAGCACAAACCTGGTTTTACCTCAAAAATGGCTTCTAAATTGTTTGCCAAATTAGTCCACAGACAGAAAACAAGACAAGGATCTTATCAGTGTTGTAGTCGAGGCCACAACCTCCGAGGCCAAGGCCGAGTCCGAGTCATGGGTCTTTGAGGCCGAGGCCAAGGCCGAGTCACAGCCTTCAAGGCCGAGGCCAAGGCCAAGGCCACAGTGTCCGAGGCCGAGGCCGAGGCCGAGGCCGGCTATATTATGTACACACATGTAAAAAAAAACATTAGCAAAATTAGTGTTTTTGACATTATACATTTTTAATGCTGTTGTTATGATATTCTTTTCCCCATTTGAGTCCATACAACAGTGCCACAATGTGTTCAGTTTAAGATTAGTTATTTTTGAGAATTGAATTGGTACATTAAATCTTTTGAACAAAAAATCTCCTTCCATTACTGTTTTTAACCGTCCTCAAACATGGATATTTGAAATTAAATTTACTGGAAAAGTTTTGAACTTATTGGATCTCCGCTCAAACTTTGCTCTTTTGCTCTTGATCACAAACTCAACATACCTTTCAGAGTATCCTTCAGCTTGTTTTTGGCATTTTCTGGGCTCCCGGTGAACACCACATCCGCATCTACCCAGTGCAGCATGTACTGAGGATCCAAGACAGCACCTACAAGATAAATCTTTTCAATGAATGGCTCTTGATGACTCCCGCTGCCTGGTTCGGTGTCCATGCCACAGTTGATGAAGATCCCTCTAAATCGCTTCTGCAACGATTTGTGGAGAGCTGTGACAAGTGTCTTACAGACCCTTGCATCATCCTTCCACTTGCTGAGATGGCTGTTGATGTCAAGGACAACAGGAACCACTTGGGTTATTGTGGCGCTTTTATCCCCTGTAAAACAAAAACAAAATGAACACAAATAACTGATTTTGACCTTATTTATATCAATTAAATGGCTGAGAGACTATGCTTAATTTACAAAATGTATATTTATTGGATGATTCTTAAGTGTTTTTGCCACGAAACTTACCCTGCGTTAAGTTGGTTGCTTCAGCAAACGGCTCCAGGATTTTACACAGCTCAGTAACTTGCCCCAACTCATTACGTGTCAGTAGAGCATTTGAAAACTCTGGTGGTTCGCACACCTCAGCCAATGCCTTGCAGTCCATTCCTTCTATTCTCAAGAGTGAGCGAAGTTGGTGGTATTGTGAGTTCCAGCGAGTAGCCACTGCTGCAGGTATGGTACGGCCAACCCCAAACTTATTTTCAAACCTAAAAATAAGACGGACATTTTAAATTCCAACCATTCATTAACTAACTATACACAGGACAATGGGAGAATTTGGATCAAGAACTCTGAAAACTTTAATACTCACCTTTCTTTGAAAATGTTACTCTTGTGTAAGAGAGTGGAGATCTTTGTGACCTTGGCAATCGCTCGGCTGACACACTTCATGTCTTTCAACCCATCATTGACAACAAGTTGAAGAGTATGGGCAAAGCAAGGTATCCTCTGCTTGGAGCTCAGTCTTAGTACGGAGTCAACATGAGCATCATCCTCATCGTCCAGCTCCTCCCAAACTGTCTCATCCTCAACTTCCTCGACCTCTTCTTCATCCACAGATGCCTCTTCATTGTCCTCTGTTGGAAACTTCACTTTGAACGCCTTTTTCATATTTGCTGCGTTGTCCGTGACGATGAAGTCTACCTGAAACAGCAAAATAATATTATAACAAAAAAATCAATGCTTCAGCTGATGCATTTATCTCTTTTGACAGCCGAAACCATAACAAAACAGCCTTAACCAACCTTTGCTCCTATATTGTAGTCTTCAACAATGCTGTCAAAGGCTTGAGCGATTCTTTCCCCTGTGTGCCTCCCACGGAAGTGCTGGCAGACCAGAAGAACAGATAACAACCCATAGCTCCTAGTTTTGGGGTTTGTTCCCATGATGTGTGCTGTTACACCCAAGTAGCTGTGCATGGTCCTATCAGTCCAGATGTCAGTTGTCAGAGAGATACTGTTGTGTTGGGATAGCAAGTCCATGACTTTCTTGTTACCTTCAGCTCTCAACTGGGGAAGTGCCTTACTTGTCAACGTTGATCTGGCCATGGGCTGATACCTATTACCAATAAAAATATATCAAAACTTAAAAAAAAAACCTTTTAATGATACATTGCAACATGCCTATGACATTCTATGATACAGTGATCAGCACAGTATAATCAATGCTCCTTAAGTTATTTCAGTTCCAATTGTTATTATAGTACAATTGTGTGTTATGTGTACTTTTATTATCACTGCAGACTGTATCACTGCATAAAAAAGTTTATTTTATTATTATTATTTTTTTTTTTAACAGTTTTTAATCATTCTGTAGTCCAGTTTCTGAATTGTTTTTCTTGGATTTTAGTATGATTTTTTTTCTGTAGCTTTAAATACATGTTTAAATTTTTATGTAAATACATGTTTATATTTTGATGCTAAAATGTAAGGTGCTATTTAGTTGTATTATAATTAGGCGAGCCAAAATCAAAGACTGAACAAAACAAAACAAAAAGGACATTTCAAGTACCTTGGATCCAAAACTTGCAAAAGGCTCCTGAAATGTTTGTCCTCAACAATGGACAGTGGAAGGCTGGATCCTACTATGAACTTCACTATTTCTGCAGAGATCAGCTTCTGCCGTTGACTAGTCTGCTTGTACTACATTGGCACAGCCTCTCCATCAGTTGAAGATCCAGCAGTGGGATGAAAAAAATCCCTTGAGATCCTGCTGAGAGCTGTCGATTGTTGTTTTTCCCTTCAAATATTCCTCCCACCTGAAGAATGAAAAAAAAAAAAAAATTCAAGTTAATTCCAAGTTGAAATGTTAGGCTTATCTCCTATCAATAACACTCTGACTTTGAAGCCCTACAAATGCAAACCAAGGCTTTCATTTTACCACTTAAAACTAGCAGCTGAACCATTGCACCATAATAAATTAATTAAATGTTTGCCTTTTAAACTTTATTTGAACAGCACAACTGAAGAAAAAGAAGCATTTAAAACGAATGAACCTGCCATAGAAGTCACATGTAATTTTCTTTTACTCCCTCCCCCCCCAAAAAAAAAAAAGTAAGAAAAAGACAAAACAACAATCACCTTACCAGAATTTCTTTAAGTAGCCTAATTAATAATAGAAAATATTTCAAGTGTTTTTGTAATTGTATGGGGACAAATATTTTATCCTGAAATTATGATACTCAAAAACTTTGGTGAACATGACAGAAAAACGACCAACACACTGACACTGACACACCGACCATGCTACACTGCTGCACGTGTAAAGTTACCGTGCACGGCGGCAATGTTGGCCGGCTACCGTGCGTACACGCCAGAGGCAGCAATTCGGAAAATCACGTTGTCGCTGTGCCATTTTCTGACGCGCACTCAGCGGCAAACGTGTCAACAACGTCGATCTCAACTCCGACTTTTCTAACGTATTTCAGATCAAACAAATTTTAAAATGACAGCTAGGATTAGGCAAAAACAAGGAGACAAAACAACAAGACAACCTGTGATTGTGAACGTAAAGTACACACTTACTTTGCTTTGTGAACACGTTGAAGGTGCCTTGTAAAATTTGATGTTGTGCCACAGAACTCGCTGAGTTTTGGAGCCTTTCCCTTGCAAAACTTGCAGGAGGCTCTATGTTTCCTTTTCCCCTTTTCTTCATATTCTTCGTGGTCGACAAACCCGAAATGGATGATCCGGGAATTTGAAGACATTTTGAACGATTCTCAATGTTTTGTTAGCAAAGCGACTAATCAGAGTGACTAAAAGTGTAAGTACTTCACACGTGCGAATGTACATGTACGCGCACACATCCACAGTACAGCGAAGGTTCCCTGTATCCATTGCCATTAACACACGTTCAGGCACACCGTGGAGGGGAAACCAGTCCAAAGCGGGAGTTAGACTGGTTCTATGGCAAGAAGATGATGCAGTGAGTATGTGCGATGCATGGTGCAATGAAACAGCAGTGACGGTCTATGGGTACGGCATGGTGGACCAGAAGCCAGTCTAGCAAGGAGTAGACTCGCCGGTTCGCCGAGGACTAAAAGACTCATAAGTGACGCACGCAATGGTGTACATGTACATGTATGTACATTACATAGTACGACTGTAGGCCGGCGGGCCGTGATGGGAGGCACTTCAACTGTTCCAGTTCATTCATTCGTGCGTGCGTGCTGCACGTATTTTTCATTTAGTTTAACACGGAGGGGAAATACAAAGGGAACCCATTACTGCAGCTTTTCGGAAGTTTTAATATGGTAATAAAATATAAAATAATTTGAAACCGAAAACGCATTTGAATTGGTGGAAATTGGGCGGCCTCGAGCCGGCCTCGACCAGTTTCACGAGGCCGGAAAGCCCCGAGGCCAAGGCCGAGGCCGAGGCATCAACGTCCCAAGGCCAAGGCCGAGGCCAAGGCCTCAAAAATCGGCCTCGAGGCCGGCCTCGAGGCCGAGGCCGGCCTCGAGACCTCCAACACTGGATCTTATTGCGGCAAACTTTCTGGTGCTCTCTTGGCAACTTGTCAAGCCCTAGGATGGGATGGCAATTACGAAAAAGGATACAGGTGTCATCGATGGACTCTAAGGAGAATCGTGAGTTGGAAAATCTTGCAAATCCACTCCTATACAGCCACGCCTTCAATGGAATATACTGTGATATAAAACAGACGAAATATGAATATGCTACAAACTATGAAATTTTATTTTTATTTTATTTCCTTCTGGTAGTGAAACCAAGGATCCCTCAAAAGTGCCCTAGGCACTGTAGCTCGAAAGCCTGAAGAAACCTGTAGAGAGAAGACAATGAGATGAAATTTCAATTTTAGAGGTGGGAGGAAAAGCCCATAGGAATATTCTGAGGAAAACCCACGGAATCAGGTAGGGACTGAAAACCCAATCCACATATTGGCCCAGGTGGGATTCGAACCCGGGTCACAGCGGTGGAAGGCGAGGAAAGTACCGCTACGCTAACCTGACTGCCTGAAATATGTATATCCAGTTAGAAAATTATGTTACCAAAATTATTCACTATCAAGCAATGACTCTTTTGTTAGAAATCTGAATGGAAACATAATTCTTCCTCACACTGATCTGATTTCAACAGCTTTCAAAGTTCAACCTACCGAGTTTACCAGCACATAGACCCGGAGATCAAATTTCCTCCCTCCGATAAGGTAAGGGCGCTCAATGTATCGTGAGACAATGTAAGTCTCTGGCTGTTCTTTTTCCTCGTCCTTGCTGTCCCTGGGCCGATAACTGTCACTCTGCAAAAGAAAAGACAAAAAGTAAACACGTCATCTTGTTGCAGTTAAGGTGACTTGACTTTTCCTGAACATTTCTAAACGGTGACCCCTGACCACACTTCTATGAATTATTCATGATTGTATGAATTATTCATGATTGCTCCTACCTTCTTCCACTCCATGATGTCCTTGAGTTTCTTGAAGAGGAAGATGCCTTTACCTTGAGACTTGGCCACTGGCTTCATGATCCAGATGGAGCCAGGGTTCCTCTTGAACTCGTCCACAAACATGTGATACTCCGACTAGAACATTTGATAAACAGAATACATAACATTTCACAATCCTCTCATAAAAATTCCGATATCCCCTAATTTTTCCACTCCAGCAAATAAACTACAGAATATTTCTGATCAAAAATTATCATTTGTGACCAGATCATCAAACTACTATTAATGAAGCACTTAGTGCAATTCATGATGAAATAAATTTGTACTCTTATAAACCTTTACTTTATAAAAGTTGGTCAACTGCCTAATGCTGCCAGTATTTTATTGCACAATTTACTGCCGGATTGCTTTATCATTTTAACAGAATCATTTTATAATTCAGATTTTGAAGGTTTTCTTCATTACACAATTTAACTTTTATTTTTAAGCTCACAATTTTGCTTTACACTGTTTATCAGACATCATCTGTTTCCCTCAATATCCCAAATCTACCAAATTCCATGCCTAGTTTTGCAGGAGTCTTTCGGGTACGTAAGCCCAGCCACCATTACTTCATGAGGGCTTTTGATACCCAAAATTTATATTCAGTACAAGGAATGTGAAATGTATATGTTATAGCAAAAAAATGCCCAAGAATATCAAGGACCTTTGAGTTATATACAAAAATTGGACTGCGCGGTTCTTTTACGATGGGAAATGCCAAAAACTGTTTACATAGTTAAACACAAAAGCTGGTTATCACATCTTACTGGTAGTTCAAAGGTCATGGGAAAGAAGTCGCATCTCGAGGCCTCCACTTTACTGACTTCTCGCTCCAACTGCTTGCGATATCTCTTCAGATTCTTCACCATGAGGTTCTTGCGGGTCAACTGGTAATCAAAATGATGAACGAATTTTTAATCATCATACAATCGAGTATAATAGCTATAAAATTGTTAGAATAATGTTGGAATTAAACAATGGATATTGCAAACTGGATGGATGAAAACTCAAAGTTGATAAATTGAGAGTTAAAAATTTACAAAAAATGAACTGTAATATGGGGTGGTTAACACAATATTACACATAACATCAACCAAATTACGGGAAACTAGATAAGATATTATTTGATAAAATACTCTAAATAACAGAAAATCTGTATATATAAACTAGATGTTACAAACTCAATGGATCACACAATGGAAAATCTAAATGAAACTCAAACTACTCTACAGGAGTAAATGATGGGTTCTAAAAGCTTCGCTGATTTACAATTAATTTTGTATTTCTATTCTGGAGGGCACTAGTATGGTAAACGATGGAATGTGTTCTGCTTATACTGCTCAGCAACATTTTCTGTTTAAAATGCTCCGTGTATTTGGGCCTAGATGCTCAGGCATTGTTTAAAAATTGTTGTGTCCTTGGGCAAGCCACTTCACCCCAACTGGCCTCTCTCCACCCAGGAGTATAAATAGGTACCAGCATTAGCTGGGGAGTAACCTGCAGTGGACTGGCATACCATCCAGGAAAAGAAATATTCTCTGTCCAGTTTATACAGAGAAACCAGCAACATTACAACTGGCCTGACGAGTCACATTAACGCCAGACAGATTTTACTTTTATACTTTGGCTAATTCTGGTCGCATGGTCTTACCTCGTAGTGATTTCTAAAGTGGTTGATGCGTACATGGTCCTCCATGTAACACGTGTCAAAGTATTCCCGCATCCATACCCGGTCCGCCCAGAAAAAGTCAAAATCAAACTCATCTCTACAAAGTGAGTTGAGGAGTATAGCACAAGTGGACAAAAATAAAATCATGATTGGAGCAAAATAATAAAGAAATGGGATGGAAAATGGGATGGAAAATTGGGCTGAAAATCAGTGGAAAAGCAGTGTCAACTTTGGTAAAATCAAAAAAATTATTGTCAATAAGTGCTCTGCTTTTTCGAAAGAGTGTAATTCCTTCCTTGTTGAACAACGTACTGTTCTTTTAGCTGAGAAAAATATCAACAAATCTCACAAATTTTTTTCACAAAACAGTAGCACATGTCTTTCCACACTGACTTTCCACTCAATTTGTTCTATGCTACAGGCACTCTGAACCGAACAGGGCAGCAATCTTGAATGTGATTGGCTGAAAGTTGGCTGAGGTCATCAACTTTTTTTTATTTTCCTTATTGGTCCATATTTCTCCTTTTGACAGCTAAATTGTCGGTATATATTTGAACAAAACGGTAGTGATTCAGTGAAAACTACACTGGTGGGTTAACATACCATGCTTCCCAAGTTCCCATTAAACTAAAAATCCAAGATGGCAGCCCCCATGGAATATGATGGACAATTCAAGATGGCAGCCCCCATTGGTCAGAGTGCCTGCACCATAAGTGCAACGTGAGATGACCTTCTAACCTCATAGTGATTCCTAAAGTGATTAATCCTGACATGCTCCTGCATGTAGAAGTGATCAAAGTATTCCTTCATCCAGCCCACGTCCGCCCAATTGAAATCAAAGTCCGCATCTCTGCAGCGAGCAGATATATATACACGTATGGCACCATTAATCAAGATAGCTTTTTGGGATTTACGAAACTCTGGCTTTGTTTCAGCTTCGCTTCGGCTCCATCTCTGGCTTCATCTCTGGCTTTGGATTCATTTAGAAGCCTTTTATGTCCAAACCATATATACTCTAAAACTTGGCCTCTCATGTTCTTGAGGCAAAACATTGATGGATGCCCCTAAGTCAGGGGCCAGTCAGACATTTCTTGAAGCGGAAGCTGAAGACAAAGCCTGCGTTTCGTAAATCCCCTGAATGCATGGGTTAGTAAGAATAGCATAATGAACCTTAGCACGGGGTGAGGCTTGGAAGATAAAGAGTTCAGAGTAGGGAACAGGGATGGGGGGTGCAATGGGCTTTACGCCAGTCCAAGACTGATAAAAAACAATTAGAAAGTAAAAACGGAGGTTCCCCCATCACAGATTCATGGGCAGGACATATTTTACAAAAGGAGTTCTTCATGTACAGCGTAAGGCCAATTAAAAAAATAAACCAGTTTCCTGTCCCTGCCCGCGTCCTTTTTCTGGCCAGCCCCACCCCCCCCTTTCTTTTAAATACATTTGCAATATTTTTTGTCTTTTATTTGTTTCCAGGAAAATTGTAGCTATTTATGTAACTTCAAAATCTGGTAGACAGGGTAACAGCTCTTTTGGACACAAAAGTCTCAGCAAAAAAAAAAGTAGAGAAAATGGAACAAAACACCTAATTAAGGGCAATAAAAGGACAAGAAACTGTTTTTTTTACTTATTTACATATGCGGAAGTGGGGATGTGGTCGAAAGGCGCAGACCAGAATAGTTGATGGTTAATTGAATTCCCTTGAAATGATGTGGTAACAGAAACATAGGAAAAGATAAGCTTATGCTGGAGTGAAAAAGAAAACAGGTGGCTGCAAAAACAGGTTCACTGGTAAAATAACAGAGTAGAAATGAATGCAGATATCAGTGCAATAAAAGACAGATCAAAAGATGCTTTTTACCCATTGATGAAAGTACATGTATGAAACCAATGATTGATTTTTTGCACAGGATTTTTTTTTTTGTTGGCAATGCGTGGAAATTAAATCCCCGTGTCCACAGTGTTGACACTTTTTCAGTATATATTTACCTAAAAAGTGCCTTTCTTGAGCAAATGTGAACAAAAACAATAAAAAAATGTAAAAGGATTTCAAGCAATCAGGCTGCAGTGAGACTACCAAACCAGCCAAATGACAAACAACGACTGTTAGCATTTGAAGTTGAATTGTGAAGCTGTAATACAATATTTTATTTTTTTCTTCATGATACGACCAATTTTGGGGAATTTGGGGTGTGTACAATGGCGGTAAATGAGATTAAATTGTTAACTAGGTAGCACTTCAGTTTTTTTACACAAAATAAAATATATTACAAATCCAACTTACTCTTTAACTTCAACCCAGTTCTTGGATCGCAAGACGTCAAGGATGGTGTTCTGTAAGGAGCACTTGAAACGAATGGGACGATCCCTAGACAGACAGAAAAGGGTAGTGGTGTTTCTCTTCATCATTAAAATTATTTAATTCACTCCCTAAAATTGCTTCATTCTTTTTAATGCTGTACAGAATCAGTACCACAGATTTCCATGATACTTGTACTTTTTTTTTTGTAGGAAAATAGAAAAAGGGTGACTGCAGAAACTTACAGCATTAACCGCCCAGCCGTTTACTCCTATCATAGTTCTAGGAGTACCATCCATTCAGGACAAATTACGAGTAAGTAGGCCTAGTACTAGTCTGATTCTGTACTTGAGACTGAGTGACAGAAAAAAAATTAAATGGTTGGTCAATTTTGCCAAATTTTGTTTTTGGAAGAAGGCATTGTGGTATTCTGTGTTGGAAATTAGTTTTACAAAGGAACCTACGCCAAATCTAAACTGAGAAAATTTAGTACTTCAACGAAGAATAAATTCTTACCCAATTCCCTTACGGATCACCGGCCTGTAGTTCTGAAGGTTTGCCTGCAAAAAAAATGATGGTGAAAATGGCAATGCAATCGATTTGATTCCTTCTGTCAACTTTTCAAGAAGTTCAAGGAGCTCATTAAAAATAGGACAACACACTGGACTCCGTTAAATATCACAGTTCTCGGAGTAATAATAATATGATATGAAGTTTATTTTTAGAAAGCCTCCCCACCCATCACACTTTATAAATTTGGGATGAGTGACTCAATAATATGAACTTCTGTTCATCATGATCATGATGATGAAATAACAAGCATGACAAGCATTGTGATTGTGTGTCACCCAAGTTGGACTTTGTGAAATAATCTTTGAGGAAATGGGTCAACTCGTACCCGAGTTAACTCGTACCCGAGTCAACTCGTACCCCAAAATTGACACCCAAGTCAAGTCGTACCCGAGTTAGGTCGTACCCGAGTCAAGTCGTACCCCAGTCAACTCGTACCCGAGTCAAGTCGTACCCGAGTTGACTCGTACCCGAGTCAACTCGTACCCGCAGCTCAAAATAGTTGCCTATTTTCGAAAAGAAAATCAGTGAAACGAACGGAAGATCCGAGGGATATGGCCGGTTGTCCGTGCACGGTGACATCGTTTGTGCCTAGCCTGTGCGCGTCGCCGGTCAACGTGGTCGTACCGTGCACAGTGACATCATTTTTGCCGGGCCTGTGCACGCACTCGCCGGTCCACGTGGTCGTCCGTGCACGGTGACATCGTTTTTGCCGAGCCTGTGCGCACACTCGCCGGTCAAAGTGGTTGTGCGTGCACGGTGTTTTTGCCGTCGCGTAGTTAGTGTCGAAACCTTCGCCGTTTTTCAACGGCATTAGGCCTTGGTGTAATTTGTAGTTGTACATATTTAATACGGGGCTAATTTTCATACTTCAAATAAATGTTCTACCCAAAGTATGCATGCTTTTATCAATTTATTTTATTTTTATATTACAGATGATCCTGTGGTTTTCCGATGAACCATTTTCTGCTGCTCAAACCGATCGATCGGATGGTCTGTCACACAGTTCATGATGAATCGAATCGGATGTCAAGTTTTGAGGATGAAACCCGATTAGCTCAGTTTTGTTTAAGATAAAACTTTCTCTTGCACTTGAATTACAATTTGCTAATGTCAAACAATCTTTCACACCCAAGGATCAACTAACAAATTGGTCCCCTAAAACTTATAGAAAGAGCATCTCTGAACGAAACGCGCCACCATTTTCCTTTATCGTGTTTACTTCCTTGATGCCTCAAATGTAAACAAATAATTAAAAATCCTACATTTCTGTTACCAAAATAATATTCTAGTGGAAGTTATCGCAGAAACTTTATTTGAGCTGCACAAGAATTTTTTTACGACATTTACCGAACTAATTGTACAAAAAATGACCAACATATTAAAGAATTATTATAAATTAAATAACGATGTCCGTGTGACTCTTTTAAGTTTCTTGTAATATATTTTCTCTTCAGATTTGTACTTTCAGGGCCCCCAATCTTCCCAAAGAGATTTGTGCCATGTGCAGTTATTATTCAATAAATGATGCCAAAAATGGAGTGAGTGAACGTTGAAAAATATTACTTTTACATTACAAAATTCATTTTTTAATAGCAGCTTTCTTTTAAAAAAAAAAAGGTCTTAAATACTTAATTCGAAAAAGAAAACTATGCCCTTAAAACACGTTCGACCGAACAAAAAAAAGACGTAGCAGTTCGCACAGTCACTCCACAATTTCAGTGATCCAGGGTCTCTGAAAAAAGAAAGAAAAACATCATTAGTATTAAGAGAAAATACTACACAAATTTTAAAATAACACATCTGATGATCTGGATATAAAATGAAATTTACCGTTTATCAGCGAGGGCTCCGTCGACTCGCGAGTACCACACTGATGCCGTTTTGAAAATGTTCTCCACGCCGTACCCGTCGCGATGAAGCCCTTGCCGATGAACGGTACATTTTCCCTTTTCATCCAGATTGTGAGCAACATTTGATACCACCGCCTTCAACTAATCCTTGAACTTTATTTGTATTTCTGGCGGCATCACTACTATTTCTCAGTCGCCGTTTTTGAGGGTAAAATCGGAAGTTTTGTTAACCATCCATCCGTACTTCCAAACTAAAAAAGGAGGGGAGTACGAGTTGACCTGGGTGCGAGTTGACCCAGGTACGAGTTGACTCGGGTACGAGTTAACCTGGGTACGAGTTAACTCGGGTACGAGTGAACTTGGGTACGAGTTGACTCGGGTACGAGTTGACTCGAGTACGAGTTGACTCGGGTACGAGTTAACTCGGGTACGAGTTGACCCAAAATCATCTTTGACATGTTTGAGTTTACCCTCTTCGAACAGTGTCGAATTTCCATAAAATGCTTATCACTACGGCTTCAAAACTACTTGCAAGACAATCTGTTATGCATGCGGTACTCACCCTTCCACCCTTGTTCATTGTTGTAGGCGATCTTGATATCAAAACATTTCAACAGATTTTCCAGGCTTTCCCTTACGATTTTTCTCGAACTGCCCTTTCCGCTTCCCTGGTCGTCATAGTGCAATTAGACAGCGCCCTCTCGTGATCGATTGGATCCAAACGGACTTTCCTTGCGATCGCCGCATCAAAGTTTTGCTTGTTCACCGTGTAGATGGTGATATTTTTCATCGCGAAACAGCTTGCTTATGTAAACAAAATACTAGAGAAATCCCCCCCCCCCCTAAGAAAACACAAACGAAACAAAACACACCCAGTTTTGAATTTATCAAGGACAATCGTGTTTCCTTTTGTCACCAATGGATCGAGGAATAAGAATAGACCAAGCACATCCAGGACCACTTGCTGATCTTTTGTTCTCCTTTTGTGTGTACGTCCTCTATGGTAAAGCATGGGTAAAGCCATACATGTGCACAAACTCACGTAATGAAACAAAAAGTAATCATGCTGATCACTGTAAACAAAGCAAAAACATATTTTAATTGAGTTCATCATTAAAAAAGGGACAAGTTGAAAAAAGTTATTTTGAAGATACATGTACCAACATATTTACCACATTTTGTTAACTTTAATATAAGGCAACATTCTTGATTTAAGTACAATTTTATTAAATGCATAACAACTGATTCAAGCATAACAACTGCTGGTTATAAAGTTAAACCATCAAAACAAACACAAAAAATGTCAGCCCATCAAGAGTACTTACTATATAAACAAATTCTTGTGTAGACAATAATTCAGTACTTCTCACAGAATAAACTGAAGTGTATTAACTTTCTTCCAAAGAATTCAACAGTGTCACTTTCTCATCTGAAATCATTATTGCAAAGTCACCGCTGATTTGGCAAAAATGGTCAAGGCTTAATTTTACAACGTGCTTACTAAAGCATGGCCAGTTTCAATGAAGGGCAAAGCACATTTAAATCTCAGCAAAATCAGTGAAGAAGCAGTAAAAATAGCAATACTTTGCATGAAATTTGGTTAATATTTTTTGTTTGCCTGGCAAGTCTTTTGCACAATTCTGTTCTCAGCCGAGTTCCAAAGAAGCCCTCTGTGCTTAACAAATACATTTGCCAAACGAATTGTACACCACCAACACATTTCTTTCCCAAATTTTAACCCCAACTCCCTAGGCATTTTGCTAGGATGTAACCTCAATTCTGCAAAGTCCTCCAACTGCCTCCATGTAAAAATAACATAAAGCCTATATCCTGCAAAATCCCCCGTTATTTTTTTAATGTGGTCCTTGGAGGGGTGACCACTGCCCCAATCCTGCAAAATCCTCCAGCAATCACTGTAGATATGTTGAGGCAGAGCCAGTGACATCCTGGAGCAGTACAGACGATTTCAAACATAATTCGGACCTAAATGTATGCACGGCTGAGCATATACAACACAAGGTCTGGCCCAAAACCTTGACACATTGCATCCTCCGAAATCGGCAACACACTTTTGCCATGTATCTTCAATCCTGCTAAATCATGCAAAATCCTCCATTTAATTGGCAAAGAGGATTTTTGGGGATTTGGGAAGGTTTTAGGGTTAATAAATTCCCGTAGCACATAACTGAAGTGGCTAAACCCTGAGAGTTTTTTTAAACTAATCCCTCCTGCTGTCATGACTTCGCGTCTGTCTTCGTTCCTTCAAGAATTCTTCTCTTCCACTCCTCGTAGTCACTGTTGCCGTTGGAAATGCTCTTTGCCGTTTGCTGCCTCTTTGGTGGGCTACACTCTTCTGCAAAAAAAAAATTCAAACAAGAAATCATAAACTTAAATGACAATTATTATTTTTAAATTTCAACCTGTCTTGACTCATTATACAACATCAATGGCCAGAGCTCGTGTATTAGCCTTCTTGTCTCCTCCTTTTAATTGCCTGGCTCCGCCTCTGCAGGGGGAAGCTGGATTTGATATACTTATTAGGAAACACTGCATACCTTCAAATGATCGTTCCAGATCATCCAACCAATGGCCTTGTCTCTTAGATTTGCCTGTCTTTCTGTCACCTGCAGGGTTATAAAAAATTATACACCAATTAAACTAGAAAGCACTCAGAGAGCGCAAACCTCTGCCAAGGCTAAACAATTCCCCACCATATTGTCAGTACACCCAAAGAAATACTCGCATAAATGGTGAAGAATCCTTAATCCTTTTGACAATGTGGCCCAGTGGTTAGAGCTTGTGACTCAGGACCAGAGGGTCCGGGGTTCGAATCCAGTCACTGGCCATACGTTGTGTCAAGCTACTTCACCCCTACTTGCCTCTCTCCACCGAGTATAAATGGTTACCGGCATTAACTGGGGAGTAACATGCGATGGCCTGGCATCCCATCCAGGGGGAATAGATAAGAAACATTCTCATGCCAAGGAAACTGGAGATAAACGATTTCACGATGAGCCATGTTGGCTTGGAACAGACTTCATTTTTCACTTCACTCACCTATGACTGCCGTTGCATGTTTTGCGAGCTCTGAGCAGAGTCTGTCGAATGTGGATCGCCTCGCACCGGCCACTGACAGGAATTTACTCTTCTCCGCCTTGATTTTCAGATGTCTGATGGAAAACGTTTGAAAATTTCGGAAACTGGAGGGATGATGGATAAAGGTCTAAAGTTTCGTCAAATTTTCAATATTCAAATCTAAATTGCTTGGGAAGGATGTAATCCTTGAAGTTAACAAATCCTTCAACTTTTCAAGATTTCAATCAAAGTCATGAAATTCCCTTAAAATATTGGCCCTCTCCCAACAACACAATGTTGGCTTCTGGAGTGTTTCGGTCTGGGATGGCACTCAATTGTACTTTTGATTTGGTAGCAGTTTGCAAAATAATTTTCTTTTTTCATGGGGTTTATCTTTCAACTCCCTCTCTCACCACTTCACATTTCTGGAATTTCTTATGAATGAAAACTGCCAAGCCATACCTGCATGCTGTGTATAGGCTGCCTGTCGTGAATAACGGACCGCTGAAGTTGACATCCTCTCTCGCTGACTCTGTCATTTTCCCCTCAAATTCTTTCCTGTACCTGAAAAAAAAATCACGTACATGTAACAATGAATTTCATAACCTGTGGTCAAGCCACAGGTTTTTAAATTAATTTAGAATACAGTTTGTAGTGCAAACTTCGCACCACACATGCAAAACCAGGGCACATGCTCTTGTTTTACTATACTCTCGAGGACAATGCTTTGTGTTTCGCTTTGTCCTTGTTATATAACACTCTCCTATAGACTAAGCACACAAACTTACTACAGAGGACCGTTTTCAACAAAAGACCGAACTCCCAAGGACTGAAAGGATCTGTTCTTCTCCCTTTGCGTGTCGGTCCTTGGGGGTTATGTAGAACATTTACATGCATGCAATCATCTTTCTGTTTATCTGTCACACATTAAGAAATCTTAAAAGCTAACAAAAGTTTCCTTTGGTGGAAATTCACTGGCGGCTTATTGGGATTCCCAAATTGACAACCAGATGATAGTTACCTTGCAAGGATCTCCAGTGCTGGATTCACAGCAGGCAGGCAGCCAAACTGCACAGCTAGGTCTCTGACACTGACATCTTGTTTCATCTCAAGGAGGTTCTCCAACGTCTTGTACAGCGTTGTGTAGACTTTCCTTGTTACTCCAGCACTCCTGATAATGGCATTCTATAAACACATCCAGGATTAAAACATTCTTGATAAAAGGGCAATGGGAGTCAGGTTGGCGTAGCGGTACTTTCCTCGCCTTCCACTGCTGTGACCCAGGTTCGAATCCCGCCTGGGCCAATATGTGGATTGGATTTTCAGTCCCTACCTGATTCCATGGGTTTTCCCCAGAATATCTTCTGGGCTTTTCCTCCCACCTCTAAAACTGTACTTTCTTCTCATTGTCTTCTCTCTAAGTTGGTGTGAGGTTTCCCCTGGGATGCTTTACCGACTATAATGATACAGATACATGATACAGATACATAAGAAAGAAGAATTTTCTTTTCTTCCTTTTCCCTCCTGCTTTTGAAAAAAATATATTTGCAGAATACATGTATTCTTCAAATGTATTTTCAATATACTATTGTCTTATGAGTTACGGCCTATTTGGACACAATTAGTTATCAGCAAAAGAGTAGAGAAAATGGAAGACTCCATCCGCCATCTTGGAAAATTGGCCATCTTCGGGGGGAGGGGGGAGGGGGTTGGGACTCCTCCTTCATTTTTCAGACAGTCTGAACGAAAAACATTTTTGTCTTTACTTGGCCTAGTGTTCAAGGTATTTTTGTATACTCTGATGATGGTTACAAAGAGTGACGATATGACATTAAAAGACAACAAACAAATTCAATTTTGAGAGCTTTCAAACAATGGTGTGTTCCTAAGCATACAGGACCGACAAATGTTTACTTTGTCTATTGGTTGGTCCATTGACGTCGCTGCTAGTTCAATGCACATGACTGCTTTGCAGGTGCTGTTTAGGCCAAGGGCCGTTGCAGACACACACCGAACTTCACATAGTCTCAGCAACTCCTCGGCTTTTCTGAATAAGGTTAAAACATTAATGAATAACTGTAAAGAAAGACTGAAAAAGGATGAGCAGCAGTCATATGAACATCATTCACCGGAATGATAAACATGTTAAATCTTGATGGGGGAGAAAAATTCAGATAATTGCCACTTTTATCAACATGCAATTTTGCAAAACATTTTGTAGATTAATATTATGCAGTTTTCCTTAGTCCTCCTGATTGGGGGAGGGGACCTATAAGTTTTTTTTGGTCATTAAACGATGACAATTACTAGTCTTAAGTACAGACATAAGATGGCAATTAAGTACTGTGTTTATTGCGAATGCCTGAACCAGAGATTCACAAGATATACATCAAGTATTTTCTACAAAAATATTGATCAAAATTACTAATTTTAATTAGGGGGCCTAGGGTCATTACAATGGAAAGAACGATTGACAGATTGTTGGTTAAGTTTGTCATTCATCATTAGCTTGAGTAACTCCAGCTGACATGCTCCATATTCATTCACATGTTACATGTGAATGAATATGGAGCATGTCAGCTGGAGTTACTCAAGCTAATTCATCATGGTCATTTTGTCAATCAAAATCCATCAGCATGATCACTAAAAAAATACGGATAAATATTTGTGTTTTACAAAGTTAAAACATAATACAGATTTGTCCACATCACGTTTACCTGATTACATCTTTTGATGAAATTCCAATTTTCAAAGCCAAAGTTTTGATCTCTGTGGCGTCCATTGTTTACAACGACTTGTCAACAGGTCAATGAAATAACCGCGCCAAATGTCTGAGCTTTAAATCACGTGCCAAAGCAACACTGGCGTTAGCTGGCCAACAGATGGCGCCTTCCAACAGTTGTCGTTCCTGGTCTGAAACCCTTTACAATTCTACGTTTTTGAAAAGGATTTTTTCTAAGGTACCAGAATCTGTGTATCGTTGGCGACTTCTCCGTGGACTCGGTTCTGATCGTGCGACACCGATCGTGCGTAGGTTAACTGTTTATTGAACCTCACAAATTTAAGTATTTGGCACACTTTAAACTAGTTTTCGATTATTCCTTAGAAGCAGCCATAGTTGGATGGTAACGATATGGTGAGATTATGATGTCCGGTCTTGACACAAAGAAAAAAGACAGCGGTCGTGCCACATCATTCAGTCAACAAGTCCTCGACCTCGAACGAAAAGTGAAAGTTGACACAATTCAACCACCACTCCCGCCGGTTACTGATCAAGAAAAAGGAAAGGTATTTTCCGCATGTAGAACAACTGCCATAAAATCAAGTGATCAACAATATTAATCATATTTTTATCATGATCATTCATAGCACGTAACATTAAACATTTATTTACACTTTATATTCTTTTCTAAATTCTTCTGAACATTTTTCCTGACCTTGTCCTTGACTTTGAACGTGTACGTGACTTAAACTTAAAGTTAAAGGGCATTTAGGCTATGCCTATGGCCTGAAATCCCTAAAAATTTCATATTTATGATTGTTTATGTATCCTATTTCAAACAACTGGTTGAAAGGAAACTAACCTAACATCTTAATCTCTTTATTACCATTCCTGATAAAAGACCAAAAACCTGGTTGTTTACATCGGACGAGGACATTTTGTGGCATAGGGCCTATAGCCTATGTCAACATTTCTTTTAAGTTGTGTATTTGACTAAATTGCTTATATATTTGGATTCAGCTCTGCAATATATACAAAATGACACCAAGATCACCGAAAAGTCTTGTACTTTTTGAGATACGAACATTTAAAAATGCCAAATTGTGTCCAATTTCTGCCGAAAATGGCCAAATTTGACAAAAATGATATTTGGCAAACTTTGACAGCGCTGTATAAAATTGTACTTATTATCCCTAACCCTTTTTTTCCATCATTTATCCATTATACAGGTGAGTCCAGAAAAAAATTCATATTGGAAATGGAATGGCCATCACTCAAAATGGCACTCCCCCCCCCCCCCCCGATTTGCCCAAAGTGCCCCTCTTGCGGACATAAATGTGCCCCCTCGAGCATAAATCATGTGCCCCCTCGAGATGAAAACAAAACTGGCCCTAAAATTTATGATAATTTGTTTTCAGTAACCATTTCCCAAAAGTTCTGATATGAACGAGGAATATGAAAACCAAGCCCCAAAACCCTTACAATGCAATCTAAACATGGGCACATAATGCGTAGTTTGCATAAAACTATTCTTGCGCCCCCTATTTTTAGGAAGATTGTAACGCCCCCCTCCCCACCACACTATTTGATTTTACGGAGGCCAACTGTCAGGTGAAAAAAAAACGTGTCGACATTTCAGCACGGATGTGCCCCCAAAAGAAATACTGAGCAAGTACCTCTTTTGGGTGATGCCCCCCCCCCCCCCCCCCCCCAGTTTGAAAACCATTCTGCCACCGCTGCTTTCAATTATGCAAATAAAGATACTTATTACAGTGGATATAGGGAAAATCTGCCAAATTAATATGCGTACCAAATGTAATCTCACTTAACCCTAAAAGGGCCGGGGGGGGGGGGGGGGGGAGGCGGAATCCCCTCAACTTTTTCCGCGATAGCCTCATAGCTATGACTTTTTAGCCCTGAGCCTTTCGCATCTTTTGATACCAAAAACATAAAAATCGGACCAAGGGTTGCCGCGTAGCGAAAAATTTTCCTAATTTTCCCGTAAACATAGTGTACACAGAGCACAATTACCATTCATAAATATGAATAATTAATTAGCCATAATTCCATAACCCTTTGACCTATAGTCATGAAATTTCTTGGGTATGTTCATGATGAGTTGCTCTACGCATGTACCGAGTTTCTTAGGGGGGAGCCAATCCCCCTACCCCCCCCCCCCCCCCCAGAGGATCACATCGCGAGCGCGATTTGAATGTCGGTACATATTTAGGTTTCAGCACCGAGATTTGAGTGCCCGTGTGTCGAAAATTGTGATGTCTGCTGCAGCAGGGGAAAAAATGGAATTTTCAAACCTTATTGTCAACCTTATTTTCGATATATAAATAATATAATTATACATTTATAATAATAATTTTTAATAATAATCATAGTGCTTATATTGCTCTTTCTATCCTGTGAACAATTTCAAAGCACTTTAACAATTTATTACCCAATTCATCAGGCCATGAGACCACCCAACAGCCGATATCAGCGCACAATCGGTCCTCGACCCTCACAGGTACCCATTTATACTCCTGGGTAGAGATAGGCAATTGTAGTTAAGTGTCTTACCTAAGGGCACAAACACCATGTTCCTTTTATATTAAACAATTAGAGACAGAATGTTGCACCCTGACGCCACTTTTTGCATCTTAAATTATCTCAGTGAAGGTCAGTCATTTGCAAAAAATGTTGAAAAGACATGAATCTGGGACTGAGAAACATTTCCAACTGTTTTAGGGATTACTTCAAAAATGCACTTGACTCTCCGTAGACTTTGTACACAACCAAAGAAGTGGCGTCTGGATACTACATTCTTTCCCAAATAAGTTGTAACCTGTTTGTTTTCTTAGAAGATTGCCGAAACCCTGGAGAGAAAGGGTGAGGAGGAGGAGGCCAGGATGCAATACTTGACTGCCCAAGCCGCCTCGGAGCAGTCAGCTGACGATGTCATCTACCGTCTGGGGGCTGACCCCAGGCACGGCCTCCACACCGATGAGGCAGTCAGGCGGCTACAGGTGCACGGACACAATGACTTTGAGATCAGTAAGGAAGAGCCGCTGTGGAGGAAGTATCTGGATCAGGTAATGGCTTGCATTCTCCCTGTAATGATTACAAAAATAACCCCCATTCTCATCTGCAGGCCCTTAAGTGTGGGTAGGTGAATTACATACACCCCAAGGACAGACAAAGGAGAACAACAGGTTCTTTGTTGTCCATGAGAGTTCGTCTTTTGTTAAAAATGGTCCTCGATCGTGAGTTTGTGTGCTTAGTCTATGGGAAAGTGTTATATTATAGGGAAAAAGGGAAAGACAATGCCTTGACCTCAGGAGTTAGGTATAACACAACTTCTTGTTTGTGTGGGTTTGTTTATGGTGTAAATCGAGGACACACATGTAAAACATCCTTGTGTAATTGAGGACAGGAGTCAAATCGAGGATGTCCTCGATTAGAAAACTTTTTACAAAACCAATTGGAGCTGTTGCAAAAAAGTTATGATTATGAACAAAGGATCGATGATGAGGAACAATAGGAAATCCTCAATTTACACCATAAACAAATGTGTGCGTGTTTGTTTTTGTATGCGTGGGGGGGGGGTCGTACTCCTCAGACGGCCCACCCCTGGGGGGCTCCCTGTAAAACCTAAGAAATTTGAAATCCTAGAACTCAGCTATGTATAGATTGATTGCATATAGCAGCCATGTTGGAGGTATGTGTTCTTAAATGTTAATTTGTTAACAATGAATGCTCAAGAGGTCTGCTCATGTGTATTTCTGTTGAACAAAAACACTCGTCTCAAAGATGGCTGTAGTGCAACCAGTCTATAGTGCAAACAGTCTACAGTACACAAAAATGATGTCATTTCCCCCAACTTGAGCGTCCTTTCTTTGGCATTATTGGAAAAACTGTTTTTGTTGTATTATTTCTGTTGGTTGACATGATTCTACACATACATGTGTGGAGCACTTGATAAGCTTTTGGTACTCTACAAAATTTCATTTGATTTAATAAGAGGGTTTTTGTTTGATTTGTATTTGACAGTTCAAGGATCCCCTGATCTTGTTGCTGTTAGCGTCAGCCGTGGTGTCTATTATCATGGGTCAGTATGACGACGCAGTCAGTATCACTGTGGTGAGTTGCATGTCATTCAAAGATGAAATATTTAATTGAATATGTAAAGAAAAAACTAGCCTTTCCTTGATGAGCTGGACCCAACGTCCATGGTTGCAGGTGTTAATTGTGGGGAGTGATTCGGGGAGTCTGTCGGGGAGTCAGTCGGGGAGGTAGTCAGTCAGTCAGAAGAATATAGGCTGACCCTTAGCGTTCCATCAAAAAGTCATGTTACAAACATTCTGTTTGATGTTCCCGGCCACTTCCAAAATCAGAGATAACCTTAGAAATGACTTTCCATTTAACCAGTCAAGGAAAACTCAGGGAATGTGGGAAAAACATCAAAAATCATGGAAAACTCTGGGAATTTGACAGTGACCCAGAAGGAAGAGGTTTTCGCCAGTTTGGCAATGTGCGTCTTGTGCCGTGTATCCAAGTTGTGTCCATTGACTGACTGGCTATGGTGGCTTTTAAGTGTTTATGCAGTGTGAATATTGTGAGCATCTTAGTTGCTTTGCTGCAACCACATCTTGACTTCCCAACATCCTTGTTGAAGTGTCTATATTTCTTATGGAATTTTTGAAATTTCTCAGGGAAATTTCAGGGAAAAGTCTGGGAGTTTTGTTTTCATAAAGTGCTGGGAGCCCTGTGGACTCAAAAGCATCAATAGGGCATTACGTGTACTAAAGTAAATGATTCAGTCACTTACTGACTCAGTTAGTCAGAGGACACCAGGCTGGCCGTTCGAGTCTAGAAAAAAATGTAATGTTACAAGCATTTAGCATGTTTAGTTAAATGTCATTGTCCAAGTGTAGGCATAGTTCAAAACGCTGACTTTATGTCATACCAATTGGGTTTTATAATAGGATTTCCAACGGAATAGTCAAAAAGTGAGGAGTAGGATTTGTTGACTCAGCTGTTAATTCTGGTTTAAAAAAAAGATTGATTTGAGTTAGAAGCATGGAATGAATGAAATGTATGCCAGCTGTGATATTACATTCATACAAATCCATAGTTCAATACGCGTCAGTTTTATAATTGTGTTTCATTCCCAATTTTTATCAAATAGCAACATTGCAATTATGGGGAGGAATGCAACTCAATAACATGACCAAAGGAAGCACCAAATTACAAACAATCTTTCTTACCCAATATTGAATCTTTTACTCTTTCAGGCTATTTTGATTGTCGTGACAGTAGCATTTGTACAGGTAAGTTAAACATTTACCCTCTTAATAATCTGTTTTAATGAAGCGAATATCTGAACTTTCAGAGAATTCATTTTTATGTTATTTATATGTCTTGAGTTACAGATGCCTTTCCTTCGGTTATTTTTTCAAAGTTGAACAAAGTCATTGACTGGAGCAGGGTTTGAACCTGCGACCTCTGGATTGCCGTTCCGGTGCTCTACCAACTGAGCTATCTGGCCCTATGTTGGCGGTTCCCCAATTTGTCAATGTCCTTGTTCAAGGGGTGCTAGTCCAGCCCTAAGATTCTGAGTGAAAAATTTGAAGTGAAAAGCTGATTTTTAGTTTTTCCTTCTTAGGAATACAAGTCTGAGAAGTCCCTGGAGAAACTGAGTAAACTGGTTCCGCCATCTTGCAATTGGTAAGCTTGATGCCAAAAAATACAAATTTCCTTTGAACTTAAAAAAAATTACAAGTGGTTGTGACTTAAATCCACGTATGAATTTAATTTAAACATGTTGGTCAGTCTTCATTATCTTCATGTTGTGAGTAAATGAATCAGTTTCAGTTTTTTCCTGTTGTCGTCTCTCATTTTGTTAATAACATTTTTCTTCTCACTGCAGTGTGAGAGATGGGAACCTGTCTAGTTTCTTAGGGCGCAATCTTGTGCCAGGAGATACAGTACATCTGACTATAGGAGACAGGGTGCCAGCCGATATGAGACTTTTTGAGGTAGGCGCAAACCAATGACAAATGTCACTTTATCAAATTGGGAGTAAAAATTGCAAACTGTTTATATTATTCCTAACCCATTTTTTTCCCACCAAAATTTAACCATTCCAGTTTTCCCATCTCATTTCAGGCTGTTGATCTTGCCATAGACGAGTCTAGTTTCACCGGCGAGACAAAACCGAGCAACAAGTTCGTTAAGATGATGAAATCCGCCAAAGGGAACAACACGCCCACCCGGAAAAACATCGCCTACATGGGGACGCTGGTCCGGTGTGGTCACGGAAAGGTAAAACCAGCGACATGTCACAGTTACAGAAAGCCACATGAAAGAACACATACATGAATTCACATTGTAGAGGTTTCAAATTTTGGAGAATTGGTCTTGTGAAATTACCCCTCCCCTTTCTTGTGTTGTTGGCAGGGTATTGTTATCGGAACAGGAGAGAACTCCCAGTTTGGCGACATCTTCAAGATGATGCAAGGAGAAGAGGTGAGTAAGACAGAAGCCGATCTGGACTATGCAAGGGTTTTTATCTGCAAATGATGAGAGCGCAAAAAAATGTCCATTAGCACATGGATTCCCATCATTGCCTATGCTACAGGGTAGACTACATGGCGTGCCTGGTAGCTATATACTGAAGGGAAATATCAGGGGGTTTTGCAAAGGCCCGCCATTTCTTTTGGCATTGGGTTCATCTCTACTATCAGGCTGAATAGTGGAGCTGCTTAGGTCCATTTTTGGCCCAAATCGTGCACTTTGTGGTAAAAGCATGAAATTTGGCAGGTGGGGTCCCAATGGGCTAGAATTCATTTTAACATCGGGACCCATCCTGGATCTTGCCCATTTTGGGGGCGGAGCTTGATTTTTTTTTAAAAGGGGGTGCAAACAATACAAACTCATGAAAACTGTATTTAACATCCATTTTCCTTGTTTTTCTATGGTTTGAAATAAACTTAAACATAAAATATAACATTCTAGCATTCGAACACCAGTTAGTTTCCACCCATTTTGTGGGCGCGGCCTAAATGTACAAAAGAGGCGGTATATATTAGCAGTTTGGTTCTAACATGGAAAACATTATTCGGTTTGGTAGTAAAATCCTGAAAATTGGCAGGTCCAGTTAAAATGGGCTGAAAATAATTTTAAGAGGTGAACACATCTTGGATCTTGCACAATTTTGGGGGGCGGAGCTTGATTTTTCAAAAAGGGGAGTGCAAACAATAAAAAAACTCAGAAAAACTGTATTTAACATCCATTTTCCTTTGTTCTTCATGCTTGAAATAAACTTAGACATGAGAAATAACTTTATGAGAAATAACACGTTAAAATTGTGCAGCAGCAGGATTCCAGTCGAACCAGTGAGTTTGGTGGTTTGAGACATCATCTTACATTGAAAGACATCATCTTACATTGCCGACGCGCATGGCTATGGCGACGCGCACGCATATCAGAAACCAGAGCCTTTTTTGGCCTAATAATCATTTTCTTCGTTTCGTATGAATAAAAAGGAGTAAATGCTTCAGATTTCAAATATGCACTTGTCATTTACAAGACTGGGTTGGGGCAACCTTGAAATTATGAAGCAAAATAATTCTGCGCAAAAACTACTGCATTTATTAAAGTTCATAAAGTACAAATGATACCATATGTTTGTATGAATAAAGCATGGCATTTGCTTTTTCTACCACTTTCAAAGCATTTACTCGCATCTGTATGAATGAAAATTAAGCAAACACTTTTACTAAAAACCATTTGCTCTTGAGTAAATGGCCTGCAAAATGTAAAGCTTTACATGTTTATAAGTTTGCAGAAAATAAAACTATCGTAACCGAAACGGAAAGCGGCACCGGGGAGGGTCACGTGCTGGAGGGCAGATACAAAAAAAGCGCATCAAACGTGACGATGCATCGGCACCCATGGTCTACATGTGGATTGGGTTTTCAGTCCCTACCTGATTCCGTGGGTTTTCCCCAGACTATTCTTCTGGGGTTTTCCTCCCACCTCTAAAACTGTAATTTCTTCTCATTGTCTTCTCTCTACGTTTTTTTGGGGGGGTTTGCGAGCTACAGTGCCTGGGGCATGCACTTTTGAGGATCCTTGGTTTCATTACCAGAAAAAAATTATTTATCGTTTACTTCGTTTCGTATGAATATAAAGGAGTAAATGCTTCAGATTTCAAATATGCAGTTGTCATTTACAAGGCTGGGTTGGGGCAACCTTGAAATTATAAAGTAAAATACTTCTGCACAAAAATTACTGCATTTATTAAAGTTCATAAAGTACAAATGATACCATGTTCGTATGAATAAAACATGGCATTTGCTTTTGCTACCATTTTGAAGCATTTACTCGCATCTGTATGAATGAAAATTAAGCAAACACTTTTACTAAAAACCGTTTGCTAAATGCTGAAAATAATTACTTTTACCTTTAAGCTTTTGCTACACTATAAGCGTTTACTTCGTTTCTTATGAATAAAAAGGAGTAAATGTTCCAATTTTTAAATATTTACTTGTCATATGTCAAGGTTGGGTTGGGGCTACCTTGAAAATATAAAAGCACATAATTCTGCGCAAAAATTACTGCATTTATTAATGTTAATCGCGAAAAAGTACAAATATGCCATACGGTACCGGTAGTTCGTATGAATAAAAACTGGCATTTGCATTACTCCCATCTGTATGTTTCGTATGAATATAAAGGAGTAAATGCTTCAGATTTCAAATATGCACTTGTCATTCACAAGGCTGGGTTGGGGCAACCTTGAAATTATAAAGCAAATAATTCTGCGCAAAAGCTACAGCATTTATTATATGTTAATAAAGTACAAATGATACCATGTTCGTATGAATAAAACATGGCATTTGCTTTTACTTCCAATTTTGAAGCATTTACTCGCATCTGTATGAATGAAAATTAAGCAAACACGTTCGTGTAGGTTTTATATGAATTAATCCCTAATCCCTATGATCTCAGAATAAATACAAGATTTCTATTGTTTTAGCCACTGTGACCTTGACCCTTGACCTTTCGACCCCCAATGCGATAGGCCTATGACCAAGAACGATCCACAAACCAAATTTGAAGTTCACATGTAAAGTATTTCTCAAGTTATCGCGCTGACAAAATTTCTTTTGTTTTAGCCACTGTGACATTGACCCTTGACCTTTCGGTCCCAAATGCAATAGGCTTCTTAGGATTGCCAAGAACAATACACAAACCAAATTTGAAGTTCATATGTTTAAGTATTTCTCAAGTTATCGCGCTGACAAGATTTGTCCGGACACACACACACACACACACCCATACTTGTTTCACATGACTAGTGTGGACTTTCCATTGCTTTCGTGTAGTTAAGAAAAACCAGTGAAAAAACTCATTTTTCTCAAACTGTGAAAACTCTTTCAACCCAATTTTTTTTCTATGATTCCCTTTAGTGTTTCTCTTCATTCTGCTACAGATAAACCTAACCCAAAAATGCCTCTAAACCTGTTTTCCAGAAATGGGGAAACACTGTGTGGACGTGGGGTAAGTCCACACAACGTCGGTGCTACCTACATTATGTGGACGTCTTTTGTTCGGAAGTCCACACTGCGTATGTAAGACAAACTCACCCACACCCACCCACCCACCCACCCACCCACCCACGGAAGGACAAGGTGGAAACAGTATGCCCTCCTTTTCAGTCAGTAAGACATTACTCCCCCAAGTCCCAACATCCATCTAATATAAATCCAACAGTACACACTGCAAGGAATGGACGTATATTCTGTGCACATTTTCATGTTTATATGCCTATATATATATATATATATTAAACATATTAGAAGAGCACTTTCAAGAAATCCTTCATTGGGCCGCCCCTAATTCCCCTCCCTCTCCTTGTGATCCCCATAGTGTTTATAATACATGTACAATTAGGAAATGCCGCCATTGTAAGTATACAGGGTGAGTGAAAAAAAAAGGAAACCCAAATGGTGGGACCATTTTCTTAATAACGTTTTGCATGTAGTCTTTCAAAATCTAGGATATGAAAGCCGATTCATAAGCTTTCTTTTAGTACAAGAATCATTCAAATCACTCATATGTACTTTTCAAGTTACGGAATTTTAAACACAACCACTGTTTTAAAGTTCTGTCCACGTATCACAAAAAATGGTGTGTGTTCTTTCAGCAAAACGAAAACAATTCCAGCGCATCCCCCTATATGTGAATTGTTTTCGTTTTGCTGACAGAACTTTTAAGACGGTGTTTGTGTTTAAAATTCTGTAACTTGCAAAGTACATAAGTGATTTGAATGACTCTTGTACTAAAACAAAGCTTATAAATTGGGCTTTCATATCTTGATTTTGATAGTGCTACATGCAGAACTTCATTAAAAAAATTTGTCCTGCCATTTGGGTTTCCTTTTTTTGACTCACCCTGTGTAAGTTACTTGTAGACAATCATAACAATTTAGATATGATTTTTTTATAGCCGCCTACTTTAAAATGTAGCTCCACCCCTAAAGGGCAACAATTAGTCTTGCAACCGTTCAAACTGATCTTTACAGTGTATGGTAAACAAAGTTAACCGATGGAAAAGTTGTGTTTTTACCAGCAAAAATGATGATTTTCCCTCGTTTGAATCAAGCTGCTCTAATGTACCGCCTCTTTACATATTTAGGCCACGCCCGCAAAAGGGTGAAAATAACACGTTAGAATGTTAGAATTTACAAAGTGAATGTAAAATACAGTTTTCTGAGTTTTCTTTTTTTGCACTCCCCTTTTTGAAAAATCAAGCTCCGCCCCCCAAATGGGCAAGATCCAAGATGCGTTCACCTCTAAAAATTATGTTCGCCCATTTCAATTGGACATGCCAATTTTCAGAATTTTAACACCAAACTGAATGATGTTTTCCATATTAGAACAAAACTGCTAAAATATACGGCCTCTTTTACCATTTAGACCACGCCCACAAAATGGGTGGAAAATTAACAGGTGTTAGAATGCTAGAATGTCTTATTTCATGTCTAAGTTTATTTCAAAGCGTAAAAAAACAAGGAAATTTGATGTTAAATACAGTTTTCATGAGTTTGTATTGTTTGCACCCCCTTTTTTGAAAAATCAAGCTCCGCCCCCAAAGTGGGCAAGATCCAGGATGGGTCCCGATCTTAAAATGATTTTTAGCCCATTTTGACCCCACATGCCAAATTTCATGCTTTTACCACAAAGTGCAAGATTTTTCGCTTAGCAGCTCCACTAGAAAAACAAATTATGTTTACGATAACCCAACCTACCCGGAGTTTTTGAGGCCAACTTCAAACTTTTTATTGCCACATTTGGCCATAAATTTAAACTAATGTATATGTGATGCGATCAAGCTGACACGAGTCATTTGACGACCCTGGTCAAAATATTTTTTATTACAGATTTGAAAAGAGCACAATCTCAGCATTACTGCTGTGAAACCGCATGCTGATGCCATCTTTAGTTAAAAAATTATGGAAGTCGGAACACCAAGAGATGTGATGAAGTGATTTGATGAAGTGATTTTATTTTAGCCTGTATCTCCAAATAAAAATTCCTAACAAACAACTCATTTAGCTTGATCATATGACATATTTTGAATATAAAAAAGTCTTCCCTATGCGAGTTTTGTGTGTTATTGATTAAACAGAATACCGTTAAAGGTATCCTAAAGTAAACAAAGTAAGTATAACAGTCTCACAGAAATCAGACAGATAAAAACAAACAGTTACAAAATAAAATTAGTTCCTACGGATTTCCTACCTGGATAATTTGTAGGACGTTACCGTAAACACATAATTTTTATATTTCAGCCGCAGAATCATTTAATAGCCTTTTACATCCAAACCAAAATGGAAAATTTGTTTGACATCATATTTAAAGCCAGAGTCCATCATTTGCAGCTATCCAAACAGTAAGTGGCGTAAATATTGTTGAAAAACATACTTGGTTGAAAGATAGTAAGGGGACTAAACTCCCTGTGAAATTATTCTTTCTGGCAAGCTGTCATTTTGAAGAAATCAATGAAAGAAGGCCTTTCCAATGGTCTTAAGAAGCACCGTAGGAAATTCAAATTAGTAGTTCGTTTTGTTATTCGGCGAAGCGCGCGCAAGCATTGGCACGACACACACACGCGTGTGGTCCATTGGCTAGTGAGAACGTGTCTCAGACGCTGGATTCAGGCCCAATTCAAAACATGATTCAGCAACTTTTGATCTGAAATCGAGATCCTAGAATGTTGTTTTTCTCGAAAAAATGCAGCTGAAGCTAAGCTGAAACTTCAGGTTAGTTGTTCAGCATCCTTCTTCAGATATTGAGCACTTTTGTTGCTTCAAACGAACAAAATGCACAAATTACAAATGATGGACTATACCTTTAAAAATATTATAGGCGGAAACATATGCAGGCATCCTTGAGCTTGAGTGTGGAGCACCATTTTCCATGGAATTGACAGTATTTTGTTTTCCCTCAGGCCCCCAAGACCCCTCTACAGAAGAGCATGAGCACCCTGGGCAAGCAGCTGTCATTCTACTCCTTCTGCATCATCGGTCTGATCATGCTGTTTGGATGGCTACAGAATAGGAAACTGCTGGACATGTTCACCATTGGTGTCAGGTAAGACCAGAGAGCTTATTGTCCTCTCTTTAGCCAACAAAAAGCGGTGTATTGTGATCAGACTGTATTTTCGGAGTCGTGCCAAACTAAACTATGCGGCTGATTTAGATTCAGTATGAGAAAAGTCCAATATGACAAAATTATGAGCAAATACATCATGCTTGATCTTTGCAGTCATTTGGAATGACTTCAGGGTCTATTCAGTGGAAACGTAATACCTGAAGTCCGACCTGTTGCTCTGACATTTTTTGGAAAAAAAATAATAAATAATCTTGAATGTGGTTTTTGGAGGGGTGACGACTGCCTCAATCCTGCAAAATCTTCCAGCAATCACTGTCAATATGTTGAGGCAGAGCCAGTGACATCCTGGAGCAGTGCGGAGGATTTCAAGTATAATATAGGCTTAAATTTATGCACGACTGAGCATGAACATCACAAGGTCTGGCCCAAGACATTGACACAGTGCTCCTCTGAAATCAGCCACACACTTTTCCCATGTAGCCTCAATTCTGCAAAATCCTCCATTTTGCAAAGAGGAGTTTGGAGGAGTTGGGAATGTAAGGGTTTAGAAGAAGCAATTTAAAAAAGATTGTATGACTGTGGCCACCAATATATTGTCTTTTTTTATTTCAATTGTAGTCTTGCTGTTGCGGCCATACCGGAGGGTTTGCCCATCGTTGTCACGGTAACATTGGCTCTCGGTGTCATGCGCATGGCGAAACGGAAAGTCATTGTGAAGAAACTGCCAATAGTGGAAACATTAGGTGAGTTGGAAAAGTCATTGATAATATCAATAATGTGGAGGTTATTTTCATAAATACTGTTAAAATTCTTTGATATATAGATTGAGTTTCAAAAAGTTGATTACATGGCTCTTCAGGTAAGTAGAGTGATGTAGTCTCCCCCCCCCCCCCCACAGAAGTGTGGTTGGGATCTACGAACGAATACTTGCCTGTAGATCATCCCTCCCTCCTACCCCACTATCCTCGATGTTTCAGTTAGCGCTCGAGAAAAGAGGATGCTCGAAAAAAGAGGACGCTCACAAGGCATACATGCCGCGGGGCACTATGGGTAGGACACAAGAGGGCGCTATTGTGAAAACTCTTAGCTTAAATACCTGCCGGTATGGGGAATATATCAAAATCCAATACTGACTTTGAAAATTTTGATGCATGTGATAAATAAAGAGTTCAGCAGCTATCACTGTGCACATAAGGGTAAATGCACCCAATTTTGTACAAATACTGTTTCTCTGGTATACTACACACTGTTTTGGATTTTTATGTGTTCAGTAGATTCATAACAAATGTGCCCTTTCAGCTAGTGATAAATAAATCTCATTGTCTATAACAAATTATTTTGATTGCTTTTCTGCAGGCTGTGTGAATGTTATCTGCTCTGACAAAACCGGAACGTTAACTAAAAACGAGATGACGGCCATTGCCATTTACACATCAGACGGCATGAAAGCAGAGGTAATATTTCATTCATAAAAGTTTGATGGCCTGTGCGGATGTTTCAGTTCTTGTAGAATTTTTCTCAAGGGCCTTTGAGAAAAATCTGGATCCCAACCCGAGGCGATATTACTTTTAGAATTTATATATATTTTTGGTCATTCCAGTCAGTAAGAAGTTTGAAGCAGTTTTTCATTTCTGTCTTAATATTTCTCACATCGTATTTCATCGTGTGATTTAGGAGCACAAGATTTATTTTAAATGTGATGACTCCTTTTAGAGTAGCCTAAAGTTCATAACTAGAGATTTCAACCCTGTTGATGCTCATTTTGGACATAGTGTCGGTGTTTTTTATTGTCTTTGTACTTCTAAACCCTTTTCTCATTTAGGTAACTGGTGTTGGGTACAACAGTCATGGCACTGTCTTGTGTGAGGGTCATGAATTGGATAGTTACTCAAACCAGTCCATTGCCCGTGTGGTTGAGGTAAGTCCAAATATTATTACTAAACATTATTATGAATAAACCATTTTGTGGTAAAATTTGTAAAATAAAAAAAATTCACAGATTTTGGGAGTGAAATGCTGTTATCCAGCAAAGTTTTCTATGTTTGTTGTGCTGAGATTGTCGAGGTGCCAAAAAAGAGACATGGGGACATCGGCAAATATTGCTTACTGAACAGCAAATGTTCTAAGCGGATGTAAACTGACTGGAAATTTGCTTAATTTGTGTTAAAGGTAGGGGAGATCATTTGTCATTTGTGCATTTTTTTTCTTTCGAAGCAACAAAAGTGCTCAAAATCTAAAGATGGATGCTTGACAACTTACCTGATGAAGTTTTAGCTTACTGTACCTTCCGAGAAAACAATTTTAGGATCTCGATTTCAATTCAAAAGTTGCCGAGTCATGTTTTGAATTGCACAACAAATCAGCGTCTGGGACACGTTCTCATTCAGCCGATTGCAGCTACGCGATGTCACGCACTGAACCGACGAATAATATCAACCGCGTGCACGTGTGCGTCGCGTCAAAGCTTGCGCATACGGGTACGCCGAATTACAAACCAACTACTAACGGAAATTTCCAAAAATGTGTCACTTGACACATCTTTGGAAATTATTTTCTTTTATTTTCAAATTTTTTTTCAAAATGACAGCATGCCAGAGAAAATAATTTCACAGGGAGTTTAGTGCTATTACTGTCTTTCAACCAAGTATGCTTTTTAACGATAATTTCGTCAGTTGCTTTTTGGATAGCTGCAAATGATCTACTTTACCTTTAACTAGAAAATGCTTGAGCAGACTTTTTTTTTGAAATCACAAAACCCTGGGCAAAGTTTTTATTCTCATCTTATCCTGGGCCTTTTGTATGTGTTTGTCATTGCAGACCGGTTGTGTTTGCAACAATGCTGAAATACACAATGACATCCTCTACGGTCAGCCAACAGAGGGCGCCCTGCTGGCTCTTGGCATGAAGGTTTGTGATAGAATGTAATGAGAAGACATGGTTTTCTGCACAGTTGTCATATGTTAGCTCCGTTACAACAAAATGTAATCTATACAAATCATTTATTTCCTCTTCATGGCAAAATTTAATTTTACCGATAAAAGGTATGTTAAAGGCCTGATAAAGGCCAGTAGAGGGTCCCCCCCCCAAGAAGCATAGCTTGTGTGAGGCTTTCTGAGTTACAACAGATAGGCAAACGAGCGTCCATGATATACAAGGACAAACCAGCCAAGTTGAACACATACATGTGCGTGCCGTAGAACTGCAAAGACTTTTCTTGCCAACATGGTTCAATACAAATTCTTAAGTTGCACAGTTAACAAATGTGAGGCGTTCTCGAAAATATGAGACACAACTGGGCAGAGGTCAAAATGAGGGTTTGCAGGTATTAGGAAAGAGAATAGAAATCTCCTTACAATCCTGTTTGTTGCACTCCATTTGGACATTCTATTTACAAGTAAGGGCTGTTTAAAGTTCATATTTATCGACATGTCAAGAAGTAAACTACTGAGGAAAAAAAAACATTCAAATGGTTAGTTTTGCAGTCGTGAAAATGAAAGATGCCAAAGTTTTTACTTAAAAAAATGCTTTTCCACTATTTTTATACTACTTTGTATCAAATGTTACAAACATCAATGAAAGTGAAAATGTAAAAAATAAAACACCATTCGTTTTTTTGCATTTTACTCCACTTCGGCCTTTTTTGGCCATTCATTTTGCCAGAAGTCCTCACAAATGTGTTAGGTGTCATCAATTTCATTTTTACCAGTGAAGTCAAAAGTTTTTGCAGGCACTTCTTCTAGGCCATGCTGGGGTGTTCCATTGCTGGTTCCTTCTTCAAACTCTCTGTCGCTTTGTTCCCAGATGCGACTAGAACATCTCCGCACTGACTACATCCGCATCTCGGAGCAGCCCTTCAGCTCGGACACCAAGTGGATGGCCGTCCGCTGCCGGGAGCGCCGTGGGGCCAACCACTTAGTGGACACCGAGATCTACTTCGTCAAGGGAGCCATGGAGAAGGTCCTGGGGCTGTGTCGGACCTACAACAGGTGGAACCAGGCGGAGTGGCTGACCGAGGCGAGACGGGAGGAGTTTATGCAAGAGGCGGTCCAGATGGGCGTGGCTGGGTTAAGAGGTAAGAGGCAGTCCAGTGTAACCCTTACAGAGTCGGTTGGACCATCTCACAGCCAGGGAAGTGGGGCATTCGTTGAATCCCCCCTCCTTCCACCATCTCAGAAATTCAGTGACCGATTATAAAATGTTGTATGCAAGTACTTGCAAAGATTTACCTCAATCGGATACAGCGTTTCTTAATGATGGTCATTAGGCTTCCATTGGTGATTGAGTGTTTTTCTTATTCAAGGTCAGTGAAAAAAAAGAGGGTTTTTCATGAATGCTATGTCTGATTTTGTATTAAATTGGATTTCAAACATCCGAAGGACATCAGTCTACAAACTCAAAAACCTTCGTACAAAAAAAACCAAAACAAATTACAGCACATAGTTTCTGTGCTCCGCACATTTCGATGCATAGTGGCTCCAAAAATAACCCAGTTTAATTGTTTCAAATCATCATTTCCAGATTTTCACCCAATAACTGTTCTTCATTTTTTTGTTCTCGTCACAGTGGTTGCCATGGCAGTAGGTAACACCATGGAGTCCCTGACGTTTGTCGGCATGATAGGCATCCTGGACCCCCCACGGCCTGGCGTCAGAGAAGCCGTGGAGACACTCATCAGTACTGGAGTCTCCCTCAAGATGGTGACCGGAGACTCGCAAGAGACTGCCATCGCCATAGGTAGGGACAAAATTGGGAAATTTCATTTTAGTTGAAGTAAATTGCCTCAACATTGTTTTGGCATATTATATTAGAAGTAAAAACAATGAGCCACAAGATCGGCATCATCAAAATTGGCATTAAACAAGAAGCAAAACTTCGGAAGAAAAATTGATGTCTTACTTTTACAACTTGCTAGAAACTTATTTTTTCATTACTAAGGGAGTAAATATGTGCTTGGGCAAGTTTAAATAAGTACGTTTAAAACTGAAGGACATTATCGAAAACGAAGGCTATTATTAGCGACCAGCCCCCCCCCCCCCAATCTCCTTAGATGAGGAGAGGCACGCGGGTGGTGCGTACTGCGCGATACTGTGCGTATGTGGCACAGAACGCAGCAGTGCCAGTGTAGTGTACATTTAGGTCTATGAAATACGGACTCATTGGTAGTACAGTCGAGTCTCGTTAAAACAAACTCGTTCGGACCTAGCCAAATTGTTTGTTATATCAGAATTTTGTATTAAGAGGAACATCAGTCCCATTCATTGTGCACATAAATGCACAATCGGGACTTAAGCTGTATGTTTGTTATGACCAGAATTTTGTACTAACAGAGTTTGTACTAACGAGATTCGACTGTATTGTGCAAGCCTAAGTGAAGATTGAGAACATTCAGCCAATAATAGGGTAAAAGGGACCAGATTTCGTAGGGGTCCAAATTTCATGTGACACCGGAAAAGTGTTGAAAACCAGCCAGCCGATGTTTTATCAACTGTTTAGAACCACCCACGTGATGGAATTTGTAAACTGTCTGAGGTATTGATGATTTTTGAATAAAAACGTGGAACGTACCAGTGCTTAAGGAGCATGTCTTGTGGAATTGGATATAATCTCCTGATGACGAACAGAGCACACTGTTTGAAACGTCGAGTTAAAACTACTGGTTCTTCTCAGAACCACACAACTCAAAAGAGATATTATTCACATGGTGTTACCGCAAACTGTCCATTCTTTGGATATAACCACTTACAGCATATTAGAGTTGGTAGGGTGCTGGCCATTTGCATTTATAAGACCCAGGTTCAAGTTCCATTTAGTTAATTTTCTTTTTTCAACTGGGAACTGTTTTATGATTCTGTGTTGTTGATCTGTGTAGCAAGTCGGTTGGGGATCTACGCCGAAGGCAGCTTTACGCTCTCTGGGGAGGAGGTTGAGGCTATGGACATGATGAAACTAGCCTGCATCATCCATCGAGTAAGTAACATTGACAATGTCAATTTGATAATGTGGTTGGATGCCTATTGATGTCTCATGGAATAAATCCAGGTTTGAAATTAATAACATGATATTTTGGTTGGATGAGACCCTCAAGATTTTTTTCAAAGAGGGACTGTCGTCGTGGTTTTCCTTGATGTTAAATTTATGAAAAATTTACAGAATTTGTCAAAAGGATTTCATGATCTCATTGATTCTGGTACATTTTTGTTCTCACTTTGTCATAGGTGAGTGTGTTCTACAGATCCAGCCCCAGACACAAACTCAAAATTGTCAAGGTAAATTGCAAAAAAACATTATTTATCAAGTAGGAATTGTATAAGTCGAGTTTACTTCTCGTAGATTTGAATGTTTGAATATTAGCAGTGTCCTTAAGCAATATGAATTTCACTAATTTGATTGGCCATAATTGTTAAGCACTTTGAGACCTTTGGTATAAAGCGCTATACTGTACAGGGTGAGTAAAAAAAAAACGAAACCCAAATGTCGGGGCCATTGTTTTAGTCAAGTTCTGCATGTAGCACTTTCAAAATCTAGGATATGAAAGCCCAATTCATAAGCCTTCTTTTTGCACAAGAATCATTCAAATCACTCATGTGCTTTTCAAGTTACAGACTTTTAAACACAAACACCGTTTTAAAGTTCTGTCCACGGATCACAAAACAGTAAGTGTTCTTTCAGCAAAACGAAAACAAATCACATAGGGATGTGTGTGAATTGTTTTCGTTTTGCTGAAAGCGCACACCTTTTGTGTGATCCGTGAAGAGAACTTTAAAACGGTGGTTGTGTTTAAAATTCCATAACTTGAAAAGTACTTGAGTGATTTGAATGATTCTTGTACTAAAAGAAAGCTTATGAATTGGGCTTTTACATCCTAGATTTTGAAAGTGCTACATGCAGAACTTCACTAAAACAATGGCCCCGACATTTGGGTTTCGTGTTTTTTTACTCACCCTGTATAAGCACCACATTATTCTATTATTATTATTATTGACTGCCATAGCTATCTGCACAAAATAGTTGTTTATGCTTCTGTTGAATTGCTGTTGTTTACTTTCTTACTAGTGTCAACACCACCTCGTTCACGCTGTGCGTTGGAAATGTACATCGGTCATTTTGTAAATTCTGGGCCCACTTTTTTCCTGTCCCTGTTACATCTGACATCTTTGATTTTATCATTCTGATGCACTCCTTAATGCAGTCGTCCTCGAAGCGTGATTATGAATAGCAAACTGCCTACCCAACAAAAAAAATTGTTTGAAGTCATTCTTAACCACTTCGCGCTGGGATTATTTTTGCCAAAAATTTCGATTTTCGCAAAAGGCAAAATTTTACTGCCAACTTCTGATATACAGCCAAATGCCACAAATACTGATTCGCAAGAGTCTTTTCAACAATATTTGTACGATATTTCTGCCTAATCCTCATATGTTTCAATACTCTGAGGTGTGCACTGGAGCATAAATTGTCGAACAATAGGCCGTGCACATAGTACAACGGCCAATTCAAGATCAACACGCGGTCCGCCTCCACAGACTTCACACTTTGTGTGTGGTACAAAAGGCACGAGAGATTAGCGTGTTTAGACGTCACCCGGAGGCGAGCTGAGGCAATCTTGGCGTTTTAACCTGTCAGCCTTGCCTGTGAATAAAAACAACCAGTGCGTGTTATCATGTCCTCCGACGCAAACTGGTTAATGATACTTGAATGGCAAATTACAAAGTACCAAGGTAACATGGACAGGAAAAAGTTACACTTTTTAGAATGGCCCACATGAACTGATCATGGCCTAGATCTACCCACAATTCTTTCTTTTTCCTTCACGATATCTTGTGGTACAGTTCAGCTGTTGCCGTCACTCTGAAGAACCAAAGTGTGACGTCATTTAGAACCAGAAAGTGTAGTGCAAACGAATGGAGTACACGCGCGTGTTGGTTCACGGGCTGAACACGCGCTAATGTCTTTCACGCACATTTTGTGCGCGTGACGTATTCACTTCGGTACTCCCTTAGATAGGGTGGGTGAGTGTGGGTCAAATTGACCGACCATACTTTTCTCGGTTCCCATGCTTAATTTACAGGCCTTGCAGTCCAACGGCATGGTGGTAGGCATGACCGGCGATGGAGTCAACGACGCCGTGGCGCTGAAGACGGCCGATATCGGCATTGCCATGGGAATGACGGGTACCGACGTTAGCAAAGAGGCAGCGGACATGATCCTAGTAGACGATAACTTCATCTCCATCATGGCCGCCATCAAGGAAGGCAAGGCCATCTTCTATAACATCAAGAACTTTGTCCGGTTCCAGCTCAGCACGTAAGTCGGGTGTTAAGTTCCTTTTGTCTAATTTTTCCAGAAATCTGAAAGTAGCCAATGTTCCAATTACAAGTGTCTTACTCTTAACTCCAATAGGCCCCCCCAAAAAAGTCTCCGGTTTCTGGTATGCACGCGCGTCGCCGTAGCCATGCGCGTTGGCAAAAATGAAAAAGGTTTTTTTTCAGTGAAAGATGATGTCTCAAAACCGCCAAACTCACTGGTTTGACTGGAATTCTGCTGCTGCACAATTTTAACGTGTTTTTAGATTGGGTTATGGTCGAGAATAAGCTTTATGTGGCCTCTCTGGACTCCCATATATTTGCACTAAGTTTAGTCGGGCACCATTTGCAGTCATCAGCCGACATTTGAAGCAAAAATGTCAGGTAAAAAAAAAAAAAAAGCCGCGTCGCCGCAGCACTTTTTGGGCAAGCTCCATACCAGAAACCGGAGACTTTTTTTTTTGGCCATAGTATAGGTTTTCCCGGCCAATTTCCTGAAATGTTCATTCACTTCTGAAAATCGGTCATTCTTTTTCGTCTGAATTTGAATGCACGTCTTTCATCCCATTTCAATTCAACGAAAGTTCAATCGTTTTCATTGTGTGTGCATTCGGTTTTGAGAAACAGACGGCCAATTACGTTACCTGTGCAGTCATTTACGCAAGCATACCTTTTCTAAATTGATTTCGGGTACAGCTAATTTGATTGACGATTAATGAAGAAGAAACCCCTAATTGTATCTGGTGCCGATGGCATTAAAGTAAAAGTGAAATAGAATGGTGAATGTTTAAAATTGCCCTCTCAAAGCAAAAAAGAAGTCTTGTAAACAAATCTGAATGGACATAAACGAAAGGTGCTGCTCAATCACTTAATTGATTGAATTGAAATGGAATCGAATGCTCTCGTAGCGAAAATGAAACGCGTGTTCAGAGCAATTCTCAAATTCCGACGAAAACGAATGACCGATTTTCAGAAGTGAATGAACATTTTAGGAAATTTGCCGGGAAAAACCTATAGTAACGTGTTTGATCTTGACAGGTACTATATAATGAAAATAATATTTTTTTTTAAGGCAAATGGAGTGGAGTCTTATAAGTGCTTCTTTAATTTGAAAAAGAAAATCCATCATTTATAAGTGGGAGGAATCCATTCAACTAAATGTATACAAAGCATATACAAGCTATATAAATGACGTTGATGTATTCTGCATCATATATAATGGATATTCTTCAATATTGTGTGGTGATATGATATTATGATAATATACCAGTTATAAAACTGGAAAATAATGTATTACATTTTAATGTAATTTTTTTTTTTTTTCAATATCTTCATCCATGCAGGAGTATTGCAGCCCTATCATTGATAGCTTTGTCTACGCTTCTGAAATTTCCCAACCCGCTGAATGCAATGCAGATCCTGTGGATTAACATCATCATGGATGGACCCCCAGCACAGAGGTAAATTGTCAACAGCTGTTTGTATTACAGTGTATAACATTGTATTACATTGTATAACATTGTATTACATTGTATTACATTGTATCAATTCCTGATGCATCCATTGGACATGTGCAGTGTTGGGGCGGTTGTGGGCAGTATAAAGAGTAAAATGCGGGGCCGTTTGGAGTGATACGGGGACTAATGCGTTAACAACAAAGTGTTAATTTTTTTTTATTTAAAAGATGTAATCACTGTGAATTTACAGAAATGGTCTGTTTGTAATTGGAAAAGGACACCGTGGAAAAATCTTTTATAAATGCAGAATGCCATAATCTTATGCATGTTTAAAGCAGGCATGCCACTTTTCCTTGGATCCGCTGATTTCCTTGTTTTTTTTTACTTCTCACGAATGCCATTACAGATTGAAATACATTGTACGAAGTCTTGTGTCGTTTGGAGTTTCCTCATTCTTTCTAAATTCCCAGTTGCGTGCCTGTTAAAGGCCAGTTCATTCTTCATTCACATTCCATTACAAAGCGAATTTGTTAAGGAAACAGCGAATGTCACCATGACATTTCAACTGTTGACGTCAAGATATTTGTTTTGCTGACGCTTTGCTAATGTAATAAAAATAAAAGTCTTGTGAACTTCCTGTGAAATCCTGTGAAATCCTGTGAACTTTTTTGGACAGCAATGATACTGCTGTGATATATCTCACAGTATTTAATTACAAAGGTGCGGGATGACTGTTAAAAAGGGCCGGGTAATTTTGACCATCTCTCAGCCGGGGGGGGGGGGGGGGGGGATTCCGCCCCCCTCCCCCTAAGATCTCGGCCATCAAGTGACGAAAAATTTTGAAACTCAGTACATGCATAGAACAACTTATCATGAACATACCCAAGATATTTCGTGACTATAGGTCAAAGGGTTTTGGAATTATGGCTTATTAATTATTCATATGCAGGAATGGTATTTCTGCTCTGTGTACACCACATATTATGGGGAAATTCAGTTTTCACGCAAAATTTTTTGCCGTGGTCCGATTTTTATGTTTTTGGTGTCAAAAGATGCGCAAGGCTCGAGGCTAAAAAGTCAGAACAGCTCAGGTCGCGAAAAAAACAAGTTTTTCAAGGCTATCGCAGAACAATTTAAGGGGGTGGATTCTGCCCCCCCCCCCCCAGCCCCTTTAGGGTTAAGGAAACAAAATTATTCCATAAACATTGAAAATAATCCAACAAAGGTGAGAAACAGTTTTTGAAAAATCTTCAACTTAAAAAATGTGAATGTGTTGATTTCATAGAAAGGGTCATATTTATGTTTTTAAAAAAATCACATACTTGACTTTTTTTTGTTACGGACTTTACAATGTACAGGAGTGGCACATTCTGAGCACTTGAACAAAATTCGCAAAATATTAAGACTCATGAAAAATAATAGCTGCATGTTTTACGATGCTTAATCCTTAAAAATACTTCAAAATCAGAGGGTTTTCAGAATGGAAAATGAGATTACATTGGGTAACTTTTTATTTACACCATTTTATTATGAGATTTTCTTTTCTTTGCAAATCAGCAACACCATTTGTTTTCATATTTTTATAAATTTTTCCCTGGTAGTCTTGGCAAGGAACCAGTGGACAAGGACATAGTTCGTCAGGGTCCGCGTCGCGTCAAAGACCCCATGATAACGCGGAGTCTGCTCATCAACGTCATCTCGTCTGCTTTCATCATCGTCTGCGGTACGCTCTGGGTCTTCTGGCGAGAGGTGAGCAAATTTTATGGAAAATATTTTATATTAAATGAGACAAAAGTCGCAGAATGTCATTTTTAAAGGGTGAGTCAAAAAAAACTAAACCCAAATGTCGGGACTATTGTTTTATTGAAGTTCTGCATGTAGCACTTTCAAAATCTAGGACATGAAAGCCCAATTCATAAGCTTTCTTTTAGTACAAAAATCATTCAAATCGCTCATGTACTTTTCAAGTTACGGAATTTTCAACACAACCACCGTTTTAAAGTTCTCTCCACGGATCACAAAAAAAGCTGTGTGTTCTTTCAGCAAAACGAAAACAATTCACACACATCCCTATGTGATTTGCTTTCGTTTTGCTGAAAGAACACTGAATTTTTGTGATCCGGGGACAGAACATGAAAACGGTGGTTGTGTTTAAAACTCTGTGACTTGAAAAGTACATAAGTGATTTGAATGATTCTTGTACTAAACGAAAGCTTAAAAATTGGGCTTTCATATCCTAGATTTTGAAAGTGAACTTCACTCAAACAATGGTTCCAACATTTTGGTTTCGTTTTTTTTTTACTCACCCTGTAGTACAGTTGGACAAATCCAAAATTTGAAGGGGTGGTCAATTTTTGGTTTTTAGGTGAACCTCAATAATATTAGTCCTCTTCTACATTTCCCCAAATTTTTAAGCTGTATCAGACATCTAAAAAAAGAACTATTTCAGCCTATTTTATTGGTTGCGTTTTCCTTCCCGTTTCAATTTTTCGGGGGAACAAGCCTGGGATTTGCTACACAATTGCTCAAATAAAGTTGGTCTGTATTTCCGTAACTGAACTCAGTATCCCCAAATGTTGTATACCTAGGCATGAGATTTTTCAGACTTTTGTCTGAAATCAGACTTTTTGAATCTGAGAGAAAGACATTGTTAGTATAGAAAGATAAACATTTTTCAGACTTTTAGACAATTTTCAGACTTTCTTTTCAATTGACAATTTCATCCCTGTATATACCACTGAAAATCCAGAAATACAAATATCAATAATTGCAATGTTTTACTTAGTTGAGGAATAAATGATAGGCCATACATGTACATAAGCAAAAGTTTAAAGCAATGTTTACTTTAATATGATTTATAATAGGTTTCCTTTAAACAATAAGTTTCATTTTCTTTTATACTTGGTAGGTTACACTTGTTCAGCTACATCAAATATATGATATATAAAATATTCACAACATAGTTTCAACATTGTTTCTCCAACTATAACTAGATTATTATTGCCTAATTTATGCACTCTCTCTATGGTAAACAAACAGTCAGTTAAGGAAAAACGTATACAAAGATAAACACGGCCGAAATGGTTTTGGGGGAAAAAATATTGACATAAGGAATTTGTTCATGACTCCTGTATGCGATGTAGGTTCTGTGTTCCCAGTGACTGGCACATTTTTGATAACTTTTTCGTTGTCTGGTGTGCTATTTATCTATGTCAAATTTTTCACCTTTGAACACAAATTTTGCTGACTCTCACTCTAAGCCCAGCTAAATCCACAACCCCTTGACCCTTGTGCCACTAGAAAAGTACACCCTGCGTTTTTTTTAGTTTCGTTATCCATTCATACGTGTGTTGGAACATAAGAGTATAAGAGCCAGTTGTTTGGGGCATTGTTCCTTGTTAAGCAGTGAATTCCATGTTACTTGTTGCTTGGGGGGGAGGGCATGATTTTAATCCAGCTGGGCTTTTCCCTTCGAGGCGAAAGTCTCATTCAACATCTGTGGACAATAGCCTTTATTCATGAGTCGGCCAGATTAAATTGAACACCAGGTAAACTCGTTATTTTTGTCTAGCCTGAACAAGTTCAGGAAAGAGACTATGCAAACACTATGTCTGTACATGCCGGTATGTCTGTATGTGTATGTCATGTATGTGGTATTTTGGTCAAAGTTTCAAAGAATTTCTCTCATTTCAAAAAGTTGAGGTCCAATTGGACCCAAACTGGAATCATAAATGCAACATGGCAACCTGCATATGAAACCTTCATGGTTTCAGATATTAACAGATGCAAGAAGAGTTCTAACACAGATACTTACGATTGCTGTAAATTTCAGGATATTACAATGAAAATCATTAAAATGCATATAATGGCATGATCCTTAAAACTATCTGGTTTTTTGGTGCTTTGTTCAATGAGGGCCGTTGCCAATCTTCAATAAACACTCTTGACATGGCACGTCATGCCCTGCAATTGAACTTTTGTTATTGCCCAATAATTTGTTTCAGTTGATAATTTATAACTCAAGCATGTTTGTCATAAAGACCACACATTGAACTGAGTGCACTGCATACTGCGGTAAATTATTGCCAAAAAAAAAAATTAGTTGAAGACAAAATTCCTAGGGTTGTTACAACATGCATTGACTAAAAACCCAAGGAACCTTGGTGAAACACCATCTGAATCCTACGAAACTGATCTGCAACAAGTAGTAGAGACTGGGCCTACTTTCCTCAATCCTAGAGAATCCTCCAAACCCTCCTGATGGATTTTGATAGCTCTGATAGGATAAGGGTTAATTTGAAAAAAGTGTAGAATCCTGGCACCACCTCTTTGGTTGTGTACAAAGTCTAGGGCATGTTGGGAGAGTCCAATGCATTTTCAAAGTATTTCCTAACAAAATTTGAAATGTTTCTGAGTCCTAGATTTATGTCAGTTCAACATTTCTGCAATGACTGACCTTCATTGAGATAACATATATGAACAAAAAGTGGTGTCAGGATGCAACATTCTTTAATGGGCCTTAGGCACGAGTTGGCCATTTTTGTCGTGTTCCCAGAATGTGTTTCATAAATTGTGACCTGTTGATTGGGATGGTGCCAGACTATTTATTCACTATAGCCTCACTTGCATTTTTTTTTTAAATGTGGCTTAAAACATTAATCACAAATTTTGAATGATTCATCTGAGCAGACTGGTATTAATTTATAAACGTAATTGCTTTCATTTCTCTACACAAGTTCCAAAATGAAGATTTTACCTCACTCTCAATCCAATATGGCCGACTGGTGAATAAGGCCCATTTGATCATTTTGAAAAATTAAAGTGACACTGCGGCATGTCATGATTGATCACTGTCTACCGCATCGGATGAAGAAGCAGACATGGTTAATCACTAGGATCAATAAGAGGCTCCGTGGTTGTTTACTGTATCCGTGACAACGGGTTGCCTATCCCCCGCAAAATTTGAACAAGGACTGTGCAGAGTGTGATCTGTTGCTTTCAGATGTATTGGCATATATGCACTTGTAATAAGCAAAGGTTATGAAAACTAGACTGGGCCCAATTTCATGGCACTGCTTAGCACAAAAATTTGCTTAGCACAAAAATAGTCTGGCTTATAAAAGCAGGTAACCAGCCAAAACTCCACGTGATGTATATTACTTGGGATAATTGCTCGTGATCAGTATTCAGCTGTTGTTTGCTTAGCATGAAAATCACATGGAGTTTTGGCTGGTAACCTGCTTTTATAAACCAGACTTTTTTTGTGCTAAGCAAATTTTTGTGCTTAGCAGCGCCGTGAAATTGGCCCCTGTTCTTTCTCGCCCACAAAACCTACGTTTCAGGGAATCTGTTTAAATTTAATGACAGATCTTTACATCTAAAAACCAGCCAATTTTGATTCCAGAAATAATGATTCCTAACCCTAACCCCCCTAGGGGTTCCGCAGGACTACCCTGCTAAATCTAACATAGTCCAACGGTTACTTCCTGCTCAATCCAACAGAATCCAACTGTGCCTAATTTTAGTTGTCTGCTGGATCCAACAGAGTCCAGCTTGGCGTTATTTGTCAGTACCCAACAGAATCTGACTCCCATTGATGTACATTTGTACAAGGGGTTTACTGCTCAATCCAACAGGCTCCAACGGGTTATTGATATAGTTGGACCTTGTTGGATTCAGCAGGGGAGGTGTTGGCTTTTTCCTTGAAGCATTTGAGCTTTTCAGAGAGAAAAAAAAGGACTGCAAAATATTTTACAAAAGGGAATGTATAATAATAATAATAGCAGGTTCTTACATAGCGCTTTTAACAAAGATCAAAGCGCTTTACATTATTATTACCCCTGATCATTGGGCCAATTAAACATTCCAAGTACCATCTCAGCTCCCTGGGGAGTGTACAACTCGATGCTGCCTGTTAGGCAAAAGGAAGCTAATTCAACCACAATAACCATCTCTGCCCTCACAGGTACCCATTTACTCCTGGGTGGAGAGAAGCAATGAGTGACAAAGTGCCTTGCCCAAGGGCACACGCACCATGACCCCGGCTGGACTTGAACCCACAACCCGCAGCTTTACCCGCAGACCACAAATCCAGTGCTCTTGACCACGAGGCCACAGCACTCCACAATGACATGTATTATACATGTTCAAAATTAACATTTCGAAGTCTGAGAAAATATTCTGCTGGTATTGAAACATCACACCCGCCAAACTTTAACCCTTTAAAAAAAAAATGCAAGAAGTGGCTACTGACTGCTACATGTTGACACATGACCATGATCTTATCTTTTATTAGTGACATGCAGCAATTGAATATTTCTAGAATATAATTCATAAATTATCACATGCCTGAACAAAAATTATGGATATAATAGTTTGCCTTTACATTGAAGATCAAAAAAATATTGGGAGTCTCAGACTCATATAGAACTGTTTAATGCATATTTTAAAATTGTTTGTTTCTTTATTCTCTGGGTATTTTTGCCTCAACTTCTAGATTTTTTTTTCCCCAGATGCGCGATAACATCATCACCCCACGTGACACAACAATGACGTTCACGTGTTTCGTCTTCTTTGACATGTTCAACGCCCTCAGCAGTCGGTCGCAGGTAAGCCTTTCTCTCCCCCCCCCCCCCCCCACCTATTTTCATGGAGTTACATGTTTGCAATTCAACAGATATATAAACGTCGATGCACAACTTGCCCAAAGTTTGTCCAAATCCCATCAATGAAACATGTACATATGTATATCACTTTGAAGCTTATTATCTGTATTTTATTGAAATGTAGTTTATTTCTGTCAGTGATCAACAGGTCGGCTGTTACTTGCACCCGAGAAATTAATTTAATAGGTACACAGAATAATCAATTTGTCTAAGTATGTCCGACACCATGGTGTTCGAGCTCTTTTCTGCTACAGCAAGAAAAGTTAGAATAGATGAATAATTTTTTTTTTACTCATTGTAATTATGCACATTGTACAAAGTAGAGAAGCATTGTGAAGCAAATTAATGTCCAGAATCAATCAATACATACAGCTATGTATCTGTGCACATCACATAGCCATTTTGCCGTTAGGCTTTTTTACTAAAAAAAATAATCTCTTCTATCAGCAGCTCAATAAAATTGGTAGGCCATAAATCCCCCCCAACCCTGTCTCAAATAGAGCATCTTTTTCTTTATTCTAGTACAATTTGTGTTAACAAACTTGAACCTTTGATTGATGTTGACAACTTTAATGCAGTTCTTCTGTCAGTTTAATATAACTGTTATTTTCAAGACATATTCATACAAGTTTTGTATTGCAGAGTTCAAAATAAGATAATGAGGAAAAACTGTTTACCATCATGAAAGCAGAATTTTTTTCCTGCCTTTTTTTTTTGAAGGGCTAATGGTGAGATAATTACTTTCAAGTTCATTTATATGATTCTTATTGCTGTTAATGCAAAAAAAAGAAGAAACCTCTACTCTGTTCCACAGATAAAGTCCATCTTCACGATTGGGCTGTTCACCAACCGCATGTTCATCTACGCTGTGGTAGGATCCCTCATGGGCCAGATGGCCGTTATTTATTTCCCGCCCCTCCAGAGGATCTTTCAAACGGAAGCGTTAACGGCATACGGTAAGTCGGGCATTAGTGGCCATTTGTTTCACTTCCCGCTTACATTCTGGTCATTGTTTTGCGATCAAATTCTGAAAGCCGAGTTGCAGTTTCCTTCATTTGTTTATACCATCAACACTGAAAACTGAAATTTTAGACTTCCTGGTTTAGGTTTTGTCAGCCTTTTTCTTCTGTTTTGTTTTTCTCAATCCCTCAGGTTAGTTTTTAAAGCTTCTGACAACTGTCTGTCAACATGAGAATATGTTTCTGTTTTACTAAATTGAACAGCTAAAACCTAACTCTCCCGATGCGTAAAATAATCCACTTGGAGTTTTGGGAAGATTCGGAAAGGATTGAGGGGGAAGTGGCATGGGGGGGGGGGGGGGGGAAACAGGTTGGCATATCGGTACTTTCCTTGCCTTCCACCGCTACGACCTGGGTTCCAATCCTATCCAAGGCCAACATGTGGATTGGGATTGTCCTTCTTCATTTTCATCCAGAGGTTATCTTGAATGGATGCCTAACAATGATATTTAAATAAATAGTTCCTTATGTAGAATAAGGAAGGTACAGCAAAATAAGTGCTGTGTTCTGAGGAAGAAACAATCCTGTGCTCTTAAACAAGTGTGAGTGCACAATAAGCTCTGGCCGTGTTACAAGAAGCCTTGCATGAAAGTCTTGCATGAAATTAATCAAAATGATCCCTGCCAGAGCTGAAAAAATGTGATGCCGAAAATGCGACGCGGATGGCACATATGGAACACCATACTTTTGGTCAACTTTCCTGGGACACACAGACAGACAGACAGACCATTTGACTGACCGACCGCCCACCAAGCGACATGTAAAGAGCACCTGTTGTGAAGTGATTCCTTTAAAATGTCGTCGCATGTTGTCTTCTATCCTACGCTGCTGAATCACGGGTCTACACCTAAATGCATTTGAGTTCACATTGTGATCACATTTCACATGAATGACAAACAGACTAATTAAAATAGTTCGTGGTCTGACGGCCTCAATGTGTGGCATAACATTGGAATGACGGCAGACCTTGTCAATGTGTAATTTATGGCTACGGTCAATCAAACCCAACTGCTTGTGTCTGGTGTAAGAATCCATTAATGAGACTTGAATAAATGTAATTTTCATCTTAGTACACTACCTACGTGTATGGAGCAATTCCAAGCTTGTGCTTGGCTGGCCGGCTGGCTGGCTGGCTTGGAGCTCCATTATTCAGCTGCCAATTTTTTCCTTGTCTACCCCTTTTTTTTGGGGGGGGGGGGCTTGTTTTTGTTGATTCAGAATTTGTTTCGACTCCTATTTCATTCTGGGTTTGTTAATACATTTTGTCAAATAATTTGTGAGGTGAATTTTTGGAATAATTTGTGTAAAAGAAATTTCATGTGATTGAATATTTTTTAAAGAAAATATTACGTTTTCCGTTTGCGAAAACCCGGTAATTCTCTTGCAACCTTGGAACAAAGATGTCAAATGAAAAATGAATGAAATAACTTTCCTTTTGAAATTGTGTTCCTATACCATGCAAAATTAAAACACCACAAGCTGAAAACTGTTTCAGAATTTAGAAAAACTCATGGAGAAATCATGTCAGTATGTGGAATAATTCACTTAAATCCCTTAAATGTGCAAAATACGGCTTTTAATTTGAAAGCTCAAGTATATTTCAAAGATGACGAATCCATTCATTTCATTCAGTTTCTGCTGCAATAACCAATCATCTCTCTAGATTACATTTTCATAGAAAGTGTCATTCTTTCATCAAATCTGAATCCAGAAATATTTGCAAAAATTGATTTGTTATGAATTTTTGGGTCTGAAATCAATTCATTGTATTGTTCTGTATCCTTGGGCAGTATTTAGTTTTTCTCTGAAAGCTGTTGCCGAGAATATTAAAAAAAATGTCATGTTGTCGTTTGACAAAGTCCGACAACCGTTCGCTCTGCCAGCTGTTGCCAAAATACAGAACGGAAGGACAATTAATACCAAACAATTTATTGTAAGGTATGGAATTAAAAACCAATTTATAATTGATTTTTATAATACCCAGGTCTCACTGACCTTTATATATCTTATGGTACATTTATTTTGCTCTTTAGTTATTATTGTGTTTTTTTCTAATTGTGGAGGATGAAATTATTAAACGATTATATGATTGATTTTTGTATTATCTCCAGGGCTCTCTGACCTTTGTGTGTTATGGATTGGATGTATTTATTTTGCTCTTTAGTGTTATCCGATTTTTTTTCTGATGGAGGTTAAATATTCAGCTTGTGATATATATCACTCCTATCAAAGTACAAATTCTCTTGACCTCGAAAAAAAATCACCAATTTTTTTTCCAAGCTTCAGTCCACAAAACTATTAACAAATTAACATGGTTCAGGTACAAAAAAAACCTGTTAAAGGGAATATACATTTGCAAACATCGAAAAATAAAACTACCAAGTTTTTACGAAATATCTTACTAGGATGTTGGTAAATGACTCACAAGCATTCTGGTGTGAAGTCATTTTCAAGAAAATTGTATTTTTGTATACATTTCCAACGGTGGTCGGCCGACCACCGTTGGAAAAACCTAACTATTGTTCAACAACTGCTCCATATTTACCATTTGTTTCAGTTCAAATTGTGTTTGCTATTGGTAACATGCTCATGAATGGGTGCAGGCCAGCTAGACTGGTTCCCTTACCTTACAATTTTCCGGCATCTATAATTTGATCCATTTCATCTTTAGTGAAGTCAGGGAACCAGACTACTTGAACATTTTTGTTTTTCTTGGTTTTTCGAGCATTTTCAGACACAAAACTTCAAACATGTCAGTGTAACAATATTTTGATCTACTATAGTTACCCCTCAACTAGTTCATTTCTGAGAATTACAGTGAAAGCCAATGATGTACATTCCCTTTAAGCTTATTTTTTATTTTGCCCAAATTTCTACAGAACCAGTTTTGAAAGTTATTTTAGTATTTCTTGCCCCCTTTTATATTACCTGTAGTTACTTTACATTTTGTAATCTTAAGATGGTAATTGGGAACTTATGGAACCTCAATTTGGTCTGAAATCCACCTGATGATTTTGAAAGATGTAGTAGGGTTAAATCTAGCCCTTTAAAGGGGTCATGCGATGAAGTTTTCTTAGGAATATATATTTTTTTGTGCAACTTTCTTCTCCTCTTGAATGTATGCATAAACTATTTGACGTTCCTTTTTGGTTAAATTTATTGAAAAGTTAAGTGCGCTTCTTTAAACATTTAAAATATTCCATACTTTCCCGGACAACTGAGGGCGCTGTTACTGTGATGTCATTCCAGGAAGACACTGTTCAGTTTTGGGGTTTTCAGTTCAAATTGTGAACCCAAAATTTGCTCATTGAAAGCATTTGTGAGAAAGGGTTGCTCATTGGATTTATTCTGCCATGTACTTAAACAAAAACAAATCACCAAAGAAAAATAAGCGTACGCCACCAGAATAGAATATCCAAAATTCTAGCAACTTCTTGTGATGAAATAGCTGTAACATTGAGGTTTCTGTCCGGAATGACATCACAGTTTTGCTCATGAATATTGAAAAGGCACCAAAACACCCATGAAAATGGCAAACTGAACATTGAAAATAAGGTGAAATGGGACACGCAGGGGCATTTCCAAGGATTTCACAATTACATCGCACATGGCCCTTCAACTTTACACAGGGATTAATGCCCTGTGAAAGTACAAAGAATGTGACATGAGTTTCTGCAGAGTAGTGGATTTTGGAGAATTAAAAAAACATTTTCAGAAAACTGCATTAGTTTTAATTGAATAAATCATGTGGTTTGTTCTTTGTCAATTGATTGTAGATTTGTTACTTCTCACGGTATTAACCTCCTCAGTCTTTGTCGTCTCGGAGATTAAAAAACTGATACAGCGACGACGAGATAGACACTACGCCGTCAATCAGCCGTTCAAACACGAGTACGTATGACACTCTCCACAATGCTGTGCCTAGCTGCATGTAGTTTTACTTAATTTTTTTTTTTCAGGGAGTAAATATGTAGATATACAATTGTCTTTTTAAAAAACATTTCTGTAGGTGCTTAGTCTTGGTACAAGTCTGGATTTATATTTTTGTTTCCCTCTGCAGTCAGTGGTAGAGGACGCTATCAACAGAATGAATCAGATCAAAGATTGGGAACTTTGGCACTGTGTTCCAAGAACTTGTCCGGCTAGTGCCCGTGTGTGTTATATGCTGGGGATTTCTCGAGTCCAAGTGCCTAAATTCCCAACATCAGATTTTATTCATTGTGTTGATGGTTCCCAGCACTGTCGTGGCTGCTTCAATGCATATGGCAGGGACCGGTGGCATTAGGAGAACAAATAAGAAATCCAGACTTGATCCAAGACTAGTAGGTGCTGAACTACTGATCTCTATATAAAGACTGGATAGCAGATATCAATACACCAGTCACACAGTAGACTTTGCATATTGACCAATTCGCCCCCGGTCTCACGAAGATGGCCGTGTATAAAATACGAACGTTCTACGCGTATATACAGCGCGCGTTATATCAACCGTTGACGCGTATTTTGGTCACGTACACAATGATGTTCTAAAAAGGACACATTTCCGTAGTGATTATTATTTCCAAAACGCAGAAAAAGTGAACTGCGGCATTAAAAAGTAAAACCACGATGTTAGAAAAATTGTGAACCTTGGTCAGTAGTGGTGGTCAAAATTTAAGTCAAGTGAACCGCGAAGTTACAAAAGAAATAATGCTGTCCATAAAAGACGGCAACTTGTCCTTTGTAGATCACCAGCCGGTCTCACCAATATGGCGTCAAATTCATTCATTGTGCGGGTCTTTATCCGCTATCCAGTCTTTATATAGAGATCAGTGTGCTGAACCCACATTTAATGAGTGACATGTGACTTACTGGAGAGGGGGCTGAACCCGTAATCTCTGAATTGCCATTCCGGTGCTCTACCAACTACCAATCCGACCAAAAAAATGATGGATGATTCTGCCCGTGTTATCCAAATTGTTATGCTCGATTGGTTACTTGAGTCCGAAAAAAATAATAGCACTTCGGGGTTCTACAGTGATGTATAATTACCATTGGAATTTCAACAGGCAACAAGCATTTAATAAATTATAAATACATGTAGATAAATTTATGTATTTAGCTTGTGTGACTTTACCAAACCGTGTGCAACCTGCAGAAATGTTCACTGAGTCCTTGTCCTTGACTTGAAATTGAGATTGTGTTTAAGTATTAATTTGTGAAAATTAAATTTTACTATAGTTTTGTTTTGAAAAAAAACAAAAAAAAAAAAAACCGACAGTGCACTCTGAGGGACCAAATTTGAAGAGATGATAAGCACAGAATGGTGCTACTGCTAAACAATTAATTTTTTTAAAGCTACAGTCCATCATTTGCAGCTATCCGAAAAGTAACTGGCGTAATTATTGTTGAAAAACATTCTTGATTGAAAGATAGTTGAAAGTAGGGGGACTAAACTCCCTGTGAAATTATTCTTTCTGGCAAGCTGTCATTTTGAAGAAATCAACAAAAGAAGGCCTTTTCAACGGTGCTTCTTAAATTAGTTGTTTTGTTATTCGACGAAGCGCGTGCAAGCATTTACATGACGCACACGTGCGCACAGTTGCTATAATTCATCGTATCAGTGCGCGACATCGCTCAGCTGCAATCGGCTCAGTGAGAACGTGTATCAGACGCTGAATTCAGGCCCAATGCAAAACATGATTCAGCAACTGTTGATTTGAAATCGAGATCCTAGAATGCTGTTTTTCTCAAAATATACAGCTGAAGCTGGGCTGAAACTTCAACAGGTTAGTTGTTCAGTATCCTTCTTTAGATTTTGAGCACTTTTGTTGCTTCAAACGAACAAAATGCACAAATTACAAATGATGGACTATACCTTTAAGCAAGCATAAGATGAGAGCCAATTCAATGGCTGCGTCCGAGTTACTTGCCTACGGCTGGAAATTATACATGTGCCTATGGAAACGGCTGCGGCTACTTCCCATAGAGCCGTGTGTTATTTCTAGCCATAGCCAAAGTAATTCAGACGCAGCCTATGAGCCATGTCACACTTTTAGCTTGTAGATCAATTTTTGATAAGCCAAAGCTTTTCATGCTAAGCAGGGCCCGAATTCATAAGCAGAAATCAACAGAGCACCAGTCACAAGCAATACGCACTGCATGACATTTTAGCTGGTAACCTGATTTGGTTAAGCACATATATTTTCTATGCTTGGCAATTGTGCTTACCAGCTCTGTGGAATTGGCCCAGATTTCATATAAAGTTGTGGTGGGGAAAACAATTTCAGTATTTAATTTCTCCGTTGATTTAAAGCTGTGAAATTATGTTGGATAAGTAGTCAGTGTGATTGTTGATAAGATCAGTTACTTTTATGTTAATTAGAGTTATGGTTTCGTGTGTGAAAGGTGGCAGATTCTTTTAATTGAAGATAAAAATTTATTTGGACACGATAATGATGATATTTTTCCAGGGATGATATTATGTGCTAGGCATGTCTAGTCTGTGAAGTAACTTTTATTTATTTATATATTTGTTTTGGTTGAATAACTGACTTTGATAGTGATTTAAAAAAAAAGTATGATTGTTCTTTAACACAGTGTTTATAGGTTACTGATAATATTGAAATTGTGTATCTTTCTGCACACAAGATGTCGATGAGGTGGGTGGAGCAAAGATGTGCATGGTGCAGTAGTTGTAATTCCTTATTTCGTTTTTTAAACTATCCCCTAGAATTCCTAATAATCTTTCAATATTTCCCACATCCTTTATTAGAAAACACATTCTCATAAAATTTTAGTGCAGCTCAAAACTCGCCCCTCTCTATTGACGTTCGATGTGCAACTTGCGATTGAAAATATTTAAGTAACACGGTACAAACATTTAGCTTTTCGCTGCTTAAACTTGAACAAAAGTTTATAGTTTTTTATTCACAATCAACTTGTAATATATTAACTTCAATTGCAAATATACTTTTATATAGAACTTATACCTGCTACTTCAGTTTTGTGAATACAGTTTGAATTGTAATACAGTATGTTTTTGCTTTCATTTCTTTAGCAATACAGCATTGCAATGTCTTAATTATGCCGGTGAGATTTATAGCTAACTTTATTCTAAAAAGATATTATATTTAAAAACTGTTATGACATTTAAGTTAGAGAAAAATATTTTCGAAAATTTTTTTCAGCTGTTGCGTACTTATTAAATAACTGCTAAAACATGCTTACAAGAATATTTGTATCACTGGCATACATTGCAAATGTTATTGGACAGGTACCATGACAACGAAAAATATTGATTTGGAAAAGCGTTTTTAAACGAGCACAATTTTATGTTCATGACTTTAAAGAAAATCTTGTATTTTCTGCAGACGTCTAGCACATCGGCGTGGATTTAATCTGGTTAAAATGTTAGAGATGCAATGTTTTACTGAAAATTGTTTTAATTTCCCAATATTTGTCTATCCAAAATTTAGCCTACTTTTGTATTTCCCCCCCCCCCCCCCAAAAAAATTACAAAAATGGCTACCTCTTTGGGAGAAAAAGTAGAATAGTACTCATTTCAAAATCGATTCCCTGTAGTACTGCACCAGTATTTCTGATCGCTGGTAAACGTTGCATATGCTACAACTACCCCTTTATGTATGAATTAGGCCACAGTGCGACATATTAGAGAAAAAAATAACTAATACTCAACAGTTCAGTGCATATGCGTGTCATGGTTTTAAAAACAGCGATATTTCTTCTGTCATGATCAATTAAAAAAAAAACCTACATTGACCTGTGGACTGTACTTCACTGGACTGTACTTCACCGGAAGAGAGAGACCTCCAGCTGCTCTCTCAGCTAAACGAAAATGTCCTTGTCATTTACTGCGTGGTTCACGTAGGTTGGGGGCTTGCTAATTATTTTCTTTCTCTGAGACTAAAAAAATACTTTATTGAGTACCGGTATTTTTTAGTGGTGGCTTACGACACATACTTGTAAAAAGTGGGTACATGTGTTTATATAAAAGTCTATTTACGTTAATAAATAGTATGAGATATAGACTCGTCCTTTGTTCTGCCTGCAATCTTTCGTGTGTTCGTGATATTTGCAATACCTGCATTGTTGCGTTTTGTAGGTAGGTACGGGCGGTTTGAAGTCTCGTACGGAATGCAGGTGAAGTACGAAGCATGTTAGTTTTTTTAACTAACTGAAAATTCTTCAACTTAAATATATCGTACGTACTGGATAATATTACGTATACGTAATACGAAACAAAAATCTCTGTAGAAAGGGCCTTGGGGATGTCAGTTTCGGAAGTCCGTTTCCTTCGTGAGCAATGGCATTTTCACAGTTTAATACTTCACTTTCAAAAGACCGCCAACATGCATGGAAACCGACCTTGATGAAATGAATCTTTAGTCTTTACTAGCAACAAGAAATTGCTTCAGTAATTTAAGACCTCAGTAAATTAGTGCGAAAGTGTTTTCTTTCTCTCTTTTTTTTTGGGGGGGGGGGGAGGTACCAGAGAGCCAGCCAAGCGTCCTTTTTGTCCCTATCTGACTGGCTGACCATGGAGGTAGTTTCCTACCTCCATGGGCTGACTGACTCTCACTTGTGAGCCGCGCAGTTCCATCGTGTAGGATCACCTCGTAGAGCCAATTAATACTAGACTAAATCCGGCTCCTTGTGTAGACCAGATGCATGAAAAGACATTCAGTACACAGCTATTCGATAGAATAGAATTGTGTGCAGTTGGGACCTACTAGCTTGCCTTGTCTTACTTTGTTAATAGACCTTTATCATGCTTCCACCATTTTAGTCATGTTCCCTGTATCCAATAACAGTACTGAATAATAATGTTTTTGTGCAAAAAGGAACCAGACTATTTTTCCTTCCAGCCTCGCTTTGGTTACATTGATCTGAATGGGAAAAAAAATCAAGCTGCAACATGATAATGGTCATATGGAGATCAATGATAATGGTCTACAGCAACCTCGTCCCCAGGGTGTCGAGCAGTACGCGCCCACCACTACCTGCTCTCTCACCCTGGTATTGGATCATTTGCATGTGCAAGATTTTTGAACATGTATGCAAATGAGGAATAGTCTGGTGCCTGGATATGCGTTACACATTAGCGTTTGTTTTTGTATGCGGTGTCTGGGGTAAATACAGAGTCAATTCGTAGCAGCGCGAGCACGGCGTGAGTTACGAAAACACGATTTTTGAAATCAAACTGTTACGATCTTATCGAGACAACATGCAGTATCATATTTCATATTAATATGAGCAAATTGGAAAGGAAATTAGTATTTTCGAGAAGGCGTGGACGAATGATCGCGAAAACACGTACTGCACGTTGTGAATAATAGCACCAAGTACACGATAAAAATCCATTACTAGCCAATTGCGGTATCCAATCAGGATACAGAAGAAAGTTTACTATCCAGGGTTTACTATTGGAAACGCGGTTGGAAATAAAGTAAGCACTGGGGACGAGGTTGGCCTGACCTACAATTTAAGACGTGAGCGTCGGGAATAATTGTCAGGTCTGGGAACCAGACTAGATCTGATTGGGGAAAAAAATCAAGCTGCAACATGATATTAAATGGTCTACAGGCTTTCATCGTGTGTAGCTCAATTAATATCGCACATGTGTGTCGTGAGTGTAAAAGTGTGACTAAGATATTCCTAGTAATTTTGAGCCTGTTGATGAATTATTTCCAGCGCCACCGAAACGCAAAAGGCTTTGTTTGCCGTTTGCACACGTGTTCCGTGCCGGGGACAAAACGTCACCGTGCACCAGCCGGCCCGGCGAACGCAACGACTCTCACAGGGCGTCAAACACGGGTTAATCATTGAACCGATTTGGTACAGTTTCTCTTGACCTGTGTGAGGCGGGGCGAAGCGATATTTACAGCCATTTCGATACGGAAGAATAATATTGTGAAGTGGGGATATCTGTGTCATAATAATAAACTAGCATCAATTTCAAACCCAGTTATACATGTACAGTAAACAAAATGTAATCGTTTCTTATCAGTAAAGTGGGTACATGTATACGGCGCAAAATTGTCAGTGGAAAAGAATCAGCTGGGTTTTTTTAACAGAAAGACAATTTCTAGCAATCATGATTTGTGAATGATGATAATTAATTAGATGGAAATGGTTAAAAATTGCGAGCGATGATAAAGAAAAAACAGTGGATGATTTTATATCTAAGTTTGTTTTTGGTTTTGCTTATGTTTCGAAGAAAAAACGTTTCTCCATTTTACGCAAGTTATTGATTCAAAATTGCCCCTATACTATCCGATTGGATACGATTTATTCGTTATTCTTTTCCTTCTATGTATACATGTACTCTTACTTAAAAGTACATGTACTTTGTCACCGTTTTTCATTTTTCGACTTCGGAATTGAAAGTAGGGAGCTCAATTTCCCACGGTAATTGAAATTGAAACGAATAACAGGTCCCGCTTATGATGAAAGCAGAACCTCAACCAACAATGATAACATCAAATGCTTATGTGTATTATTCCAAGTTATTCACGGAACCAAAACGAGTAGAGAAAGAGCAGAGTACTTTGTCACTTTTTCATTTTTCGACTTTGAATTGAAAGTAGGGAGCTCAATTTCCCACGTTAATTGAAATTGAAACGAATAACAGGTTCGGCTTATGATGAAAGCAGAACCTCAACCAACAATGATAACATCAAATGCTGATGTGTCTTATTCCAAGTTATTCACGGAACCAAAATGAGTAGAGAAAGAGCAGAGAATAATCGTGGGGAGGGCTGGCACAATGAGAGTCACAGTAGCAACTGTGCTATGGAAGTTGCCTTTTCCTCATGCATGGCCTACTGCGTATAGCATGCACATGCAGAGAATCAATAAACGAGCAACTACATGTACATGTATACAGTCAGTGGTTGTAGGCCTATAATTATTTACAAAATACTGCATGAATTTAATGCATAGGCCTAATATCAGGCGCGGTCCTAGAGCCTGTATGTTAGGGGAATAGCAGGGTTGGATCCAGGCGTGCTGAAATAGACCGGTTGTTTTCTCCGGACACATGGGCCTCCAAAAATCAACAGGTGTTGGGGGGGGGGGGGGGGGGGGGGCTCGTACCACATTTTCAGTGGGGAGCGCTGATAAATTCCTATTATCATGCACACTAGGCTTATATATTACCTAATAAATGTAGTGTACAAATGCCCCATTCTCACGACTATCTTTTATGGGGAGGGGGTTGAGACAATTCGCATGTGACGTCACCTTCTATAGACCTAATTGGCTACTGCTATTTTAATTTTTGTAATTATTTTGTTTCGGTGTTTTTTGGTGTGTGTTTTTTTTTGGGGGGGGTTGACAAAATCTCCCCGTATAACCGCGCCTGCATAGTACGAGTAATGGTCGTTCTGTCCATTTCGTGATTTATATGTATCTGCTCATACTCTATACGTATTCAGAGCTCCACAATTCTATTTATAAGTGGGTCCGGTAAGTATCCGAAGGCCATGCATGCAAAAGTCATCGGTAAGAATTAAACCACATTCTACACATTTCATTGAACATTATATTTTAATGTTTTGACTACATGTATACGCTATAAAAGTCACACACGAAGATAGATCCTTGCACTGCACATTAAAAATTCTTGCACTTAATTTCACGAATATAAAATAAGTTCGGTTCTACTCTTTCTCATACCTGAAAATATTTTATGCACACTTAAAACTATTGTACAAACATTGATTTCGCTTTGATGTATAAAAACGTTGTAGGCTACTGATACCTAATTGTGCACCATGATTGTGGTAGAATCTGTACCTTTGCCTCATTCAACAAAGGCTGCTGTATGAAATCAGTACACTTCAGTATTTCCATTTTGGCACTTAACATTGCATTTATCTATTCCATTCAAGGTTACATTTTTAGTTATATGTGCGAGAAAGAATGGAACAGTAAGATACTTAATGGAGGTCTTCATTTACTACTCGTCTCCTTTTTAAAGGAAAAAAAGCACGCAATTATGTATAGCATAATACTGTAATGCAATCATTTTTTTTAACGCAGTGACAGAAAATTAAATTATCTGCCGACTGAATGCGTCCAATTACCCTGTTTTTTCCTGTGTCAATTGCCTTTTATTGTTAACAGCGTTTTTGTTTGGTTGTTTTGGCTTTGTTTAAAGAAGAGGGCACAACAGTTTGAAAACACATTTACTTCTGAATACAATTTAGGTATATTTTCATGTCAATTTATGGAAAACAGGCGTCACAGTTGCAAACTGCCGCTGTAAACGTACAACGATATACAGTAATAGAAAACTTGATTTATGTATGTAAATTTTTACATGTATTAACATTATATAAGCATTTTAGTCTTTGAAAATGTCGTCCACTATATATCCTCGTTTTCTTTTAGCCTCCTGCGGTTTTTTAGGAGTTGGAGGGGGTGAGTCCTCATGTTCTGTTCTCTCCTGCCCGTCAAATTGTTGTGATTTGAAATCATCCTCTGCAGTCACAAAATCGTTCACCAGTTTCTTTTTGGACTTTGTGGATGAGTTGAGCTCGTCATCCCCACGGGAAGAATCGCCGTCTTCCCCGGTAGGTCCGTCCTTCTTTTCCGGTGGTTGGCCCTCCTCGTCCGGAGCGACTTTTGTGGGCTTCTTGGTCAGGAAAAGGTAGAGGTAGTAGAAAAACACGACGATGAAGCCCTCTATTCCGGACACGATGGCGATCAGGAGCGGTATGACGGCCACAACGTCCGACTCTGGGGCCACGTAAAAGAGTTTTGCTACCGAGACTGCGAGAAGGGTGTTCTGGCATCCTGTCTCGATGGCGATTGTGACGGAGGTTATATAGTTGAAGTTGGCTATCCGGGCTACCGCCATCCCGAAGAAGGCACCGATCAGAGTCAAGATGGAGGATGTGACCCAGACTTTCCAGTCGCCGAAGAAGACGTAGTACTGAGCTGGGATGTAGAGAACCACTCCCAGGACCATCAGGAGAAAAGTGAAGGGCTTGACCAGCTTCAGACAGAACTTTCTGGCCTTGGGGAACTTGTAGAAGAATGGGACTCCGATGACGAGGGGCAGGACGAGTCCACAGAGTTGGATCAGGAGCTCCTTGAAAGGCGTCTCCAAGCGGCCATCCCCGTCAATGAACGGCTGGGCGTAGATAAAAAGATTCAAAGGCATCATCCCCACAGCTATGAAAGTAGAGAAGGTGGTCATAGCCAGACTGAGGACTAGATCACCGTCTAGGAGCAAGACCTCGATGTTACTGAAGAATCCACCTGGGCAGGTGCCGACTAGGACCAGGCCAACGGCCGCTGCTCCTGTCATGTCGAAACACTTGGCCAGGGCGAAAGCCACCGGAGGCATGATGATGAATTGGCACAGCATCCCGATGATGATGCCCCAAGGGGGTTTAATTCTCTCCCAGAGAACTCGGGGTTCCACCTTGGCTGCCATGACCACGTACGAGATGACGAGCCACACTACCAAGATGATGGTAGCGATGTTTCCTAGCTCCTGAAACGGGGGCCCGACATTGACAATCCTGGAGGAAATCTCCTTTGAATCTTGGACGATCCTGACCCCTCCCCGGCCGACGAACTGCCCGTGGATGCTGACCAGAGTGCTGAAGGGGAACGTCGTGTTTTCATCGATGATAAATTCCACCGTCTCGGTGAGCGTTACCACACTGGTGTCTACACTCTCAAGGCTCAAGGCGCCCAGTAAGTCCGAGTAGGTCACCGTCATGTTGAGTTCGACGGTTTCCTTAAATGTTACAGCCGCTTCCTCGCTGTTACCGATAGTGAAGTTGAATTCCCCCATCACACAGCCAGAGAGGTGCATCAGAACACAGTAGAGCAACAAATGCCTGAACATCGTGCACTGACAAGATCGAGTCCGTAGCTGAAACATAGTTCTATTTCTCGTCACTCCTTTTATCAAAATTCTGATATCTCTCTCGAAAAACCTGCCTTCTATCTGAACAATTGTCCTGGCGAAGTCCCACACGAGAAGCTTTCAAATTCAGTGTTATTCCAATGCGACCAAAGTTCACTTTGTAAAAAATGATAACAATCTCCTACCGCCACCGCTACCAGTGCAATGTGGTGCATGTCGTTCTCTTTCTACTGGCGTTTTTCTCCTTGTGCATTGGAACGGTTCATTCAGCCATCATCATCAGTTTATGAGGGTCAGGCGCGCTCGCTTTAATTAGCCTAACAATCGTTGCCTTGAGAACGCACCAACAAACTACCGCTGGCTCGAGGGATGGGGAAGTGACTGTCTATGTACAGAAGGAACCGGTGCATGTTGCTGTGTGCGTTGGAATACAAGAGGAAAAGAGAAAACAAATCGATAATGTTGCATAATGTTCGGCGCGACGCAGTGAAAGGGGTGCAGATTAAACAAGAACAAATAGGTACCGGTTATTTCGGTAGGATGACTTGCAACTTTCGTATTTTTACAGCGCTTAAAATACCCTACATACTAATAAGTAGCTCTACCTATGTGGCTTAATTTTCATATTTGGGGTGGTGATGGATATTTATTATGATAATTAGGCCTACCATCAGAGTGACTGTTATTGTAATGATGACAAACTCGGTTACTTACCAAGGGTTCTGCGCGGAGTTAGAGTGATCTCACTAATAACAGGTGTTTTATTCATTATGTGTTAATTCGTTGTATTCCGTTCTGTGATCTGCGGTTTGGCACACTCAATACGTTCATGACGTACGGACTTTTATACATCAAGGTTTGACGGGATATCAATTGACAAGGATGTTCGTGTTTCGTTATGGAAATTTGCACAATGACGTCACGGGCTATCTTCACGGTGGGTCATATAGTGACAATAAAAAGCCAGGAAACTGGATGTATGCCGCTGCGAAACTATAGTGCACTATTCTCCTCGTAAAGTAAACATCATATTCCAAAAATAGTTTTCTTTGGACAATAGTTTTATATGGAAAGAAGTAAACTCGGAGCTGTAAATATTTATGATTATCGTTTCGGTTTGCGGTAACACCATGTGGTAATAACTACTGCTTAGAAGATATTAGTTCTGAAAAGAACTTGTACTGCTTATTATCAACTTTGCTAAGTAGTTTTTGTTCTGTTAAGAATAGTCCTGCTGTAAGTTCTAAACGAACTTGTCTTTGGTCTCAACGTTTCGACTAGCCTGCTCTAGTCATCGTCAGTCTCCTGACGACGTTTCGACTAGCCTGCTCTAGTCATCGTCAGTCTCTTGACGATGACTAGAGCAGGCTAGTCGAAACGTTGAGACCAAAGACAAGTTCGTTGAGACCAAAGACAAGTTCGTTTAGAACTTACAGCAGGACTGTTCTTAACAGAACAAAAACTACTTAGCAAAGTTGATAATAAGCAGGACAAGTTCTTTTCAGAACTATTATCTTCTAAGCAGTAATTATTACCACATGGTGTTACCCGCAAACCGAAACGATACCGATACCCCACCATGCAAAGCCTCAAATCTTATATTTATGAGTACCTTGTTTCAAATGTAGAATACAATTTTAGAAGTAATTTTGTTTTGGACTAAATGAGTTTATCAATCAAATTACGTTAGCTTAATAATGCTACCGTGACACTTCTGTTTCATAAAGCTGTTAAATATTGTCTAGCTCCAAATGTTATCCATTATCCATTACAATGTGTTATACTATGGTTGAAATATGGGTATACCTAATTTTGCAACAAAAGTTACTCCAAGAATTAAATTAAGGATTAAAGCAAGATTACATGTATTAACTATACCAAACCAACCCACAGCCCACGTTATGCAAGCGAGCTAGTGGTGGAAATTGTGGTAGAAAACGACAGGGTCTATACGTATGATACCAGTCAACCGATATTCCTTCCTGTTATTAAAATCAAATTATCGATACCCGCATAATATTGACATTGGAATTCTATGTGGCGCGTCTCTCTCGCAAATATTGACACTGATGAAACTCGACGAGCAGAGTCGCGCTATTTGAGTAAATTAACTTTGGTATAACTGAGGGTACGTGGCACGGTATGACAATGTTCTGTAATTCATTTTTTTTCTCCCTTGCTGGCTACTATGTAAGTAAGTATAGAGACTGTGTCAAGAGCCGATGTGGCCCATCAGGCCGGCGTTTATCTCCGGTTTCAGTAGCAAGAAAGGACTGAGAATTATTTCTACTCCCTCTGGATGGGATGCTTGTACATCGCAGGTTACTCCCAGCTAATGCTGATATCCTTTTATACTCCTGGGTGGAGAAAGGCAAGTGAGGGTGAAATTGCTTGCCCAAGGACACAACATATGACCGTCTGCTGGATTCGAACCTCTGACCCTCTGATCATGAGTCACGAACCCTAACCACTAGCCACACTAGCCACACTAGCCACACTAGCCACACTAGCCACACTAGCCACACTAGCCACACTAGCCACACTAGCCACACTAGCCACACTAGCCACACTAGCCACACTAGCCACACTAGCCACACTAGCCACACTAGCCACACTAGCCACACTAGCCACACTAGCCACACTAGCCACACTAGCCACACTAGCCACACTAGCCACACTAGCCACACTAGCCACACTAGCCACACTAGCCACACTAGCCACACTCCCCACTGGTTTCTATGTAGTAATGATTTATTTGTAAGAAAATCATGGGTCCATTATTTAATAACTGAAAACAACACAGCAAAACAAAAATCACAAAACTTGTTTTTGTTCTCCTTTTATTTTTAATTTATTTATATAATATTTTTGATGGCCATTTTCATCAAATATTAGTCTGTCTACTTCGTGCACCGTGACCGACTGGTCCAAAGCATTCACCAAACTTGGCAGATAGATTCTTATAGCCCTAGAGAAGATATTCAGAAGGGGTGACGCCTAAAATTATTTTGGGAAGGGTGCCCAATTTGCATAAATCGTAAATAGCTGCCGTGTAATATATTTATTCCCATATTTTTGGTATATTTATAATTTTTTTGTAAATTGTTTGAAAATATTCTATTTGGGGATTCTACTCACATACCCTTACTTAAATAACATTTTCAGAAGCATACAAGTGACTGAATAATTATTGGGACATAATAGATCCAAATGGCTACCATTATACCCGAAAGTTGCCCGCATTTACCTTGTCCCAAGATATCATCAAGTAAAAGTAGTCTTGCAAACCTCAGTATTAACGAATTCACAAAGCTGCTTACTGGCACAGTTACCCTTATAAAACTATATGGAAAATCTTGTAAACAAGGACAACATCATGATATTTATCCTAGAATTTTTTTTTAAAAATGAGGTTACCGTAAATTGGGCTAAAAGTTAGGCGAAGGGTAACGTGGGGGACTTGAACAAGTAATTCAAGGAAATTCCACAGTATGCCTGTAACAAATCTGTTGACGTAGAAACATTATTTTGAGGGTCCCCCACGTTATGCAACCCTTCAGTCGTCTAATTTTTAGCCCAATTTACGGACACCTCCCCCCCCTTTTTTTCTGGGCTAAATATCATGTTATCATTGTTCACATGATTTTCCATATAGTTTTATTAGGATAACTGTGTCAGTAAGTAGCTTTGTGAATTGTAAGCTCTTCAGTAGTGAGGTTTGGCAAGACTACTTGGTGATATCTGGGGAAACGGTCAATGCGTGCAACTTTAAGGTATAGCCTAAATGACATCCATTTTGGATCTTTCATATTATATCCTCTTAATTATTGAGTCACTTAATATATGCTTTAGAAAATGTTATTTAATTAAGAATATGTAAATATAATCCCCAAAATATACTTCTCAAATATATATATATATACACCAAAACACGGGAATAAATATATTACATGGCAGCTATTTACGATATATCAGTGCAAATTAGGCACCCTTCCCAAAATAATTTCGGGTGTCACCCCTTCTAAATATCTTCTCTAGGGCTATAGGAATCTATTTTCCAAGTTTGGTGCTTTTAAACCAGTCTGTCACGATTCCTCACAAGCCACCTGACTGTATCTAGCGAGGGATATACATGTAGTACCAATTTGGGGTGACATACTTAACTTCGCTGGTTAACATTCACGAGTACCAGGAATGTCTCACCTTTGACTGGTTCCCGCACCCAATATAGGTAACATTCGAAGTAAGAATGGATAAAGGGATCAGGAACCAGTCTAGTCAAACACGTGTCAGTGGATGACGGATGATGAATGCGGTTGCGCTGTTTATGCACGGACTGGATAATATAGTTTCTACAAAGTGAACATTACGTACAAATATTATAGCATTACAAAGATGACAAAAACACATTGAAAATTGTCAAAAGGCACATCGTGGGATGGTGTTACATTATGCTGTTCTATAAATTTTATTAAGGAATTGATAAGTAAAGGGGTTTCAGGTTTGAAGATAGTGTACGGTACGCTTTAAAGAAATTGCCTTGGCTTTGCTGCTTATTAAAATTCGTCTCTTTTTTTAAGCACTTCCATATTATTGCTCAAAATAATGTACTGTTCGTGTAACAATACTAATTAATCTAATCTTTTCTTTCAAATTTACATAACAATATTAACAAACTTCAAAGTATTTTATTTCATGATTCATACCAAAATATTTCATTAGCCCAATATACATATATATCTGAGTATGTAATAAAATAATTATTAAAACAAAATAATTTTTTATTTTTTTAAAGATTTTATCATACTTGTCTAAAATCACACACATTTTGCGGACAAAATGACGGCTTGAAAAGAATAACTAAAAGCAATTAAAATACACAATCATAAAGTTGTTTCTTTTTGCATTTTGCGAGGCCAACTTAGTGGCCTACCTACTCTTTCAAATAAGTTACAAATGTTTTCGAAATACAATGTTTAAAATGAATATTTTGGTATACTTTGAATTCGCAGGCACACTGGAAAATATGTAGTTCAATAAAACAAACATTTTTCCTTTGAACAAAATGGATAAAATAATTTCCTTTGAACATTCACCTAAATTGGGTCGTCTCTTTTCGCGCATTAGGGTCATTACGAGTACCATCGTACTAGGGTGCAGTGAACCAATTCAAGTGAGAATTTCTACGCGAGCTGATTAGCATAAAAAGTGACCCCACAGTTTCTTTTGAAAACGGAGACCATTTGGCTTTAAAAACGGTGGAATTGTGTAAATGTAGCCAAGGATCAACTCCCTGGTTTTGGGGCTTCCATCTGAGGGCAGGCTTGATAAAATTACGGTTGAAAAATGGGTCCTATTTGCCTGAGAAAGTGGAAGGATGCCACTTGTAAAACAGCTACATGCAGGCTTGGGAACTATCACTTTTCGGAAGGTGATTTTGTTTTGGTGTGAATGTTTAAAAATGTAATCGGCTAGTCTACCCAAAATTGAAAAGAAATGAAAAGATGAAGTACAAGACAATAATTTAATTTTTGTTTGAGAAACCCCAGTGATGTCGGCTTGTGCAAGTTATTTGGCCCTGAACTTGGTTGATTTTACACTGTTTTCAATTGGGCTTGAATTGGTTCAGTGCACCCACTAGCTGAACTGCACGTGACCCCCAGATTACTTCCGGGTCAAACTACCGGATCATTAATTCCTCGCCAGTTCCTAATTCCCAGAAACGGGTGGGTGCGTTTGTCACGTATATCCGGTTCGTTAGTGTGACGTCACCTCCAGCGCTTTCTGCACGATTGGAACCGGAAGTTAACGCAGCTCGAGCATTTGTAGCCAATGGGCGCTAGTAATCAGTGGTGCGCGTGCGTGTATGACGTTTTTACTAACGAACCGGATAGCATGCACAATCCTCTGTGAATTACATGTACATGTAAGTGTCTCATATAAAATATCGTGTCTTCCAAAATACAAGAATTTCAACCGACCACTATTTCAAGAAGTACGGCAATTCCTACAAATCCTCTAGTGTTGCGTTTACACCGTCGGTGTTTAACTAACACGGCATTTTCAGTGTTGGTCTCCATTAAAAATTAATAATTAGTACTGAATACGCACATACCACTACATACAGTTATTTTCACACATGTAAAACAGTCTTCTCAATAAACAGGGGAAATGTACAGCATAAGAAAAGCCTAAAACAAAATTTAACTTCAAATACTTTTTATTTGTCAATTTACAGTTATTTTGGTCTTTCTTGGTAAATCGCGTGCAGAGAAAATCTTTTAGTTTAATTTGCCTTCAAAAAGGTCAGGCGTATGTACTGAATACGGACGCAAGCGGCCATTTCGGAAGTTGGCATTTAGTACTGCTCGCATAGGCCATTTTGCCAAATCTCGGCGTCGTACCAGATGATTCTTCAGGCCCATGTTTCGTGAAGCCCGTTTTAAGGCTTACATGCATGCGGTATAATGGTTCTGGAGCATAGTCTGGAGCCAGACTGATATGAAACCACACCGGAGACGACGCTGATGTTTGAGGAATGTACCACATTTTGCAGAAACTCGGCTGCCATAATAATTACAAGTACGATATATTGTATTGTGTACGACTCGCAATTTAGTATTTTGTAAGTTTTTAACTTGGTGTTTGTTTAAACACTGATAATATTGATACGGAAAGACTAAGATATAAAATGTTTACAATGGTAAGTTTGATTTAGCTTATATTTAATTTCCTTTCATGTTTTAAGGCACTTAATGTCTGCGACATAATCTTGAATACTATACAAAGATGATATTGGGATTTTGGACAGCACCCAACTTCCAACTTAAATAAGGCCAAACACGTAATGTTATTCTCAAAGTGTTGTTTTGTCCCGATTTGTGGAAAGGCAAGTTCTCCATAATTCAACTTTCTAAATATCAAGGAAAGTTTAAAAACATCTAATAATTACAACAGAATTCAAATATTGTCAGCAAAATACTATAATAGCTGTCCTCTTTGAAATACCGTCTCCTGACCAGAAAATGAGCAAAGGGCATCCAACAGACCACAAGACATTCAGTACAAACAGTGCCATTTCTCTATTTCAGATAAACACTAAAATAACTTAACCAGTATACAATGTTTTTGGGATATTTTACTTGGATTCATAACACTCGTCAGACTTATAAATAAACATGCTAGTTAGTGATTTTTGTAACTTACATTGCTTTGGTAAATTCATCAAAAGTAAGACACATTTATTTTTTTAACTTGTGCATGTTGTTTCTACTGAATCGTTTTCCAAACACTCACAATAAATAATTAAAAAGCACACTTATATAAGTACGCTGAAGAATCTTTGGTGTAAATTGTACTGAACAACTTACATGGCGCAGTCAGAATACATTAAAGTAAAACCGGATGAATTTCATCTACGTCGGTTCATTGTCCTTAAACGACCTATATTTTATACGTTACTCATGCTATTTAGGATTTAATCTCTCTCTTACTTTAAATTAGAAAAATCCGGTTTCGAGGAAGTGCGAATTTCGTCATTCAAGCCCCTGGTAAAAGTATTTTTTTCCCTTTACTCAATTTTTTTAGGGGGACTTAGGGAACCTAAATTTCTGTAGGGGCACCGAGTGGGGTTTTAACCTTCCCTTCTTTAACCTTTTACCTTCCCAAAGGGTAGCTGTTTAGGCCGGGTTTTTTTCTCCAACGTGGCACAGATTCCTTTCTTGTCAAGATTTGTGAATCGGGATTTAGTGCAGACCTCTTGATTTTGTCAGTTGCATCTCAAACTATTTAAGGGGGCGGTGCATCCTCCCACCTCGACATTCGAAATTATGCTCATCACGGTTTCCCTGCTTCTAATTGCGGAGATGATATATTCCCCATATAATTGGGCCTACATCGTTCTTGTCGTGCTTCGTGTGGTGTGTCATAATATAAGCGTCAGCCAGTTTTGAGGATCACAGACACAAATAAAAACGGTATAGTGGAATGTAACAAAGGTCTTACATTTTAAAAAAAAATGTCTAATTTGTCTTTTCACACTGTATCAGCACTCCTCCTTCTAAAATGAGGTTGCTCATACAAACAAATTAAGTACAATCTCAGCAACGTTATAAGGTCATACATGGCTCGGAAAATATTGTCAAATATTTTCTCAAAGAAACGGAATAACAAAGTATAGGGGCCTTATTTGTGCTCTTAATTTGAGCTCTCACCGAATAACACATACCGAAACACCAATTAAAAGACAAAGATTGCCATATTGGTTAAACACGGAATGTACTGTTTAGAACATCAGATTGGAAGAGCTGCATTATTGTACGAAGATCGTGGTAATGTTTCCGTTTTGTTTTCACAACCAAGCATGTTGGCCTATTACATACCCGTTGCTCTGACACGTCATGTCGTCGGTTGTCGTCAGCGCGCCGACCGGGAGATTCTCGTGGGGCCGCTGCGGCGTTTCCCCCGGAGGTGGGTCACTGGCGTTAGCCTCCTCTGCCGGTTGTTGATGTTGTTGTTGTGGGGATGGCGGACTAGGGGACATTAGAGCTTCCGGTGCCGGTGGCCATATGCAAACTCCGTCATCGTAGACCTGATCGGTTGGAATGAGCTGCCGGAATCTTGGTCCTGATGGTGGCTCGTCGCGAGAGTCCAGGCCTTCGTTCACGGCGCCTCTACTTGGGTTCCCTTCCGCGTCAGAGCCAGGAGAATCCCTGCCACCTTCGACGTTCCCAGCCAGTTCTTTTTCACCCCTCGTTCTGTTGCGGATGTAGCGGCCCAGGACGTACACTGCCGCAATGGCTATGCCTTCGAAACCAGTCACCATGGCAATGAGCAAGGGAATAATGGCCACAATGTCTGCTTCTGGCTCTTTGTAGAAGAGTTTTGCGACCGAGACTGCAAGGAGTGTATTCTGGCAACCGGTTTCGATAGCAACAGTGATCGAGAAGACGTAGTTAAAGTTGGCGATTCTCGCTATGGACATACCAAGGAAGGCTCCGATGAGCGGCAGGACGGCTGAGGTGGTCCAGGTTTTCCAGTTGCCAAAGAAGATGTAGTACTGGGACGGAATGAAGAGGACGACTCCAAGCAGCATTAGGATGAAAGTGAAGGGCTTGACGAGTTTGAGACAGACCTGCCGAGCCTTCTGGAAGCGATGGAAGAAGGGGACTCCGATAAGGAGCGGAAGGACCAAGCCGCACAGCTGGATCAACAAGCTCTTGAAGGGGGTCTCAAGATGCCCGTTGCCTGACACGAACGGCTGGGCATAGATTAATAGATTCAGGGGCATCATCCCCACCGCTAAGAAAGTAGAGAAAGTGGTCATGGTCAGGCTAAGAACTATATCGCAGTCTAGGAGCAAGACCTCGATGTTGCTGAAGAATCCACCGGGGCAGGTGCCTACTAGGACCAGACCGATCGCAATGGCCCCCTGCAAATCGAAGACCTTAGCCAATCCAAAGGCTAAGGGAGGCATGAGGACGAACTGACACACCATCCCCATGATGATACCCCAGGGTGGTTTGATCTTCTCCAACAGAACCTTAGGCTCCACCTTGGCCGCCATGATCACGTAAGAAATTACTAACCAAGTCGCGAGGATGTACGTGGCTACCGTGCCGAGAATTCTGAACGGTGTTTGGACCTTGACGATATCCGTGCCCAACACCATCCTGTCCCCGCTGCTGTCCCCGGCGGCGTACGCTACTAGCTTGCTGCTTCCGATCATACCTCCCCGTAGCTCCACATTCATACGGTACGGAAATGTCGTGTTTTCCGTGATCTCAAACACCACGACGCCATCTTTGAGCGTGAATATATCCTTGTCCCCGCTGTCCAATTCGACTTTTCCGATGTAATTGGATTGATTGACGGTCAGTACAAAAACGGTGTTCTCCCGGAAAGTTAAACTGACGTCGTCTTTGTCACCGAGCGTGAAGTTGAAGTCATACGGGGACCACTCATCGATTCGCTCGGCGGCGTGCACCGTCGAGACCCGGGCCAGAAGGCCGAGTAGAAGCACCCACGGCAGGACTCCTCGAAGAAGGGCATCCTGCTTGGTGCCTAGATGACCCTTCATCTTCTGCGTCCGGCCTACCATCTCAGACAAACTGGAGAACCTAGGAAATTGTCAAAAACTGTAACTGTAAACCAACCTTCTATCATCGAGCACTTTTAAATTTTACATCTATAATCGTCTTCACTATTTTACCCATCATAGCGCACACCACATTAAGAACTCGTCACAACTGCGCTTTCTCATTTGTAGAGCCTGCCATGGGCGTCGCGAGGGGGGGGGAGGTAAGGGGGAGGGCGCATTCCTTCCCCCCTGAAAAGCAACCCAAAAAAGAGGCGCGAAGTCATATTGCTGTTAATTTAATTTGTTGGGGTCGGGTGAAATATGTCCCTGCATGTCCATCCTCGAAAAATGATAAATCGAGAATATGCTGGGCAAAGTACAGGATTTTGAGGGGGAAATGTGTTTCGCCCCCTCTAGAAAAAATCCTGGCGACGTCCATGGAGCCTGCTGTACTTCTGATAGCTAATCACTTTCAAAACGCACGATCACGATCTTCATTGAAAGTGATTAATCTTCTCTTTTTATTCCAATATACAGAGCTACCCGAATATATACATGTACAGCGAATTGTCGTCGTGGCCAAGCGCACAATATGGTAAGCCATTTCCTGTAGTTGGAGGTTAATACTAGCTAATGCACTGCACAGCAAGACCATAGTGTTATGTCCACAATATATACAGGCCTTTCGTTTTTAAAACAGGAAAGATATATACCCAGCGTGTAAATTGATTGAACCTTTTTCGGGGCAAATGTATAATATTTGTGGACATGTAATCGTTCAAAGTACATAAATATGTATATAGTTCGGTATGGAAAGTCCTCACGGTCAAACTTGAATGTTCTGTGCACGTGCACCTTTCTTTTGGAAAAGAAACTAGAAAAAATGATATCTTTATCAGGGCCTGTTTTTTCAGTCAGCCGCAAAATTAGCTCGGCAAAATGTGACTTTAATCTCAGCTATAATAAATATCAATTGCAATCGGAGTCGGACACTATGAATGTGCAAGCGGTTCGAATAATGAAAAACACCCGGCACACGATCCAATAAAACGAGGAACAACATCCGTGATTTTATTATCATGTTGTAGGCAACATCATCATAATGTGATACGATATCGCTGTGTGTTGAATGATAAACTCTTACCGGAAAAGAGGTCCACATTTGACAGCATTCTAATGTTTCTTTGCGCCCACACACAACCGCCAAAACTTGCATCTGACACAGCCAGACTAGAAACATTAACACAATCAATGAAACTCCAGTGCAAACCTGTCCGTCATGTGCAACAGTATTATACAGATTAAATTCCACAAAATGATTGCACTGGTGATATAGTGATATAGTTCCAATATTCATCAGCACTCGTGTACCAAGGCCTTGCGCCAATGACAATGAATCACGCGCAAAACCTTTTATGCATTAAACAGATTACAACCTATTTTTCTAGCACTAACGGTATAAATAGAAATGTGGTGCAATCATTTCTTTTTGCTAACGCGACAACGCTTGAGCAAAGGTCACTCCCAGCTGCATGCATAAATTCACTAAAATTTGCAATCGTCTAGTTTATACAGTGCGTGTGGTAATTTCAACCAAACGATGACGTCTGTCAACATGTAAATGAGTTATCAGGCAGGCCGGATCTAGGAGTTTTTCGATTGTGCCTTTTATGTAAATCGTGGATGAGTAAACACAATGACGAAATAAGTTAACACACGAACCCCTGTGTAATAGGCCCTAATAACCCTGGTGGCCCTGTACGTGCAGTGTCAAGTTCAACTGACGGAGGTCACTATAACTATGTGGTTGTGGTTTTTAAAGTGGGAACTCCCAGAAATATGGGGGTAGGATATTGATGTGTTTTTTTTTCGTGATATCCTGGTTCATATTTCACTCGGACCCCCCGCCCTCCTGTTTGCAGGGCGGGGGGGGGGGGGGGGGGGATACGAGCGAAGGTTCCCATATCGCATTACCTTTTTAAATTTGCACAGTGCTTCATTGGGAACTTAACACGCTAACGACTAGAAAATATGGCAGGTTTACAGTTCAATACTATGATTAAGTTTGGGTTCAGCGTGGCCAGAGTGGTAATGAATGATGTACTTTCATTCGATAACGGGGATGTCGGCCCTACAGACCGGGGTGAGCGCATTTGCGATTAGCAGAAAGCAAACTCATGAAATACTCATCAAATTATTATATTTATCGATTTATTGTCAAGACTTGATAAATTTCTTCTGAAAAAGCTATACCATTGAAAAGAAACTCAGTGTAGACGTCGAAATAAGCCCGCGATCTTAGGGTAAATATTGTTGCTGTCCGAGCTTTTCAACAAATTCATTTTTGCCTCCTAACGAATTTTCCCTTTGAATGTGTAATTAAAACGAAAGAGTTTTTTTAGCGTCTGCATTCTCTGGGGGAAAAAAAGGCTTTTTTGCTTTTGCCCCATATATCTAATGTGTTTAAAGCTCCATGATCTAATGCAGAGAAATTAGCACAAGAGCAGTACATGTATAGGGGCCTATGCCTAATCATTCCATTGGTAGTATATAGGCAGGCCTTTTTTCGTTTGATGTCTGGTTCAAAACAAGTGAATAACTTGTTCGAAAAATAGCAATTAAAAAAGTGTAACTCCAAAATACTATAGCACCATTAATCATCCTCAAGTGAAAGATGCGTAAGAGGTGTGTGTGTGTGTGTGAGTTTGTTTCTGCATTCAGTAGGGGACGTTGAACAATAGACAATAGGGTCCCAAATTCCCGAAGACCCCCAATTTAGAATCGTGTACAAATCATATGGGAGGTCTAAAAAGTAAGAGAACAAACAAAAGAGGGACAATATGGGGTCCCCGATTGCAGGCAAATGCATGCTAGGGTGTGTGTATGGGGAATGGGGCACGCTTTGTCTCTTTCTCTTTTCCTTTTTACGACTGTACAATAGATGGGTGGAAGCCGTGCACAGGACTGCGAGCTCGTATAATTTCTGTGGAATTCGGATGAAATTAATTGGGCCTTAAAATTGCTGTGGAGTACTTTTAGGGGTGATTGTTTTGGATGGAATTTTCTCCCACAAGTCGTCGGATTACCCCCACAAATTGAACAGAATATGAAATGATGAAATAAGCTATAATTTGATGGGTGTCTCAAACACCTTGGAGAGTTGTGAGTATTTTAAATAATTTTTGGAAGTATACGCGTAATTATTACTGCTATGGGAGTCGATTTACTGGTCTGCACCCTGTGCTTTGCTATTCATTCGATGAACACGGCGTCAGAGATAAAAGTGCGCCCTCGCACGACTGATTTTGTCAATTACTATCATCTACCATCAATTTCTATCGCTGTCAAATTCATTACATTTTGAACAAAGCTTAACATTTTAAATATCTAGCAGTACGGTAAATTTCAGATGTGTGAATGTACTATGGTCCATTTTTGTTCAATATGAAACCCAGAACAACATGATGAACTGGCACCTAAAATAGGAACTTACAGTACGATTTCAATAACAAAATCTGATAATTATTATCCAAAAAAAGGGTTTTGGTTTTCTTTTTCTTCCCTGGATGGGCCAAAAAATCTGCAATACACTAACAACAAATGAACACTATCGCAATGTTACTAATCTCATCAAATAGTTTTATTTGGTTCATAATAGAGTACATGTTTATGCTCAAGTAAGCATGATTTCATTTTTAATATTTACAGTCAATTAGACTTTTCTGACAAAAAGTTGTCTCTCAAACATATTCTGTTAACTTAAAAGGTAATACACAACATTCGCAAACATCAAAAAACAAAACTACCAAATTATTATGAAATACTGAAATAGTCTTAAACATCTTAAAATCATGGCACCTGTCATTTTCAAGAAAAGTGGAATTTTTGTATCGATTTCCAATGATGGTTGGCCGACCAGTGGAAGAAACTGACTTTCTCAATTACTGCCCCCAATTTACCAATATATTAGTTCACATTTTGTTTGCAATTGTGTACACATCCGTGAACGGGTGCAAGCCAGCTAGTCTGGTTCCATGACCTGACAACTCCCTAACGTCTATAAATTGCTCCGTTTCATCAGAAGTAGGTTCAGGGAACCAGACTACAAGAAGAGCATTTTTTTTTCTTGGTTTTTCCGGCATCTATGAACTCAAAACTTTCAACAGCTCAGTGTAACAATATTTGCTATAAAAAAAACTTGCCCCCAAAACCATCCAGTTCTGAAAATTATAGCAAAAGCAAATGTTGTATATTACCTTAAAAGCTATAGAAGGCAGTAGGTGAATATAATATATCTGAAACTGAATCACATACAACAGACATTCAAATCCATGTCTTTTTTGTCCGTCTGTTTGTTTGTTTGTTTACTTTAAAATGTTTTGTTTGTTTGTTTACGTTAGAAAAGTTTACCTCTCGTAATTGAATAAAATACTTTTCACTATCACCAGCACTATTGGAAGTCCAAAAACCTTCTGTGCATGGTGAACAAACTTAAGAGTGTACCCCTTCCCATCTTAAAAAAAAAAGATATGTTAATTAGTAGAATAATTTTTTTCCTTTCCTTTCCCCATTTCCTCAAAATAAATTACCAAGCATTGCAATCCTCCATCTGCACAGATACATTGCTTTTTAACGAAAAATATGACCGTTGTAACTGAAAATAAAAAGTCCAGCACAAAAGTGATGCACACACAAAGTATATTACAAATTGTTTTGGCTACGACAAAAGTCTGCAACAAAAGCTGTCAAAAGCACAGCTTTTGTTAATACAAGAATAAATATCCTGTAAGAACCTCCTGTTCATTTTTTTTTCATCAAATGAAAGAATTCTGATTAAAGTACATTGTAAACGTGAATATGTTGTGTTTCATTGAATGGTTGCCATAAAATAAAAATATACTGGTATGCTCAAAAATCCCGCACTAAAAACAAATAAGAACTAAATAAAACAACGTAAAACAAAGAATAGCACAATAAAATTGTATTGTTAGATTGTTATGCCTCTATAAAAGAAAGCTGATAAAACAATGAATAAATACAAATAAAATCGATCACAACTGAGGATTTTCACAAACTCGTCCTTGTCTTAAACCAACCAGTTCTTAGAATTCAATTTCCCTTCAAGATTATTGTCAACTTGCAAATTGCTCCTGCAATAATTTCACGTTTCCATCTTATTTTCATTCTTTTTTGCAAGGATTGGTCCCGAAATTCTCACGAATAAATACACAGGGCGACTTGCCACTGCTTAAAAACTTTCCAACGGTGTCTCAAATAAACAAAATCTTACCCGTGAATAGTGGCCTTTCTTTTAGCTTATTAGTAAAGTAGACATTTTTTGGACTTAAAAAGAATATAATAAAGTGCAGAAAACAATAATTTCAATACAATATTTTTTTTCAAATACCTCATCCGGTGATTATTTTTTCATGCTCATGACTGTGCCTGTCCAGTCACGTTTTGTTGCATTTAGGGCTCACCTGCGAATTTCCATAAGCCATATAGTGATTTGTTATAGGTGTATGGGCCACATTGTGGACGCACACACAATAGGGACCATAATAGGGGCTTTCCCTAACGTGGCGCATTTCGACCTTTACCTTGACTTTCCTCATGTAGTGTTGCCAAACTTCAAATGCATTCAGTGAAATACTGGTACTTTTCCCGTATTAATGCTTGCTTTTTAACCTATGTGAACAATTTTGGTGTCATAAAATTTAATCCGAAATTCAAAAACGGTGGCGTCCGAAACTTGGGCACAAATTCGGCCGAGTGTTCCCTAACGTGGCTCACTTGAACAAATCTCGGAAAATCCCACATTAACATTAAGTGTGCCAGCAAATCATTTTCTCATTTTTGGGGGAATTTGAAAACGGTTCATTGTGCACTTCGAAAAAAAATCTGAAAATCATGCCAAAATATAATTTATGAATGGCAATTTTAAGAGCTTGATGAAATTTCACTTTTTGTGAAATTTGAGGTATTAATTTTGCTCTAACAAGGAATACGAGGTGAAAAATCCAAGTGTGCCACGTTGGGTGCCGCACCACGTTAGGGTACATCATCAATAGAAATGTTACATGTACGGAATACATATGCGGTTTGGAAAAAAATGCTGGTTAGGCCAAAAAAAAAAAATACTCGGTCTCTGGTCAGACCAAAGTTCTGGAATTGATGCGGCGACACGGCTTTTTTTGGTTTTTTGGTTTTTTTCTTTCTTTTTTCCCAAGCTTGGATTGTACAGACAAGGTGGGGTACTATTTTGCTTTTTTTGGTGTCCTCATGTACATTGGTGTCCTCCATAATTTGCCTTGGGGCCCTCGATCATTTGCCTTGGTGCAATTTCCCATTCCTTGGTGCTCTTTAGGACCTGTTGGAGCTACCGCGGAACATTTTGGAAAAAAAAAGTTTGACGCGCATGATTAAAATCGACGCGCGCTGACCAGAGACCGACTTATTTTTTTTGTTGGCCTTATAACATTACCATACAATTTTCCGTGATTATTTCACCAAACCCACGCATATGCATCTTACACTTTGTTAGCCTAAAACATTTCGATGTGAAACACACAGTGCCAACAGTGTGCCAGATAAAATAACCACGCAAAATGGTGATCCGAGCTGCATACGTATCGCCTACCCGCACCATTTCTAAATAGCGCCCTCAGTGTGACCCCAGGGTGGCAATGGCCTTAAAGTCTCAATAGTTTCTCTTTCCTTTCACTGCTGGGGAGGTAACTTTTTTTTAAAAGGGTTGTATCCCACTTATCCTTCTTTCACAATTAAATATGAACAATTATCTCTAGGGTTACCTGAGTTAGGCCACATCCAAATTAACGCGGCTACGGCTATTAATATCACACAAGCCTATGGGAAATGGATTCAGCTGCTTCCATAGACGTGCGTTACTGTCAGCCGTAGTCAGGTTATTAAGATGTGACCTTACCTGAGGTAACTATGCATAGTATTTTCCAAGATGGCCGACGTTCTTGATTCCATTCTGAAGGCCGCTTCATACTTTATGCGAATGCGATGTGAATTTGACGTCACAAAGCATACGCTTCATAATACGCTGGAGTTGAATTGTGCTCAACTTTTGCGAATTCGCAGTGCAAAAACTTGCCCTGACGTCACAAATTCACGTTCATGTTCGTGCCGAGTACGAACTTGCCTTAATGAGTCTCCTTGTATTTGATGAATCGGACCAAGTTGTGTCGAGCGTTGATGACTACTGGCATGTGTTCTCCTAGCTGGTTCTTACCCTGTCGTAACTGGAAAAAGACACAAAACCAAATCACATAAAAAGAACTTCACTAACATCACATTACCAGAATTTCGATTTGTTTTTACAGATTACAAAGAAAATGTTTTCTGGAGTAGAATTTCATTCCTCCAAAGAAGAACTGTCTTACACTTTGTTAGCCTAAAACATTGTTCATAACTGAAAAGAACCATGTTATTTTTACACAGTCCATCTTTTTTTTCCATTTTTTTTCTCTTGAAGTTGAGTAACATCTTCTGATGAAGGGCAATGATGTTACTTAAAACCTCAAGAAAAAAAAAAATAAGTTTGATTTTGTAAAAATAATGTATTCTCTTCAATTATGCATCATTCACAATTAGACGAATCTAATCAAAGCACAATGTTCATGTTGATTCTATGTGCCAAATTATCTAAAAATTACAGTAATTTTCAATGCTGAATTGCACCCAAGACGATACAACATTTTGAATGACTGAGAGCGAATGAGCATGTGTATGGTAACCAGCATACCCTAGACTTCAGCTGCGGTACCAGCATCTTCAGTTTGGGCACCAGTCCAATTTTCACTGCCACGGCATCGGCTGTTGCCCCATCGCCGAAGGCGTCAAAGATGGCGTCCAGTGCCTCTGCAGTCACCCACAGGGAACTGTCTTTCACTGCTACCTCGCTCAGCTGGGTACCAACAGCCTGCCAGAACAAATTGTGACTCAAGGTCAAAGTTCAGCAGCCACTGAGACTAAAGGAATCTCCGCTCGTTTTAAAACTAAGCTCCAAATGGAGATTCGTATAAATATGCAGAGAAGTAGATAGGCTAGCAAAGTATAGAAGATTGACGGCACCTCTTGTATTCCATACAAATCTGTTACATTTTTTTAAATCTGATATTTTTTACTAGCTGATCCATCAAAGCTACCAAGTAACTGTTATGTTAGACAGAGAGACGGTAGGTTTAATAGACTGACAGACAAATGAAAGACAATCAGTAATATGCACAGCTTCTTAAACTTGCCTGAAATAAAAGAAAACAAAAGTGGTTTCAATATGGACAAATCGACACCCTCCTAAAATCTTATCATCGTTTGCAATTTAATTACAAACTACAGATTATATATTATTTGAGCAATCATTTACCAAAAATTACAGACCAAAAATACAAAATGCTACAAATTGAATTAGAGATTGGCCTGAACTATTTTTGTGAAAAGGGCTACTTTTTCCATACTATTTTTTTGCTTCGGCTAATGATATTTTCCTCAACTTAAGCCAATAGTAGAGTTCCTGGAGTGAGCACGCTAATTTGGAATATCCTTAGCAATGGGTTCTTGATTATAGTCTACTGAGTTTTAAATTTTTGTTCACTCACCGTTAACAGCTGCTCTGAGTCTGCCTTTGCTGCCAGTAAACTCCCAACGCTACCCAGCATGCCCACGATGTTGACACGGATTTGCTCAGACTGGGTGCCTTGTCCCAGCCCAAACAGTCTCGTCAGGTGATGTTCTGATAAAGACTGAAGTTAAACGATAAACAACCGACTTGAGAAACATTGGTGAAGATTTTGAAACTTCAGCAATAGTTACTAAGGGCCGGGTGGCATTGAGGAATTTCAGTGCAATTGGTATTTTGACACGTGAATTATTGGGAAGGGTTGTTGACACTTTTAAGCAATGAAGGAAAATACTTGATGAAGCTTACTTGAGGCATGTGCTTGCTGGCAGCCATTTTCTGTAGCACAGAGCGGAGGGCACTAGTCAACGCCTCTACCAACTCATCCCCGGCTGGTGCTGAAAGTTGACAATATAACCCCAAAAAATGGGAATAATAGTTAAATTTGGTTTTAAAAAAGGAGAAATTTTACGAACAATTGAAACACTTAGACAACACTTTACAAAGGCTGCAGTCTACCTGAGCGGAGGGGAGGCATGCAGCATTGACTTTGGCTTGGTGGTGTATTAGCCCTAACCTTCCCAAAATCCTCCAAAATCCTCTTTTGCAGGATATAAATTTAGGCCTATATTATACCTGAAATAATCTGCACTGCTCAAGGATGCCACTGGTTCTGCCTTAACATATTGACATTGATTGCCAGAGGATTTTGCAGGATTGAGGCAGTGGTCATCCCTCCAAGGACCACATTCAAGAAATAATGGAGGAATTTGCAGGATTGAGGCTGTATGCAAGTTTCACATGGAGGCAATTGGAGGAATGTGCAGGATTGAGGAATGTGCAGGATTGAGGCAAAAATGCCGAGGGACTTAGGGTTAAAACGACTGACCCAATAACAATGTATATTATGTATCTGAATGACTCAACAGACATTAAATTTCCATGGATGTGACCAAGTATTAAGGTGCTTCTAATGCTTAGAAAATGAGATAGTTTCAAAAGCATCTTTACTTCTTTGTGAATTAAAACTTGAAGGCTGATATGTACATAAAGTTCCAATTTTTTGTAAATTGGATTCTGTTTAAACTTCTCAGGAAAACATTTGAACGGATTCTGATATTTGCTTTTCTTTTAACGTTCTAAGGTGTGAACATTACATACTTAGGAAAAAAATCAATAATGGAAAACAACAAAATGTAATCTTCTTGCATTGTCTGCTGTAACTGAAGTTTTTACCTGGTTCCACCATGGTGAGCACAAGAAGTTTGTCAAGAACGAGCGTCAGTGCCTCTGGTCCGCCTAATGATGCTAGGTCCATGACGGCAATCATGTTTTGTAGACAGAGCAGAGCACGGCTCTGGACTCGCAATAGGCTGAAGACAGTCACGGAAAGCGGAGAAGAAAATGTTTTAATTGTGACTGTAAGTCTTTGGATCCAAATAATGATATCAACTTTTGGTCTCAACAGAAAGAAAACGTTTTCTACGCGTCTTCAAGGTCAAGGGCTCAACAACTGTATTATCATGCAGATAATTTGCTTCGTTCCCAAAGCACATTTTCAGATGTTTTCATCCAGTTTCTTCCCATGCACTGCCTCACTTTGAAACTCCTTTTCTCTATCTTGATATCCAGTTGATTTTGATCTGCCCCAGTTCAAGCCTAACGTCAATGCTTATCTTTCCACTTGAAGATTTTTTTCTTTTCCTCAGATTTCCTTTCTATCCCTTCTTTGTGTAGCCTTCACCATGAGTGGTCCTTGTGATGGGTGACTCTCATAAAAAAAAATGTTCCAAAAATGTGGAACTGCAATTTTCTAATCGTAGCTATGTGAAAAATTATGTCGATAACCTTGAATTGGTGTTTGTTTATCCCCCAAAATGAGTTCAGGACAGCGCCTCAGTCGGTCAAAATATGGCCTATCATTTTTTTTCCGTTCTTACCCTTTGAAGACTGTCTTGCCTGCGCTGTGTAAGATCAGGCTCTGCAGCAGCGTTCTGTCCGGGAAAGCACACTTCACTAAAACCTAGATCCGAGACCAAGATAGAGTTGAAAATTCAGCATCAGATTCTTAGAAAAATTACCATTTAGATATCCGTAGAAACTGCGTAATCAAAACCGGGGATTGCAGTTTGAAAAGAAAAAGCTCACACAGGTTCTTTTCTATAGGAGTTAGAATCGGCTAACTGAGGCTAACAGGCTGCATGTTTGGTTTATTAGATAATCTTCTTACTGGGCCAAATTTAATAAAATAGCTTAGAAAAAAATATAGGTCAGCAAATTTATGTGTAATAGCGTATTGCTTGTTATTTAAGCATCTGCAACCTAGCCATTTCTCAGGCTTCTAGGAAAAACATACCAAGTCAGGGGATTCACGTCCACTCATCCAGATTTTACAAGCTTTTATCCAAGATTTGTACTCACAGTCAGGAAAAAACTTGAACTGACAACACCCCGGCAAACACTGCCATTACACCCTGGCAAACACTGCCATTAACTGCTGAGGTAGAATGCCCCCCCCCCCCCCCAGCATCTGCCTGGTCAAGACCCAGAGGTCGACCAAGGACATCCTGGGTCGAGCAACCACGCTACTAACCGCGGACACAGGAGATCAGTGCGACAGAACCCAGATGTCTATGCGGTAGATTGAGTGAGTGGTACGAGGGGTCAAACCTACCTTGTTTGGGAGATTGTGACTAACAAGAGCTCCGCGGATCTCATCTGAGAGGCACAAAGGAGACTGCAAAAAAAGAGAGAGAAGAAATAGAACGTAAAGCAAACTTTTCTATGGGCTCAGGCAAAAGTCATCTTTTAATATTTAAGTTTTTTCTAATTCCCGAATAACTATAGCTGGTAATAATAACGAAGTGACGCTCCTGGCGCTCCAATATTACCCTGGCTTTAGCAAGGCTGCCATTACGGCGCTCAAGCATTGAAGGAATTTCTTCCTACCAGGTACCCATTTACTACACCTGGGTGGAGAGAGGCAATCGTAGTTAAGTGCCTTGCCCAAGCGCACAAGCACCATATTCCCCGTCAGGATTCGAACCCATGTACCACGGCACACGAGTCGACCACCGTAACTATTGGACCACATATAATATCATTGGTTGCATATAATTAAAGCTAATTGTGTAGGCTCATTTGGTAATCTCAATAAGAAGGCATTACTGGGTGGAACCATGCTCGCACGTAGGTGGTATGCACGCACCCAATGCACCTTTGACCAATAGGGTTACCAATAAAGTAAAAGAGTTCAAGATGTTTTTGTTCTACCATGAATGGGATTTCATCAGTATCAGCTGCTTCATCTTGCAGGTCGTCGCTACTGCTGCTGCTGGACGCCATGTCCTCCCAGTCATCCTCCTCATCATCTGATAACAGGGGAAAACAAATATGATTTATATTCATCAGCTGGTACTTAAAAGACATGGGTTTCCCTCAGAGTTCTCGGCAGTATTTCTCTCAAGACCTCAAATCACATTTGTTTCTCATTTCTTCTCATTCGGATGACGGACTGCACTTGGGTACTCAAGGTACCCATGATATAACAAAAAAACTAGTGCAATTAAATAGATACCTGTTTTGTATCATGTCTTGGATACTATAATGTTGGTCTAAAATGGTCACATGTCTAGTCTATAAAAATGACTATTTACCTCATATACACTACGCTGCATATTTATTACCTCATTCAGACTGTGTTGCATATAAACTACCTTGCATTATAGAATGACTCCCATCTCCACGTGACAGCTGAAAATTGATCTTACTAGGTAATATTTTTGTTAGAGCATACTTCTAATTTCTAGTCTAATTTCACCTGCTTTAGTCCCTATATAAAAAGTTTGAGTTTGGTGTACAAAAATCAGCCGGATTTATTAGATTTGAAGCCACTCACCGTCTGGACAACACATGTTGGAGGCAACCTCCAGGGCCACCTGCTGGGCTGTGAGGGCAGCTTCTATCTCGACCAGGTCCTCAGAGAGGGTCTTGGGAAGCTGAGGTAAAGCAAAACAGCAGACAATATTGAGGCTCAGGCTGTCTTATTAAAAAGAGTCTATATAATCTAATAAATTGAGACTTCTGAGTTCCGCTTCACTAGGCAAGCTCCGTTTTTTACCACTTGTAGTCAAGTGATCAAATAATACAAGTTAGAAAGTTGGTAAAAAAGGAAATTGGTACAACTCCCTGACAAGCAGAGGCTGTGGGAATTGATATTGGGAAATGGCTCTTTTGGGGCTAATGTTTGCTGGTGCCGTGTTTTGTGAATGCTTGTTTTACCTCATCATCTGGTAGTGTTTCTTTGGTTTCTGGTTCTCCCGAGCCATTGGAAATCTGAAAACAAAATTAATAAATACTGATTGACAAATGTACTCTCAAGAAATTTTTAATCATTTCGAACCCATAAAGCTGTTTAGTTTCAATTCAACAAAATATTAAACTTTGGCTACAAAGTAAATTTTGTGATTTGACAGCTTTTTTCAAAACAATTACCTGGCCATTTGTTGTCATCTCTGGGAGCAGTTTGGAGACAGCGGCCTGCGTGTCTGCGTCCAGGGACTGACATAGTACCTTGACGATGGCTTGAATCGTCTGGTTCTGCGATACTGCCGGCAGATGGCCCTTGATGTTGTAAAGCACACCTAGGGAGTAAACACAACCTTAGAATGAGAGATACTATGAGATAATTACAATACAATGCACAACAAGGAGGTTACAACAGAGGAGAAATTGTATATTCTTATTGCAGCACTTGGTGCATGTAATTAAAGTTTGAAATTTTAGTGTTAACAAAGGTAATTTTTTTCAAGTTGTATGAAGAAAGTGACTGGAGCAGGGTTTGAACCTGTGACCTCCGGATTGCCGTTCCAGTGCTCTACCAACTAAGCTATCAAGCCCTATGTTGGCAGCTCCCCATTTTATCAATGTCTTTGTTCAATGGATGCTAGCTAGTTTTCCTTTGCAGATTCTTTGAAGAAAAAAAAACCACCAAAGATGAGATTATTTAGCTTGTGTAGAACTGCAATGTACAATGCAGGACAGACAATATAATGAAGGATAATGCAGGATTTGCTACGGTTGAACCTTTCATTAACGAATTCAGGTCAAACACCTCTGGAGATTTTGGAAGATTTCATAGACTGGAGCCATGCCATTACTTCTTTACACAGGACTTGGTGCCCCTTGGTGGTTTAAGTAAAAAGAATGTGTGATTGGGTTTTTAGACTTTGGTAAATTTTGGAGGAATTAGGACGGCCTCTAGCAAAAAATTCAAAGGGGATTTGGGGTTTTCGGGAGCCTATCCGGTGAAACTACAAGCTTGCCATTGACGGATCTGATGAATGTTTGTCGACTTCTTACTTGCAACAAGCGTTCTGAGAAGTGTATGCTGCATGGTGTCCCCTGGACTCATGAGGGCATTCTCCAATATGGGCAGGGCGGTGGGTTTGGTGAGCTCCACGCCTGTGCCGGGGTTGTCTTCGCTGACGGTCTGCAAGCAGTGGGCTGGGGGATGGAGGAGTGTCGAGTTTAAATTCAAACCAAAAAGAAATATCTTAACCACTTACATCTTTCGAAGAGCAAAACCAAAAGGTTTCAGTCAAATTCCTCAAAGGTCTTTCTCAAGTGTCAAGTCACAAGCTACTCAAATGAACTGTGATTCTTTTGTCGTTGTGATGGACTTGTGATTTGTCTTGTGATGGACTTGTGATTTGTCTTGCAATGGACTTGTGATTTGTCTTGTGATGGACTTGTGATTTGTCTTGTGATGGACTTGTGATTTGTTTTGTGATGGACTTGTGATTTCTCTTGTGATGGACTTGTCATTTGTCTTGTGATGGACTTGAGATTTGTCTTGTGATAGACTTGTGATTTGTCTTGTGATGGACTTGTGATTTGTCTTGTGATAGACTTATGATTTGTCTAGTGATGGACTTGTGATTTGTTTTGTGATGGACTTATGATTTGTCTTGTGATGGACTTATGATTTGTCTTGTGATGGACTTGTGATTTGTCTTGTGATTTGTCTTGTGATGGACTTGTGATTTGTCTTGTGATTGACTTGTGATTTGTCTTGTGATGGACTTGTGATTTGTCTTGTGATAGACTTATGATTGGTCTTGTGATGGACTTGTGATTTTACTGTAATGGACTACAACCATGGCAAATCATCAATAAATAGCAGAGTCATATATAGCTGCCACATTTAGACATATATTGAAACTTACCATTATTGCTGTTACACCCAACATAATGGCCCCAACTATAGATGGGACTGGGCCCCAAAGTATAGCTGGGATGATGCTATAGTTTGGGCATAAAATTACCAACTATATCAAATTTGTGTAGCAACTTTAATGCTGGTTTGTGATGTCAATATAAGAGTCAATTGTCAAAACAAAACTATTTTCAAGCTGAATTCCAATGAGTTCCTGAGCTAAGGGAGACCAAATTACCTGCAGTAAGAGCTAGATCCAGGAAGGTAGCGTGGGTCTGTAGGCACTGCAGTGTGACATGTACAAGGCCATGACGGTTGAAGATGTTCACTGCAGTCCCACTACTCTCACTGTTATTGAAACAAAATGACAGAAAACTTTTTAATGCAGCGAGTGAAACCAGACGGAAAAAAAACTGTTTAAACAAATGAAGTTTGCGCTGTCAATTCCTTCACTGGATTAAAGTACAAAGGTACTGACACAGACTGCACGTCTGTTGTTTGATTGGATGAATATGTCTGCAAAATAGTACTGCTTATAATGTGCATGGTATACACGTGTCACATCTGTGCAGGATTCACACATGTAGATTTTTTCAATGGAATAAAACTGCTAGATGAAGGCACCCTTGGCCATTTTTAATTACGTGCGCAAGCTTTGATGAGTTTTTTCTGCACAAAGTTTTAATCGGCTAATATTCTACACTACAGTTTTGCACACATTCAACTGAAGATTGGTTGTGCACACTGTGTGCATTACACACTCATTTGACAACGGAATCTTAAAGTGCTTTCGCATGGCACTCTACAGAAAGCTGAACACTGCCCTCAATATTATTCCTTTACAGTAATGATGAGTATTGACAGAGGCTGATGACAGGATATAACCTCACCATAGATTCCAGAGTAGATGGAGGGCCTGTAGGAGGGAATTCAGATTAGGATCTCTCTTTGGTGGCTTGTTCCCCGGAGGTATCGGAATACCATTGCAGAACTGAAACAGAAAAGTTTTGAAAATCATTATTACTATGGTAACAGCATCAGACTGCTGACTAAAAATACTTTCATGATCAAAAGTTTAAATATTCTTGTTTCTTGTACTGTCTTTGTACTGTCTTTATTTCATCTCTTCATGACTGCAAATGTTTTTGAATAATCCCGTTCTTCTTATTTATAATTAGGCCTAAACTAAAATTATCAACACTGGAATGCCAAGGCATGGTGTTGATATTGTGATCACAGAATTTATATCATTTAAACAAATAAACCATTTTTTTTGTTATATTCAAGTTTGAAATGGTAAAAATAACACAGCCTGATTTGGCCCACAGACTGAAACCTTAAAATCCACAGTCCGGCAAAACTCATACATGATCAAATAAATAGATTGAGAATTTTGGAGGTTTTAAATGTTTCAAATGCACCAGAAACAGATTTTGGGCCAAGGGTCGAAACTTCTTTTGATGGAAGAAATCACACTCATCGTTTATTCCTTCATCTCACCTGGCTCAGAAGTGTGACCAGAGGGGTCATGATGTCATCACTGACCATTCTGTCACACACTTCATGATCCCCGCAAGCACTCAGGTTTCTGGGGAAAAAAAAGTTAAACTCCAGTTGGTCGGTATCTGAAACTACTGTCTATTTGTGAAATGTTTTTTGACAGTTTAATTAACTCTTTCAGTGCCAAAGTCGTACATGTACGAGGTATATTTGTTAGTTTGAAATTGCCAACCTCGTACATGTACGAGGTAATGTTTGTACTTAAAATCGCCAAACCTCGTACATGTACGAGGTAGAGTAAGCATGTTATCACAAGGGGGCGCTCTTGCTCTTTCTAATAATATCATTTTCATTCAGGTACGACCTGTGTTTATTTGTTTCATTCAAGTTCTTGCGAGAGGGCGCAGCACTGACACTTGTATTTTCTTCAAAAAGTGCGGAATTCCCCTGTGTGCAGGACAGTGTTTCAGGGTGTATCACTATGTACGTGACTACTATTGACTTTCCAATGTACCAAGGGTATACCAGAGAGCAACAACAACAAATTTAGTGAGTAAAACTTATTAACTTTTTTTAAAGAATTTTGAACAATTAGAAAAACTGCTCGAAGTTGGGCACTTTAAGGTTAAACTTTTCAAATTTCGCGGGCACTGAAGGAGTTAAACAATGTTACACTTCAATTCACAGAAATTGGGCAAAAGACAAACAGGCCAACTTAATCACTCATTACCAAACTTACTTCTTCAATATTTACGTAAACAAAAAGGCAAATGTGCTATCCTTAATATATTAGTATTTTACAACAGGCATCAATTCAATTGTCTTCTACTAAGTACTGTACCAAATCCGCCAAAATCCATCAGTGACCCTGCTTCACATAATGCTTTAAGACCAAATCCACTAAAATCCACCACAAGACTACCACTACTATAGGTGGATTTTGATGGACTTGGTACTTATGGCTTGCCTACCGAAATCCCCAAAACAAGGGGGATGGATTTTGATGGATTTGGGAAGGTTAGGGTTAATCCAAGTAAGTTTTGTGATAAAAATTTGGTTGGCTACTTTTGGGATAACTGCAAAAAATCCTATATGCCTTTCAAGGGAAAATACAACATTTGCAAACATCAAAAAATAAAACTACCAAATCATTTTGAAATACCTTGCTGGACTGTTAGTGAATGACAGTGTAAAGCATCCTGTAAAATCATGGCACCTGGTATACTGTCATTTTCAAGAAAAGTGGTATTTTTGTATCAATTTCCAACGCTGATCGGCCGATCAGTGTTGGAAAAACTGGCTTTTTTTCAAATACTGGCCCCAACTGACCATCGCACTTGTTTGCAATCGATTACAAACCTATGAACAGGTACGAGCCAGCTAGACTGGTTCCCTGACCTTACAATTCCCCAATGTATGTAAACTGCTCTGTTTTTCGAACCCAAAACCTCAAAAAAGTCAGTGTAACTATATTTGCTATATATTTCCAACCCCCCAATTCCATCCATTTCTGAAAATTATAGCAAAAGCAAATGATGTATATTCCCTTTAAATGTAGCTGTGGTGAATCTACACACCTGAGAGCTCCAGTAGCTGCTTCTCTGATTGCTGCCCGGTTATCCAAGAGGAGAGGGCCCAGGCATTTGACCACGCCGTTCTCAAGCAGAGTGTCCCTAGCTGCTGGCTCCTGGACAAGGTTAGCCAGGGAGGAACAAGAGCACACCTTCTCCTCATCAGAGCTGCTTTGAAGCTGATCCAAAGACAAAGACAAGAAAAACCGTCTGAAATAGGTTAAATACTCTTAGGTTAAATAAACAAAAACATGTTTAGTGTCCTGCCTTTTTAAACAAAGGAAGCAGGAGGCCCTTTTCTTTTTTCCTCCAAAATGGCCGCCCGACCGGGCTATTTTTCAAGTTGGCCGCCAGTTTTTTTGTTTTTCTTAAATGGCCGCCATTGGACTCAGAAAATGACATACCAGCTTTATATGGGCTAGATGCAACGGACAAAGATGCCAAAATAATGTCACTGTTTAAAATGTATCAAGTTTTCGGTTAAAAAAAAAAAATGTAGAACTTTGTCAAATTTTGATTTTCACATTTAGATTTTATTTGTAGTTCATGTATGCTTTAGAAGCATACTCACCCTCTTTATAGCAGTAGAAAATTAATCCCCCTTTTTTCAGACATCTACTTTTCATGTAATTTCTTGTTGGAATTTGAGATAAACAAATGTGTGCAAATGAACCTGGAAATTACAAGAAATATAGATGTCTGAAATAAGGGGTCTAATTTTCTATCGCTATAAACATGATAAAGAGGGCGAGTTTGCTTCTAAAGCGTAAATAAACTACAAATAAAGTCTAAATGTGAAAATAAAAACTTGACAAAGTTCTACATTTTCGGGTGCATGTTCCAAGTGTGGCCTTCATTTACGGAGGTAGTCCAATGGCCACATTTATGGGGCTAATGTCTGAATGTGCGATAAAATCAGAAAGACGAGAACAAAATGCAAAATCCTATTCCCACAAGTCTAGGTGTATTTATTTGATCTGCTTGACAAATGATAATCATTTATTGCAAATTAACAATATGAACACTAAGTTACTTTTTTAAGGGGGGGGGGGGGGGACTTGCTCCACAAGTCCAACACCCATTAAAAAAAAATAATCATGTTCCAGTTTCACAAATCATGACAATGTTGTGCCCATTCTTGAAAATCACGCATTCTCGAGAATGGGCATGCACATTCTTGAGAATGTGCAACTGGATCCTTGCTCAATCTTTGCAAAAAATAACTCTTCCAGATTGAGCGCACATTCTTGAGAATGCGCGACAAGATAACGGTCTTGTCGATGCCGAGCACCGGCTGCGCTTGGCAAGTCTAGCTGAATCCTCGTTCACTGATTCTCAATAATTATACTGTTGCAACGCAAGGCGCTGAAAAGTAGAGTGGATATGATAAGTAAAGGCGTATTAATATGGGGGGGGGGGGCCGGACCGGGAAAATATAAGAGACATAATAATACTAGTGCAAAGAATTCTGATTTTTGGGATAATAAAAGCGGGGGGGGGGGGGGGGGGGGGGGGGGGGGGGTGGGGGGGGACGTAAGAATGAAGAATGTGAAGAATGAGAATGAATACTGCGACATCCCATAGTGCTAATGCTATTTCCCATTTAAATTGCCACCAATTTATTGTTCACATCCCACCATAACGTCGCAGAGCTGGATTCTATCTAGTCAAAAGAGCAATTTTGGCAGCTTCTGGACATCGTTTTTTTTTCGTGGCACGCATATGATACATGCAGGGACTTGTAACTTGTCTAGCCTAAATAAAGCACTTCCCAGACTAGTTCCCAGTCCTCCGTTATTACAAAACTTCCCATAGTGGGCAGAAAAAAGCAATAATAACAGGTTTAATTTGATTCAAATTATCGTAGTTATACGAGTACAGAAGCATAGCACATTTTCTTTCCTCTTTATATGAATTGTTTCCCTTTTAACCGCTATACAATTCATTTAACATAATTATGTCGTGCAATGTTTGTTAAGATTGGGCAAAATTCATAAATTGTGCACGTGATATTCCCACCCAATCTTAAGAATGAGCGCTCATTCTTAAGAACGCGTGCTCGTTCTTAAGAATGGGCGCTCATTCTTAAGAATGCGCGCCCATTCTCGAGAATGTGCATGCCCATTCTCGAGAATGCCTGATTTTCAAGAATGGGCACAACAACAACATGGACAATTAAAATACAAACATTTTGGTATTCATGTTTCTAATTTGCTTCCCTGTAAACCAAAATCACATTTCGATCAGAAAATGCTTATTCGACAAATTCACAGGATCAATAACTTTACCCGTTCGAGTAGCGTGAGAGACTGGTTCTGCACCGCCGCGCCGCTTCCCGTGCCCAACTCGCCCTCCTCCGCTTCGACTTCTTGCACGGACGGCAGTCCAGTCGGTCGCTGTTTCTTCGCTCGAAAACGCTTATGTTTCGCTTTTCCCATATCTATCCGATGCCCGGAAGCCTGATCTTTCTCGGTGAATTGCTCACGGTGAAAATCACCCTCCCAAAAAGGGGAATTCCGGAAGATTTTTCAGCGCACAACACGTCATTTCACACAAACAACCGCTGCCATGTGGTATTTGTCCCATAAGACCGAAGGACGAAGGACTGCTTCCGGGTCAAAATGTGGTAGAAATTAAATCTCAGCAAAATGTTAATAACAACCTTAAAGGCTTAAAACCGGCAATTTAGTACTTTTTCTACAATCCTTACTCTTAGTTCTCATTATTGATTGAATTTAGTATAAAATGTCTACGAAAAAAGAAAGATATTTTTATCATTTTATATAAAACAATAACATGAAAACGAGAAACTATAAATCTGGACTGGTAACTAGTTTATTATAGTTCGCGCCAGATGACTAGCGCCCTCTAGTGTTCGAATCTGTCACCAGGAAGTGGGAGGTAGAGTCACGTGTAGTTTTTCCAAAGGCTGCAAGATGGCGGGATTCGGGACGTGTTTGAATTTCGCATTTGTGACACTTTTTGTCACGACTGCATGGGTTTTTCTCGGCAGAAATCTCAGCTTTGGCACACTCTCAGTAGCCATGTACTTCCCTACTGTGTTTGCGCTTCTGTTCAAGTTTGCAAGCGGTGAATTTTTCGAGTTCGTTAGCCAGACATTTGGCACGCTGAGCGCACCACCCACTGAAACGGTTGGTTTCAATTTGCCCCATTCTCGAAATTTGGCTAAAAAAAAGTGGTATTCCTTACCTTTAGGACCCCGTTCCTATATAAGGTTAAAATGACTCACCAAAACAGCTGACTTAATGACAGTCAAAAGTGACATTCTGATATTTCTTGACACATTTGAACAGTTGGCAATGACCTTGAATTATATCAGCAGGTTTAATGTTATGGAAAGATGGTAGGGCCTAGGGCTTTGATTTATGAGGGGTAAAAGACGACGATGACAAACAGAAAATATATTAAAAAAGCAAGATGGCGAACTGCAAAAAATGGTATGAAAATCAAATTTTCTTTGAAAATTACAACTAACATGAGTTTATCTCACTTTAGGACACCTCTATTTTGACGAGTTCTGTTCAAAACTGACTCTTGCAGATGACTGTCCAGTACCAAAGTCAGGCTAGTAAAGCAGTCTTTTCAGATATAATATCTGAAAAGACTGCTTTACTAGCCTGACTTTGGTACTGGACAGTCATCTGCAAGAGTCAGTTTTGAACAGAACTCGTCAAAATAGAGGTGTCCTAAAGATAAGGATTACCAAAAAGGTATCAGCTTAAGACAGTTTACCAAATTTCCATGTGATGAAAGTTTGTAGATTGAAGAAGGTTTTGTTTGGAAAGATTCCCATATCTGGCCATCACTTGTCACCCTGTGCACACCCCCCCCCCCCCCCCCCCCCCCCTGTATGAGACTGGTCTGAAAATTTCTGAAAGTGTTTTCTCAGTGAATACTTCAATATTTTGCCAGCTAAATTTGCCCTTTTTTTTTATAGGACATATCACTTTCTGGTGGCTGATATGTCACTGAAGGGAAAAATTAGTGACGGCCAGATATGGGAATTTTTCCCCCAATTGTTCAACTCAACTTGATTTAACACTTATTTTCAACTTGACATCCTCAATGATAGTTCAGATAATATATAATTATACAAAACTTTATTCGTAGAAGGTATGTACATGTAATTAAGTAACATTAATTCAAATGATTAAATGACGTCAACACTCAGCATAAAGGAAAAAGGTGAAGCAATACTTTTGTACCTTTCCCATGTTATTGATCATTTCTACTTAATATTACTCATATTATTAGTTAGAGAGGCTCATAAATTTGTTAAATAAAGTTCCTGCATTTGTTTTTAATGTGGATTTGTTGATAAAGTCATAAGACACATTTTAATTCAAATTTGGATTCTGTCAGATTCTGCAAAGCGAAGAAAAGTTAATTAAAAGCCGTGGAGTAGGGGGCTAGATGTTTTTGTCTCTGAAACGTGTAGAGTAATGCAGAGTAAAGTGTGATTATTTTGCATATGAAATCGGAGTGCAGATAATGCCTTTGCTAAAACATGTTAAAACTCACGTTTTCTAAATCATCGTCATATTCATGCCATATTTCAATGAATAAAAGGCAGACAGCAATCATGATTTCAAACAAGACAATATGTCAGCTCTCTCTGTTACTATTGGATGAAACAACAGGCAACATAATCTCACAATGGAATAGTCAGAAGGATATTAACAGTTCAAGTAAAATTTTAGCAATGTTTTCAAATTTTACCATTAGGTGTTTTTTTTTTGTGGTGTTTTTTCTCTCTGCAGTATTTTAGTGTGGCCACAGCATGCCTCATATCGGTAGCAATCACAGCGCTCACACTGTGTCTCTGTGTGGCCTTGAACCTCTCAATGGGATGGGGTAAACTTGCTAAACGAGATGTGCAGGACGATCAGAGGTCATCCGAGGTCAAGAAGTCCATGAGCCGGAGAGAGATCTGGGGTTTTCTGAGAGCATCTGGGGAGGAGGTTGGCTGGCGGTGTTTCTTACTGCCGTGCCTGGTGGAAATGTATTCACCTGCAGATGCCCTGGCCATCAGGTAATGCACCAAGAGATCTGGGGCCCAATTTCATGCTAAGCTGCCAAGCACAGAAATTTGCTAAGCAGAGACAAAAATGGCTTAGCAGAAACAGGTTACCGACCAAAATGTCACGCTGTGTACATTGCTTGTGAGTTGTGACTGGTCCTCTGCTGATTTCCGCTTAGCACAGGGCAATTCCACGGTAACGGAAGGACGTTTTCACTCATTATACAAAATTTCAAATGCGTGTATCACAGACACTCTTATTAGTTTCATCAAACAAATGTCACAATTGTATTGCTGTAATGCTACCTTCAATATCCACACTTTTTGGAGGCATGAAACCTCTCGTTCATGAATTATGAATATTAAGGAGGTCGGTAACGGAAGGACGATAAAACGGACAAGGGTTTCCAACTTAGACGTGTTTTGCGTAAACTCTGTGAATTTTATGGGGCAATTATATTTTAAAGGTAGGAAATGGAATCCCTGAAGCTTTAACTATACTACACCACCTTTCATTTGAATTGAAGTGTTTGGATAATATAATTACAACGTCTTAAAGGGAATATACATCATTTGCTTTTGCTGTAATTTTCAGAAATGGATGGAATTGGGGGGTTGGAAATATATAGCAAATATAGTTACACTGACTTTTTTGAGGTTTTGGGTTCGAAAATGCTATAAAAACCAAGAAAAACGATCATTTTCCTGTAGTCTGGTTCCCTGACTCCATATAAGAAGAAACAGAGCAGTTTACATACATTGGGGAATTGTAAGGTCAGGGAACCAGTCTAGCTGGCTCGTACCCGTTCATAGGTTTGTAATCGATTGCAAACAAGTGCGATGGTCAATTGGGGCCAGTATTTGAAAAAAAGGCCAGTTGTTTCCAACGCTGATCGGCCGATCAACGTTGGAAATTGATACAAAAAAACCCGCTTTTCTTGAAAATAACAGTATACCAGGTGCCATGATTTTACAGGATGCTTTACACTGTCATTCACAAACAGTCCAGCAAGGTATTTCAAAATGATTTGGTAGTTTAATTTTTTGATGTTTGCAAATGTTGTATTTTCCCTTTAAGTGGATTGTAATTTGGTAGCAGAAGGACGGTAACGGAAGGACAAAAGGTTTACTCATTTATAGCATGAACAAAATGTGAATTTACACTAATTATACAAGTGAAACAAGTTGCTGAAATGTGTAACTGAATGTGAAATCAACAATATGCAGACCTGGCATAGATAATTATACCCAAGAACTATTGCTTATGGGTACACATACACAATACAAAGGGGTCTGTGGTTAAACCATTCATATAGACATGCTCATTGTTTATACAGCCAAGGTTCTCTATAAATAACTAAAAACCATATCTTTATTTCCAGCGGAGTGATATGGGGTCTGTACCACGTTGCCATCATGATCCTACTGACCTACAGACTCAAGGTGGACCGTCAAGTGACCACTGTTGTCATCCAATGTGTCTCAGTGTTTCTGAACGCCTACCCCCATGGCTGGATAACCATGCGATCTGGCTACTCCGTCTGGCCGTCTGCGGTCATGCACTTCACGTGGAATGTCTTGAATCCGTGGGGTGAGTAGAACAGTTTTGGGATTTTTCAGAGAGGGGTGGCTAGCCTTAGTCGTCCATGAAATGGAGTTTGTTCTCCAGTACATTTTTCTGATGGCAGGAAGTGGTTTGCCATATCGGTGGGGGAAGGAGGGGGGGGGGGGGTGATTTCTCCCGCCTGGTGACAGAGAGTACTGAAATGTGATGTCAGCTGTCTTTGTTCTGGTTTATGTACTGGTTCACGCGCTGAGGTCGTCACGCATTTAAAGGGAATATACAACATTTGCAAACATCGAAAAACAAACCTACCAATTTTTTACGAAATACCTTACTAGGATGTTGGTAAATTACAGTCTAAATCATCCTGCAAAATTATGGCACCATGTGTGAAGTCATTTCAAGAAAAGTGGTATTTTGTATAAATTTCCAACGGTGGTCGGCCGACCACCGTTGGAAAAACCTAACCATTTTTCAACTACTGCTCCAAATTTACCATTTTTTTTTCAGTCCAAAGTTTGTTTGCTATTGGTTACATGTTCATGAACGGGTGCAGGCCAGTTAGACTGGTTCTATTACCTTACAATTTTCCGGCATCTATAAATTGGTCCATTTCATCTTTAGTGAAGTCAGGGAACCAGACTACTTGAACATTTTTGTTTTTCTTGGTTTTTCCAGGGTTTTTTTTAAACACAAAACTTCAAACATGTCAGTGTAACAATATTTGTTCTGTTATACTAACCCCTCAAAATAGTTCATTTCTGAAAATTACAGCAAAAGCCAATGATGTACATTCCCTTTAAGCTATGTGTGTGAGCCAGAATATGCGGTACACTTTGGTACTCTACTTTAAAGCCAATTTAACCCCAACAGAACTCAACCCATCAAACCCCAACAGCATGTATTGTTGGAATCTGTCAGGATGGGTACAGTGCCCCTAAACTGACAGTCTTTTACATTGGGTTGGCACACCTCCAGCAACAAAGTCAGACATGTGTGTGTACAGTTTCCCATATGGTGTTGGAATTTGCCAGGATGGGTATGGTTCCTAGTAGATCATGCTAGGGAGTTGGGGTTAAAAACAAACATTCTTAGGAAATGGAATTGAGTGCACCCCCAACCATGACTAGCTGTAACACACACCTCTGCTAATGACCATTTTACAACTGAAAAAAAAGTGGGCCACATTTTTCAATTTTTTTTAAAAATCCAGTTGGCATCCTAACCCCAATGCTACTGGCAGGGAAGCTAGTCATCCCAACCATCCCCATAAGATGATAAATTCAATGTCATAGTTAATTTGTTTATGTCCTTTTCTTGCTATTCCCCCCAGTTCTTGGCAGTATTTACACCCATAAGCCAGGCCTTATCATCGGGGACCAATGGCTCATCAACGGCGAGGGATTGGCAGGATGTATCGTCATTATTCCCGTAGCCTTTATGACCATGAAAGATTTAGCAGGATAGACCAAGCAGTCAAATCAAAGTAAGTATAATTGCAAATTATGTAAAATGTTAAAAACAAAAAGAGTTACGTCATTAATATGCATGAGTGACATCGCCTCTACCACGAGAGACGCATGGCATGTCCTGCACACACAAAGTAATGGCGTGACATCACTCATCCATATTAATGAGCTGGTCTTTTTTTAAACAGCCAGGCGCCCTGACTTCTCAGGATCAGGAAGCTTGGTGGGTCATAACAAAGTTGGTGGCGTGCAAGTCACTACATGCTAGAAAATTCACCATTTTTTTTCAAGATATCATACCTTGAGGAATTCACCATTTGGTAGGCCTTATTAAAGATTGTATAAATTAAGAAGCACTCAGAAATATGATGAATATAAATATGTTCAGGGATACGTATTTCGGGAGATATTTGAAATAAAAGTTGAGAGGTTTTGACTGTTAGCGCGATTTCATGCGTTAGCTGCAGGGGTTCAAGTAGGGCTGTAATAGCGACAAGAATAGCACCCAGGTTTAAAAAGAGAGCCATTAACAGCCCTGTTTGTAGGGCTAGCATGGTGGATGTGTCAAAATGTTTTGCGAAAGACTATAGACTGTATAGGATACTTCACGGTTGACGTAAATTGCTGGACAACAATCAGATACAAAAATGCTGTTAAGACAAACCTAACCCAGCGCAGGCAATGTTGAGCTTACACTACAAAATTTGTTTTGTAAGAACACGGTAAATGGTCAGTAAATGTCTCCCGAAGACGGACAGAACATACTCTCCGAAATGTCGCGTTACAAAACCGATACTTTTCAGAACCAAACAGTCGCAAAAGAGATTGGACTACTACTGCAAAACTTACATCTTTAGACTTTGCACACCTTTGAGTCTTACCTAAGACTTTCATCTCAAACACAATTTCCACACAAAAGTTCTCTTTTTCTTAACTTTATTTAAAATGTCACGTATGAGACACTTTTTAATGAGTACTTTATACAAGTTTACGGTGTAAAAGTGCGTAAAGTGAAGACATGGAAGTCTTAAAAATACTTCTGGAAGATCTTTGAGGTCGAGATTTTTGTTCAGCAATCACTTTGTTTCAAAAATTCAAAATTCATTATTTTAGGAACCCGATTTGCAATTCTCCACTTTATTGCACTCAAGCACAGCGTTTTGTGTTCTCAATTTGAGTTCTAGCTTTAGCTCAATAAATGAATTGAAATTATAGCACTCTGATGAGCTATACATTTCACCATACAACATTCATTTACTCACATTGTTTCAATTTTTTTAACTGAAATTGTTTCGAACTCATCAAAGTCAATTTTTTTTTTTTAGAATTCTCAGAATTCTCGCATTGAATAATACAATTATGCTTGGTACACTAAATTCAGCAAAAGCGCAAAAAGAAGCCATTTTGCATTCAGTTTTAATTTCAGTCTTATCGACAAATTGCTTTTCTTTCCATGTCTGAACAAATATTTGCATTTTAGGATTTCAAAGGATACACAATACATTTTGTGTTTTTTATTCTATTAGGCTTTCATTTACAATTACTTTCAATGTTTCTACCTTATTTTTTAATAATAAATCAAAATTTATGCATAAATATACAAGAATGGCTCTTCAAAATGCTTCTCAGCATTATAAATATCAAAATACGCAAGGCATTGTGCAAGTGTTGAAAATAAACAAAATGCAATATCAACTACATTAAAAACGTCATCTAGTGCATTCGCAAATAAAAAGCTACTAATTTCTAAAACAAGTGTGCAATTTTACAGCTTGAAACTTATTTGCAATATCTGGCAAATGTATTTCAAAGTGACTTTTAAAAATACTAAATTATTTGGAAAAATAAACAAATTCATTCAAAGAATAATTGAGTTTAAAATATTAAATATTTTGATAAGTTTACAACTTAACAGTATTCTTCAAGAGTGAATTGTACAAATAATTGTATTGGTCTTTTTTATGCGTTAGATCAGTTAATGTTTTCAGATATTGTAGACTAGGATTTCAAAAGACTTGAAAAGTATCATATACAGGGCGAGTAAAAAAACCTGAAACCCAAATGTCGGGACCATTGTTTTCGTGAAGTTCTGCATATAGCACTTTCAAAATCTAGGATATTAAAGCCCAATTCATAAGCTTTCTTTTAGTACAAGAATCATTCAAATCACTCATGTATTTTTCAAGTTACGGAATTTTGAACACAACCACCGTTTTAAGGTTCTGATCATGGATCACAAAAAATTCAGTGTTCTTTCAGCAAAAAAAAAACCAAATCACATACGGATGTGTGTGAATTGTTTTCGTTTTGCAGAACTTTAAAACGGCTGTTGTGTTTAAAATTCTGTAACTTGAAAAGTACATGAGTGATTTGAATGATTTTTGCACTAAAAGAAAGCTTATGAATTGGGCTTTCATATCCTAGATTTTGAAAGTGCTACATGCAGAACTTCACTAAAACAATGGTCTCGACATTCGGGTTTTTTTTTTTTTTTACTCGCCCTGTATTGTCAAATGTCTGATAATGCCCTTCATAACTGGTCCATTGGACTTCTATAATCCGGATAAATTTGGATTCCCATATGTCAATAATTGCGTAATCTGTCTGGGTGTGAATTGAAGTGTAAACTTATTTTAATTTATTATTATTTTTTTTACATTTGACATAAATAATACTGGCTGTCAATAGAATATATTGCGTAACTCAAAAAAAAAGCCCCAACGGGTGATTTCAAACTTAACGACAGACTCGTTTTCAAAACCCTTGTCGATAGCAAGAAGAATTGCATTAAAGCGGGTAAGAGTCCTGCCTCAAGTTTAAGATCGTCCGCAGAGCACCTGGTAGTAAAACAAATATTCATCTTTTTTTCTTATTTTCGTTGTCACAACTTGCGCGACACTTGAGAATGTTCAGCGTTTGATGGCAAGAATTTCTGCATTTTTTTTTACCCCTTTCTTCCCAAAATATTTTTTGCCTACCAACCAGTTAAGTTACCCCCAAATTAGACAGAAGCCACCAGAACCAGGATTTTGACTAAATTTGAGTTATTTCTTACATAAAATGCAGACCAATTTCTACCAAACGTCTACCTCAAGAAAAAAAACCTTCAACCGCATACGCATAGCCAGCCAATTTATGCTACGGCATTTTGCATATCACACTGAGATTCCAAAAACCATACTACATGTAGTTGGTTTACTATCAATAAAGATAAGTTCTTTCAATCAATATTTTCTACAGTGTAAGTGATATGCTGTTGTAAATGAAGCAGTTAGTATGACAAATATTAACAATTGACAGTTTCTACTAATGGGCAATTCCGTCAAATCCAACTTACGTCCGACCACATGATGTGTGTGTACAAGGTCGTTAAGGTTTTCTGCTCATTAGATGTATTAGTGATGTATCACATTCACTTTTCCAACGGCAGCTCATTAAAGTGTCCGACATGTACGTCGGATTTTACGGAATTGAATTGCCCTATAACAACTATTAAGCAAATTTATGTTAATTACTGTATATATTTCGAGTTGAACATACCAAGTTAATCTAACAAATTTTTTAACCATTATTCTCAATTTATAATAGGGACGTAGAAAGCTTCTCCAATTATCATGCAATTTCATTAAAGAGTTCTACCCAAGGAATTGTTAATCAAAAAAATGCCGACGGAAGCCCGAATGTTCTAGGAATGAAGTAGCAATTATATGGAAGCTTTGTGGAATTTTGAGTTGAATAATTGTGCTGCGGAAGCACTGAGTTTCACAAATAGCAGAAGTATAACTTGCAACTTGCAGAACAATACTTTCAGAAGACACCTTGAATTCGGGAAATAAAGCAAAGCTAAAATCTACTGTCTAACCATCTACTGGTACACAAGGCACAAAAAGGTTAAAATAGGCCCCAAATATATCTGCTTTACATAAAGCAGGATAGTTAAGACCGACTAATTATAAACACAAGGCTTTCACAAATTCAAATACATGCAAAATATGTAAAGTCTTAAATGAGTTCTAACATTAATGACGGCAGATAAATTGCTATATATAAACAAAAAAAATATTGAAATCTGAATATATTATTACACTTAGAAGTGTAAAATTTTTGAGTTCGTTAATATTAAAATAAAACAACAAAAGGCACATTTGTTTATGTGCAGAGTAACATGGGTTGTTTTGGTGTTTACCGATGAATACTTTCAAATGGGTACTTCATTGCTTTTGGTTGTACACCATTTACACACTGACATTCCAGAGTTTTTGCCAAACTGGGTGACTCGGGACAACCAAATCAAACTTCTGTTTCAGACGGGCTAAATCAATTTGTTAATTTTCCATTTGATTGGTCGATGTTGTCATTCTGAACAACTGCCTCAGTTGATCAGTCGATGTACATGTAGTCACTCTTAACTGTTTCAAAAACATCAAAGTTTACATATACTGAATTCAGATCTTAAGAATAATTCAGATCGGAGCAACTCTGGAATGTCAGTCTAAAACTAGTGTAAAAGTTTGATATTTTCTGCTCTGTGCACAAGTTTATTTCCGTTTCAAAAGCTTAGCATGTCATTTCGTCATATAATCTTTTTTCCCCAAGCTTTCAAGCACAGAACAGGGCCCAATGTCACAGTTCTGCTTACCACATGTCAAAAAATCCTAATTGGGCTCGCAAGGATTATTAGAAAGTGTGTTTGAACATTCCGCTTAAGAAGATTCTGTCTTGCAGGGTTAGCATAGAATTTCTGCGCTCATGATGTAAGCACAGAATGCTGAATGTTTGCGCGGAATAGGCTGTTCCAGATTTTGCCCCTTATTTTTGTTGGTGTACATTTCTCACTATGTTTGTGACCAAGTTAGACCTATCTACCTTGGTCATCGGATCAAAAGTTATAATTGTTCAGTGGACATGTTTTGAGTGATAGGCAGGGAGGGTCCATTCTGTGGTTGGCAGAGCCATGACATTTGCCTCGATCAAAAGCTACAATCCTATGCCACCTCCCTTAGTGTCTTTTCAAGGCATGAAGAGTTCCATTTTACCGGTGTACTGACGTTGTTTCTCGTGTAGAGCTTTGATGGCCAACTCCTGCGAGTAGAACGGCACCAAAACATCCCCATTGTACTGCATCTGCACATTCTCAGCTGGGACCTGCAAGGGTAGGAAAGTTGCAGAAAATTCTCCTTTTATGGACTGATCTTTCACTTTTTTTAATGTAAGTAGATGTTTGGTGTAGTTTGTGTTCATAGTGATTGAAAGAGTCAGTTTTTGAAATAACTTTGAAAACGGATTTTGTTTTTCATACAGTGATATTTGAATAAATTTGAAAATATTTTTTCAAATCTTGGTGATTTTGAGTGATGAGATTGGCAAAGTGTTCCAAAACTAAAAATGACAAAAAGTTTGGACTTGGATTTTCTAATTAGTTTTTACAATTTATTGTAAGTGATCCATAACTGAAATATTAAAAAAGTATTCTTAAAAAGTGCAATCACGACCTTCAATGGACGGTCTAAATTTATTTTGAAATGTGTACAAGAGTCTACCAAAGTTAGTTTTGAATAACTTTTCACCATATAAATTAAATAATCTATATTTTTGAAACTCGATGCATTTTGGCCTTGCCATGGCTTTTGCAAGAAATTACAGTCTTTAATCATGAAAGGATAAGTATTTGATTCGTTTTTTTCCAAAGCTTACATTTTGGAAAACCTAACAGCACTTCTATTGCCTTTAAGTTTAGAATTTGTTTTCAAGATGAATTTATCTTACACCTGCAGATAAAAATCTGTTATTTCCTCTGTCCATTACCCCGCCCCCAAACGCTGGACCTTTGGCAAATCACCAAGGAAATTAAATTGTACCTGGGTACAAAATCTATGACCATTTTGTACCATATTTGTGTCAGATTCTTGTCATTAGCTTATCTATAATCGACCCATGTTGCTTGCCACAATTTTATAAAGAAACCAATTTCCATTTGAAAAAAAAGATGTGCGAAATGGTATTATCTAATTCATTCCTAATGTTTCAAAGATTGTACGCTGCTTGAGTGAGGCGAAGTATTTTTGTGTAAGTTTGAAAATATATTTGAGTTTGAGATCATCGCTATAGGCTACTATAAACTGAAAGCGCAAAAGGTGGTGTTCATGAGTTGATTGTGCGTGAAGCAGGCATTCGCCTATGAAAGGGGCAACAGGCGGGCGAGGCAAAGCCTCTTCAGTTGATAATCTGCCCACCTAATGTTTGTTACCGTTACATTCATGGCTTGTGTTATTTTTATTAACTGGTAGTCTGTTCAACTAGGGATTGCATTTATGTCATTCTATTTTAAGTCAATGATCCAAATACAGTGAAATCTCAATAAGTCAAACCCCAAGGGAACAGGTTCAAAATTTGACTTAAGCAACGTTTTGAGTTATTAAGCAGGGTTGTATATCTTTGTTATACTACTGAAGGCAATGGATTCTTTGTTTGACTTAACAGTTGTTTTGAGTTATCAGAGTTGACTTATCGAGATTTCACTGTAGGCAGAGTTTCATTTTGAAGATGTTATAAATGCTGGATTGAACAAAAATTTGAAGCACGCATGTTTACGTATGTAGAATATTATTATTAATAAAATATTGACAAATTCACCACAAACTGTAAAATGTTATCTTGTGAATATTTTTGGAATTATAAATGTAGATGTCATGGACTTGAGACGAAGTACAAATGTTAAGAAAGTCAGTGAACAAATTTTCAGATAACAATAATGGGAAAATATGATAACTGAAAATTTGCCAACCCAAGAATTAGTCTGTAGACGACACCCAACACCGAATTTTTTTTCTTTTCTGTGGCAAGAAAATGTTAAGCCAGAGCCCATGATTATATAACCGATACTAAAACCCAGAAACATGTACCTTTTTTTTTCAATTGAACCATCACCAGATTATTTGCCAAAATGTGGAGGAACCTTAGAGTTGAATCTCCTGAAAAAATTAACATCATCAAATCTAAGATTAAGTGAAAAAATCTTGATAAACCAAGATGAGTATAAAATCCACCACATCCGTTATGCCTCCTCCACCAGTGTTAAAACCGTCACCACACCTACCACCGAGTTATCAAGAAGTTTATCAACTACCAAGTTTTGTATTGAAATATTAGTGGAACTTGAGCACCAACGTTTGTTGTTTTATGGTTAGATTAAAGATCCAGGCACCAAATTGTTTTCCAGTGAAACCATGGACAGTGTTTTCCTTGACCCGAATACACAAATCTAGATGCCAAAGTAAGCAGAACAGACCAAATGAAGTTGATATATTTATCTGGCTACCTATTTGCATAGTTATCGTCAGTCTCCATTTTTTCTTTTTATTGCACTTGATCAAAGTTATCCCTGAGATTTGTGGGTCATTGCCACTCGATGCCGGCTCCGTGCTGGGGCATAGCCTTCTCAAGACAAGCATAGAGAGAGAGGGGGAAAAATGGTGACATCAACAAAGGCATTATCAGAAGTTGTTTTAATTGCTTTCATGATTTTGTTTAGTATTACCAAACACCTTTGCCAACCTTCATTATTATTCATCATCAACTAGCCAGAAAATAGAAAGCAATGCGTGATGCTTCACCAACGAAAAGAAAAGTAACTTTTGAACTCCTTTTGGGGGCAAATCCAATAAGCCAAAGTTAACGAGAGAATAAAAAGTTTTCTGAGTCAAATTTCTAAGTCTTCCTTTTTAATTTCTTCAATTGTTGTCACTTTTAGCAACGCAAATGATCACTTTCAAAATATTTCTTTTCATTCAATCAAGATCTTATTTCAAACGTAGATTCATACAAAACTTTTATAATCATTTAATTTTGTTTTCCTTTTCTGTTTTCTTACAAGACAAGCAGCAAATTATACACGATTAAACAATTTCTCTTTTACACAGTAAACTGAAACTTCTCTTTTTTCTTCTATTCCCTTTTATAAAAAAAAAGGACAATTCCACTTAAAGAAATTGTTGCGGAAAGCGTGCCATTAGGATTACGACATAATTAGTCCCAAACCAAACCGCTCATTAATGTGCCAAAGAATCAATAAATGTGCATGTTTAGAATAATATCCAAGTCACAAGTACCCATCCCAAATCAGACACCACATCACAAAACTTTTCTTCTTCTTCTCTTTGAAGGAAAACGAAATCAATGAACACAAATCAGTTTGAAATTGAGTGTTGCGGTGCTACTCGCAACGTTTATATAAAGACCAGAATTTAGCGGTGTCATACGTGGTTATGGCTAGCAGTATTAGCATGCGTGTCTATGGGAAGCGGCTTCATCTGCTGCCATAGGCGCGTGTATAATTGCGAGCCGTAGCCAAGTAATTCAGCTGCGGCTTTAGAGTTGAGTACAGGAGTCATTTTGCCATTGTTGTAACACACTCACCCCATATCCCTGGAAGAAGTTGGCCACTTCCTGGGGCGTGGCCCCAACGTGCAGTCCCCTCAGGCGGATGATGGCGTTACTGGCGTGGGGGTGATGGTAGAGTTGGCTCGTGGTGGGGGAGACGGGGGGACTAGGGAAGTAGTACAGGGGCTGCTGGATGTAGGCATGGGTGGTCTGTTGACGTGCCTGGATGGTCCCTGGGAGGGGGGCGGTACTCGGTATCATGCCGCCGTTGGGAGAGTGGAGTTGCTGCTGGTAGGGGAACTGCGGAGTTGTGGGTGCTATTGCACTTTGTACCGTCACTGAGGAGGAACAAAAACAGACACGTTCAGTTCCATTAGAAGGAAGCTTCTACCAATCCATAAAGGTGCATTAAATTAATATTGATCTCACTGGTCAAAAGCTTACCATGAATTATATTCATTAAACCTAACCATCCCAAACATTCCAAAGTTCATCTTTGGATTTTGCAGTATTTTAAAAACTACACAACCCAGCCATTATTATACATGTACATGTATGCAGAAGAGTTTGGTATTCAAGCACAAGCTGGGTGGCAGTGCTTTCTAACATGTTTCAAGATGCTTCAAACCATTATCCATGAAGTTCACTTTACATACTTTGAAAACTGGGCTTAAGCTAATCATCAACATGTACTAGGAGATAGAGATTAAGAAGTATGAGGATTCGCACAAGGGATATAAAGGACACTGGATTGTTAAAAGTCAAATAAAGATACGAGAACAGCACTGACATTGACTGGATACCTGGGGCCATTTTCATGGAGCTGCTAAGCACAAAAATGCGCTTAGCACAACAAAGTATGGCTTAGTAAAAGCAGGTTACCAGCCAAAGCATGGAAATCACATGGTTTTTGGTTGGTAACCTGCTTTTATAAGGGCAGACTTTTTTGTGCTAATCAAAAGTTTGTGCTTAGCGGCCCTGTGAAATTGGGCCCTGATCTCATTCAAGTATGAGGACAGACAAAGCTTCTGAAATTCTATTGGTTTATACCGAGTGTTTTGATAACCTTCCCTGCATTGTGATTGGTCTACTTCTCAGGCAACTCGATGCTTTTTTGTTCATTTGTAAATACTTAAATTAGCTGACCCTATGTTAGAGGTCATCATGACAGCAACGTCCTTTCCGTTCTCTGACTCACCTTGCGGTTGCACCGCCTTGCTTCTAGCCCCACTCATCAGGGCAAGATTCATCTCGTCCCCAGAGCACTGGAAGACCTCCACGTAGCGTTCCCCCATGTACTTCCTGTGGCACGTCTGGGCCGCTTGCAGCGCTCTCTCGGCCGACATCATCTGGATGAAGGCCTCTCCGGTTGGGTTGCCCTGGAAACAGGCAAGTATAAAAGCAAAATATTTAAGCTTGCTGCTTTGTTTTGACCAGTGTTGTAGCCCGTTTGGAGTCAAGTCACAAGTCCATTCACAATTTGGATTACAGATAGGAGGGGCTATACAATAACAAAGGAAAGCCCAAAACCTTGAGTTGGCCAAACAATCTGCTTGGGCCTCCACATTCAACATGGTCCTCAGTGACAGCTCATCTCACTGCTCAGAATCAGCCTGACTTGGCAAAAGATGGTTTTGACCTTCCGTCTTAAAGTCAATGATAGTCATCCCCTGACTGCATGGATGCAACTATATAAGGTATCAACAGACCTTTATCATGCTGCCACCATTTCAGTCATGTTACCTGTATCCAATAACGGTACTGAATGATGGTTTTTGTGGGGAAAAAAAGAACCAGACTTTTTTCCTTCCAGTTACGCTTTGGTTATGTTGATTGGAATGGGAACAAATCAAGATGGCAGCAACATGATAATGGTCTGTGGAAAGCTGCTAAAACCTTTCAGATGCAGCCAAACTGCCTGTGTTCAAATTCATATTTAAACATATAAAACCACTTTTTTGGGGATCTGTCTTCGTTTGATACTCCTGTGACATCTCACCTGCATGGTGTAGACCATGTGCACCCCGTGAGGCCGGATGTAGTTTGCCGTCTCCCCAAGAAACCTCATGATGTCCTCGATGGTGGCCTTGAAGGGCAACCCCCGCATCCGGATGCAGTCCCGTATCATACCGCAGGTGATGAGCTGCTGAGGCACGAAGGCAGCAGGGTGTGGCTGGGGTATCAGGTGGGCCTGGGGAGGGTGGATGATGTTAGGGACCATCACGTTGGCCTGGGGCGGGCCCTCGGGGACTAAGGGCTCTGAGTGCAGACGGGACAGAACCTGCCAAAAAATTGCAAGGAATGTGAAGTTGAGAAACATTTAGGCAGCAATTATGATGGAATTTTGCATCTGGGATATCATTTTAATGTTGGTGCTTTGCCCTTACCAACTTAATATTAATACTCGGTGCTTAGCAAGGAAAAAACCTCACAGCTTGCTTTTATGGGATTCCTGCTTAATAGATTTCTTTCTGGTAGCTTTAACAAAGAACACTTCAGCCTTTCCTCTGACCTATTAAAACGATAATTTGCTTTCTCTGCTGTAGTTTTTAAGGAAACCCAGACAAAAGCCATCCTGTTAGATCTTGTTACAATGGCAACGGTTAAATATTGACATCATTATTGGATAACTTCATCAGTCAACTGTTTAGCTGTGGATTTGTTTAGTAAAACCTTCCAAAACAGAAGTGGGACTTGAAGAGAAATTAACAAACTGATACCTGCTGTACTTCAGCCGTGGTGCTGCGGAAGATCTCAATGTATCTGTTCTTCAGGTAGTCCTTGTGCTTCTCCAAAGCCTTGTTGGCCACTTCCTCAGTCGAGAACAGAACGAAAGCATCGCCTGTCATCTTACCGTTGCGCTGTTTGACAAACAGTATGCCCTCTTCAGCGCCGGAAACGGGGATGGCCGGACCAAAGAAGTCAACCTGTTTAGGCAAAAACTCTCTGGCTTTACGAAAAGATTCCAATAAACAGGTTTTATGCTTCAGCTCAAACCAAAAAGTCCCTCTCACCTGAAAAACACCGATTACCAAAAATCCTCCAAATCTTTTGTTGCGATGAAAATGTTTCTCTACAAAGATGCCTGGTCACATTATTAAGGAAGCCCTTTCACCAGTTGGAGTTTGCAGAGTGTTTGGGGAGGTTTTTTTTTTTTATTTGGTGACAGGATTCATGAAGGTTAAATGTCCTGATGATTTTGTTTTTCTAAGTTGTGTTTTGGGCGACAAAAACGAATAGATGGTTGTGAAAATCTGCTGATTTAATGACAATCCACTTTTCCCTTGCTCTAGTTGGATGCACCGCTGTCTACCTTCACAAAAATCCCTCCCTACACCAGTAGACTAGTTAGCCACAGGCGACACCTTTTACTGAATGTGGACATGACCAAAAAACCCAGCCAAAGGGTGAGTGAAAAAAAAGCTGTCAAAAATGCAACAAAACCAACCATCATTCCACACCCATTAAACAAAATCAAGCCCCTAAATCCCTGTGTTACAACACCTGAATGGGAATGTGATATCACTTGGTTGTCGGTAAACTTACATCGAATTAACTACTGATTCATTTGGGTTTTGTCTGCAGATACGAGTTTTGCTGGACTGCCTGTATATGCCCTGTGGAGCACAGTTTGTGAGTACAATTATTTAACATGTTTTACAAATTTTGGTGACAAATGCCAAATTTTTGTACTTGTCCGTAGGCATCAAGATTACAAAATTTTAAGATTTGGCCTTAAATTGAATACATTTCATAAAAGGGTTAAAGAAGACTTGATTTTTTGTAACTAATTTCTGATGTTGATTTTTGCCACATGGAATAAAGCATTCCATTGCATATATCAAAATGTTACTAAGAGCAAGATTAGATTGAGAAGACAAACTATTCAGTATGTCACATTAAAAAAAAGAAGCTAATAAACTAAACGGTTTGTCAAGTTTCTCATAATGCAGTTTTTGAAATCTTGAAGATGGAGAGAATGAAGTACCCAATTTTCAGTTTCCCATAAATTAAAAGCTTCAAATCTATTTAATGTCATCCTTGCAACTACACAATCGTATTTTGGAACAAGGCAATTCAGAATGGAAGAACCAAAATATAAAAAAAGACATACCACTTCTCGAGCACTTGCAGTAAAGGGAAGACCCCTCATGCGCACGATGATGTGGCCATCATCTCGAGACAGAAACATAGCCGCATCCCGAGAGGTTCCTGCAAAGGCAGATAATGATGTTAACAGCAATTGAACAACTCAGCCAGGAATCAAACCAAAGACCAAATGGAATACAATATTGAGTTCTACCAACTTGAAAACTATTTGTTTTGGTGTGAGGTTTTTTTTTTTGTCTAGCAAAAGTAGACGAATGCACTTTTTTTTTAGTATTGACTGTAACTGCAATATGAAAAGAAAAATGAGCAGAAACACAAGTAGAAAAACTGACATATCCTGGCACTTGATTAACAATATAAAAAAAACTCTTTTTCTTGGGGAAAAATATTCAAATTTGTAATAATGATGAAAAAAATCTCAATAAATTAAAACATGTATTTTCAGTCAAAATATGTGAGAGAGTGGGGTATTGACATCTGCACTAGAAAGCAGGAGGTTGTGGGTTCGAGTCCCACCCGAGTAAGCTTGTGAATATGTTCTCGCAAGTCTTTGGTCAACATCGAGAATACAGTGTTTATAAAACAAACCCAATATTGAATTTACATCTCCCCGCAAAGTAAAATGGCAAATTATATACAATACTGCTGGAAATTTGGTAATATTATGTCTGTGCATGCAATAATTCTTTGAAATCACTTTTCAATTCAGTTGAGAATGAAACAGATGGGAACATTTGTCAAGGATTTGGAACCTTTCCAAAAGCCATTAATTATTTGCCATGTAATTATTTCTCCAACATTTCCAATTAAAACTAAACGATGCAGAAAAGTCTAGTACCTGCTGCAACTTTGATGAACTCATCACCTGTTCCCTTGAACACCTGTGAATGAAACAATGTAATTGATTGAATAATAGTTCATGTTTAAACATTAATTAAATTAAACATTAGTAAAATAGTGATATTTGGTTTCGTGAGCTACATGGATTTTATACAAAATGTCGTTTACAAAAACCTCTGTGAAAAAAGCTCACTCATTTTTCTCAACATTCCATGTACATGTATATAAAAAATCAACAATTTAAAGATAATATTTCGTGAAAACAAAGATATGGTACGTTTTTGGCACTCTTGACACTTTGACAGGATTTTGCATGGTCAAGATGAAAATTTCGGAATATTTTTTCAAAAGTTGCAACAACAACAGAAATGGTAACTGCATGCTTCAAAACCTATCGAAATTTCAATAGGAACAAAATGATAAATTTGCATTAGAGGCGGGGATACTTTGCAATTAAAAGGACATAATAATAATGAGCCAAAAATCCACGTTGTACTAAACGGTTTTTTTATTCAGAGTTTTAATTTTTTTCAAGGATCGTGCGTGCAATTTCTCCTGGTAGTTCCCGGCAAAGCAATATTCAACACTATGGTAATCAGCCATTGTGTATATCCAACCATATGGTTTCTGGAATTTGTAAGTGGGTAGTTAAAAAACAAACGCTTGTAAAACATCAGGGCCATAGAACGGCCAACCCAGGTTTGTGTTGATTTCGCATTAGCAATTGACGAATACACGGACAGAGATCCGTTGGTTAGACCATACCGAAAGAAAATTTGGTTCGCTTAATATTTTTGTATGGTACTTTTAGTTTATTGCCAATTCATAATTTATTGAGAAAATGTTGTGCTTTCTTGCACAGGTTTTTCTTAGATAGTATTTTGATGTTCCTTGTGTGGAACATTGCTTCATGGAGTGTAGTATCCAGACGCCACTTCAATGGTTGTGCACAAAGTCTATGGAGAGTCAAGAATATTTTCAAAGTATTTCCTAACAAAATTGGAAATGTTTCTCAGTCCCAGATTGATGTTTTTTCAACATGTTTGCAATAACTGACCTTCATTGAGATAATAATTTTGTAAAGTCGAGATGCTAATAAAATTTTAACGGGACTTGTTGCAGTCTTAACAATTTTTATTAAAAAAGTGTTTGAAGCAGACACACACAAATTCAACCACACGAAATGCATTTTGTTGATTTTGTTGCAGCGTGTATGAATAGCACTTGTTGCAATCTAATGAAAATTCCGTTAGTGAAAATCTATTAGTGAAAATGCTTATTAAGCTTGTGAAAGGCTTGGAATTATTTCGTTTGTCAGTCCTTGGCAAGCCTCACGCAAGCCGCTTAGCTTTTACTTTTCGTCGCCGCCACTTGGATTTATCTCATTTTGCAATGAAGAGGAAATAAATGTTTCGGAATGAAAAATGGGACTTACTTCCACGTATCTGTTGCCCAAGTTGTGCCTGTGTCTCTGCAACGCCATGTCTCTGTGCTGGGAAGACTCGAAATGGACCATGACCTCGCCGTTCCTCCTGCCGTAGTGGTTCAGACACAAAGCCACCCCACCCCTTCAAAAACGAAACCAACCATTAACAACAAAAAAATCACTCTTGAATCTATGGAAGAAAAAAATCTGGGAATTCATAAAAGTCTGGCGCTGCAAGGTCGATTCCCTTTACTGATCATGTATGTTTTTTGTTTTGGTATTTTTTTTTCAATATTTGTTTTATATTTTTGTGTTTCTTAGCACAGGTTTGGTATTTATGGTTCATTGGAATGATTGTTGTAAGCTTGTTGTTGGAACTCTCAACTGTCTTTGGAGAGTTGTTGGAAAGATGATTTCCCCAAAAAATTCTGCACTTTTAATTGTATACGTCTTGTCTAATAATGTTTTGATGGTTCCCTTGAGGTGGTTGCTTCAACTTTTTCTTTGGACAGTGTTTGGGGGAGAATGAAACGTTTGCTCAGAATATTAGAACGAGGATGTGTGTGGTTACAACTGTACGCCTACTAATCGATCCAACTTTTCGTTCCAGTCCTTGGGCTAAAGTTTTATAAGCGTTTCATATTTTAACCATATCGTACAAGGATTTGACCTATAAAAATGAACTGAGGTTTAATGTACTTTTGGCACCCAACCCTCGACTGTGTTGCCTTTGCAAAAAAAATTGAGTAGTAGTATTTTTTTTTATTATGCAGTCGCTCTACTGGGATTTGCTCTGCATGGCTAGGTATTTTGCATAAAGCCAACAGCAAGACTAGTCTTTAGTTCATGCCCACGCAAAAATTACTGCAAACAATAAAATCTGGTATCGAAGGCCGGAGCCATTAAGTGTAGCAGTCCGAGGCATTCTTTCGGTCTTTTCTTTCGGTTCTGCGCAGTATTCAACTTTTGCTTCCTGTTTTGTACGATCCGGTTTATGCCTCAAATCACATTTTGATTCATTTTTTTCCAAAATGGGGAGTCTTGCGTAAAATGGCGCCGGTGTAAACAAAATCTGTAATACAGTAATTACCTCCGCCTACAACACTTTAACCCATACATGAGGATTCCCAGCGTTAGTTATGGATAATAAGGCAATTTGTTGCCGAGTTATTGTCTATTCAACACAACTGCCAATATAATTTTTGTGGTTTCTGCTAAAATTTTGAATAGCTTGCAGCATCGAACAGGTCAATTAAATAAAAGCTTCTTATGGAAAAACATGGAACTTACTCAAATTAAAAAGTTAGAAATGATGAAAAATCTTTAAACACCGTAACTATTTCACAAAAAGTACAAATTTGATTGTGGGATTGGTATTTTTATTTCAACTTTTGGGGTTTTTCTAGATTAAATTTTGTCGACTGGCACTTACTTTGCGATGTTCAGCCCTTTGAAGAAGCGGAAGACATCTCTGTCCGAAGCTTGCCATGGAAGACCTCGTGCTTTAACTACTGAGTTATCTGACACAGTATCTGTCTTGTCGCTGGGGGTAATCAATAATAATTATTAGTAAGTGATCAATAACAATAGGTTATCAATGAGCCATTTAATACGATGTCTTACACTACAATCAAAGGAAATTAGCAGTCAATTTTTTTCAAACAATCAATTATTTTGAATATATACAACAAGACAGTAAATATAACTCATATTCAAGTAACTGAAATTGATTTTGATCAGTTAATCGATAAATCACGTACGACCTTACACTAATCGAAAACAAGATTATTGTCTGATGCAACATATAATATCCATATATTGTTAGGTTAATTGATCAAACATGAAATGAACTTGGTCAATTTGATGCATTTTGAAAATACATTTCAGGACTCAAATATTTTTGATAAGTTCGAGTCTCACTATATAATATCGTATCGAACAAGTTATTGAAACTACGTGCATTTAATCTTATCAATTGCTGTATGCAAAACAGTAACACCAGAGCTCGACCCACCGCCTAACTTCTTGCAAAATGTATAAATTCTATAAAATTATAGACTTTGTTTGTGAAACTAAAAAAAAATAACACTATTACTTAACAATGTATAAATTTAGTGTGGTATAAATTGAATGAACTTTTTTTTAACTAAAATAAATAACACTAATACTTACAATGTACCGGGTTCATATTTTCTTCGGATCTGATCCGGATTTGTGAATCTGTGTCCTGAGAGAAAAAACCCACAAGAATAAAAAATTAATAATAGCCTGTGTACTGTGGATTGATTTTCCCATCCACAAAAGAATTTTTCCGCATATTTACATTCAAAAGGCAATGCGGTAGTTTTGTCCCATATTGATTCTTTTTGTCTGACACGCGTGTGTGCTGATGCTCATAGGGTTTACAATGCATATGGATGGGAATGACCCATATGTTCAGGATTAAATTATAATCACTCCACTATAATATATTGCATATTTAGATTTCGTAATTGTACAATTAATTTTTGGTAAGCGTTTAAGGCCTACACCAAAGTGCAACTCGACTTGCTTTTCGCATTGGTGCCTTTTGTGGTGTTGTAATACAATTCGAACACGCATGTTTTGCCAAGAAATCAAGTGGAAGATTTTGTAATGTAAATTATTATCAAAACATTTGCCCACGTCAAAGGGTTTGTTTATGTTTTTGGTTACCTCTTTGTTTTCTGGACTTTGTCTCAAACTGCTGCAAAAAGTACTTTGTTCCCGGACGTCTATATGTGTGTATGCCTAATTGCAATCATTTCTGTATAACATGTAGCCTATCTTAATTACAAACATTTCTGAATAACGTGTATCCGAATTTACAAACTGTGGAAAGAATTCATAATCGGAAATGTTTGGTTAATCGTTTAAAGTATATTTAAAAAGATGTTAAGAGATGATTAGAATTCGAAGGAGTGTTCATTTTTGTCTACAATCCAATTTTCTGTAATAGCCTACGTCTGCATGCTAATTCTCACAGTATTTTTTTTTGGTATGGTTATTATATCGGCCTCAGCATCTGGACGATAACCCGTCCGATAATATTATGATAAATCCATGTACACAAACAAATCGACTCACATTATCTCCTTTATCTTTATCAATCACAAAGGGAAAAAGAGCATTGAAATTGTGTTGGATATAAGATAATGCCATTTTGGGTTCAGAAATACAAGTGAGTTTTCAAACTACGGAATGCAGGAGCATCAGCTCATTCAGTTTCCGCGTTCCAGACTTAGTAACCGAGTCCAAGAAATGATACAATCTTTGCTAGCCTATTATACACAATAGAGGATCCCATGCATGTCGTCTTTTGTGTCTGATCACATTATACACCGTGCAAAGAAGCTTTCATTGACAATTTTTTTTTTCAAGCACCCCCATTTTAAAGACTTAACCAGCGTGGTTTATCCTTAGGTTTTATCGTTCCCAGTGATTCCATTCACTCACGTTGGCTCAGCCAATTACATAACAGGTATTATCCAGACTTGTGACAAGGTTTGAAAAGTGACGTGACCTTTTAATATCCCCGGGAAGAATAGGCTTATATACTTCCTCATAAGGGGCATATAAAATGCAACTCCCTTTCTACATATTTCGTTATACGTTTTTCAAAGTGATGAGCAAGTGTTAATTTGTTTTTCGTATTAACAATTCGAGGGATTATTTAAAAATAAATTGCAAGGGAACTAAATCAAGGAATGGAAAAGTTCGTTTTTCCAAGTATTACTTCATGCTAAGTAGGCCTATACAAAACAGTAACATGAAGTGTTTGCCATAATTTTATAAACAAATTTACGTCGGCCTCTGCTGTTTAATTTTGTGGTTTTTCAAGTACTTTTCAAGTGGTTTTGATAAAATAGTGCTTCGTCCACTTCAACAGCGTCCTTGACAACTAATTCCACAGTTCCGCCTTCTAGTCTGCTGCGCATGACCTTGCGTAAGTGTTCCTTTACAAAAACATTGCTCTGAAACAAATTGTGGATTTGTAATTTCCTTCTTTTGAGGCCAAGCTGAAGCCTACCTTCGTGGATGAGTCGCTGCACGATGCTGGCCATGGCTCGGCACTCGTCCAAACCCGTTTCTGTGAAGTTGTAGCTCCCTGTATCGATCTTTAAATCTGGTAAAAAATCTCCAGTCAAGGAAATGTTCTTTTTGTGTGAACAAAAAAAATAACAATTGCTAATTATGTTTTGTTAGTAATTGCGCCTCCGGTGTACGGAAATTGCCACGCCCTTCCGCGATCCACACAGTCTATATAGCTCATTTTCTTTTACCTGATGTTAAGCCGACAAAAGAGTAATTTTGCTAGGCTTGGGCGACCAAGGTCAGCTGGCTTTTGAATTGAAACCAAATTTCGGGCGGCTTACGAGTGGGGCGCGTTGAGTAAAATTGTCTGCGGCAGTTTCGTGAAAAGGTGCGCCACAATTATGCCACTTTCATTCAGCATCGAGTTGGTCTCTCGTCCGAGCATTTAACGACAACACGATATGTGGAATAATGTACTTTCAGCTCAGTCACTAAGCCCATCAAAACATTCATACCCTGTATGTTTTGATGTTTGTAGTTGTTGCAGAGTTTTTGAAATCGCAGTTATAAGCAGGAAATTATTTGTCACATGCAGACGCGTGTAATTTTGTATGCGATGCTTTAGCGGGACTTAAACATTTAATGGATAATATCTTCGAATGTGTTTTAATGAAAAGTGCACAGAGACCTGTTCATTTTATAGGAAAAACGTTTAAACCTGTTTGTTCAAAGGTTGTTTTGTGACTTAGTATTTTGACAATTACAAGAAAGGATGTGATTGTTTTCTTTTAATTTCTCTGCATACGGGCTGATGCATCCAATTAACATCATTTTGTAAAAGTTTGAAAAGATGGGGGAAATGGAAATAGGCCTCAACAAAAAGCTGGTGTTGAATTTTTTAATTTCTCTGAAACTCAATTACTGCTTTTCGAAACTTTGGAAACGGGCCAATGCAAGCGTACAGTGAGGTCTGTTTTCTAAGCATATACATCTTGGTCCGGCAATTCATAAAGTTAAATAAGTATAGGGATCATTCTGTCCGCTTCCAGCCAGTTATTTCTAACAAAAGTCCGACCTACCTTTTTTGCTTTGATTTCATATATTTTTTTCCGGACAAAAATACAAACACATTGTTGTCAGTGTCCCTGGGATTTCGTTGTATTAATGAAAGGGGAGTTGAGCTTCGCTGCACTAACTACCCAAGTTATGGGTGAGTATTCACCAATCCAGACAATTTATTGCTTGTCCAAGGATTGTCAGGAAAATTAATTTGAAGAAAAAAAAATTGTCCATGTTTGTTGGTTGTTAGCTGAAAGAGAGCAGTGGTATTATAATGCTATACATTTGTGTACAATACGTTTGCTCTATCCAAGGACGTGACCTCGCATGCACGCACAAAAGTTTGGTGTGAACTGTTCCATGCTATCGATTGGTATTCGAATAACAACAGTTCTTTAGCGCGGCGTGCGAAGTAAAAATGAAAATCGATCGCTAATCGATACTCTGGATGTGAAACACGGCATTCGATTGTTCGGTTCTGTTGTTGTGTCCGCCATGCGTGACTATGATCGATACCGATCTCTTGTGCTCCGGTAAATCTGAAAGTAATTCCTCGGAAGACGAGAATAGCACTCTAACTTCGCCGCTCCAAATGCATAACATTATGATGTGCATGTAAATCGTCTAAAATGATAAGCGATTGGACACAACAGTATAGTTTTATTGTAAAGCGCTTTGAGATTGTTAATTGACACGATGGAATATGCATTACAATCATTAGTTATGTATTCTATTCATTTATATCTTCAGATTTACATATCTACAGTATGACCGCAAATTTCAAGGGTATAACATGTATATCTTTATCAAGATTTGTGTATTCCTAAACACAGCTTTCGCTTTTCAAGTCAACTTAAAACGGCCGAACAGTATACACTAATATGATAAACAATACAGAGCTGCAAGCACAATTTCTTTTATTAGTACATGCAGATTGGTGATAAGATTGTTCAGTTTGATGATAAAAGTATGAAATTTGGCACACAGTGCAGAGTATGTCATGGGAAAGATATTTGGCTATAGGGCCATCGAAGATTTGTCCTTTGAAAAAAAATATCATTGAAAAATTAACAAGCAATTTTCCACTGAATTTTCAAAATGGCGGCCATTGCGTGTTATTCTATGATATTTTTTTTCAAAGGACTAATCTGCGGTGGCCCTATAGCCAAATATCTTTCCAATGACACACTCTGACTGTGCGCCAAATTTCATACTTTTATCATCAAATGAACAATTCCGTCATATTGTGCACCAATCTGCCTGACTATATGCTGCTTGACAACGCCACTTTCCAAGTAAGTTTATTTTCCGAGGATACTATTTTACACGTAAGAAGCTTGCACTGCAGCCGCAGTCACAGTGAATTGAGGTTCTCTGCCGTGGATTTAGCCAACATGGAAAAACAAACTTACTATCCATTACATCACTCGAGCCTTACAATGGTAGTCAAAGAATATTGCGCCAGCTAGCATGTTACAATGGTAAATCGAGGTGTTTGAGGGGGATTTGATAAAATAGGCACAAACAAGATTGGCTAGTCCGTATAGTTTCCTAGCCACCAACTGATGGATTTGTGCATTGTCTGCACTTTTAACAGCACCCGTGTACATAGACGGTAAAGAAGTCATTAAGGCGTCGGATTAGCATTGTCTGGTAGCTTTTTCAGCTGATAGAGTTTGTCTTTTCTCCTTGGAAGCTCCAATCACGATTCACCTTTTTATTCGGATGCATGATGTGGTGTATACCGATGGCGTGTCTCGCCTAGATACAACAGGTATGTCTGTGGGGGAGTTTCTGGACCCTATTCAGCGTTAATGGGCAGGTGTCATGCCCGGACACTCGGCTGGACCACGGCTGGACAAACTGAAGAAGTCTGCATTATTCCCTATCATACAAACAAACAACACGTCAAATAATCAACAGAATACAATCAGGGAGAGGATTAGTGGTCGATCCCCAGCGGAGGAAAGTCATCTAAACAAACAGATACAGTAAAACATGCCTATAAACCAACGCATTCGACTGGTTTTTTTAAATACCATACCAAATGCCTTGGATGAAATCCAGGGAAAGTAAACTATGATCGCAACTACAGTGTAGGTCTACATTACAAAGCCAAATGTGTTGATTCTACATGAAAATATTCGCCAGGACAAAATTTCTGCAAATTAAGTCAAGTTGAAACTAATTACTTATGTGCTCTTCAAATCCATAATTGCCCTATGCAATGTTTCCCATAATTATATACATGTACCTATAATGTTTCCCAATGTTGAACAAAACATGTCTTATTCTTATGTTTTTTATTCCCATGCTTTTTAATCCCACCTTTCAGGTTTGAAGTCTCATTTTAACTGTCTGTTTAGTGTTTACGCGATCTCTATTTTACAACGCCAGTGGAATTTACTTTTTCCTATCCTTAGAGACTTGTGGGTTGTTGATCCCAAGGTATTACTCTGTAGTAGGCCTAGGTTCATTCAAATAGCGAAAGTCAACCACCTGTGGTTTCCAATTCAAACTGGGCAGCGAAGCATGTTTATGTAACCATGACCGTAAGATTTATGTTTTAAATTCCATTCTGCATGATGTATCGTGTGGCTTAGCCTATACGTGGAGATTTCTGAAGCTTAAATGTTCCTAATGCACCGTTCAACTGTTCCATACCCCTCTCCCAAGCTGCCCCACCCAAGATGTGGGGACTGTCAAGTTTGAAGTGACCAAATCCCCACCAGTGGGGAAAATGTTAAGTGACAATCCCCAACAAACATGGGTGGGGCGCCCTAAACTGGTTGCCCTTGCATGTAGTGCGCCACTGGTAAAAATGGTAACCAAAATCCCCACCCTGGGGCTCGAAAATGTGACCAAACCCCGACATAAAACATGGGGCAGCACGGGGTAGGGTTGGGAATACAAGGCACATAACATTCTACTCGCACTATATGAATGGCATCTATTATCGGATCATATCGCTTGCTATATATTTGTCTATCACCTACATCTGTGAATAAATGTGCATTGGAAATGGTTGGCATTAAACAAAAACAATCTATAGGTCTTGGCCAGTTGCATGCAAGCCTGGGATTGGGTTTGTGTGTGAATAGGCCTACTTGTAATAGTTCATGTAATTAAAACCGAACCTTATGAGAAAAAACCTCTAAAATTGTATCCTCCATGTCGTTTGAAATTAGTGACCTTTACAAGAATACACACACATAATGAACCCACTCCTACCACAGTAATGTTAATGTGTTTTGCATAAACTCATCAAGCCCTGTGAGAGGTCCCACTGAAAAGGTCGACCTTGGCGTGTTACAAAACCAGCCATGGAGCATAATACCACTACAAGCCGAGTTCAAACTAACCGGATCAGTGGGTATCGACAAGCAAGAATTTCATAGTCATACAGACGCATATGGTAGAATGAGTCTCCAGTCCGTGAAAAAAAATACTACGGGAAAGAAAGGACTCTCTATGCAAGAAAAAGTGACATGGTCGGTGATTTTGCTTTTCCACTTGGTGAATCTGTATTTGAGCGGGTGTCCTCTGTAGAATTTGTTTTGCACCGACCTGCATACTTTCGCCCACTCTGAAAGGGATGCGACACAAACATCAAAAGACAATGCGCCCTCTGTGTGGGTTGTTGTAAAGTCTGAAATCTAGACTTCATTTGTGTTAGCGGCTGCCAATTCCAACATAATTGATGAAATATAGCTTCGGGGAACTTGTCACTGACAGACGCTTTCTCACTAGAAATTTCTCTGGGATTTTGGCGTGAAATTGAAAATGCGTACTATATTAACAGCAGTATACCTGATGCTTTTTTGGTACTTATAACTTGAGTCTTTTGCTCGTTTGTCTTGTTATCATATACATGTACACACAAAAAACACAAAACAAATCAACAACAGCACCTCGATCATACCATCCCTAGTTCAGGTAAAATCCTTAAAAGGATCTCACAACGCGGAACGGAGTTGACACTAAACCCGGATCAGACCCGATTTAGATCGATGGCGGCCATTATTGATGGGGGCAATTCCGTTCTCGCCTCACGGGCTCTGCCAGCAGTTCGTGTACAATGAAAGGCTGTTTTGTCGCCCGAAGAACGATCAATAAATCTAAACCGTCGAGCTGTTGTTGTTTCTTTTAACACCATTGCAGAGAGAGTAAAGAAAAAATGCCTAGATTTTCTCAGGCCGTGTCAAATGCGCATCTGTGATTCTCCAGAACACATAATGAACCAATACTTTGACGAGGCAGCAATGGAACTAAGTGTTTTCCCCAGCTAACTGTTACTGGTTTTCGAATAATTATTTAACTCCATGCATAATTAGAAGGGTTCAAATTCGAGAAAGTTACTACATGTACGTGTACTAACATTCCCAACATGTCCCCACTATCACTTTCAATTTCGCACACCACGAGTGTGGCATTGTTTCCACCAATCGGGCTGCCCGTTTTAATCGGACACTGAACTATACTGGCGGCCGGCCGAGACCTATGCAAATATTGGACCATCGTTTTGTTAGAACAAACAGGCAAACAGTGGCATGATAAATTACACAAAAGCTCTGAACGGCAACAGGTGTTGCGGCCTCGTGCGATGAACAGTCCTCGCTGCATATTATTATGGCATGCCGGTAGGATTACCAATGGGAATATGTGTAGACCTCTAGGGTTGCGATAACATATGCTCGTCTGCAGCATCTTCACATAAATTAGCCTACACCTTTCATTTGATGGATTAAATTACACCATTTATTTCTTACAATGTACAGAACATGAGAAGGTGACACGACAATTCAACTATTCCTTGCTCTACGGTTATATACCTAATGCAATGATGCACACAGGAAAGTGTGATAAAGAACACCATAATTCTTGAAGAAAAAAGGTAACGGCTATACCACTCAATTTCACATTGGTCATGAACAGCAGCATATAACCTAAACTTTTGAAGTTCCTAGCCATGTGCTTTCGTTGAAGACGGGGTTAAAACACGAATATGTACATTATTTTCAGAGGTCCATGTCAAAATTCTGCTCAACCCCTAATGTGGTTTTCGTGTTGGTTTTCACCGGAGCAAAAACTTTCACCTTTTGAACCGCGGATTACATGTGGAGCATGCGCAACGAGGTCAAAAGTTGAATATACAATACAAGTGCGTTTGTTCGTAACTTCTATTCTCCAACGAGTAACGGAACAATTTTAAAAGGGAGGAACTACATACCAAAACGTCTCCAGTCTCAAGAATTCAAATGAAAAAAAGGATACAGTCCGCCATGTCCTTGACTGTGGTGATTGTCGTGGCGCCTGGGTGGAATTTCTGCATCTCTTTCCTCAGATCGAAGAAGGAGTAGAAGAAGTCTGGTAACTCGACGTTCTTATTGAGGGCCTGAGGGTGGAGGCATTGGCGGATGTGGAGCTGGCCGTCCGTCAGGAGGCAGAGAGTGTTCCCCTGGCTGAGGTTGAGTTCCCGGTATAGGAACTCCTCGAACTGGAGAAACAAACAGAGGAGAGGTTGAACTGGAGAAGTAAAGGTAGTGATGGAAGATATTGAAAATGGATATTTGGAAAATGGGTGCCACGTCCATGTAGTTCGGACTGATGTAAGGCTTGTATATGTTTAATGAAGAGCTCGGAGGTGATCTATAAAAGGTCTTTTTGAAACATAGCTGCAATCATGGCTAAAGTGGCTCACTCTGTGAATTCTAACGCTAACTATTAGATTCTATCGGATTTAGGTTTTCTGCTCTGCTGTAGTTGCAATATGTGGATTCTAATGGGCGCCTACGTAAGGAATCTCGTTAAGAGGGTTTGGTAGGCTTCACTTTACCTAGCTTGCCACAAAATGCAAATGAAAAGGTGTCCCCACAACTGCGCTGATTTGAGCTATATAGCTTCATCACAAGTCTTGTAAGTCTCATAAAGATACTAAGCAGAGAAATGTAGCATAATGGCCGTATTCTTGTGACAACAGAATGCTTTTGTTATAGTTGGGGTTGGATTAATACAAAATAATGTCAACAAATTACTTGTGATCACTGACATGATGAAAATATGCAATTTCGGTGGTAGCGAATGCATGTTGTTTCCCTAGCTTTATACGAGTGCATCGTTACATGGAATTGTCTGTGTTTTTTCCCTCGAAGTCATCTGCTGTGACCAATGTTCACGATTAATCCACAGTTAAAGATTACGACCCCGCCCATGTAAATGGCCCTAAGCCCAGTACACACACAAAAAGTCAGTTCGGTGGGTTCCATAAAACTTACTTCATCAGTTTGAAAAGAATCCCAGGGTTGATTAAAAAGGGGCTTGTCGTCCAAGAATTCATGCGTAACAGGCAGGGCAGACAAGTTAAATCTGAATGCATTGATGGGCTCAACATTTGAATGACAATTAGAATAAGTGAATCTGTTGGTATCTTGTCTCGGGGTAAACAAGCTGGGCCAATCTCTTTTTGTGACGGGAGCTTAATGCAACTCTGGGATGACGAATTAGCTGGATTGACGGTTTCTCTATCAGGTCTCTGTGAGGGGTAAATCCGAAGTCTGAAGCGTAAATATGTGGTTGAATAGAACTGACCAAGCAAGTGATGTGTGGGTACATTAGCCCATTCCAACTCATTACCAGGGATGGTGTGTCCTGTAAAGGCTATATCACATACCATCTGAATTCAGAGAATGCCCAGGTTCGGTTTTGATACATCATTCCTTAATCTTCATACAATCCAACATTTCAACAAACACTTGAGAGTCAGTGTTGAGTTTGTTGTTTTAACGAGCAGTTCAAATAAAGCTGTTGGATTCTGTTGATGGTTTCTACTATTCAAATACCTGCAGTATCATACTATACGGTTTTCATAGCGATGTTTCACGATTTCCAATATTAGTCTTATATTATAATTCTTGGCAGAAAACAATAATCAATAAGGGTTTAGTAAATCCGTCCTGTTTGTTCTAATAATAATACTTGAAAACCATTTGACCTAAGAAATGGGTTATTTCACGAGTTGATTGATATGATAAATTATTGAACTAATAATTGATCCTTTTGGAATGATAATTAATCGCGAAAGTTGAGCTTTGGGAGGTATTAAGTTCTGCAAAAATTATTCCCAATGTACATTGTTGTTTGTATTTGTATTTTGGAATAATAAATTAGTCTCTGGACCAATGGGATCATAGGAAGCCTACCCGCAGAATGGAGAAATGTAAATAAGGGCTTTGAATAAAGAATACCAGCATATCTATGTCAGTTTGATGTAGTACGCGTCGTATTTTGTCATTGAAATCATGTAGTCTTTGTCCCAAATATTATTCAGAAACTGCGAACGTAAACTGAACATGGCAGAAGCGACCGAGCCTTAAAACATTATAAAATATAGAGTAACATATTTGGATCTAAGTTAATTATAAACAAACTGTATATAAAAAATAACGCCAATACACCTATACACCAAACGATTGGTGATGGCCATATCAGAATATTGTTTCTAAAGAGATGCAGTTTTGTGAATACAGCTCAACCGGACATGAAATACAATCCCGTTTGAAAAGCTCACCATATGGTTAACTGCCATAAAGATAAACTGAATATTTCTTTTCACCCTCCCCAAACGGGCGTCCTTTATTACACCAACATTTTATTTGACTGTATACATTACAGTCAGATTATCATATATTATAATATCGTTGTCAAGCGATAGACAAAGGTAAGAGCTCTGCTAGAATACTTCAGCATATGGTAAAAAAAATAGCATTATGCTATTTGCATAGGCGCATTTTAGCTACCAGCAAAACTGTATTTAAATGGGGTTATTCTGTCTCCTGCATTTGCGATGTTCGTCAGCATCAAAGTAAAGTCTGTCACGAGCCAATGTGACATTATCAGGCCAGCGTTTATCTCTGGTTTCAGTAGCATGAAACACTGAGAATATTTCTATTCCCCCTAGATGGGATGCTAGTCCATCGCAGATTAGTCCACAGCTAATGCCGGTACCCGTTTATACTCCTGGGTGGAGAGAGGCAAGTGGAGTAAAGTGGCTTGCACAAGGACACACCAGCAGCTGGATTCGAACCCCTGACCCCTGATCATGAGTCACGAACCATAACCATTAGGCCACACTCCCCAGCAAAATGACACAAAATCCTCTAAAATTAGTTCAGGCAAAATTCAAATTGGCACTGAAAGCATGGTCCTCTCTTTTTGTGGTGGGGACTGGGGGCCGGGGTTAGAAAATGATCCGGGACACTCTACTGCTGCAACTCGGGCAGGTTCGGAACGTTTGCGCCGCGATAACTAAATATCGTTTAGCCGCACCCTCCCACTCCCCCGCCCAACAAAACAAATCCCCAGCAATATTCGAAGATTGCTTAACAAGATAAGCTCCTTGAAATAACAGCTTTACAATTTCGCGGAATGGGATGTTTCCGATCCGGAAAAACCTCGTTTGTATAATAGACCCGGCAGTACGGCGAAAAACACACAAACACACTCATCTTGTGCCGCGCGCTGTTACGGAAACAACGGCTGGCGGGCAGCGCGTGCTGCCGGGCTCATTAATCCAATCTCGCGGGGGACCTTCGCGCCACGCGTCCCTGCAAATGTGATAGGTTTGCCCCGCTATTAACAGCTCATTGTGGTTGTAATTAAATTTGAAGGCACTCGTCAGACAGCGTTTTGGGAAGAGCTGTAAAACCTGTTGCAGAGATGTAATTACACTCGCCGTACACGCTAGTCATTTTATTTTAAGGATGTAGGCCTAAATATTAATTACTTGAGGTGTGCATTACAAGAGATTCATTTTACATGTGACAAATAATGACATGATTATGTATCTAAAAATGCATAATGTGGCCGATTTGTGAGATCACAAATAGACGATCAACTGGTTGGCGAGTTCTTGAAAATATACCCATGCATGAAGTCCGACCGGTACTTATACCGTTCGTTGACGACTTCGGAGCTCAAAAACCAACAACTTTGTTCACTTGTTACCTCCTTCCAAAGAAAAATATGTTTGAAATCTAGTTTTTCAGCAACGCTATATCATCGGATTAAGTACTTGTAACACTTTTTCTGTATCAGCTGCTGTTTACCTTGTTTTGATCTGGTATTCGTTTCAATTCAATTTGTCCGTTTACAATGTAAAAATAGACCAAGCCTGCACAGGATTTGTACCCTTGGCCTGAATGCAATTTGATGAATACATTCTGCCAACAACGAGTGTGAACCCGGAAGTGTTCCAACCGATACAATGCTTTCTCCAATCACTGAAGGTCTTTTATAAGTGTTTTCCTTTCAGTATTCCATTGATACAACCACGTGATTAAGCTCTAATCTTCCACTGGCCTTTTGTATGATATTTTTTTTAACATATTGCCTACAAAGCTTTAGAAATAATTGCTTTGTTTGAGAATTTTTTTTCAAATACTGAAAATAAATGTTAGCAAATTTATGTTTCTATAATACAGATTTGCCTGAATACCCCAATGTGTACTTAATATACTTTAAATTTAATCTATGATTACGTTTATACAATACATAACGAATATGTACTTGTTAAAACCCTGTTCTTTTTAAATTCTGGGAAACAATTTTGTGAATGTTCCGGTCTTCTCAGATATTAGCCCCTTTTCTTCGAAAATGTCTTACAAGAAGTTCAGTTTGCCGGTGAAGCAAATTGGGAACAATAAGAAGCCTTATTACATCTACCCCTCTAGCCTGACACACCAAAGTTCTTGTAGCCGCCCACGTACATCATAAACTGTACCTCCTGCTTGTGTCAAGTAAGAGCAAGAAGAATCACCCATCTTCAAGGTTACCCGAGGACTATCGTACAAAAATTCTTAGACATCACTACAATGCAGTAGTAGACAGCATGGGACTTTCGTGCCAGGTGAACGACCCCATGAGATATACAGATAATATGCTTATATTTTTTTGTATACTGGGGATTTCATTCGGGCAGATTTTCATGTCCACAAAGGCGGAATAATCTCCAAACAATGCAATTTGGCTTAGATGTTGATATTTATGGAGATAACCAAATAGCACTGAATACAATCAAAGACGACTGAAAAGCGCCGCAATGTTGGAATTTGGATTGTCTGCTTTGTAACCAAAAGCTCACACAATGTTATCATTTAGCTTCATTAATTTATTGTTTTAAAAACAACATCGCAGAATCCACCTTGATATTGTAATTCTCAGTCTGACACGAAGTAGTTGAAAAGGAGGACACTTTTATTTGCAAGACATGAATGTTATCCTTGAAACGCTGCATTAAATACAAATCGACAGATGGAATTTAAACCACATAAAGCATATTCTTTGCTCATGATACAATTTCCATTGATAGAAACAACCTGCATTTTTTAAACATAGTTCTAACTTGGATACAATCGTGTCAGTTACAAGCGAAGCTATAATTGAATGAAAAAATATTGGGAAAAAATCAAATTTAACAAAACCGTGTTAACGAACTCAAATAGCAAATATAATGGTAGCAACTTCTGATCAATTCGATAATTAATGCCACCTGGTTTACGAGATTCCACGAGAAACCACGAGATACATTGACTGACCTGTTGGAGAACTTTCTCCATCTTGGCGGCGCCCTTGAAGACATCTCGCTGCACTCCCAGCGCCTTGCACAGGTCTTCGGATACCTCGACACTGTCCGAGTCTGGCCTGACGAAGGACTGCTTGAAAAACCCAACCAACTGCGGAGAAAAGGAAACCAGGTATTGAAATGAGGTATTTTTCAAAAAGGCGACAGCATTGAAAGGGTGGCAGTTCAATGTCAACTTGTCTTTAATTGACCTCGAAATAATTTCTGTTAAATGTGTGCTAAGCAGGACTTATACTTATTTTCAAGTTATCAACATCGGTAACCCAGAATAATGTTGCTTTCTGTGTATACAATATTAGTGTAAAATTGATTATTACTCCCAGTGCATTTTCATATATGAACCATTCTGAATCCACCAAAATCCACCACGGTGCATAACCCCAATGATACATTTTATACTCAACGTGGGAAGAACTCCATACATGGACATCACTAATTTTTCCCTGCAGTGACCTATCAGCCATCAGAAAGCGATAACTTAAAAAAAAATCTAATTTAGCAGGGAAAATATTGAAGCATTTACTAAAAAAAAAACACTTGGAATTTTTCAGACCAGTCTCACAGGGCTTGTGCATATAGGGTTTTAAGTGATGTGTCCAGATATATGGAACTCTTTCCCCAAAAATTGATATCGAGCCCACGTTGCTGCGTTAGGGAACATCAAGCCCACGTTGCGTAATAGTAATTGTGATGTACAGTCATGAATCCCCCTACACAGGGCGAGTAAAAAAAAACGAAACCCAAATGTCGGGAACATTGTTTTAGTGAAGTTCTGCATGTAGCACTTTTAAAATATATGAAAATATATGATATGAAAGCCCAATTCATAAGCTTTCTTTTAGTACACGAATGATTCAAATCACTCATGTACTTTTTAAGATACGGAATTTTAAACACAACCACCGATTTAAAGTTCTGTCCACGGATCACAAAACAGTGTGCGTTCTTTCAGCAAAATGAAAACAATTCACACACACATCCTTATGGGATTTGTTTTCGCTCTGCTGAAAGAACACTTACCTTCTTGTGATCCGTGGACAGAACTTTAAAACGGTGGTTGTGTTTAAAATTCCGTATACATAAGTGATTTGAATGATTTTTGTACTAAACGAAGGCCTATGAATTGGGCTTTCATATCCTAGATTTAGAAGGTGCTTCATGCATAACTTCACTAAAAAAAATAGTCCCAACATTTGGGTTTCGCTTTTTTTTTTACTCACCCTGTACAGTCATGAATCCCCAATATAGGGAAAAATGGGCATTAATATCCACGCAGGCTGACCCTTCTTAATAGCCTGCAGGGGGAGGCATGCATGCATCCCTAGCCATAATCCTGGGGATCAATCACAATAGGAAGACTCCCTTAAATGGGTAGTGAGGGGGCAGTGGTTACCCACAGGGGTGCCATTGGGGGTGTAACAATGGCCCTTCCAGTATTGTCAGTGCTCATGAGGTTGGTGCCAGTAACAATGATCAGGGGTGCAGAATGCCCAGAAATGGGGGCGTGGGCTTTATGTGGAAGAGTTGGATCAGGAAAACACCCGAATTGCAACAGTTGAATTTAAAAAAAAGCAGCCAAAAAGCAAGCAACCAACCAAACAACTCAAAGAACGAACGGACGTTTCCTTCATTTGAAACGTGTCGTTTGTTTTCGTTCTATTTTAGGCCTTCGATGATTTCGATTCATCCATGTGAAGATGATCGGCGCAAACTGACTGAAATATAGAGCGATCGGCTTTTCTTCAAATTTCACAGATTACCAAATTATAACTCCGTTCACAGATTGTAAAAATACAACTCTTGTGCTTCACGAGGATACATGATTCAGCCCACCAACGGCATCAGGTTAACAAGGGAGTTTCGACATGGAATTAGTAGACAATGTTTACTTATCATATTTGATTAAGGTATTATTGTGAAAATACAATTACTACCATTAGGTTCCCGTTTCCTCGTGCAGTTATTATAGAAACACTTGGTATAGTTTTAAAATACCTTTTATGTAGCTAATCAGTACTCACTATGCCCGTGAGTCATGTAATTGTTAGGTTTGTCTTCGTACCCGCATAATTTTGAATGCCCATTGTTTAGAAAGATACATATACATGTATTTCTAAAATGTTTTATGAATCTAGAAGATGATTAATTAAAGATGCGTGAATTATGTGTATATTAGTACAGAACTTCCTTAATTTAAGCTTTGCAATATGCAATTTCCTAGCATAATTATATAATAAATTTATTTAAATTCAGGGGTATAATATTCGTTTAATCCACAGCATTTATTATTTTACTTGGGTTAAAGAAAGTTAAATGAATAATTCCACTTGCGAAACGCTTTAATATGAATAGGTATTAGATAATAAAAGTACAAAATAATTGACGAATATGAAATCATATGCTGTATAGAGTTCTGCATCTGTTAACACTGAATACCACATAAAGACCCAAAAAGTAAAATGTAGCATATCACAAACGGCTCGTCTACAATTCACATTTTGCACTAAGAAAATATCAAGTTATTGTGAAGTACAATTTGTATTTTTGTTGCCCAGCGGGTGTTTAATTCGCTTATAATTAGTTTGAAACTGATTAAAAATAACCTTTTTTTGTTAACAGTTCGATTGTCGTATAAAATACCTATTGGGTTATCGCACAGTGCATCTACCAAGTCCCATGTTTGACCCCGTGTCTTCACCTGTGTTACCAGAAAAATTAATCATAACAACTTTCTATTGTTGGCAAGATCCGCTAAGGTTTTCATTTCTGGCCCGTTAAACTTTCTGTATGCCCCACAGCACCACACACGCCAAGGGGTATATGCGCTAGAGCCCTATACCAAACTACGTGGAGTAACTCACCTTGTTAGTTTCAACGTCAATGACTCCCCATACCAGCAGGACCAAGTCTGTCTCGTCCGTCCCAAGCAAAGCCCCTCTCTGACCAGCCGTGGTACAGAAAACTATCACCAAGTAATTATGTGCGTTTGCCATGGTGATGCAATTATAAACTTGGGTTAAAAGCCTCAACCACGAACTAACTTCTAAACGAAGGAAAGAGACAGGAAAATCTACGCCCAGGTTAAAAAAGTCCCCGTATAACACCAAAAAAAGTGGAGCGCGTACCACCACACCGGAGTAGACCGTAGAGAGTTGTGAGGTGCCTGCCTGAAATCGTCGCTCCAGCACCGGTCAGTGATGGCGATGAAAACAGTGATCGGCTTTGGCAGGAAAATCTGTTTGAATAAGGCTGGCTACCACAACATACGGGACAGGCCCCCGTGGCCGAGGCCTATTGTTCTATCCTCGCGCCGATTGGACCATCCGGGAATTACGTGGCACATCAGTTGAAAAGAGACACAAGACAACACGGGGGCGTGGGCAAAATTTCTCCTGTGGTATACACTGCACTATACACGCTACCACACACACTAGACAAACCACTTGTTGCACATGCCAGCGAGAAACTGGGTAGATACCAGCATTTAATTCTATAGCCACACAGTCCTATTGAAATTGCGGATAAAAGGCGCATACAGCCTCGCCGTGGGCCGACCTCGGTCGCAACAATGCTTGGTCAACCAAGTGTGACCACGTGTTGAAATGCTGGGAATCCCTTTGCACGACACGCGGCCCAGTCATGCTGAACAACTTCACAACAATTTTTTTTTCATACCAGCATATTTTACCCCCGGGTCATACCGAATTTTCCATAAAAAAATACTCGCTTGCCTTTTCTTTGACGAGGTCAGGCTGTATATGTTTGCAAGGAAACAATCTCAATAAAAAGTTACAAAAAAAATAAGTCTGGCTCTGTCCATTTAATTGAAAATGTGCGTGGTCGAATATTTTGCAAGTCAGGCAGCTGTTACCACGTCCAATTATAATAGTGATATTATTATATTACGTAAATAGCTTATTCCTTGGTAATACGATAACGTTAATCCCATATGGGACGAGTTGGCGCATACATCTGTGTACTGAGACAGGGTTGGACTTTGAAACCTTAGATCATTGATCGTATCTCCTATCATGCAATGAAAATGTCTGTCTCACCCAGATGCAAAGTACAGTTAAATGTGTATTCTAATTATCATCGGTGATCCATTCAACAATACAATTTCAAAGCAAATCTTAAAGTTCGAAGTGAAATTCAAATTGGTATCCCATAAGGCTATATGATTCTCCAATGAGTAAAAGAAGAGGTACAACTTTTTTGCGGGTTTTGCCACTTGAAGATTTTAACTATATACAAAATAAAGAACAGAAAAGAACGAAAGAAGTCATAGAAGGAAATAAAAAAAAAGTTAGGAATACTTCTTTTTGAATAGTTTCAGAAAATGAAAGATTATATTCTGGTCACTAGGCCAAAATGGTGTTTCGCTCTGACTTAAATGTTAATCCTTGATTAAATAAGGTCTAAACGACTAAGAACTTGTCCCAAATTGGTTCCTGACTTTTGGATAGAAGCGTTGCTTGGAATTTCTTGTCATGTTTACAACTATACATCATAAATAAATATACATTATCAAAAAAGAATGTAACCTGAACATAATTACAGCGATTTGGAAGCTTGCAAACGAACAATTTGCCTGCAAATCCATTAATCGGACACTGCAACTTTGCAAACTGCAATTTATTGAGGGTACATTTAGCTCATTCTCAAGTTTCATAATTTTGGCTGCAACATCTTTACGATGTTGATAATCAGCGCCCCTTTCCAGACAAAACCATCTCACCAATTTTCAACTTGTTATGCCCGCATTTTTCGTTCTTTGTTCTACGAGTCTTGGATTTTAATAAAAAAAGAATACAGCCTGCAGTTTGTTGGATGGAAACTTCATTGTTTACTCCAGTTAAAAGTGCTGGTTGGTTTGAGATATACCCATTTATGTAATCAGTTAGCCCGGATGCATGCTCCGTTTATGCCCTACCGTGCAAATCATTAAGGAAACAGGGTGGTTTGGGAGAGGGATCAACTTTATTGAGGTCGTAGAAGCAGTTAAAAGACAATCATCAAGATGGAGCTTCATATTTAGGGCAGAAAATTGTAACTTTACGAGCAGCTTACTATGTATATGTGTCAGGATGGGGCCATTATCATAAAAAAAATGATTGGTGATAATATTATACTTCTTCAAAATTATGTTTTATTCATTCAAGAAATTTGTTCAACCATGTGCAGTTTCGTAAAAAAAAAAACGTTTGGAAATTGTTGTTGTGATGGCAAGCTTGCCTGATTGAGCTGAGCCCAAAAAAGTCTAAATTTAGTAAGACATTATTGATACTCAGTACCTCAGTCTGTCAAAGGAAAAACGGGCTGGCCTCTTGAACACGGTACTGGAATTTGTATCTCTTGTCATGTTGTGCCCAAAATGCCGTTTTCTTTATGAGCCGCTTCAAAGTATGTGTATAGGTTCTCGAAACTAAATTTGAATCGATTCCTTTTTCGTGATAGGCCGGCCAGTTTCTGAATTTTCAAGTCCTGACACAACTTCTAGTTAGGCTGCATGGTGGGATAATTTTGACAAGAAGCGGCCTTTTGGACATAATTCTCCCCCACGCCCAAGGTGCCGGATAGGCTATAGGTCTCAATGGTGGCATTTTGGTAGTCTAAAGCGATCACTTAATCTGAGATAAAACCCAAACGCTAGTTTTTCAGATATCGTTTAATAGCTATTTCATTTCCCCTATTGAACAGAGTTGCTGACTCGAGTCATGTGACTTGGACTCGAGTCGGACTCGAGTCGCTATTTTTGTGACTTGACTTATAAATACTAGCTTTGACTTGTGACTTGACTTGGACTTGCAAACAATGACTTGTGACTTGACTTGGGATTGCAAGTCAGACGCTAGGTCTGCCGTTTGTAAAATATGTGGATCCACTGTCACTGATGGCCCAAACACAACGAGCTAATTTCATGCGGCACCTTAAAACCCACGATGAGCGGTGAGTAGTCGCGCTGTGACTTTTTTTTCGGGGGGGGGGGGACTTAACCGCGAATAGATTTCGGTCATTCTGGGCTGCGTACAAACTCTTGCTTCATATGGCTATTGAATCTAAATAAGTTCTAGCCTCTAGTACTTGAAAATCTGCCCTAGACAGAATGTATATTTTCTCTAATTCCAGATCGGGCATGTCTGCATGTAAAACTCCATGGTAACAATACAAAGTCTTTTTTCATGTCATCTCAACATTTATTTTTTACAATGTAAAGTAAATTTATTAAAGTATACCAAGGGCTAATATCCGACAGATATGTGATAAACTACAAGAATAGTAATTGCAACACATTGAAAAAGGGGAATTAAGGAGGCATGTTCAAAATAACTCGTAAGTTGACGCCAGGTTCTTTTAGCTTATTACAGCTGGACAAAAAAATGTGCAACTTGACGTGTTCTTGGACAAAGATACTTGTGACTTGACTTGTGTTTAGACCAAATGACTTGTGACTTGACTTGTGACTGGACCTAATGACTTGTGACTTGACTTGTGACTGGACCTAATGACTTGTGACTTGACTTGGACTTGCAAACAATGACTTGTGACTTGACTTGGACTTGCAAAAAATGACTTGCTGCCACCTCTGCTATTGAACATTTTGTACTTACAGTCTTTATTAGAAACAAGTTTTTGCCTCTTTCTCGAGAAAAGCCGTCGTAAAAATGAATGTCAGGCGCGGATCCAGAGGGGGTGGGGCCGGGGTTCTAACCCCCCGCCCCCGGCCTGCACTGACACACTCACACAAGCACACATCTGTGTCAACACCGGCAATCGTGGACCCATATTGTCCCTAATCCTCATTCCTTTGTTTGTACTCTAACTTTTTAGCAACAGCTCTTCATGGTTTTGTACACGAATTTCAATCGCGGACTATCGGTCAATCGTGGACGTATTGTGCCCTAACCCTTTTGTCCTAGGTCCAAGATTCCCGGTGTTTACATACTCACACAAACATAAAATTATAACAATTATAGTAATAATAATTACCTATTATGTCCGTCTGTCCCCAGTAATCGGACGTAAACAAATCTGACGGTCCTGAAACCCCCCTGCAAACATTCCTGGATCCGCCCCTGAATGTGTTTGTGTGAATCCAGTAGTGAAACACAAGTCTTTTACTTATTATTTAAGCTGTTAGAAAACGCAATGACCTATACTCAATTTGACTGAAACCTCAGAGGGGGCTGAAATGAACAGCACAGCATGAGCTCACGTACCTCGCCAGAAAAGAATTCCTTAGAAGCATTGATTTGTGCACGACAGGGGTAGAAACTTAGAGGTTTGTTGAGGGGAGGGGGTGGGGGATTTTCCCAGCTTATTTACATGCTGCTTGAGCCTTAAAAGCAATGAATGATGGCCATCTTAGAGGCTTAAAATCGATCCACAGCCCTCGTCAGTTTGTGATTGTTGTCTTTATCAACTTTGATTAACTTTTGTTGAAGGCAGCTAGTCTGCGGGTTTCTCCGCTGTTTGTTATGCAGCATTATCCCCCAACTCAGGGCAATTAGTCAACGGCCGCACCAACTTCATGTACCGGATCGGAGCAGTCTAGTCGGCGTAGGCGTAATGGGGGGGGGGGGGGGGGGGAGAAACGTTGTTGAAACTTGGCTCTGTGTATTTGTCATATTGAATATCCAATTTGTCACTGACACAAAACGGAGAAAAGCCCCCCCCCAACGCCCCCCCCCCACACGCCCCACCCCACCCCATGGTCGCAGCTAGCTAGCTCCATGCTAGCTCCAAGCGCAAGCACGTGTGACCTTTCGCTTGTGTAGAGCTCCATGCTTCTACTCACCGCCAGGATTGCAAGCTGCTTGCTGGGCGGTGGGTACGAGCGAAATATAACCTTGACAGCGCCCTCCTTAGGCCAAGTACACCGTACCTGTCACTCTAGTGACAACTGTCCGTAGAGGGCGCATGCGTGGATTTGCCACCGATATGATCTAGATATCTCTTGCTGACATAACTTTCCTTCCCGTTTGTTCTTGCTCGTCCTTCCCCTGCTTGCGCGCAGAGAGATTCTGTTCTGTTCTGTTACACAAACTGATTCTTTTTGTACAAGGTTGATTGCTTCGGTTCGGGGAATGGAGCCTTTTCATTCCCAATGTCAATGACAGGATGAAGTTCGAATGCATAGTTAGACCTCCGCATAGCTCAGTAGCCAGCTGAGGCTCAGTCAGGCTCCGACAATTGAATGACAGTGGATGAGTCACTAAATCTTCGCTGATGACAAAATGGTGCGACCAACTCCTTCTAAATTCTACCTCCATGTGCGACTGATGAGGCAGAAATAACTGGACTCCAGAATGGATCGTCGGTCCACGTGCACAATTGCCGATTTACCGCCGGAAATCTTGGCGTACATGCTTTCAAAACTGTCCGGTCCCACGATAGCCAAAGTTGCTGTTGTGTGTAAACAGTTCTACGAAGCGTCCAAGATAGAAACGATTTGGCAACATCGTTGCTTTGAAGGTGTTAAATACGGGCTGTTTTATACAGTTTATAGGAAAATGTTACCATAAGTAAAATGTATTTTAACTCAGTTTGAAAACAGTTTTGTTTTTTATTTTTTTTTTATTTGTTTTTTAATTTTCTGTAATATTTTTATTTTTTTTTTATTTTTTTTTTAATTTTCTGTAATAATGTCCTTGAAATGATTTAGTTCAGTGTTTGGTTTTAATCCCTTCAAGATGTGTAGTGTAGGAACTGAGAAGGACATGGGCCTGCCCTTATCCCCCCTCCCTGCCCAGAATAACTTGGGAGATAGTCGGTGAAAAACATGTTTAAATTTAATGTATAAACCTAGCTTGAAATTTCCACCTTTCTAGGCTTATGACTGTATGGGGAGATTTGAATCTCCCATGCCATGAGCCTAGAAAGCTGGAAATTTCAAGCTAGTATAAACACTTTAAATGCACCCTCCAGAAAATGAGCACTCTGGCATCAAATTGGATCGCACTTTACGCCACTGATCCCTTCCTCAACAAATATTTAAATCCAGTGACGATGTTGTGCGCCTATCAAATGTTGCCCCCACCCCTTCCACCCGCCCCTCCAGGTCTGATGTCGGGATTTGGTCACGTTTTTCATGCCCCAGGGTGGGGATTTTGGTCACTCAAAAACATTGTTACCATTGCCGTACTACATGGAAAGGCAATCACTAGTGCGCCCCACATATGTATGTCGGAGATTGTCACTTAAATTTTGTCCGAGGGGAGGGAATTTTGTCACTTCAAAAGTGACAATCCCCACATCTTGGGTGGGGGTGGGGGGGACAGTTGATAGGGGCATTAGAACTGCATACAGTTGAACTTAAGATGACCAGTTCGATTACAATTGGTGTTTTATTTTCAGATTATGGCTTCACCAGTGATGAACTCGATGGATGGGGGATCGAATCCTTTAGAATCGTCTACATAAAGGGTAGGTTTTATGGTGAGACTGGGACCTTGAGTGCTGAAAAACGTGCAAAACAAAATCAGGCCAACTTTACTCGCTCTTCGTTGGACAAGATTGGACAAGATTTTTATGAGGCAAAGACAAAGTCCTCGGTATTTCACCAGCCAAGTTTGAAGTCTCAATTCAATTTTTTAAGGAGAATTTTCTTCATTGTTTTGCACCTGAGAGTGAAACCAAGTGATTCCAATTTGAAGCCTGAGCCTAGACTGGGACCTGGAGTGCTCTGAAAAGTGCAAAACTCAGACCAACTTTAATCACTCTTTAGCCAGCAAATTTCTCCAAAAATTCCATTGGGCAAAGAAAAGGTCCTCAGTATTTCACCAACCAAGTTTGAATACTCAATTCAATTTTTAAAGGAGACTTTTCTTCAATATTTTGCATATGAGAGGGAAGTCAAGTGATTTCAAAATGGTGCTAAACACTAGACTGGTACATGTCCAACCATGGTCTAACTATTTGAAAAGACTGACCTCTTCATTCAGTGTCATTAGTCTGGTGGCTGACTACGGAGAAATGTGTAGTAAATAGAGACTAGTTCCTAACTTGCCGAATGTCAGACAAGTCGACCGTTGAGACAACTCGACTCGGGACAAGTCGACCGTTGAGACAAGTCGACCATTGGGACAAGTCGACCGTTGAGACAAAGTCGACTCGGGGACACCGTTGAGACAGCTCGACTTAATGGAAATGTATACACGTGGAGCGGAAAAAGTTGCAAAAATCTGTGGCAGGACCGGTCCCGGGCGCAGCGCGGGCATACTCGATGCACAGAGGGCGCTCCGATCCGGTGGCCGTCGCGTTGGGCTGGCATGCCCCGGCCCGCCGGCACGCGGGCACGTCGACCGGTGCGGCAAGTGGGCGCACAGGCCCGGCACAAACGATGCCATCGTGCACGGTACGGACAAGTTGACTGGGGATGCGTGCACAGGCCCGGAAAAAACGAAAGATGTGCACGGACAATCACGCTGCGCTATATCGGCTCTGTTATATGCAACAAAAAAACTCATGTGTCATCACTTCCAAATGGCGATCAGCCGCCGTCAAAAATCCCCGGTACTATCCCCAAAAACTAGGCCCAAAAACATGCGAGGCGACTTGTCTCAACGGTCGACTTGTCTTTCCATTTATCGCACATGCGGTCGAGTTGTCTCAACGGTCGACTTGTCCCGAGTCGAGTTATCTCAACGGTCAACTTGCCACATGTTTCTTTTGGCACAGTTGATTGTTGCAGTACTAAAGCTGTGTTGGACTGGTTGTTTCAGGTGCCAGTCTGTTTTCTTGTATTGCATGTTTTCAATACCTTAACCCTAACCCCCTAGGCCCTTGTTGCTTACAACCATCCTCAATCCTCCAAAATCCTCCAAAATTTTCCAAAATTTTGCAACTCCGCCTAAATTTTTCAAAATTGTCAGACAGTCCTGCCTCAAAATGCATTCATCCTCAATCCTCCAAAATCCTCCTCATCCCAAAACTTTGCACTCGTGTTTAAATGAAGGATAACCAACGCCAAATCCTTCAAAATCATCAGACAGTCCTGCCTCAAAATGCATTCATCCTCAATCCTCCAAAATCCTCTTGTGCTTCAATCACCATTCATCCTCAATCCTCCAAAATCCTCATGTGCTTCAATCACCATTCATCCTCAATCCTCCAGAATCCTCATTTGATTCAATCACCATTCATCCTCAATCCTCTAGAATCCTCCAAAACCGCCAGGAGGATTTTGGAGGAGTGAGGTGGGTTAGGGTTAAGTTTTGGGACTCTCATACAGAGTATGAGACATCGTCTTTGATCCAAAAATTCAGCTGAATTTGACATGTTTTCTCTACACAGTGCTGTACCCTTACAGCCACGTCATTGGTGTGTGGCAGCCCCAGATTGGCTCCTACGGAGGCCTTGTGAGCATTAAGGTAAGTATACCGCTATTGATACTGTTACGACCCAACTGTAGCAATGGTCCAACTATGGTTTGGACAGTCCAAACTATATTTGGGTCAATGCTGCAGTTGGGCGTTACAATCAGTGTTGTGGTTGGGTCCATCACACGTTCAGTCACAAGCAACAGGGGATGAACAGTAACAACGGAATGCCTTTATGTAAGTCCATTTGAGTGGCCATTTTGATGTGAATTGGGACTGGATGACTTGTGATGGACTTGTGAAGACTCTCAGGGACTTGTGATGGTCTCGACTACAACACTGGTAACAATGCTTGTCCTAACATTTCTTAAGGGAATAAATATGTGCTTGGCCGGTACATTTGTAACCAGCTAGGGGCCTGGTCATGGATAATGACCCTCGCCTTCGGCTCGTGCATATTTATTCCCATTCATAAATACCTCAAAAAGTCAAAACAAGTCGAAAATTCACATATTTCCAACAATTTTTATTCATCAATTTTGCTTCAGGTTTTGTGAAACGCCCCTTTGGCCATAATCTCTGGTATGTGCCTCGCGCGTAGTGCTAAAAAGTTCCTTATTTGGGAATGGATGCGTGTATGGCGCGTACTGCGCGATAAGGCGCAGAACGCAGCAGTATTTTATCGGTGGTTAAAAACCACCTAGTGACGGGCTCTCAACCAATAGAAATGGGTAAACTGTCTGAGGTATTTATGAATAAGTTGTAAAACTTTGATGCTGTTTACTCGCATCTCAAACAACCTGGAAAATTTATATAATTCTAGCCTCTACTGCAAATTTCCATTGTATCCAAATATGACTTTCCCCTTCTATACTTTCCCTTGTATAAATGTATGTTTAGCTGATTCAGGGGCCAATTTCATAGAGCTGCTTAAGCACAAAATTTGCTTAAGCACAGAAACGTCTTGCTTAATAAAATCAGGTTACCGGCCAAAACTCCATGCGATTGTTATGCTAAGTAAACAACCGCTAAATACCAGTCACGAGCAATGTACATCGCATGGAGTTTTGGCTGGAAACCTAATTTTACTAAGCAATGTTTTTTCGTGCTTAAGCAAATTTTGTGCTTAAGCAGCTCTATGAAATTGGGCCCAGTCATTTACAAGCAAGTAAGTGAGTTGTTCCCATTACTCTATCAATATTCCATATGTCCTGGATCACTGATTGTTGTCCACAGATTCGTGACGGAGCCATACGAGCGGCCCAGTATCTTCCCCCAGTAGATCCCAAGGTCTGTATGCCGTTACGCAGAAAGGAACTGTTTCAGATCCAGTTGACGTCGGAGGGTTTCACGCAGACTGAGTGTCTTAAAGGGCCACACGGGCCGCACAAGCTGCAGATATTGCGTGTAAGTTATCATTTTTTATCCTCTTGAGATCATTCCAACTCAAGTTGAGACTTCCCCAACTATAGTTATTATAATAATAATAATTTGGGAGGCTAATCATCCTTACTCGCAGCTGGTATGCTGAATTGCCAAGGACGCGGCTACAACGTGGTCGGGCCGCTGGCACGTATAGGGGCCTATGGCTGCCGGCCACATCGACGCATATATGACCACGGAGCACAGCCTGAGATCGAAAGTGTTTGATTTTTCCGGAGGGAGGAAAACCGGAGGGCCCAGAGAAAAACCCTCGTGGCACAGGAGAGAACCAACGCACAACTCTACTCACATGTGATCCGCGGCCAGGATTCAAACCGTGGTCACCTTGGTGAGAGGCGAGCGCTTTACGCACAAGCCACCCATGCCACCCATAGTTGCGAAGGTCTCATAGTTGGGGCCACTCGCACACACAAGTGCAAATGCAGGTGTGGAAATTTGGCTGTGTGAGCGGGCTTTAGTGTCCTCAAGCATCGATGTACGAAAATCAGATGGAGGCAGTTGTTTTTAACAATGCCTTTTTTTTTTTTTTTTTATCCCCATGGCTTTAGCCAAGAAAGGGGGATCTTGCAATTGTGTATTCCTTCTGTGCGTGTTTATGGTGTAAATTGAGGATACACACGTGCAGTATCATCGATGAATTGAGGACAGGAACCAAATCGAGGACGACCTCGATTAGAAAACGTGTACAAAACCAATGAGAGTATAAAAAAAGGAAAAGGGAAGAGGAACAATATAAAATCCTCGATTTACACCATAAACAAACCTGGGTGTCAGTGTGTGTTACATTTTGGTTAGGTTAACTGATAAGTGCTGTCATATGAAAAGTCCGAATTCAATCTCAACCATACTTGGTGACAATAATCTTTGGGTAGGGGGACTTCCGATGACTTGAGACATTTGAGGTCAAAGGTCATGTAGGGGTCAAATGAGGTCATTGTTGCCTTTGGTTAGGCCAACTGAAAAGTGTGCTTTCTAACTGACTATAAATACTGCCAGCATGCCGGGGGGATCGCTCAAGTTCAACTTGTGATATTTTTAATTTTAGGGTGGCGGCGAAGGTGAGTTTGTGCTCAAGTGTTGCAAGCCAGAAAAGCACCGATATCACAACAGTAGGCAAGAGGTAGGAAAATCATTTCATTCTGAATTTATTCCCCAAGAGCATGCCACTTTTTCTTGGATCAGCTGATTTCCCTGTTGATCGCTTCACAGCTTTGCCATTTAAAGGGAAAATACAACATTTGCAAACATCAAAAAATAAAACTACCAAATCATTTTGAAATACCTTGCTGGACTGTTAGTGAATGACAGTGTAAAGCATCCTGTAAAATCATGGCACCTGGTATACTGTCATTTTCAAGAAAAGTGGTAGTTTTGTATCAATTTCTAACGCTGGTCGGCCGACCAGCGTTGGAAAAAAAACTTTTTTTTTCTCCAAATACTGGCCCCAATTGACCATCGCACTTGTTTGCAATCGATTACACACCTATGAACGGGTACAAGCCAGCTAGACTGGTTCCCTGACCTTACAATTCCCCAATGTATGTAAACTGCTCTGTTTCTTCTTATATGGAGTCAGGGAACCAGACTACAGGAAAATGATTGTTTTTCTTGGTTTTTATAGCATTTTCGAACCCAAAATCTCGAAAAAGGCAGTGTAACTATATTTGCTATATATTTCCAACCCCCCAATTCCATCCATATCTGAAAATTACAGCAAAAGCAAATGATGTATATTCCCTTTAAATTGAAGAAAATACTGTATAAAGTCTTGGAAAGCATGGAATTTCCTCTTAGTCGTTATTCACAGTTGCTTGCGTGTACGTAAATAGACGAACACATATTATTAAACCCAAATTTATTCTCAGTTAATGAATATGCATGATCCAATTTTCTTGATGGCATTTTGCTGTCCGTGTTTTGGTTATGAGTCATTTGATACATAAGATTCGCCTGAGTCTGGACTCTGCCCGAGTTGGAACTCTATAGGCCTTTTCATACTAGACAAATCTCGGGGTTGACGCAGGCTTGAAAACATGCAGCATTTCACACTTGAAATTGTTCAACCCTGCGTCAACCCCTGAGATTGATTTCAACCCGGGTTGAACTGAACCCTGCTCCAGACCAGGGTTGTGATTTTCAACCCGGGTTGAAACTCTCGCCAGGATTCAAAACAGTAGCAACCGAGCAAAATAAGCGCGGTTTGCACAAGACAAGTGTGAAATGATGTGGGGTTGAACTCGGGGTTTGAAAATCAAAACCTCAACCCGGGCGGCACTGGGTTCACCCAGGGTTGACTTCAACCGGGGGTTGAGAGACTCTAGTGTGAAAAGGCCTTTTGAGTGACCACTGGTGTGGGCGCGGGATTAGTGACCCATTGCATGCACGTTCTGTTTCAAGCGCGTATTGTGCGAAGTGGATAAGAATTGCCTTCATCTGAATGTGCTCAAATCACTATTGTCTTCGCGTTGGCGCCAGACGTAAATTGGCAATCAATTGAAAAAACCTGTCCAACTCTCTCTTTGTTACCGTTGACAGGTACTTTTGCAAGAGGCCATAAGTTTCTCTTGGTGTAACATTTTTTCAAAACACTCCTTTTTGGGGGGTCAGGAATTACAGGAGTGGATTCGGCAAGAGATCGGGGCCAAGGAGGGTGAAATTCTTCTCTTCAACTATGATCATCATATAGAACTGCTACGCATCAAGTACATCATTCTAAACCAGTACGAGTGAGTAGATTTTAATATCTTTCCTTTCATGACGTGATTGACTTGTGATTGACTTGTGATGGACTTGTGGGGGGGGGGGGGTGCTTATGATGGACTTGTGATTTATTTATTTATTATCGGGCAAACAAGATATAAACATTAAAAACAAACAGGCCTGAGGATTTTCGAAAAATGAAACAAATCACTTTTTAAAGGGATCTCCAGACAATCTAAAGGTATCTCTAGACAATTTAAAGGGATCTCCAGTGATAGACTTGTGATGAACTTGTGATGAACTTGTGATGAACTTGTGATGAATTTGTGATGAATTTGTGATGGACTTGTGATAGACTTGTGATGGACTTGTGATAGACTTGTTATGGACTTGTGATGGACTTGTGATAGACTTGTGATGGACTTGTGATGGACTTGCGATGGACTTGTGATGGACTTGTGATGGACTTGCGATGGACTTGCGATGGACTTGTGATGGACTTGTGATGGACTTGCGACGGACTTGTGATGGACTTGTGATGGACTTGTGATGGGCTTGTGATAGACTTGTGATGGACTTGCGATGGACTTGTAATGGACTTGTGATGGACTTGTGATGGACTTGTGATGAACTTGTGAGGACTTGTGATAGACTTGTGATGGACTTGTGAGGACTTGTGATGGACTTGTGATGGACTAATGATGGATTTCACTACAATACTGCTTACTGCCCTACACACTTCTGACTTTTCCAACATTCGGAGTTCAATTTTTTTAAAACAAATTTTCCCCCATTTTCTTCCCCAGTGAAAATTGTGCCTTCCAAAGACTCCACCTCCCAGGCCCTCAGCCCAACGAGCCCATCCAACCAGGCCTGTTCAAGGGCACCTACGGCGGACACGGCATTGAAATCATCAGCCTCAAATATGAGGAGGACAAGCTACGAGGCTACAAAGTCACGGTGAGCAGCCATTTCACAAAGAGCACTCAGGATTTTTTTTGGTTGAATTAACATTGTTTGACAGTCAGATATGTATTGGTCCCTATTGGTAACATTCATTTCCTGGGATTTGAACCCACTGATACAAATTTCCTCCCTGCAGAACGAAGCATGTCATTGAAGCTGCGTTTCTGTCTGACCGCATGCCAAAACCAATCCAGCTTCCGTTGTACTTGACAAGTCCTGTAATGAACACATTTTTATTTATCCAGGGAGACCCCAACGTGCCAGCCTGCCAGCTCAGCATTGAGGTGCATCTGGACGAGCCCATGGTGCTGGGCTCCGCCGAACAGGAGACCCTAGCCATGCTAGAGTCTGTAGACAGGGACGACGTCCTCATCCGAGACCCTAAGGATCTCCCCTCGTCCCAGCCTTTTCTGGTCCCCGCCGGGGTGCACGACCACGGCATGGGTGACGTGGGCCGCAAACTGAACATGGACCTCAAGAGATGTCGCAGAAGGTTGGTCAAGCTCAGAATCGTAACGACTCAACTTGATGAAGGAAAAACGCAGATATTGAATTTAGATCTCCCTGACGCAAAACTTCCATCCTACAAATTATAGTGATTGGTCGTAGTTCTGATGCTATATCACATTTAAACCAACTAGTTTACCCTAGCTGACAAGCTCAGTGTTTGAGTATTAAGACTCCTGCATAGTAAGCAGGAGATGGTGAGTTTTGAGTTCCAATTGAGTAAGCTTTTGGTTTGTGGATTTGAGTCCCAACCGAGTAAGCTTGTAAACTTTTTTTCTCAAAACCCACCGACAACACCGAGTATACATATTTATGATATCGGTGAGAGGTCAAAACCCAATGTTGACTTGGACTGGAGTCAACTCAATCAACTCCAACTCAAGCCACAATCTTCACTGACTTGACTCATCTTGAGTCATTACAGACAAATGTCTTGACTTGATTTGAGTCACTGCAACCAAACAACTCGACTCTACTCATATCAAAGGCTAATCAGCACTCAATTTCTTAAAAATATGGAAAAGTAGCCTCCAAAACTCTCCACTTTGCAGCAACCCCGTGACTTCTTTTTTGGTTGTACTTAAACTCTCTGTTTACGGTAAGCAGATATAAAAGTGGCGTCTTCAAGAGAAAGCTGCTATTATTGCCTTGGATGCATCGTCATTGTTTTTACTTCTAGTAATGGCAACAAGTGTTTCCTTGCTTGCTCCACAGGGAGGAAGCATCGCCCTCCCTATTTAAAGTATAGGAGTGATTTATGCCGTACTCAGAGAGTTAACTTTCAAGAAAATATGAAAATATTCAATGTAATGTAACAGTTGCTGGGATCTACCTTACTCAATCTGTAAAATCTTCCCAGAATCTCCAAGTGGATTGACAACTATTTTATGGGAGTGTTTGAAATGTTCAAAATAAGAGAGAGTGTTTTTTGTTGTTGAAATAAACCATTCAAAATGAAAATTTGTAAGGAGAAATTTTTGTTTACATTTTTTGAAACGTATGGACATAAATCTTTGAGTTGATTTATTTCTTTGATGCAGGTACTACGGCACTGGCCTGATTGCTATGCACGGTTTTCGCAATTCTTCCCGCACTCCCTGCCACTTTATACTCTTCAACGAGGAAGTCTTTGCCCTTCTTTGGCTAGAACTCCACTCCATCAGCATCTTCCACAGGGTATGCGAGCAGATATGACGGAGACATGCGAGTCTAGATACGATCGAGTAAAAACTGATTGACCCTGTGCACAAGTACCCCCTCAACGGTTACTAAGGGAGAGTTGGGGAGACCATGGACTGGTTCTGCAGTCCCTCTATTGTCCTTTGGACTTCGAATGTAGGGACCGGTAGCTAGCAATGAATCCAAAATACATTAAGAGGTTCCTCCTAATGTATGCAAAATATATGCGAGATCTGCCTAGGTCTGATTCCTGCCCCCTGAATACAAAATCACGACGATAATTTTAGTGCGGAACCAGCCTATTGCAAAATGGCAACAAGGTTTACCACTAATATACAATTTGTGTGGTGATGAATCTCTGGCAACTATCAATAAAGAGAGGGGCACTCCTTTTCAGAGTCCGATTTTTAAACTAAAATTAGTCGTATGTACTTAAGGAAACAGAAGGTACTATATGTATAAAAAAACATGTCCTACTTTTAAAGAGGGTAAGACTTAAACGACATACGAAAAAAAATGCTCACTTTCAGAATGTCGATACAGCGCTGGAGATGATGGCGGAAGGCACGTGCTGTGGCCGAAAGCTTCTGAAGGAATGCAGGATCACCCCTGATGTCATTGCACACCTCCCCGATCGTGTGTTGCACCAAACGATCGAGAAGGTGTGTAACAGTGATGTAGTGCCTTGATGCTGGGCCTTGGCCTTAAGGCTTGAGGGCAAAAGCCTTGGCCTTGGCCTTGGCCTTGAGGGTTCAGGGCCTTGCAATTTTGAGTCAAGGCTCTTCAAGGCCCATAGATTTTTGCATTTTCCAGATAAATCTGTTCGAAATATTGCTGTTACCATTTTAATCGTATTACCATGGAGGAGGGAAGCACCCTATAGATTTGTGTGTTGGGCACACTTCCACTTTTGTAGCATCACATTTTGTTACCATTGTAGTAGATTTGCTGCAAATATTCCGTACACTTGTGGGGCTAATGAGATGATCACTTTAATTGCATATAACTATGGAATAGATCTGATTGGTTGTATGTCTCCCTGATAAGTGCTAAAGATTTGCATGTATCTGTTTTAGATAATGCTGATATTTCTGACCATGTTGGGCCAGCAAATAAAACTTCCCCATATCAGTTTCTTGGATCCCCCTGTTACACTTGGGAGAATTGTGTGTCAATAGAGAAGTAAATCATTATTTTGTTTAGTTAAACCATAGTGAAGACCTGAACTTATACTTTAATAGATACAGTGCAGTCATGAAATGGTGTAGGCCTATGCGAGCATGTTGATTGCAATGAAAGAAATGTTGTTCTTCGTAACGAGCAATTCGTGATGATAAGGGCGGATCCAGGGGGGCCAAAAGGGGCCATGGCCCCCCCCCCCCTCAAAAAAGAAACCTTTTTTTATGTGACATCGTAATAAAGGCAGGCAATGAGTACACCTCCATCTTTTCCTCAAAAAACATCGATTAAAATGGTCAGAAATTGCATCAAGTCGCACCACAGAGCATCTCGAGTCCAAAAATTTTTCGGGGCCCTTAAGCTGGCCCCGAAGCCCAAGCCGTAATTTTTTGACCCACTTTCTTGGGGGGACCAAAATTTCTTTGCCCCCCCCCCCAAATTGTGTTCTGGATCCGCCCTTGCGTGATGATGTGTCACTCATGTGACTATAATAAGTTCTATATCAGTGGTCATTTCATAAAACAGGGCCTTGGCCTTGAGGGTTAAGCCTTGGCCTTGGCCTCGAGGCTTGAGGGTCAAAGCCTTCGCCTTGGCCTTGGCCTTGAGGGTCAAAGCCTTGGCCTTGGCCTTGGCCTTGAGGGTCAAAGCCTTTGCTCCAACACTGGTGTGTAATGACATCAGGGGTGACCCTGCATTCCTTCAGAAGTTTTTGGCCACAGCACGTGCCTTCCGCCACTGTCTCCAGCTCTGTATCGACATTGGAGGACGCCAAATCGAAAGTGGCAGATTCTGAAAATGACTAATTTTTTTGCATATGCATTTAAATCGCGTATGGCATTTAAAGCCTTGTTTACATGATCTGAAAGTTTAATTCCATTGGTAAACAACAGAGTTTTTGAGGATCAAAAGTAGGACATTTTTTTTTACACGTAGTACAAGCGGTGTATCCCTCCTACTGGAGCTCTTGAAAATGGTAAGAAAAACACCACCTATTGTTTGAGCACAGGGTCCATCGACAGAAAGGGAAGGCCTCGGATTGATAATTGAGCATTAGCATGCAAGGTGGTTATTTATATTGTATTGTATTGTTCAAAATCCTTCAAAAGTTTTGATGGAAATGATAATAATGTGATATATTTGTATTCAGGTTTTAAAACGCAGTATTAAAAATACTCACCCCATAAAATAGTGTAAGTTTGATAACTTTTTCTTTATAAGTTTTATTTGTGAATATGATCAAATCCCATCAGATTAATGTCACATGCAAAGACAGTTTTATATATACATGCAGTCTTTGGTGAAGACGACGTTGATGTATATTGATATTTGATAACCCACTACCACGGTAATGTGAGTAATTTTGATACTTTTTCAGACGCTTTTTAAATGCTTACGATTCCTTTTAATGGTAGAGCTGTGCTTGAAATCAAATAGAGATATGGTTGATTTTGTAATGAGTGTATATTTGTCGGATGGCTGATATTTATTTAACGCACAGTTAAAACATGGTTATCTTTACCTTAGCTTTTTAAATTTTGTAATAATGATGTAGCGCCTTGAGCTCCAATAATGGTGGATACGTGCGCTTTATAAATACCCATTATTATTATTATATTATTATTATTTATACAAATCCCTTAGATTTAGAAAATTATTTAGTTTTGTTTCGAGAAACAAATCATGTTTTTGTCTCTCTAATTAGTTTGCAATCATTTCCACAAGGGCAGCATGTTGTGAGATGGTACCGGTTGTTTAATAACTAATGGTCTTTATAGTATTGATAAGGGAATAAATGTGTGCTCCGGAGGTTTTTATCACTCTGTTTAAGACCACTTAGAGTCTGGGTGCTGATAATTACCCGAGCCGGAGGCGAGGGTAATTATCAGCACCCAGACTTTAAGTGGTCTTAAACAGAGTGATAAATACCGACATAGCACATATTTATTCCCATTCATAAGTACCTTTTCGGTAAAAAAAAATCATATAATTCGTTCAAAACATCCCGATTTTGTTCAACAAATTCACTTTATGCTTTTTGAAACATCCCTCTTGCAAAATAATGGAGTGTTCAGCTGGCGTGTAAGATGTAAACAACCCTTTTATGGAGATTGACGCGCGCGTATCATGTTCTGCGCGATGTCATGCAGAACGCACCTGGCGCGTTGCGTTTTGAATTTAGAACTATAAAATTCTGACTCCCTGGTAGTGTTGCACATGCCTACGTGAGGATTGTGAACGTTCAACCAATGAAACGATAAGAGGCACTGGATTTTTTAGGAGTCCACATTTTATTGTGACACTGGAAAAGTGTTTAAGACAGGCCATGTCTTTATCATCCGTTTAAGACCGGCCACGTGACGGGCTCTCGACCAATAGGAATGCGTAAACTGTCTTAGGTATTTATGAATAAATTTTAAAGGTCTTTATTTATTAAGTTATTTGTAAAAATAAAAGAATTTCAATATGTTCAATATGTAACTTAATAATGAAAGAGAGGGAACACGCCCAACATATCTTTGTTCTTTTCTTTAAAAAGAAATAGATGTACTGGGTTTAGTCTAATATAAAAAAAATATTTATTTAATTTCTTGAAATGTTTCGGTAGTGCACTGTAAATTAACTGGTTAAATTTAGAGAGTGCTAAGTAGTGTATACTTTGAGCAACATCAATACCCGGGTGCATTGTGAAAAGGAACATTTCTAATTAATATCAGAAAATAAAGACCCTCTTATGGCTCTTTTGACATTAATCAATTGTAAATAAACATTTGGTCTTTTGTTTAAAAGTACTGAAAAATTGTATTTGTTAAAGTTGCAGACCCCGTGGGTTTTGTCGCCTAACAAATTTGAAATATGTTTTTTAACAAAAAAACCTACTTTTTGGAGGCATCTGCAACCCTCTCAAAAAAGGGTTTCATTTTATGCACAAATGAACCAGCCCTGTGAGAGCCGAATTATTGTCTGCTGGCTAATAATTCAAATTTCAATAACTAAAGAAGGTGAATTTATTGTTTCCGCAATATTTTTCGATCGTACGCATAAAATCACGTGTGGAAGCCAACAAAACTATTAAAATCTTTAAGTTTCCCAGATGAAAAATGTTTTCTCTTTCTGAACGCATGTCCTTGCGATGCTTAAATCATTGTACATAGGATCATTTGCTTTTTGTGCAAAACTGCCCAAAATCGAACGGTGCCTGCATGGCTAGCCTTTCGCCAAGGCCATCGTGGCTTAACTTGCCAGCATTTGACAAAGAGGCGAAAACGCGAAGCGACTGGAGTGGGAGACCACACACGCGAGTGGCGAAGCCACGAGGGCCTTTTCCAACTTGTCAAGAATTTCTTATGTTTTTCTTTAAAATCTCGATTTTTGCTACCCCAAAAGGGTAGCAAAATTCCAAGCAATCGGAAACGACGGAGTCAGCGTTCAACAACAAAACCGCAAAATCAAGTTCGAAAAGGCCTCGTGGCTTCGCCACTCGTGCGTGCTGACTTAATCTTTGCTCCAGTCGCTTCGTGCTTTCGCGGCTCCGCCGCTCTAGCTCTAAGCACGATGGCCTTGGCGAAAGGCTACTGCATGGCCGGCCGGCTAATCGGCTAAAACGGTCACCCTGCCAACAGACAAAATGACAGAATCGCCCAGCGCAAACACGTGGTCAAAGGTCGCAGTTGGCACGTTCCATTTCTGTACCCCAATTAGACCCAAGCGAAATCAATAAATACGAATTACTCGTCAACATAACTTTTATTTACTCTTAATCATCCAATACAGTACAACATTTTTTTTAAAATAGAAACCAAAAAGCAAGAATCCAAACCCATGTACTACAAAAATTAAGGATGATATTTTGCACAGATTGTTCCATTTGAAAATAGGGTGGGCATATTCATTTTCTATTTTTGGACTTCCGGATTTTCCCGCTAGTGAAATACACATCGCGAATGCATAAATACTGCTGTGCGTGATATATGCTTAGTTAATTCCATGTTTTGCATTGATGTAGTTTACATTACAAACCAATATACAATTTGAGGGGAAGGTAGAGCTGGGAAAAAACAATGGAAGTTGATGAAAAAGCAACAGATTTTGATGCTTGTCGGCAAGCAGCGTTGGCGTGGTTGGAGCACCATTCAAAACCATGGCAACTTCTTTGGGCAGACGAAACGGAAAGACAACTGGTTTTTGAGCATCGGACCGGAGGCATCTCTTTCAACATTGTGGTTCAGTCGTCGGCTGCTGAAAATGGTCAGCGGTGTTTTGTGAGTTGCACGGACATACACCTTACTTTGGAAAAAAATGTTGCAACATGACCACTTCCGCGATGCGCGATTGTGTACAAAGTCAATGGAGAATCAAGACAATTTTAAAGTAGGCTACCCAACAAAATCATGAAAATTGGAAATGTTTCAGCATGCATGTCTTATCATCATTTTTGCAATGAACGACCTTCATTGAGATGAAAATTGATTATGAAGAAAAAAAGTGGCGTCAGGTTGTAACATTTTTTCCATTTCTACTTTTTTTCTTGACAAGCTAGGCCTTAATTTTTTTTGGAAGTGTAGCCTATTTTAGCCAGCTGGATAGATTTAGCAAGCTTTCTTTCAAGGCCTAAGATATATTAAGCCGGTTTGATTGGACAGCGCTCTCTTTAGGCCTACATTCATGACATTTATATTTGTACTTATAAAAGGTATTAAATTTCCACCATCGTTTGTGCAGCACCTGTGCTGTGACCGAGTGGATAGCGCGTGTATCTCATGAGCAAGAGATCCTCAGCAGGGTTAGACATTTTTGAATTTTTTTTCATTCAAAAAATTCAAAATATTCTTCTTAATCTAGTTATATTATTTTAAATTGACTCTAACATTTAAATAACAGAGCCTATTGTAATACAATTTCTTTTTCTGATTCGTGGCTCTGGAGGAATTTTTTTAAAAAATAACAAGGTTGCCGCCGAACCAGAAGAAGATTTGTCACGGTAAAAAATGTCTAAGTCCCCTTTAGCTTTTGTTAACGTACACACGTGAGGGGCGCCGCGCCTGGGTTTTGGCCGTATCATATGCAGGGGAAAAAAATAACATTCGGGGATCAGAACAGCCAATCCCAAGGCGCCTTGATTATTTATGCTGAGTAGGACACACAACAGCCGTAGGGTCAATGGATTGTACTGTGTATTCGGAATGTATTACTGACCTGACGGCTGTTGGATGTTCTACTGAGCATAAATAATTGAGGCGCCTTGTGATTGGCTGTTCTGATCCCTGAATACGATTTTTTTACCCCACACATGATATGGCCATAACTCAGCCTCCCAGGTGTTCGTGCGAGAATGCAATATGAAAGAGAATACTTTATTTCATTGTGCCCAACTTGAAACCATTTTTTCCCCTATTTTTTTACAGAAGGTTGCAAGTGATAATGACTCGGCCTGGCAATTATTAAAAGAATGCCAAGGAACCAGCATACAGGAATGTCTGGAACAAAGTACTGCAGCATTGCAGCCTGTAAGTTGATTTAATAACCAAATATGAAAATGGTAGCTTTCTTGTATCGTTCCACTCCAAAAATGAGATAATTTTGGTCAATTTGTCTAAGTGGCACATGAACAGCTTCAATACATTGTACTGATGCAAACTTAACTTGAAATTGTATATGTGTTGACTTGTGAAGGGAATTCGACCCATTGAGGTGATGCAATCAGTTGTAATGGTCATCCTCATTCCCCCCCCCCCCCCCCTTCTTGTTACAGCTCGTTGGTTCTCATAATACGGGGACTGAGGATGATGAAGGAGTTGACGAAGACGACGATGATGAGGATGAAGATGATGATGAAAACGAAGATTGGTACTATGAAAACAACGAAGACATGATGGACACAGAGGAACCTGAAAAGGTCAATCGCGTTTCTCCTGAGAAAAGGTTAGTGACAGATTTATACATTTATTTTCTTACTAATTAGATCACACCCAAAGTCATGGGGCTAGCAACATTAGCTACCCTGCTCTGATACGGTGTTCCTGCGATTGCAGTTCCTAATAACAATTGTTCAGCCTCATAGGTTAACAGACTCATCTAAAGACCAAAACTAGGAGCCACTGTTACGTCCCAACTATACTTGGGACAGTGCCAACAAGTTGGGGAATTCCCAACTTTAGTTGGGACGATCCTAGCTGTATATAGTTTGATCATCTCAACTGTTGTTGGGACAGTGCCATAGTTAGGATGTAACAGCACCATGCTAATGCACATGTGGTAGGCACATGCTCTTTCGACCAATGACCAACGCGCACCTCATATTAAAAATGCGTGGGACATGCCCATGGGTGTAGCACCTCTCAGTATTGGCAATCTCTGGATCAGTTTAGGTTGATACCAAGCTTTACACTTTATTCACAAAGTAATACATTTCTCTTAAAGGAAGAGTAGATCATTCGTTTCGTTTGAAGCAACGAGTGCTCAAAATCTAAAGACAGGTGCTTAACAACTAACCTGATGAAGTTTCAGCTCTGTGAATGCTGTATATTCCGAGAAATCAATTTTCTAGGATCTCGATTTCAATTCAAAAGTTGCCGAGTCATATTTTGAATTGCGCCCGAAATCAGTATCCGGAATACGTTCTCATTCAGCCGATTATAGCTACTCGATGTCACGAACTGAACCGACAAATGCTTCATGTCAGCAATGTTTCATGTCAGTGCTTGCCATTCACCCATTCACGGATTTGCCGAATTGCAAACCAACAACTAATGGAAATTTTCAAATATGCATCACTTGACTCATCTTTGCAAATGACCTTCTTTTAGTGTTTTCTTCAAAATGACAGCATGCCAGAAGGAATAATTTCACAGGGAGTTTAGTGCCATTATCTGATCTACTAAGCCTCGGCCCATGATATGACCAATCACAGACATGATGTTGCAACAAAATATCCGACAAAACTCCGACATGCGCTCACTTGTGTGTTGGTGGGGCTTAAATCAATCGTTCTATTGAAACACTTCCATCCACAAAACATAAGCTATTTCATCTATTTTTTTCTCTCACCAAATGTGGCAGAAAATCACCAGAGGAACACGGTGACACTTCAGATGTAGATTTCGAGATGTACGCTAAGTTTGGCTCCAGGATGGCCGTGCGTCGACTGCTGTCCGGTAATTTTTTGATTTCTCACATACTCATCAGTGGAAAAGGCATCCCATCCGGCAAAATTGAAGTACATTTGTATTCTCAGTGCTTCCATGCCATGCAAACTGGAGATTAATGTCGACATGATGCATCATATTTGCTCAGAACAGACTCTTTCTTGCTCGGTTGATAGTTTCCAGGGGTTACCACCCTTTCTCTCAATCAGGAACTGGTGAGGATGTTATATTTATAGATATTTTTTATTCTGGCAGATTTGAAAATGTTCAAGCGTTCCGAGAGTGCTAACGGCATCCATGGAAGCCCAAGAGGCGACAATCTCTTTCTGTGGGTATGTGGTTAAATTTCTTCCAACGATTTATGAAAGAATTGAATAAATCACACATTTTCCACTCTTTAACGACTCAAACATCGTAGGAACCACAGAACACTTTGGTGACCAATGGCATTTATTAGCAGAACAGTAATCAGAATCGATTCCAGGTGTGGGATTTTCCAGATTTTTTTCCAGCTTTGTGGATTTTAAAATGCCTTTTTTATTGCTGGGAATGTTGGAAATACACAGAAACCTGGATGGCAACCAATAATTTCATCCCAGTTACTTTTTATTTATTTATTTATTTCGTTTTATTTTACCAGGGTAGCCCCATCAGTTGTCAATGAACTATTTCCCTGGGGGCCCTGGATTACATAAAAACCTGTTTGCTCTCCTTTGATCAAAATGAAGCGGAATCCTAAATTGTCTTGCTCCAGAAGACAAGCACCACAACTGCCTTTGCTTCAAACCGCTCCAGAAATCTAAATTTAAAGTCCCTTCATAATTGGTCCAATGCCTTAATCCAATCTTCCCGATCATTTGAATGAGGAACATTCCGGAATCCATGTAAAGAAATAGTAGCTGGGCTCTCAGTCTTCCTCAATCCTACAAAATACATGTACTACGAAACCTGGTAGATTTTGATGGATCAGGGAGCATTAGGGTTAATCTGTAAACCTCTATACACCATGTCTATGCACTACAGGATGTGCAGATGACAGACTTCGAGCCCAAGTCTGTCCTGGGCAAAGACCTGTGCAAGTACGCTGACAAGTACAAGCAGAAGCTGGAGATTCAGCTGGAGATGTCCTTCCCGGACGACTACCCGATGGCGCCGCCTTTCATCAGGGTCGTCAGGCCAAGATTCAAGTTCTTAACAGGTGGGCACTAACAAGAGAAATTGTCATGAGTTGCATAAGGGATTAGCTATGTCAAAACCAAATCCTTCACGAGACCCCTTGCAGGTTTTTTTAAACAGCTTTTGAATTGACGTAAGAATGGAGAACTTGTGACGGACTTGCAGCTGCTCAAAATTAATCGGAAAGGGGGATGTTTCTACCATTTCAGATATCATTTTCTTCACAACTCATGACATTTAATTACAGATAAATGTTTGCTTGAACTGATTTGAACTCTTTTGCATTTTCGCAGCACATGTGACAATAGGGGGCAGTATTTGTATGGAACTACTGACCAAGTCAGGTTGGCGACCGACCAATGACATAGAGGTATGTGTTACAACAACCACCTACACTCCCCCACCCCCACAAAACAAAAACAAAAATACACCCCCTTTCCCTCAAAAAAGCAAAAAGCAAAAACAAAACAAAAAACACAACACACAGACTTGCACTTTTTAGGAGTAAGATACATTTTTGTGTTTTTTTTCTCACTTGCTAAGTTAATAACAGTGAAAATCAACTCATGAGCAACTAACATAGCCTTTTGGCTGGTAACCTATTTTGTGGATAGTCCAAGCTTCCTTGTACTCTATGCCTCATGAAATTATTCTCCAAATACATTAAATTCTACGACTCATTGAAACTAAAATATAATCACCTAGGATTCCTTTTGATAATAACAATACTGACTTGAACATGTTTTCGTCGGCAGAGTATTTTGGTCCAAGTCCGATCCGAGATTGTTTCGGACCCAAAGGCTGCCTTGGATATGGACAGGGCCAACCGAGAGTACACCAAGACAGAAGCAGAGACAGCTTTCCACAGAATGGTGCAACGTTACGGATGGAATAAATGAATCAGTCATGACAGTAGTGCTGTAGATGATTCCACCACAAGTCCATTCACAAGTTCATCACAAGTCTGAAGTAACAGGTGGCAAACAGTAACAAGACCGTGCCTTTTTCACAGTTTATTTTTGATAACTTGGTGCATGACTTGAGGATGGAAGACTTGTGACGGACTTGACTAGAACACTGCAGAAATAAGAATTCTCCCAAAATGCCACATCTTTGAATCCAAGCCGGTTAAACCAGAATATTTAATGATGGATTCTACAGTTCGTCAATTTATTTTTTAAAACAAAATAATGGACAGACCCGGAATTTCAAGCAATGAACTGCAGTGGCTGTCAGCTTGTTTGCAGCAGACTCGCTATTTTTTGTTGTTTAACCAGAAATTTAGTTTCAGACGAGGAAATGTTGTACCGGTGTTTGTTACAACAAGATGGTTCTCGACAGCACCCATAGCGCATTAGTACAATGGCATTGTATCTGATGTTGCAGCTTTATTGTGTATACACATGTATTAGGAACCTGTGATATAGACCATTATCATGTTGCGGCCATCTTGATTTTTCCCCATTCAAACCAAAAAGCGAGGCTGGAAGGAAAAATAGTCTGGTTCCTTTTTGCACAAATAACATTATCATTCAGTACTGTTATTGGATACAGGGAACATGACTGAAATGGTGGCAGCATGATAAAGGTCTATATCAGGTTTGATTTTATCTGAGTATTAGTTATCTCCATGATAGTTTTCAAGGGATTAGGGAAAAAACACCATCAGTTTATCCTGAAGGGGAAACTTGCCCCTTCTTCAAGTATTTTTACAGACAGGGATGTAGTCGAGTCCATCACAAGTCCCTGCAAGTCCATCACAAGTCCTCCAGTCCCAATTCAACTCACAAGCTATTCAAATGAGCTTCGACAAAGGCATTCCCTTGTAATTTTTCATCCACTGTTTCGTGTGACTGGCGTTGTGAATGGACTTGTGATTTATGTGGGATGGTCTTGTGATGGACTTGACGACATCGCTGTCTACAATTTTGTTTTATACTTGATCCGTCTATCATTCCAAACAACTGTGCCTATTGTGTAAGGCCTTACTGCGTAGAAACAACTTCACCAGAAATCTTTCACCTTTTTTTATGAGCCCGATATTGGGCCGATGCAATGCTCTCAGTTCAGAGCTGTAACATTCCATTAGCTTGCAATCTCCAATATTTGAAATTTCATTATTTTCTTGGGGAGGCCCTTCCCCAACACTAGAAAAAAAGGATCCGTGCCTTGGGCATTGTCAATGAATGGCCGTGTTGTATATAATTCTATCCCCCCCCCCAAAAAAATTAGGCAACGCCCATGACCTTAAGTGTAGAGATGTGCATCGGAACCGGGTACCGGACCGTTAATGTCAGGAACTGGTTCTAGATTATGGGATCAGGTACTCGTAACCAACTTTGCAAATTTCAAAGTAACTTCTCAGTCAATGAAACAGAAAGGTTTCGAACGTCTGTGGGAAATTTTCAAAATGAAAAACAGGATACATGGAAAACCAAAACCACGTTTTATGATGCTTGCGAAAGTTGCAGTTTGCAACACATAGCTAAAGAGCTCACTGTATACACCCTATCTAGGCGTGTTGTCGCTCCGATGTGGTAGTATTATTGTGCGGACCTTTATGAACAATCTGAACAGCAACTTCCCAGATTTGAAATTTTGGCTTGGGTTTCTTTAACGGGTAGCCGGGTAGCCATATTTTTTTCAGAAGGGTACCCGGTTCCTGGACTACCCGTAAATGCACACCCCTACTTAAAGGGAATATACAACATTTGCAAACATCGAAAAATAAAACTACCAAGTTTTTGCGAAATACCTTAATAGGATGTTGGTAAATGACAGTCTGAAGCATCCTGTAAAATTATGGCACCTGGTGTGAAGTCATTTTCAAGAAAATGGTATTTTTGTAAAAATTTCCAGCGGTGGTCGGCCGACCACTGTTGGAAAAACCTAACTATTTTTCAACTACTGCTTCAAATTTACCATTAATTCAGTCCAAATTTTGTTTGCTATTGGTTACATGTTTGTAAACGGGTGCAGGCCAGCTAGACTGGTACCCTTACCTTACAATTTTCCGGCATCTGTAAATTGATCCATTTTATATTTAGTGGAGTCAGGGAACCAGACTACTTGAACAGTTTTGTTTTCTTGGTTTTTCCAGCATTTTCGAACACAAAACTTCAAACATGTGAGTGTAACAATATTTGATCTATTATACTAACCCCTCAAATAGTTCATTTCTGAAAATTACAGCAAAAGCCAATGATGTACATGTATAATGTTATTCTGACCATTTTGATACTCGGACATTGCTTGTTAAACAGTGTGGTGTTTGGTAATGGCCATTATTAGTAATCCCACAAGTGTAAGTGGAACACAGTATACTGAAGTGTGTCTGTGTGCTGAAATTTGTATCCTTGTGGAGACGTGTGTACAATAGGGAACAAAAGATTGTATACGTCTCCACAGGGCAATTTCTATAGATGAATACTTCCCCACAAGGTTTTCACGAAATAGATATATGGATTTTACTCAAAAACTAGGAATTTCCAAGCTATGTTGATCCGTCGCAAACGGAAGAGTTTTAGGAAAGGGATATTAAGTCCAAATTTCAGCCAGGGAAATTAATTCTGGTTAAAATAAGAGCATTTTGAAACTACATTTTCGAACTCGAAAACTTAAGTACACGAGAACAAAGTAATGTCTCCACAAGGATACAAATGTGAGTGTGGGTCGGTCTCCTGTATGCCATTACGCCGAAGGCCGAGTGGCATACGGAACCCAGACGGAACCAAGACTCACTACGTTTTCTGTGTTCTATGAGCCGAGTGGGATATGAAACAAATTTGTGTTAATCGATTTTTCTTGGTTATGATTTCGAGAAGACAAAAGCTCAAATTAAAGGCATGTTGGAACATTTGCAATTACCCAGAAACGTATCCATCAATTTAACGACAAAATCCTTGTACAAAGCGATGATAGGACTGGTACCAAACACCTTGTGAAGTTATTCTGCCTGAAATGGTTTCATTCAGAAGAAATCAGTCAGTAAAGATTAAGAAAATGTGCCACGGGCAGTTTTTTGCTTGTTTTAGAAACGGAATCCAGTTGCGGAATCCATGTGTGTGTACTTAAAATTTTGATTAACTTTTCAGAGAAAGAAAATGAGGGCTTTCAGATCATGTTCGACAATTTAACACTGAAAAACATGAAAACGAAAAAAATATTACTGTGAAAAGATTAAGAAAATGAAGGAAGAAACCACAAAAATGAAAAAAAAATGATACTGCAAATTGCTTTGTGACTGGATTAAGCTAAAATGTACACATTCTGAAAAAAATTAGAATGCCTAATATTTCGGTCTTTTTACCTGTAACTTCTGTAAGGCTTTTCTTAGAGGCAAAAAAATGGTCTTTTCATGCAGGACCAAAACATAGGGCCTCTACTTTATTTTTTATTTCAGTATGAAACTATTAACAACAACAGACAAAAATTAGACTTTATTTTTGGATTGTCAAACTTTATTTCTGACATGCTGGTGTTTTGAAATACTTGACACTTTTCTATTGTCGTACCCAGGACTTTTGCCTCAGAACCGAGATGTTAAAAGCAGCTGTATTAGTGTATACATTTGTAAATATTATATTGAAGGGTTAATTTGGTGGTGACTATGGTTCTTTTTTTAATGTAATAAATGCGTTAATGGAATATATTTCATCTTGTAAAGTCTGTCCTTAGTGCGGGTTGAACTTGTGTAATCATTTGGTCTTTTATTAAAATAATTTACAAAAATACATTTTGTGGTCGTATATACTGTACATCACTTGAATGAATTTATTCCCATGGATGTTAAAGAAAATACATATTTTCGGACACCAATACGACGGATGTATCTAGTAAAAATCGGCTCATATGGTATAACTTTTCTACGATGAATACAATCAGTGCACAATAGAGTGTCCAGTATGTGTATTTTTTTTCCTAGGAGTGTTGGGGCCAAGTCAAGCATAATTCAGTTTTTCCTTTGAATTATTGCAAGATACTTAGGTTCTCGTTCTCTTTTTCCCTCCAATTAAAATTATCTCAACGATAAATTTAGAGAAGAAAAATAGTTGATGAAAATGAACAATGACATGGATTCGAACCAGAGATCTTTGTATCCATAGCTCATCTCGCTATCCACTATTCTACTGTGTGGTAGCTGGACGACAAGCGATCTTTAAAATGCTTTATGTAACTGGTTCGCTAAATAACAACAGTGCTGTTGATATTGTTCTCATGAATAAACATACTGGCCTGATCGAAATACTGAATTATTCATGACTTAGCCCATTTGTCCTGGGAATAAAAATTACACGTCCAGTATGGTTGTTCTTAACCCTAACCCCAACTACTGCTTGATATAATTGTACACAAACTTTGCATGCCGAAGGGAAGGGGATGGTAATTATAGCCAAAACAATGGTAGGTACAAGCTAGTCTGAAAATTTGTAAAGTCAGTACTGTGTATGAGAGTCCCAAAACTTAAGATAGTAAAAAAAACGAAAAAAACCCAAAACCAACACCCCTTTAGTACTGCATCAATCAACTGAGTCAAAAGAAACATCTGGTACCTAGTCTCTACTTCTACACATTTTCTCCAGTCATGCCACCAGACTACTGAATGGTAAATATTTTCAATAAGTTGGATATGTACCAGTCTAGTCTTAGGCTTCAAATTGAGTTCACTATGCATCACTCTCAAGTGCAAATTTTTGAAGAAAGGTCTTCTTTAAAATATTGAATTGAGAGCTCAAACATGGCTGTTGATTTACTGAGGACCTTGTCTTTGCCTCTATGAACATTTTGGAGAATTTTGTCAGCTAAAGGGTGAGTGAAGTCGGCCAGATATAGTTGTGCATGTTTTTCTGCACTCGAGGTCCAGTCTGGGTACAGCCATGCTCGCTACATACAGTGGAATTCTACTTGGATAACATAACTTTTTTGTACAGAAACAGCCCTCATGAAAAGCAAATTGAGAAAGCCTTGAAGAGGTTTATATGAGGAGTCATTCAATTGGTCATCTACCCATTTTCCCCCACACAAACAGGGCTGGATTTCAAAAGTAAAAACACTATTTTAGAAGTCATAAGTTCCAAACCATGAATCAAATAAACGTAGGCAGTGTTCCGCATGATGTAACGTGGTTTTAATACAGACAATCAGGTCGTGAATAATTTGAAGACCTGAATACCCTGCATGTCTGTACTAACGACCTCCTGATGTACCTGTTGATTAAGTACCACCTGGATCATTTGCATATCACTAGCCCCGCCCTCAAGAGGAACAGGTGGCTCCTCGTTGGCTGGGAGGATCCCAACATCTGGCCTGAGCTGTTGGTGTTTAATAATCTCCATTCTGTGAACTGAAACCAGGTGTCTTTGCAGATGATGCTTGTGGCGGAAGAGGTAGTGGCAGACTTCGCACTTGTAGCGTCCCTTGCTTGTGTGGGCGCGGAAGTGGGCTCGGCACAGTGCTTCGGTCTTGAAACGCCACGTGCAGCCGGGGTAGGCACAGGGGTACGGCCGATCCATGGAGTGCACGGCCATGTGCTTGGTTAGGGTGGAGCGGTCCGTGTAGGCCGAGCCGCAGATGTGGCACAGCACGCAGCCCTGGCTGTGCACCTGACGGTGGGCGTGGATGGCGCTATGGAGTTTAGACTGGAAGTCGCACTGCGGACACTTGAAGATCTTCTCCTTGTGGGACTTGCGGTGGGCCGTCAGCCGGGTGCGGGACTTGAAGGCTTTGCCACACTCATCGCATAAGAAGTTCTTCTCAGTCCGATGAGTCTCCATGTGAACTCGCCTCAGCCGTCCCTGCTTGAACTCCTTACCACACGTCGGGCAGGGGAAAGCCGTCGGCTGCAGCTTGCGTCTGTACTTCGTCCTCACTCGGCAAGTTCGCTGCTTCGGCTGCTCCTCTAAGTCTTCACGACTGATCTTCCAATACCTGCTCAAAGTCAAAACCTGCCCTGCATACTTCTTCCCCTTCTCTCTCTGCTGGTTCTCCAAGAAAACCCGTTCATACTCATCCACTCTCTCGTTGTTCACAAAGCTTTTGTGACTGTTGAACATGTGTCTGGACAGCACCATGATGTCGTTGGCCTGCAGCAGGCAAAACAGACAATTCAGCACCGTTTTGCCGAAACTGAACTTTGGCCTCTCCACTTGGACCACCTCCATCGCAAACTTGTAGTTCATGCCATACCGCAGGTAATCGTCGGTGGCCGTTTCGGGCAACTTCTTCTGGACTAACTCGTTGTAGACTTTCTCAGTCTCTTCGTCGACATGCTCTGTGTCTGGATCGGCTATGACGGCAATGATCTCACTGTCCGTCTCCCCGACCTCAATTATTCTATAGGCTTTATTGCCTGCTGCTTCGGTGTCTTTTTCATCTTCACCAAAGACGACTTGGTGATGACTGGTGTAATGTTCCAGTGCTGATGTTTTGGAGGAGAACACTGCTTGACATAATTCACAGTAATGTTTGCCGTTTTCATCTACATCTGAAAAGAGAGAGAGAGAGAGAGAAAAAAAATTAAATAAATACATAACGGTTAAAACAATAATAGGCCCTATCATGCCTATTAAATAAATTTTTTAAAATGACTTTAAATGCATCTGAAAAAAATCTCTTTATTTTAAACAACTAGGCATACATCATGGGAAAAAAAAGCGACTGCCTGTTTTAATCTTATTGATAATTGAAAATATTCGAATTTTTCCGGCTCAATATGTAAATGTTTATTGTTGCATTATTTGTGCAAGCAGCTGGCATATTTTGGCAACCAGACGTCTTCATCAGTTCATCTGACATTTAGTTCATCTTCGTACTCGTCGTGGAGATTTTTCACTTACGGTAGGCTCGATGTTTTAGAAACGCAGTCAGTGTATCATATTCCTGCTTACACCGACCACAGATAAGAGTACTTTTGGAGTCAGCACGAGGTGGCTTTTCAAAATGTTCAAGACGCGATCCCTCCATCTCGAGACTTCCTTCCGCATCTGCGAGTCGAGTGACTGTGTTTTCGTGTGAATTATCACTTCATTATCAGGAACACATGAACCGTTGAGGGCGTCTATCGCGATTTGCAGTCAACGTTCTTTCATCTCTCAATCGGGGGATAATCCTGCGATCGTTATTGCCTGTGTACATAAACATATATGTAACTATTGAATATCCGTTGATCGGAGTATATTACTTTGTACGTTGATCGACGTATTTTCCAGACCACTCATCTTGGCTGGTTCCCTCACCCCCAAAGGTATAAAAGACAACGAAGAGACCGGGAACCATTCATCGATCCAACGAACATTCTCGCGAGAAGGAACGCCATTATCGCCGTCTATCGTAAAATCCGGGGTTTCGTCCTCGACGGGATTTCGCCGAGAATACCGCGAAGTTTGGTCGCAAACTTGGGTAAAACTTCGTTAACTTTCCAAAGAAGTAACAAGTCAGTGTTAAAGGTTATTTTGAGTGGTGGAAATGTTGAAATGTTGCTGGCATAAAGGAGTGGTATTTGATGATCATTGTGTTGTGACCACGAAATTGTTCGTAGACCAAGTCCAAGACAATGTCAATGCAGTGCCAGTGCAGTGTGTGAAGCGTCGGCGACTGAGCTGCATGCTGAAGTACACGTATGAAGTAGGGGGAATGCATGGGCGCGCGCAATCGGTCGGTCTGCGCGATTGGCCAATCGCGTTGCGCGACTTGTCGATTCTGTAGGATATCTCGGACTTTACTTACCTTTAACATGTTTTAAAATAAAAATCCTCCAGACTTGTGAATTAGAAAGAAAAGGTCATGAAGGTGTTCGACTGGTGGCAGCGGAATCCATGGATGATGGAAACATGTCATGAATGTTGCAACCTGATGATGATGCCACTTTTTTCTTCATATTATTAAGCCTATCATCTCAATGAATGAAGCCGCCCTCAGTCATTGCAAAAATGATGATAAAGGTCATGAATCTGGGACTGAGAAACATTTCCAATTTGGGAAATACTTTGAAAATTATCTGGACTCTCCATAGACTTTGTACACAACTGTTGAAGTGGCGTCAGGTTGCAACATTTTTTCCGAATCCACGATAGCTTCATGAACGACTGATAACGTAACGCGATCGACCGATGGCGCAGAGCGAACGAACGCGCCCAGAATTAACAGCAGTTAGGCCATGATGTAGGTGGTAGGCCGGTTGGCGAATTTTTATGGCAAAGTTTCTCATTTTTTGACCGATACATTTAATGTTAAGAATGTACTGTCATTGACTGTAGGCCAAAGAACTAGGCTTAGGTTGGTTTGAATTTGCAACCTAATGTATTGTTTCGAAAATATTGTAAATTGTGTAGGCCTTTGACTGGTTTTTGAAAACGCAGTCATTACAGCAGTTGATCGTCTGGATCCCTGGCCTGAAATGCCTGACAATATTCAATGTTGGGATCTTTGGCTCATGGAACCAGGCTATCAACCGAATGGTTCTCGGACTTTGTTTGCCTTTTTAAAAAAATCTTCCAAAGCCACGAATTACTAAGAAAACAAATGAAATCAACTTCAATAAAAAGTTGAATTAGGCCTATACATTTTATAATTCGTATTTAAATCATGTTTAAAATCAAGGTAAAATGAGACGCATCTCTTGGACTGTGGCATTGAAAAACCAATCACCATTGATAAGCCTTATCGCAAATACCGTTTGAGTGAATTTTAACAATAGATTTAAACAAGGAAGAGAAAAGGCACAGATATTGCCCTTTTTTTCCATTCCCACAGTGTGTTGGAGCCATTGTGCAAAATCACTCGAGTGATACTTGCCATAAGGTCTATGATTCAAGTTTGCTCAGATAAATGGCAGAAGAGACACCCCACTGGAAAAGTTATCGTATCCCTGATTCTCCATACATTTATTTCTCACAGAGACTGCAGAAAGACGTCTGATCCGTTCCACATGAAGAATGGCATCAATAAAAGCAGGGGAGACAAGTGATGAAAGCATACTCCAAATGGATGTCGAGGAGATACCAGAGGTTCCAACCATTCTCAACCAAGGTTAATACTGCTCCTGGAAATTTTACCCTAACCCCCCCAAATCCTTAAGTTTTGTGTTTTTCCCCCTAAAAATCCTTCAAAATGTTTTTGGGTGATCGAGGAAGATATAGACTTGTGATGGCCTCGTGAGGACTTTTGCTGGACTGTACTTCAACACTTCTAAGTTGCAGAGCGGGGGATATGTGGGGGGAGTTTTGTTTAAGAAGGGAATGAAAGAAAAATGGCTTATTTCATTTCCGATTTTTTATTCCTGCTTTTTGTACAGGGAACCTTGATGATGAAGGGCCCATGAACAAGAGACAAAGACTGGACGATGAGAATGCAAGATCTGCAGGGGAGGACAGCATCAAGGTTAGATGCTTTGGATTTTCTTCTCTTCTGTAGACCGATTCTGTTCTCTCCTTTTAAAACATTCAAGACCCGCTTTTCTTTCTTTGAAGGCAATTCTCTTCAATATGAATGATACAATCTGCCGGCGATTGGACAGCATGGAGAGACAGTTGACCAGCTTGCAAAGCACCTGCATTAAGATGGGACGCAAGGTGGACAGTCTCAACTTGACCGTGTCCCGAGCCCTGGCCAAAATGAAGGACAACGAGACGGTCATGTAAGGAATGTTCTGTTTGCCATTTTCAGTCTCCAATGAGTCACCAAGGGAAACTTAGCGTAAAGTGTAAAGTGTAAAGTTGAGCAAACAAAATTTACTGGAGCAAAATTTAACCTCAGTCCTGCAGAATGGTGGTCGCAGGTTCAAATCTCGACACTTTTCAGAGTTCAGACAAACTTCGAAACCATTGTTTTTTAGAAAACAAATCATTCTTTGGATTCACTCCAGTTTCATTCTTCCAAAAATTGAGGTTTACGTGTAAAATGGTTTTGGTTGTTCAAATAATAGTAAAAATGTATTCACATCAAGGAAAACACTTCCAGAGTCGGGCCAAACCAAAAACTATTAAGGAGCAAATCAGGCCATTCCCAAATAGACTTTGATTTCAGACAAAACTTTATGTATTACTTTGCCATTGACTAGAAGACTCTTTGAGTTGTTTGGAAAGACCGCGACAGTCGGTCTTTTAATGTAGTCGCTTTTAACTGTTTCAAAGGTTCAACTTGTTCACTACTTACTCAAATTTCTTTTGGTAAATTTGGTTTTGTGCAACTCTGATGTGCCAGTCTGCAATGGTATAACTTGACATTATGATTAGCTCCTGTAACCATATTTTGTATCATTATGAATAAGCATAACCCAATAGTTGATGTGTTTGCCTTTTCATTGCAGCGAAACTAATGGGGATCTCTCTCTTAATAATGCAGTTGTCGTCGGGATACCATCAGAGGGTAGGTAACCATTTCATTGCTGTATTTTTTTCATAATTGTCATGCTTGTTTCTTAAAAAAAAAAAAAAATTCAATTTATCTGAAATTGTTGTAAACACATACAAAGTGTAGGGCCACCGATTTTCAATTTCTTAAATGTGGGTTTTCCATTTCAGGAAATCATAAATTCCATTTCAACCATAAATTTATGAAAGCAGTTTCTTGGTTCATCATATATTTATGTTATGTTGCGGATGTTCACTGAAAATGACTGATTCAAGTTTCTGTCCAAAATATTGCTAAAGAATTAGGGTCTGCAGTTGTAATTGAAAAACTACAGTCTAAAGCTGTATATTATGCTTGCAACCAAAAACTATTACATAAATTATTTAATTTCCAATGCTGATATCTCTTTGTGCAGACACTACGTTTCCCAAAAAGATTTGAAGGTGAGCTTTTTTGTTTAATCCCTTCCGTTTTCTGCCCAAAAAAAATCGGTGGCAGTGAATGTTTCAGTGTTTTTGTTTTTTTTACTTCACAGAGGAACATAAGGAGATTTCATCTCCCAAAGCGTCTCGACTTCAGAGAAACCTCAATCGGAATGTGACCCTGATCACGCTGAATACAGAAGGTAAGATCCAGCACCAGACTCACGAAAGGCTTTTTTGGTTTGGCAAAGGATCATTCCTCAATAGATTCTTGGCATGGCAGCCATCTTTGCTTTTGTTCCATAGAGGTACGAGTAGACCTTAAAAGATAGCAAAGAGTCTGTAACCTGAATTCCAACACTGTGAAAGCAATGACATATTTGTATGTATTTCCTGTAAATTTTACTTCCATTTTACCTCTACATTTAAGCAAAATTGGCAATACTGAATTAGGATATTACCTCAATTTACAAAATTTACTTCTAATTTCCAAAATCTACCTCTAATTCAAAGAGCTGTCGTAAAAACTGATTGACACTTGTTTGATAGATGTGTTAATCAGTGCTTTAACCCTAACGTCCTAGCCATTAATAAAAGAACTGAGTACTACAGAATACTATGAGTGTTGTGCACACTTTTATGCTGAAGTTTTTCATGCTACAGTTTACTACAAGTAGTATTTTGTACCTTTAGGTGAGGTTAGGGTTAATTGTGTATGTGAGTGGCTACTCAAAGTTTTGGGACAAAGACAAGCTGACCCCCCCCCCCCCTTCTGAAAAAAGGACCTATCTGTGGTCATTCTCAAGACCGCAGAGGACATGGTGTGTACTAGTGCCCTCACTGCTAGTCAATATATGTGTACTACACCACAGTAGATTCAATATTTGGGACAATCTTTAAGAAGAATGATTTTTAATGTTTCTTCTCAGATGACTTTCCAAATGGTTCCTGGTTGGGAGATGAGGCCAATTTAGAGTGCCGAGTCAGATGTGGCATATCACCCACGTAAGTCCTGTCTTGAACCTTCCCGAAAGGGATAAAATGTCCAAAAACAATGTGCCAATTTTGATCTCCTGTGCTGTATCTCTGGCCAATTTTTGATGGCTTTCAATTGTTACTCTTTTGCTAATTCTGGAGTGAATAGGGATGTCATTATGGGCAATTCTGCTGTCCAGCACAGGTGCTGATCTGGAGGAATTTGGAGGGCATGAGGAGTTTTCTACTGACTTTGGTCTGTTTTTTTTGGCAATGAGTTCTGTCCCCCTAAGGCTGCCCACAGGTCGACCCGCGATTTGCTTGCCCCGCGACGGAACTGTCGGCATCAAGCAGAAAAGTAATGCTCAGGTTACAAAACCCTTACTTTTGATTGATTGATTGACGTTTTACTTTACCAGGGTAGCCCCTTCAGTTATCTGAGAACTGTTCTCCCTGGGGGCCCTGGTCTGTTTATTGCCAGTGAGTTCTGAAATCTGAACATAAGTGTAGGTACTGTGGTATACATTTAAAGACAGTGCATTGGAGAGTGTGGTAGAGCAACAGTTAATTAAACTGTTTTGATTGCATTGCCCCCCCCCCCCCCCCCAGTGACATGCTGCACGTGATGCAGACCTCCAAAACGCCGGAGAAGTGCGCCCTCAAGCTGCTAGACTTCCTCTTTGATCGCGAGACGCAGGCCACATCCAACTTGTCCGGAACGGGCAAGCACGGCAAGAGGCAGCTCGACCCGCTCATGATCTACGGACTCAGATGTGAGTTGTAATCATTTGGAACGACTTCACAGTCTAGTTAATAGAAAAATGAATGCATGAAGTTTGTCTCACTAAAACCAGAGTCCATTTTTGTGTCGACTGGAGTCGCTCCAAATGTTTTTCATTTGGCGCCACTCTGGAATGCTTGTCTCAAACAGTGAGGAATTCAGGGTGAAATTTGTCAGGATTTTTCCTGATTTTAGGATTTTTTGTCGGGACTTTTCCTGATGTCAGGAATCCCTTTTGAAACCTGGAATATCCAGAGCTTTTACCATTAAGGTGTTTTGGGGTATTGTAAGCGGTGCCTCTAGGCAGATACAAACACATACCATATACCCTACATTGCTGTGGGACCCTCGGCTACCCTCAAACCCTCAGTCGATTATTCCGTGGATTTTAAATTTCCCCCCCCCAATTTCACCCCTAGAATTTGCCTCTTCAGGACAAACTTTTGTAATGTGGAACCCTTCTAGTGATTTTTGTTTCTATTTTTTCCCCCCCCCAAAGGTCACCTCATCAAACATTTTGCCATCTCTGACCCAGAGTGGCACCGCATCCGGATGAACATCGACTCCAAGTGCCGCACCGCCTTCCGCCGCAAGCAACGGGGCTTGCCCCTGACTGTCAAGGCATTCGGTTACAAGACGGGCACGCCGGAGAATGACCAGATGATTGCCTACAGGGTGAGTCTTAAGAGCTTAAAGGGAAAATACAACATTTGCAAACATCAAAAAATAAAACTACCAAATCATTTTGAAATACCTTGCTGGACTGTTAGTGAATGACAGTGTAAAGCATCCTGTAAAATCATGGCACCTGGTATACTGTCATTTTCAAGAAAAGTGGTATTTTTGTATCAATTTTCAACGCTGATCTGCCGACCAGCGTTGGAAAAAACTGGCTTTTTTTCAAATACTGGCCCCAATTGACCATCGCACTTGTTTGCAATCGATTACACACCTATGAACGGGTACAAGCCAGCTAGACTGGTTCCCTGACCTTACAATTCCCCATTGTATGTAAACTTCTCTGTTTCTTCTTATATGGAGTCAGGGAACCAGACTACAGGAAAATGATTGTTTTTCTTGGTTTTTATAGCATATTCAAACCCTAAACCTCTAAAAAGTCAGTGTAACTATATTTGCTATATATTTCCACCCCCCCAATTCCATCCATTTCTGAAATTACAGCAAAAGCAAATGATGTTTATTCCCTTTAATCGATGGATGTATCGATTATTTGGTTTCGATTTTGAAAAATGGAACCATTAATGTCGGACACACTTTTTGGACAATTAAACAGTGTGCATAATAAACGTTGGAATCATAAAGCGGGTTTTAACTCAGTTAGTTACTGTAATGATTTTTGTAACAACAAAAACTATTCGTCCAACTTTTTTGCTGTAGAAGAAATCGGCTTGATACACCATGGTGTTGGACGTACACAGACAAATTAATTTTCTTTTTAGCACTTAATTATTAATTTTCAGTTAAAAGCAACAGCTGAACTGTTGAACATTGTTTGAAATAAACTATATTTCACTAAAATACAGATAATAAACTTCAGAATGCTATTCATGTTTCATTTGTGGCATTTGGATAATTTCCTTTTTGAAGGTTCGTAATTCCTTGCAATTGCCCAATTTCTTGTTTTGATACTCCCTAACAGTATGTAGACAGTCAGGACGCCATGAATGACTCTCACAGCTCAGACGAGGGCAGTAACCCCCGCCCCACCCAGGTGCACGTGGAGCTGGCAATGGACAACACCCACTTAGCAGAACTCCCCCAAGAGGAGGGGCAAGAGAACCATGAGGGTGGCAACATCCTCAAAAAGGTAACGCCATTTTAAACTGGTATTCCAAAGTCTCGCCGAAGAAAAGAGTATTGGGGCTCAGGTCACCCCAAATACATTTTGTTTTCAGACTGGCAAGTTTTATTAGACTGGCAAATTAATGATGACAACAATCGATCTTTGGACCCAGCAAACTCCTAACTGTTTCATGCTGAACGTTTATGTATTTAATTCAAATCTTTGGTATAGTTTGGGTTTGACAAGACTCTCGGATGGCCTTCTGAAATGAATGCAAGGTTCACTGGGACTGTTGAACTGATGAGGGCGATCAACAACAATCTGATCATCAGAATTAGGGTGGAACAGGTCTAAAAATGTCAACATAAAGGCCATAACCCCCCCCCCCCCCATGAAATCTTTTTTTTTAAATCTCAATTTAGGCAGGCACTGCGTACACCACCATCTTTTCCTCAAACAAATTTGGTTAGAGTGGTCAGAAATTGCCTCAGATCGCACCACAGAATTGTTGGGGTCCCTTAAGCGCTTAGTGGGCACCGAAACCAATGCTGTAAATTTTGGACCTACTTTTTCGGTCCCCCCGAAAAATGTTGTTCTGGATCCGCCCTTGTAGTTGAGCTGCACTTTTACGGTGGTAGTGGCAGAATCTGCAAAGATGGTTATAAAGCTCATAAAACCAGCTGATACGTCAGATTCAGACTAACCAGCCGACAACTGCAAGCTTGGTGGTCGGTTGTGGGTTCGAATCCCAGCCGAGTAAAGCTTGTGAGCTTTTCTTGCAAGCTCTCGTATATGAAATTACATAGGTTAAGGGCAAAACCCAATATATAAAAAAATCCGACATTTTTGGGTAGGCACCGAATATCTATCCTAGTCTTAATAACACAAGTTATTGAAAGATGGAATTTTTGCGTCGGGGTGATATAAATCAAATTAAGTTTTGCCCTTCAGAAAGTAGGAGGTCGTGGGTTCGAGTCCCACCCGAGTGATTTTTTCCAACTTTCACTCTGGAGGTATACAACTTTCACTCTGAATATACAGTGTTTAAAACGTCGGTGAGGGGCAAAACCTAATTTGACAAGTTATTGAATTGTTAAAGTTGCATCCTTTCTCAATCATTGTAAAGGTACGGATCCCACAGGATAGCATCCACTTGCAGGAAGGCCAGATCAACATCACCCAATCTGGTCAGATTCAGATAGCAGTGGTCGAGGAGAACGGCACTGCGGGAACCACCCTGTTACTCCAGCAGGACACGACGGTCCGGGATCATCACCACCATCACTCCAATGAGGAGGAAGTTGTCGCTGAGGTCGGGGGTCAAGATGAGAGGTTGGGGGTCAAAGATGAGACGCACTGATTCAGGGTGACATCGGTGGAGAAAAAGCTGCCCTAGAAACTTCAGAACCCGAGACTGATTCGTCAAGATTGGATTTGGATTTTAGTTCCTTAACCCCAACTCCCTAGGCATTTTTGCTAGGATGCAACCTCAATCCTGCCAAATCCTCCATTATTTTTTGAATGTGGTCCTTGGAGGGGTGACCACTGCTTCAATCCTGCAAAATGCTCCAGCAATCACTGTCAATATGTTGAGGCAGAGCCAGTGACATCCTTGGGCAGTGCGGAGGATTTCAAGTACAATCTAGGCCTAACGCAAGGTTCCTGCCCAAGACCCTGAAGTTGACACAGTGCATCCTCCAAAATCAGCCACGCATTTTTTGCCAATCCTGCAAAATCCTCCATTTTACAAGGAGGATTTTGGAGGAGATGGGAAGGTTAGGGTTAATGCTGCCAGTCCTGATTCCCGACAAGCACAATCAAGCAGTCACAGGGGTAGAAGGGGCTAGCAACATCTGTCAGATTCAAATCCAGTCTTGGAAATTTTGACCGAGAAATTCTGAACATATCTGAAGTGCGCTACATTCAAGCTAATCTGCACGCAAGGTGTGTGCTTCGAATTTCTGGGGTCCAAGTGCAAAAGTTTCACAGACTGGATGTGATTTGTTTGGTTAATAGCACCCTCGACTGCCGTGGGTGCTTGACTGCGCTTCTCAGGCACCAACAGCATTAAGGGAACAAACATTGAAATTCAGTCTTAGACCAAAACGTTGGCAAAAGTATTCGGAACTTTGTCTTTGCTACATGAACGTGCAGGAATGTGTATGCAATTTGTTGAATATGCATGGTCTGAAATATACTATAGAAGACTCTTACAGCATTATACAGAGTTGTAAATGAGTAAATGAGTACTAGTCGTCACAAGCCACTCACAAGTTACTCACAAGTCGGACGCGTCAGCCAGTCTCAAGTCAATTGACAACTGCTGTTCCAGTGCCAAGCTGCATCTGAAGCTCTCATTTTGTATCCATCGTATATGGCTGTGTCTGTAGCAGGCCTCCAGAGCTATGACTCCATCTGTTGTGAGCATGTTCCCATGTAGTTGGGGAGAATGCAAATGAAAAGAGGCAGTACCTTGAGGTTGAACCCCCAGTCAACCTGTAAAACCTCATGGTAAACCTCGCAGTAAACCTCGGGTAAACCTCGTGGTAAACCGCGCAGTAAACCTCGGGTAAACCTCGTGGTAAACCTCGCTGTAAACCTTGCGGTAAACCTCAAGTTACCACATGTTTAATTCTGCATTCTCCCCTAGTGACGGAAGCTCTAGACAAGAGATTTTGGCACGGCCTACTCGTAACCCGACTTTTATTTTGACTTGGATGCAATTTGCGATTCTTGCAATTTCTCTCGGTGATCTTGTGACGTTAAAACTATTTTAAATATTGTGCCTTTTGTCTTGTATACTTTGAGTCAAGTACAGACAATCCATGTTAAAATATACTCTCCGATATGCAACGTATTTATTGCTATTTTTTGTAAATAGCCTACTTGGAATTTTTCTTTGTATGCATATGCCTAATTCACCAGTTATATTTATTGTGTATGCATTGAAAATTGGATTGGTTTAACAAACTTTGTTAATTTCGGAAGCTTTTGAACAAAATTCTGAAAATAATATACATTTTGTAGATTGATAAAATAAAAGAATAATGGGGGTTACGAAAATAAAGAAATGGTTGCAAAATGTATTTTCAATTCTTGCGAAATTTTCGTGTAACTTTTCATTGAATATTGATTTCTCCTTTTAGTTGTGCTGGTATACTTTCTCTGTCTTCATTCTCTGTATTTCCACGCAATAAATTGTATTTGTACAGATTTACACTGTATATGAACATTAATATGACGCATTCATTCATGTGTACATGTATTGAATTAGTAAATCCAAACGTGTACGATATATTTGGAGTAATTTTGTAAATAGTAAACAGTTTCTCGAAATAAATAAAACTGAGACGACACTTCAGTTGACCAAAAAGCTTGATTCCTACTGATTTCAAATCATTTGATTAATAACACCACTGTATCAAGCGTAAAATGAAAGTCAAGTTCCAAGCCATGTCACTGCAAAACTAATTGCCACGTTTCTTTCTCCAAGCACTTTGGGACAGTCGTGGAATACAGAAAATAGTATTTTGTTCTTCAGCTTTTAAAAAAATCCAAATCTTATCAACTTTCTCTGTCAAGAAACTTTCTCGATACCCTTTTAAAAAAAACAAATTAACAATGATGATTGAACGTTTTTGGCATATCATAAATGGTTTTCGAAATGCTGAAAATGTAATCTCTTGGTAAGATTTTCAAATACAACATGAACATGTAATTATAATTTTGAAATTATGTACTGTGGCAGTTGTGAAATTATATAGAACACTTTTCACTGACAATAATGTATTATAACATTGTTATGTACCTAGGGTAATAACTGGAAATAGATCAGAAACCATGATCTATTTGAAATTGGGCCTGTCCATTCCCTATCACAGCAGCTGCAGCATTCTGAATAGCTTCAATCGTCGCACGCTGTCCCTGCATCAACTGAACATCAGCCTCCTGAACGTTGTCTTGGAAGGAGGTCAACTGGTCAATGTTGGCGTAGACGTACGGCTCACACAGCACATAGCTGATGGATTGGGCAGGGGAGTCTGATTGTGCGTCCTGCGTGATGCTTGCTTGGAGAGTGATCTGGGTGGTCACTGCAGCGTGGTCCGTCAGACGGTGCCGCTCCAGGATCTTGGGTCTCATGAAGCCTCTGTTGCAGTCCACGCAGCGGAAGGGGAACTCTCTGGTGTGGAGTATCTCATGATCTTTCAGGTTATCCTTGCGGTAGAAGCCCTTGGTGCAGTACTGGCACTTGAAGGGGTACGAGACCAGATGGGTCTTGTAGTGGTCTGCAAGTTTATCCTTGCGAGAGAAAGCCTTGTCGCAGCCGGGCCAGTCGCAGGTATAAGGCTTCGTGGCCGAGTGTACAGTCACCATGTGCCTGTTCATCTTGTTCCGGAAGCTGAAGCATTTGGCACAGTTGGGGCACTGGTAGGGCCGGATGTTGTTGTGGGAGAAGGTATGCTTGTTGAGGTCCCTTTTGGTCTTGAAGTTCTGGCCACAGACTTCACAGAGGTAGGCTCGCTCTGCTTGGTGGGTGACCATGTGCATTCGGAGCTGCCGCTTGCTGACTTGGATCTTGCCACAGACGTTACAAGGGTGGATGTGGCTCTCTCGTTTCATGTGCCTGTCCAGGCTGCCCTGGCTGGGGAACTTGACCCAGCACTTGCTGCACTTGTGGCTCATGTGTTTGTAATAGTCTCTCATCTTCTCCTTGCGCAGGTTGTCCATGGTCTCCGGTGTGATCAGCCGGCGCTTCACGCAGCCCCGGCAGCCGCACCGGAACATGTTCTCTGTCGAGTGAGAAGCCACGTGGGTCTTAAAGTCCTCCAGCTTGGCGAAGATCAACTTACAGGATGTCTCCCGGCACTGGAAGCGCTTGACCAAACTGTGCACCTGAAGCATGTGCTTGGGAAGGCTGGTGCGACTGAACCAGGTGTAGCAAATCTTGCACTTTAGATCCCTAGGGTTCAGCTTTTTGTCGCCTCCATCAATGCACTTTGGCTCCTGCTCGACCGAGGGAGACACATGAGTTTCCCCAGTGTCTGTATCAGCTCCTTCGGGTAACAATGAAACACCAGACATCTCAGATTTCTGCAAGTCTTGTTCTGCATGTCTTGAACTTCCTGAAGCCAGTAGCAGTTGGTTCTGTTGTAGTAGATTACTCTCACCTTGGATTTGGGTGATCAGGTCCAAAGTATCAAGATCCACAGTGGTAGCATAGTCAACTTTATCGGCATCACTCTGAATGGAGTTAGAATCCATGGGAACCAGTGGAGGGGTGATGTCTATGCATGATGCTGCTGCTTCAGTTGTAACTGTGGCTTCTGGTTTAGATCCTGTGGATTTATCATCAAGCCAGCTAGCCTGAGTTTTCACCCATAATTTGTGGTTGTCCACATGGACTGTGTGGTCGTAGGACTCTCTGGATTTGTGCTGGCACAGAGGGCAGATATAACGGTTCTTATTGACGCACCGTACCTGATGACGCTTCAGTCCTTGCTGGCACATCTTCTTGTTGCACTCTGGGCATTTCACTTGTGCTTTGCCAGAAGCATTATTTGTTTCTTGCCCATCCTCCATTTCATGTTCTTCATCATCCTCTGCTTCTTCTTGATGATTATCATCAACATCACAACTGTTAATATCGTCACTAAACACATCCTGCTCTATTGTTACAACATCTTCTTTTGGTCTCCTAAGTTGTTTTCGCCCCCTCTGTGTTTTCGGTTTGCTTTCTGACTGTGTGGTCTTAATCGAGATGGTTTCTGAAACCTTGGCTACTTTCTGGGCCTTGTTGCTATGACTGCTATGTATATGAGCAGTCAAGCCTTTGGCAGTGGTTGTTTGAAAGCCACATCGAGAACACTTACGCCGTCTTCCAGAAGGAAAATCTGTTGCTTTGGAAGCTGATGACGTCCCCTTGTCCCGGTGGTGTTTCCTGATGTGGGCGGCACACAGGGTTTTGCTGTTGAAGGAAACACCGCAGTGAGGACAGCATATGGGCTTGCACCTTTTTCCAGCGAGTCTCTTGGGTGGCCTGCCCCTGCCCCGCCTTTTCTTGAAAGCAGATTGTCGGAGAAACTCCAGCGCGGCCCCGCTTTTCATCTTGTGGACCTCCATGTAATGGCTGAAGAGGTCGTCACCATTGGTCATAGTCTCTGTGCAAAACTTACACATCACGACCTCAGTGGTATCCACATGTTCTGCTGGGATTTTCGACAGAAAAGATGATTCTGCCTGCACTTCTTGCCTTTCTGTGCTTCCATCCTTGCTCTCTGTACCTCTGGGCAGCCGCTGTCTTCCCGATCTTTGCTTTTGTCTTGGGCGCTCTTCCATACTGCATGCAACACTTCCAGACCCATTGTTTCTTTCTCCTGGTATAGCTTTTTGCCCGAGTCCAGCACCAGCCTGGATTGAATCTTCCTCCCCGAGCGATTCACCTTCAGCGGGAACTGTAAGCACCGTTTCACTAGTAATGTCCTCACTTTCTCTCGATGTGCTTGGGATGTCAGACAAATCAGACCTTGGCATCTCTTGGGCAGGTAAATTGTCAGCAGTATCACCATCAACACTGCTTTGGTTTACTGTGCCTGCACTTGCTGCGGGGAGATTTGCATTTTGACTAGATGTCAAAATCCTCTCAAAGACATGCATCAACGATTGACCGTCTTGAGGCTCTGAGCCTCCCGAGGATATATCCAACTGAACCACCTGCTGCCCTCCCTGGAGCATAGTGAGGACATCCTGAAGTCTTGCAACGGAGGACTGAGGACTGTACTCTGGATCGCTGGCTGCAAGAACTGGATTTAGACCACTTTCTTGAGCGTCCATGGACGATGTCGATTCCTGAATAGTTTCTTGGATACTGTCCTCTGCTACTCGTCCTGCAAAAAAATAATGAAAACATACATGTTTATTAAACAACAGTGACTGTCTTAAATACAGTCATAATATTTAGGAACACAGATGAATTGTTTATAAACTTGTAAGAAATAAGTGACATCCACTACAAATATTTCAACTTCAACCATTATTTACCAATATTTCAACCATTATTTAAATGTTGCTCAAATTGTATTCATCATTTTAAAGCTGCCTTTTGTCATACAAATTAATACCTTTAATTTATAATGAGTAATTTTTGAAATGAAACTTCACTGTATCGACTACTTCTGGTTCTTTGTTAGGTCCAACGTGTGCTGCTGAAAGTTGAGTCATTAAAATACATGTACTACCTCGTGAAAGTAGCTCAAGACAAGTACTCAACATGGAAGAATTAAACAATCACATGTACATGTATGTTCGGATCAGGATACAAACTGGCATGCTAGTGAACATCCCCCAGGTTGAAAATTGGATTGATTGATGACAGAACAATTGATGAAATCAGCATACATGTAATTCCTTTCAGTCTTTGCTAATGACAAGTTGATACTTTGCCTCAAATATCACAGTGTATTATTTTATTTCCATCTAATAAAAGCAATTAATTCCAAAGTCAAAGTTTAAGTAAACAAGCTAAATACCCTGTTACCGCCTCGCAAATGCTTTGTATCAACATTCTCACCAGATAAGCTGATTGGCATTCCAGAGGGTGGAGACTGTTTCTGCTGTTGGCTTTCCATGGGGCGATGCCTGGCCTTGCGACATGACTGGCTTTTCTTGTGCTCCATGAAACTCTCCATACTGGAGAAGTTCTCCTTGCAGCGACCGCAGGAGAAGACATCCTCCTCATCTGAGTATGAAGGATGAAGAAAAGATTGATGAAACCCTTTTGTATTTTTTCTATGGCAGTTTTATGGAGGCTGCGGACAGACCAAAATGCAACCGTGTACAGTATTATGAAAACTGCCCTCTAAAATGCCAGATAACGTCCAACCCATTAACGTCCATTTTTTTCCACAGCTGTTTGAAAATTGCTGCAGAGCTCAAGTATCCCCAATTATGGTGTACCACTGCATGCTTCTATGTCTACTTGTTTTGTTTCATGCGGGATCCATTAAGGATATCTCAGCGCTGAAGAATATGTGTGGTTACTTTTCGTCGTACATATGTACGTACGTAATTTTTCTGCTTTTACAGGAATTCGGTGAACTACTCGTGAGTAATTTTTTTTGCAAGTACTCGAGTAAAAAAAAAACACTACTTGCCCAGGCCTAGTGATGACTGAATTGATGATAAACAATATAAGACTCACATGGACACTGAATACATGTACATGTATAAAACTATGCAGCGCGCTTGCGACACTCCCAAAAACACTGCTGTCCCTTTTATTGCGTGACTTATTATACACACTGTACCTGATGAATCTTGATCCATGATGAACACAGTGTCGTGGGTCAAATGTGTCACAAGCCCAGAAGGGAAGATCTTGGACAAGCTTCAATACTGAAGACTCCGAGAGCTGAAAATATTTACAACGAAAAATACCTCGTCAGTTACAAATCCAAATTAGGGGGATGGATGGAAGGGCTGAAGGTTTCTTTTTTTTTGTCCAGGATTTTTTATGGGGATGAAGGAAAGATTGTTTAAGTGTTGAGGTTAATAACATGACTAGAGGCAGTGAAACGAGACTTGCAATAAAAGGAAACTTGATATGTATTTACAATGAACATGCAAAAGTTGATGTTGGTGGGACTGAAGACGACTTGTTACTGATCCTATCCATTCCAGGAATAGGATTACTTCACTGCAAATTAATGGTTAGGCCAAAAAAAAAGTAGTTCTGCTGCAGATTACATGGCATTCGAGAATAGGGTAGGCAGATAGGGAATTTTTTGTGTGTATGATCATAGGGAGGTGTCTGCGTGTAGTCAAGGGTAAAAGGTAGAAATTGATGGTTATTGGTTGGTGTTTTTTTTCCTCATTTTTCCCATAAAAATATTAGGGTAGGGGCTGTCAGAATAGGGTAGGTAGGGAATCCGGAAGCAGACGTAGGTTTTTTTGGCCTTACATAGCTGATCTCTGATTCAAATGTTTTTTTTTTATACAAACAAGCTTCAAAAGTACAAAAGATAAGACTTTCAACTCTTATTCAAAAGGATGGTTGGATTGGTAAAATTAATTTTTTTTAGAGAGTTTCACTTTCACATAAACAAAAGTTTAGAACTTTCAATTTTAGTGAGTTTATAAAGACAGTGCTGAAAAAGAGTACATATAAATTAAAACTACTTTACCAAAAAAATCTGATTTGAAGGGAATAAAATCCAATTCTGGTTACTTCAAAACACTAGGGCTAAAGAAACTAGGATAATAAACATCAACTAGCATAACTAGGCCTGCTAGTTAATTAGTTGTTGTGCTGTTTGTTGAACCATGGAGCTATTAAACACAGGGTTGCACATAATGAGACCAAAAAAATCAACCATGATGCATATTAAATGCCATATGCTAACATGTTTTCATCTGTTCATCATGTATGTAGGCCCACTTTCCAGCATTTTACTTTTTGTGTGAAATCTAGCTCTTAAAATGGACGTTCCAAAGTAAAAACTTTCCCATACAAAACCCCTCCCCTACTCAAAACGAAGCATCTTGGTAGCGAAAACAACATTTGGCATAAAAGTTACAACGCGACTTTCTACAAAACGGGACTGGCACCCCCATTTCTTACTGCGCCCTTTGACCGGGGGGAACCGTCGCCAAAACAAAACGGGCTAAATGACCGCAAACATTATCTTCCCAAATCACCATTTGCTATGAAAATTTTGCACCAAAGGTAATGCAGAGATACTCACATTGTCTCACTAATTATGCTGCAAAAACTGAATGATGTACTTAGGGAGAATATGAGCAAAAATTGTACAAACCTTGGAGGATACGAAACATTGCCACTGCGTGAAATGCAAAATGGCGTCCAAACGTTATCGGACGTGGGCGCCCTTTATCAACTCGTCGCAGTGGCGGCGTCATCCATTACAGAGACAGGGGTGTGGTGTCGCATTGTCAAAAAACTCCGTTTGTATGCTAATTTGTAACGGTCGATTGTGTGCGGTGAATATAACAGAAACCTTAAATATTAATAAGAGACAAGCAGTCAAAACTGAAACCAAGTTTGTTCTCATTTGAAAGAAAGGCATGTGGTTTAAGACGTAGTTTTGGTTGGCCGTCGAGAAAATTATAAGGACACGCGAAAATGAAGAATAGGGTCATGTTGTCCTTTTTAATAAAATGAGAAACATAAAAAAAAAAATATTCACTAATTTTTTTTAATTTTTTATTTCATAAGCTTTTATTTCAACCTCATTCCCGAAAATGTACACAATATATAAGCTTGGTTATGGAAATACAAATTTCCAATACGCTACATCTATACGTTATCCAATTTTGCGGTGTTTGTTTTTGATAAGTGTACTAGTAACTTTTACCAGCAAATCATACACTTTACGCATGATCTCCCGTTACCCGAATATTCAACACCAGCTAGTACATTCTCCTCGGTTACAATTGTCTAGAAATTCCCTTCTCCAAAAGACTCTTTTTTATCTTAAAATTGAGTCTCAGGCAACAAGTCTTGTAGGCATAAACTTAATGGAGTTACTTTGGTTGAATAATTGACAAAATATCTTGTGCCAATAGATCGTATGCATTAAGGGCGGAGCCAGAGACCAATGCTTTTATATCGCCTGGATAGGCATAGGTAAATGTTTGAACATTCTATTGCTACCCAATCAAAATAACAAAGAACAGTCTCCGAGACACCCGCAACGCAAAAGGTCTATGGCTTGGAACTATGGAAACCTCTCTCAAATTAACATTGCAGTTTGGTAACGCAGATTTACTTCTATACACCGTCGTATTTTGAAAACGTGCCGTCTTGATAACATTCAATATATTAATTTAAACTATTCGAGAACCACCTAGTTTGTCATTACCCCTTAAACAAAATTGTTTAACTTCCCTTATCATTATTTTCTACTTCTAGCATATTGCCTCAATAACAAGGTTTGAAGATTTCTTGCACGTACATTTTCACCGACACCACAAAGTGACATTGCGACAGATAAAGTTGAAATCCACGAGAAAACCTCTTTTTTTTCTGTATCTAACATACGTGCTTTGTTGTTTGTCATTTTTTTCACTCTTAACAAATTTTGTTACGGACTTAGGTGAAATACCATTCACGCATGCGCACTGCATTAGGCCCTATGTGTAATAAGCCACTTGCAATGTGCAATGGGCAACAATCGTTCAGACATTTTGAAAACAACGAAAATCAAAACGCATTGTTCATGACCGTCACCTAATTAAAATAAACAGGTCCAACAAGACATAATTACATGATTGAGATGTTTCAGTTGCCTACGTAATGTTCCTTACATTCTTCTATTAACAAAAACACAAGCACTTGACTCCAACAGATAACGCATGAAACGAATACATATCGCAAACCACAATATTAAGAACGGTACTTAAATTAAAATAGGCCTACGTAATAGGTTGTCTCTTTGTGGTGACGGTAACGTTTGTAACAAACAAAATAAATACTTTTAAAAAGCAATTCCGAATAAATAATTTATAATAGCATCAATATACAACACCGCATCGGTTAAACGAAGACACCAAAATATTTTTTTACAACTTATCACACCATGGAGTTACCATTACAAGCTGGTATACAGACAACAGACGTGGAGTGAAGGAATGCAAAATGGTGGTCGAAACATTGTAGAAAAAAACACTTACATTTGTTACAAAAGGTTTGAAACAAAGAAAAGTTGTACAAAATACGGTGACAGATATCTAACTAAAACTCAGCAAGCAATTTATTGCGACTTGGATGAGCAAGGTTAGGGTTTTGATTTAGTTTTTTTTTCTTTCGAATGGGCAATTTTGTGGCGTCGGTTTTCGCTATGAATTTGCCCGCCCGATTTAGAGACACGAGTGGTCCAACCATCATTGACTAGCCTACGTTCCAGAGTGATGTCCGTCAGCTAGCAATGCTAAGTGCTCGATCTTGTCCTTAGCAGGTGAATCCCGATACGTTAGTGGAAATGAAGATTGAAGACAGGTTGAGACAAAGGACAAATGATCACATGGCGTCGAAGTGGAATCGATGAGATTCCTGTCTCTTTTCTCTGTCATCTTCTCTCTGCGTGACAAGAAAAAGAAATAATCACATCAAAGTATTTCTTTGGGTAACATGTTAACATAAGATGAGATATGTTAACATCAATTGAAATTTGTGCAAACTGCTTAAGAATTGGTTGAAACAATACACACATTTACAAGTTAATATATAGCAGGGCTTCACGTTTCGTTTATAATTTTTCTCCAAAAGTAACAAACAAATCCATGAACATTTAATATGTAATTTACGATTCCTAAGGAGATTACCTTTTCTAGGAGTTGCAGAATACCGACTACTAGTGCCATGAATACACAGGTTCCCACTAGCACCCCACCAGTCACTAACACCGATCGACCGGGCGTGATGATCAACACACTCTTCCATCTGTGGTTTGGGGAAAAATATTTGGTTATCCATTTGCATGGAATCGTCATATTGGAAATTTTTATTTTAAGATGCGAAGCTGTTTGGTGCTGTAATAGTCACAGAATCTTGAGGCTCTTCGTGGACAAGTTCCTTCCGCACCCGTCTCGCCTAAAATGAGGTTACCTTTAAAAACAAAATCAAACTTCCCCCAGCCGAAATCAAAACCTGGTTACGCCGGCCATGCGCCGCCGAAGAACACATTATTGACAGTGTGTGATATGGCTGATATGATTGAAAAACTCCTGGGAAGTTAAATAAAAAAACCACTTGGTACTTGCACAAAAACGAATTAGGATGCCCGAAAACGTAAACGAATATTCAGAGCAAAATCTTGGCTGCCTTAAAATGAAATTGAATGAACCCAAAATGAAAACGAAACCCCAATTTGACCACATGTGCAAAACTCACGTGAAATTGAATGGCTGATAATGAATTTGATTAGAAAAATTCAGAAATTCGCCGGGAAAACCTATAGTTGTCTCGAAAGGTCTTGTGCGTCGCAGAGTCAGTGATGTGTTGGGGCAGGCCATAATTTAATGGTCCTTGGAAAAAACCGTGCCTCTCTGGATCGAATGAATGGCAGAGCACGAATTCGTCTTTTGTCTAGATTCACTAGACCCAAATGCTTCTTTTCACGAGCACCAGTTCAACAAAGACCAGCCATCGATTTCTTTTGATGCCAAATTCCAAGTTACGTGCGAGAGTTGGTGAGCGCGCTAATTATCATGAACAGGTGTGAATCGTCCAATGAGAGGCCGTGTTCCACAACAACCCAGGGTGCATAAAAGTGCCTGAAAATTCCCGCCAAATATGCAGTCCACGCGAGGTAGCCTTTCGAATAACACCATCGCCAGTCACACTGCGCCTTTATTTCTGGAATTTTGCCGTTCATAATTCCCACTAAAACGAGAGAATAATATGGCTCGCACGAAGCAGACTGCCCGCAAGTCCACGGGAGGCAAGGCCCCTCGTAAGCAGCTCGCCACCAAGGCAGCTCGGAAGAGCGCCCCGGCGACAGGCGGCGTCAAGAAGCCCCACCGCTACAGACCAGGTAAAAATCATGTACATCTATTCCAACTATCGAAAAATATTGCATTTAACATACTCGGTGTTTGCAGTCACTTTTCAGATTGAACAAGAGTAGGGCTTTCGTGTGGAATTCAGTATCCTAACGCCAGTTTTCTTGCAAGATAACTTCAATGTTGTCTTGTAATGTACAATGTGTTGGGGTGGGGGAATTGTTAGAAAAAAATACTTAACATTTTCACGACTCGTATAATTTGTTTTTGTGCAGCCACCAAACTGTCGTCGGATACATTCTTTCCGGGTCTTTTGTTTGGTCCTATATTACAGTAGCGATTTATTCAAAATTATCTTCTGCCTGCAGTAATGGTTACAAAACTTGTTCAATATATACTCTGAAAAATTAGGCCGATCGGCGAATTTTGCCTTCAACGAAACCCTCTTGTTAAGATCCATGTCTTTTACACTGTGAATTAGTGAAACTTCATTTTATTTCAAGGTTCAAAATGACCCTTCCGTTTCAGGTACCGTGGCCCTGCGCGAGATCCGTCGCTACCAGAAAAGCACGGAGCTGCTGATCCGCAAGCTGCCCTTCCAGCGTCTGATCCGTGAGATCGCCCAGGACTTCAAGACCGAGCTCCGCTTCCAGAGCTCGGCCGTGCTGGCCTTGCAGGAGGCGGCCGAGGCGTACCTGGTCGGGCTGTTCGAGGATACCAACCTGTGCGCCATCCACGCCAAGAGGGTTACCATCATGCCCAAGGACATCCAGCTGGCTAGACGGATTCGTGGAGAGCGGGCCTAGGACTTGCGAGTGACCGGAGATGAAGGTGGATTTGCCCCCGTGGACTTGACACTTTGTCATGCCGTAAACTAACTTGGCACAGTTGAATTTTTTTGATTGGATTTTTTTGTGTATATTCAACTTAATGGAAACAATGCGGTATCCTGACGCTTTTGTCACTTTAACCTTGTCAAATGATGATACAAACTTTTGGTTGAAAAACTACTTTGGACTAAAAACAAAGTTCTAATTGTTGGGAAAAATGAAACTTTATGGTTAGCCATAGATGTTGTGCATAACAGATTGGTATCGGTTGCATATGCTTTGAAACAAATTTGCTCCAAGTTATTAAAAACTTTACAAATGGTGTTGATCTTCTTGAGGACATGTACATATCAACAAAGGGGGCGCTCAGTGCTGTATTCTTTCCCATCTTCATTGTAAAACTTGCTTGGCCCAATGGACTGCTTAATTGGGATTATTTCTAATTAACAATCTGCACGTTAATTAAAAGTTGTCCCCAGATTTCAAATCATCTTTGTGACAAAAGGTATTCACTGGAAAATTTTCAAATCAAATTTAGTTTAGATGACACCTTTCAAAATTGAAATATCGGCTTCTCAGTATTCCCACCTTATTTGACAATTGTTTTCAAACTAATGTTGTCAAACTAATGAAGTGTCGTCTGAACAAATGGTCCTATGAAACCAAGTTGGAATGCATGTAACCTTAAAGCAACTGGATGATTTTATACTTGATGAACAACCTGATGTATTGTAGAACCCTCCAGAAAATTTTAACTAAGGATTTTTGTAAATATTTATATTTTTTTTGATTAAAAACTTTTGGTGTAAAATGAATAAAGAAAGTAGTCCTGTTTTTTTTTTAAATGAGTGACATGTTTCTAACACAGGCCCACTTTTAAAAACTTTTTGAAAATGTGTTGCAATTTGATATTGAGAAAAAATACGGAAACGAGTGGCTTGATATGCAATCCAAACAAAAGGTCTTGTAGAAATCATTTACAACTGCCCCTGAAACTTGTTAAAATATTTCTTAACAATAATTTTAAAATGTGATAATTCCCATTAAACTCGCCAAAAACTGTTCAGAGTTTACCCAAACGACATGGCTGGCTGGTCTTGAACACTTTTCCAGTGTCCATTAAATTTGGACTCCCATGAAATCCGGTACTTTCATTGGTTATAAATGGTCACAATCCCCACGTAGGCATGCGCAATACTACCAGTCGGTCAGTATTTAATTGTCCTTAATTCACAAAGCACTCGCCACAGCGTGCGCCAATCTCCATTATATAGCTAGAGGGGTGTTTCGAAAAACATGAAGTGAAATTATTGAACAAAATGGTTCGGCTCGGGTAATTATCAGCATCCAGACTCCAACTGGTCTTTAACATAGTCTAACACCTCCAAGAAACGCATTTATTCCCTTATAATTTTTTGAGGGGGGGGGGGGGTTGGGGGAAGTTGTAAACATAACTAGTTTTGGAGGGCCTATTTGATATCTCTTCTGTAACTTGCAGTAGAAACATATTGGATCTGACGATTCAGATGAGCAATTTCAAGACGTTGTTGGCAACCTTAAAACCTTTGTGCAGGTCGGGGGTCAAAGTTCAAATAACGGCACTCGAATCCTACACTATACGGCCAATCCTTCATCTGAAAATGAAACGAATCATCACATCCACAAAAACAATAAATCAATTGTACAATTTCATCATATTCATGCCATTTGAAGTTTGTTCCAATTGCACCATAAATAAATACAAACACCGACTTGAAATTTGACAAAATCTACTTGAATTATTTGCTGTAAATTGACAACTTTTGAAGACTAAAAAAATGAAAAGACAGAACTTTTAGACACAATACAAGCGACTTACTCTTCTGGTGTGTCCAAAGGAAACGGTATTACTATCACTTCAGAGTTGGGAATAATGGATGTGAATGTGTGCTGCCTGGCGTTCTGAAAAGGGGAAACAAGGGCAAAATTCCACAGTTGAGCTTGTTTTCCTGCTGAAGTTGCTCCAATTTATTTCCTAATTTTCCTCTAATGCATTTTTTTCCCCGGAATTAAAAATTAATTTTTGTGCACATTATTCGCAGTCACAGTTTCCTGTCAATATGAAACCTTTAATTATTTGGAACTTTTTCTTGGAACATCTGAATCAAATCCACAAATGGTGAACTAACAGTCGGACCATTTATGTTTGTCCCAACAAAATGGCATGCATGTGTTCAGTGTTGCTGAGTTGTCGCAGCAGTACTTTTGTACCTTAAGCACATTTTAAGAATACTGAAAGTATTGTTTCGAAAAATGATACCTTGTGGAGACCCGGGTTTAATACGTAACAAAAGATTGCAAAGGTCTCTACAAGGCAATTTCTAAAGGTGAATACATCTCCACAAGGATTTCACGAAATAGATATATGGATTTTACTCAAAAATTTGGAATTTCCAAGGTATACTTGTAAGTCGCAAATGAAAGTATTTTATGTAAGGGATATTTGGTCGGAATTTCAACCCAGGAAAGTAATCCTGGTTAAAATCGGAATTTTGTACACGAGAACACAGCGATCGTCTCCACAAGGATACAAATTTCAGTATGTGTGGACGCTGTGGCTAAAATTGACCGTGCTGAACTGTGTCTTGCATCACCCCGTGTTCAACATCATATACATGTACATGTTAAAGAACTACATACTTGAGAATTCTGACTGAATTCTTAAATTTTGCAATGTTAATTTTGAGGTAACTTTAGCCCATCACCAGTGTATTGTTTATATGCACTGGATGTTACTACCTTTTCTGAGAATTTGAAGAAACATTTCACAAGCATACCTGGGCAGGTCAAAATAGTCACTCAATCCCCCAGCCCAAACAGACAACAATCAGAACAAAACAAATGCTTTTAATCATTATGTACCTCTTCTCTAGGCCTTGTAGGTGACGGCGCACTCACTGTCAGATAGTCAACATAGTTAGGGTTCTGTCCCAGACCTAACACGACGTAAGGCAGCTGCAGAGAGAAGTAGGCTGACTGGTAGAGCTGTGGAGCTGTCAAAAGCACAAAAAGGACGCAGAAAAATAATTTAAAAAAATGTTTTTAAATATTGCTTCCAGTAGACCACAACACAGGTGCGATCAAAAAATTGCATAAATAGTGATTTTCTAAGCCAAAAAAAACCAAACACCCTAACAGATCAAATTAGCAAACAAATTCACAGGGAATATTTTTCGCACAAAACATAAAAACAGTCAAATTGTTTGCCGACCTTTAAGTGGTAGACTATTGTCCTCTGACTGATTGACTGAATCACTGACATTATTATTTAGTTTACTGCAAAACATTTGTCCTCGTGGCAAATGAAAATATAGCAATGAAAACTGTCAAAACCTGGAAAAGCATAGATTGCAAACATCCGCATTTAACAAGGACAAGCAAAACATCAACACATCCGAGCACTAACAAAATTACAAAAGTGTCAATAAATCAATTAAAAACAGCGCATTACAGAAGATACAATTTAAAAATATTAACAATATCATTATTACCAACAACTTCAGAGAAAATGTTGCAAGTTTAATCACAGTTTACGTCCGGACAATTTGATATTGTATTGAAAAGAGGATGTTCTATGTTGGGTGACCTGACTGACTGACTTGACCGAGTCACTGAATACAAATGATGTCATGAACTCAGACATTTGATTTTAGCTTGACTTCCCATGTTATAATGTAAATAAAACCCGATGAAATGAAATTTTTTTCTAACTACACTTTTTCACTTAATCTACTGTTTCAAAAACTGGTTCCCTGTAGAAGTTATTTACATACCGGCACCGTGCTGCAGTACACCAGTTGAGCTGGTTGTCGTGTAATGTATAAATGGCCCGGGCTGGTTCACACCATAAGGCTGAAAAAAATACTAAAATAAGTAAATGATGATAACAATCATGAATAAACAAATTTAAACACAAACAATATGTTTTGGTTTGGCAATATGCCAATATATTAACATGTTGTGCTTGATAAGTTCAATTCATGTATACTACAATGGATGTACTGAGGAAATACAGGGTGAGTAAAAAACACCGAAACCCAAATGTCGGGACTGTTGTTTTATTGAAGTTCTGCATGTAGCACTTTTAAAATCTAGGATATGAAAGCCCAATTTATAAGCTTTCTTTTAGTACAAGAATCATTCAAATCACTCTTGTACTTTTCAAGTTACAGAATTTTAAGCACAAGCACCGTTTTAAAGTTTTATCCACGGATCACAAAAAATGTGTGCGTTCTTTTAGCAAAACGAAAAACAATTCACACACATCCCTATGTGATTTGTTTTCGTTTTGCTGAAAGAACACTGAACTTTTTGTGATCTGTGGACCGAACCTTAAAATGGAGGTTGTGTTTAAAATTTTGTAACTTAAAAAGTACCTGACTGATTTGAATGATTTTTGTACTAAAAGAAAGCTTATGAATTGGGCTTTCAAATCCTAGATTTTGAAAGTGCTACATGCAGAACTTCAATAAAACAATGGTCCCAACATTTGGGTTTCGTTTTTTTTTACTCACCCTGTACAGTTTTAAAAAGACAAATTTTAGTTTCTGTCAAAACTCGTCAACTGATTAGACATCTTTAAGATTATGGAGGAAAATTGGGACTAAATTTCATAAATTCCACATTATCTAAGATTTCATTTGCAAATACCTTGGTTGAAATGCCATCGCAGTCACTAAAGCACAGACCACTCAATACTGCAAACAAACAAATTAGTGACATTTATGAACCCTGCTTAAAAATGAAACGTCGTCAAAATGTCCCCTGGATGCTGTGTTTAATGTTATTGCGGTGTTTGCCACATTTCTATGCTGTGGAACCTGGCAACAACAGTTATACGTCCATGCTTAAAGCTATAGTCCATCATTTGTAATTTGTGCATTTTGTTCGTTTGAAGCAACAAAAGGGTTCAAAATCTAATGAAGGATACTGAACTAACCTGATGAAGTTTCAGCTAAGCTTCAGCTGTACATATCGAGAAAAACAGCATTCTAAAATCTCAATTTCAATTCAAAAGTTACTGAATCATGTTTTAAATTGTTTTGAATTGCAGCTATACGCAACGTAGCGCACTGACCCGACGAATTATAACAACCGCGCGCGCGTGTGCGTCGTTCCAATACTTGTGCGCGCTGCGCTGAATAACAAAACAAACTACTAATTTAAATTTTCCTACGGTGCTTCTTAAGAATCACCGTTGGAAATGCCTTCTTTCGTTGATTACTTCAAAATGACAGCTTCCCAGAAGGAATAATTTCACAGGGAGTTTAGTTCCCTTACTATCTTTCAACCAAGTATGTTTTTCAACAATAATTATGCCAGTTACTTTTCGGATGGCTGCAAATGATGGACAATAGCTTTAAAGGTGATATACAACATTTGCTTTTGGGGTACTTTTCAGAGACGGATGGATTTGTGGGGTTAGTATTTTATAGCCAATATTGTTAGACTGACCTGTTTAAAGTTTTGTGTTAACAGATGCTGGAAAAAAACAAGGAAAAAATGATGTTCTTGTAGTCTGGTTCCTTTAACTCTACTTCATACGAAAAGGAGCAATTTATAGACGTCGGGAATTGTAAGGTCAGGGAACAAGACTAGCTGGCATGCACCCATTCACCGAGTGTAACCGATTGCAAACAAAATGTGGACAAACTAGATTTTGTAAATTGGAGGCAGTATTTGATACGAATCAGTTTTTCCAACAATGGTCGGCCGACCATCATTTGAAATTGACACAAAATTCAACTTTTCTTGAAAATTACAGCACACTAGGTGCCATGATTTTACAGAATGCTTGAGACTATTATTCACCTAAAGTCAAGTGAGATATTTCATAATAATTTGGTACTTTTGTTTTTTGATGTTTGCAAATGTTGTATAGTACCTTTAACAAAACTTGCTGGTACCAGCACTTACACATGGCTGCACAGCAGACACATCTTTCTACATCAAAACCAAAACCCTAACTTCCTTAAAAACAGGATTAAATACATTTTTTCGAAAGTTTTCTTAAAACCCAAAACATCAGCAAAATGTGTTTCACAAGGACATCTAGAAACGTCAGATCTAGTTTCTAGTTACTTGTTTCCTGAATAAATATTTTTTGAGTCTGGAGATTTGAATCGAAACCCAAAGCATCTCACGAGGAAAAGAAATGCTTACAAACAAATACACCAGGGGAGCATTAAAACTGTTCTATTCTTTCAAACTGTGTAATAAACACTAACACACACCCATTTGTAACATCTTGTACAAATATTGGCCAGCAACATTTCAGTGATTTCAGGTATTTCATTGTACACAATTGAAGTTCCACAAACTGAAGGTCAACGTGGTGAAAGCCTGACTCAAGGCGGTGAAAAGATATAAAGTGCATCACCACACTGACCCCGTGAACTTACTGTGGGTTTTGAAGAAGTACGCATCCACGGCAAAGTTGTTCTTGATGACATGTATCTGGGGCTCTACGTCTGATTGACTCTGATTGACTACGAGAATGTCCAATATCCCCTGTAATAAGAACAGTGGGAAGACTTGGTCAAGTTTACTGATTGTCCTGTACACAGATTAGAATGTCCATATACATGTACATGGCCATGCATGCAAAACGATGTGAAGTGCAATATGTATACGATGTATGTTCACACCACGTGCCGCAGGCCTTGGGCTCAGTTACATGTACAAAATGCGTTGAAATTCAACTGTGCTACCCTTTAGGTATCTAAGTTTTCTAATGAAATGCAAATTTATTGCATAACAAGGAACCAGATATGGCAAGGTTGCCGTTTATTAATTTTTTTTCAAGTGGGAGAAAAGAAAATCAACAATGACCTCATTTGACCCCTAAATGACCTTTGACCTCAAATGTCTCAGGTCATCTGAAGTCCCCCTACCCAAAAGATTATTGTCACCAAGTTTGATTGAGAGTGAAGTCAGACTTTTCATATGACAGCACTAAACAGTTAACCTAACCGAAATGTAACACACGGACACACAGCCGGACACACACATTCTGGAATTTGTATTCCTGTGGAGACATTTCTTTGTTCTCGTGTAGTAAAGTTTTTGAGTTTGAAATTGAAGTTTCAAAATGCTCTTATTTAAACCAGAATTAATTTCCTGGGCTGAAATTTGGACTAAATATCCCTTTTCTAAAACTCTTCCATTTGCGACGGATCAACCCACCTTGGAAATTCCTAGTTTTTGAGTAAAATCCATATATCTATTTCGTGAAATTCTTGTGGAGACGTATTCATCTATAGAAATTGTCCTCTGGAGACGTATACAATCTTTTGTTCCCTATTGTGTGCATGTCTCCGTAAGGTAGTAAATTCCAGCACAAGCGTGGACACATAGACACACAGAAGGAATACACTATCACAATACCCCCCTTTCTGGTTTAAAAACCAGGGGTAATAAAAGTCAGGGGGATAACTAGTGGATAATTTTGGCAACTTACTGAATTGACCAACATTGATTTGGGGGTCTTTTGTTTTGGTAGTGTATAAAACTGAAGCTTACCGTGTGCGTTAAGTCCATGAATGTGGCAAGGATTGGCTTCTCAATTTCATTGAGGGCTTTGCTGTCCCACACTGGCTCCAGGCTCTTCCCGTCCTTGTTTTCAAGCAAGACGACGCGCCTCGTTCTACGAGGAACACAAAGGCAACAAGACATTTTTTTTCCTAAACTTTATCACAAGCAAATTCTGAGCTATAACTGCAAATTGATTATGCACTGAAGCTGAAGGCTCAAAAGAAAAAAATATTCCGCTAACTGTGAAATTGACAAAGTGCTCTGAGATGTGTTTTGTTAAAAAATAGATAAGAACTGGATTTATAAAGCGCCAAATTGCCCAAGGATACACGGCGCTAATCAAAGAATATAACAGTGAACGAAGACAAGAAAAGAGGACAGCCAGCTACGATTTGGGGAAAAGGTGGCTCTTGAGAGCCTTTTGGAAGAAGAAAACACTGCCAGAATTTCTGATGGGGATGGGTAGGCTATTCCATAACTGGGTGCCACAACGGAGAAGGCCCTGTCACCAGCCTGTTTATGGGACTTGTGGATGACAAGGGACTCTCCCTCAGAAGAACGAAGGGAGTAACGACGGGTCTAGCCGAGCAGAGGAGAGATAATCTGGTGCAGAGTGTTTCATTGATTTGTAAGTGTGAACCAAGGTGCGGAACTGATTGCGTTGGGCGAGTCTTACATTGCATTTTTTTAACACCCGTCACCAAAGTAATTTTATGAGCATGATTACACTCAATTATACTTAAAGGGAATATACATCATTTGCTTTTGCTGTAATTTTCAGAAATGGATGGAATTGGGGGGTTGGAAATATATAGCAAATATAGTTACACTGACTTTTTGAGGTTTTGGGTTCGAAAATGCTATAAAAACCAAGAAAAACGATCATTTTCCTGTAGTCTGGTTCCCTGACTCCATATAAGAAGAAACAGAGCAGTTTACATACAATGGGGAATTGTAAGGTCAGGGAACCAGTCTAGCTGGCTCGTACCCGTTCATAGGTTTGTAATCGATTGCAAACAAGTGCGATGGTCAATTGGGGCCAGTTTTTGAAAAAAAAACCCAGTTGTTTCCAACGCTGTTTGGCCGATCAGCGTTGGAAATTGATACAAAAATACCACTTTCTTGAAAATGACAGTTAACCAGGTGTCATGATTTTACAGGATGCTTTACACTGTCATTCACTAACAGTCCAGCAAGGTATTTCAAAATGATTTGGTAGTTTTATTTTTTGATGTTTGCAAAAGTTGTATTTTCCCTTTTAGTGTATCAGAGGGCATGCACGAAACAATTCAAAAACTTTCTTGGGCGGAACTCCAATCCTGCTACAAAAAGTAGATGTGTTAAAAAAACTTGACCCTCGAGCATGCAGGCTCGAGCATCTGATATTGCAGTGGATACCGAAATCAATACAAAACTATCAATCCAAACTTGTCCCTCCTATCTTAAAGGGAAAATACAACATTTGCAAACATCAAAAAATAAAACTACCAAATCATTCCCTTTAATGTGTCCTAAACCTCCTTTACGTTAAAACGCCCCTTACTCATTGCTCCCTGATCGCAGAATGCAGAGGATATCAGGATAGGAGTCCATGTTAGTATCCCCTAGCCTGGCGGTAATGGGCATGTACGCCCATTTAGACATCTCCTTAGGCGGCACAAATCCCCACTTCTCTTTTGTCGTTGCTGACATATCCAGAAGTAGTATCCACTGAAAATAATAATCCAAAAGAAATGCAGAGCTATGTTTATTCATTCAGCAACTTTGTAGGTATCATTATGAGGCCCATTTCATGGTGCTTGCCGGGAAACATATATTTGCTTATCACAGACATTTTTATGGCAAACAAATTACAATGTATTAACTTAACGTTAGAGTAGATCATTTTCAGCCCATCCAAAACGTATCTGAAGAAATTATAGTTGAAAATCTTACGTGGTTTAAAGACAGTAATGGCACTAAACTCCCTGTGAAATTATAAGTTCTGGCATGCTGTCGTGACATCGCAAAGCTGCAATCGGCTGAATGAAAACGTGTCCCAGACGCTGATTTCAGGTGCAATTTTAAACATGCCTTAGCAACTTTTGAATTGAAATACTGTTTTCTCAGAACGTACAGCATTCACAGAGCTGAAACTTTATCAGGTAAGTTGTTAAGCACCCGTCGTTAGATTTTGAGCACTTTTGTTGCTTCAAAAAAAAAAAGCACAAATGACAAATGATCTACCCTACCTTTAAAAAAGTTCACTGGCAAAGATGTCAAGATTCAATACACAAACAGAAGCCTTAAACCAAAACCAATTCTTTCCAAAGATTCATCGGACGAACATAAAATCTGGTACAAACATAAAGCCTGATTTCAAGATTTACATATTGTGTCGTTATCATGCAGTGTTTATAGATGAGTGTGTGTCCATTGATGATCACTTGATCAGAGCATTGAAATTTTGATTTTTTTTAATAAAAGCTTGAGCCTTTTAATGATATCTATATTTTTTTTTATAATTTGATGAAGAAATTTGAGGGGAAAACGATTGGAATTGCAAACTTGTTTGTTCATGTACCTCATCGCTCGCTCCATCACGCATGTAGATGAGACTTTTTCGGCATTCACTATCCAAGCACACAGGGAGTACGTGGTCAATTTTACCATCGGCATCTGTGAACATTGACATTGAGATCAAATGTGGATGTGTGTGAAATGTATATTGCCAACTTGTACTATTTCTTGAAAAGCCTGTTAACCAGTTTGCGCCAGATGACGTGTACACCCGCAAAGGTTTTGCGGTATTCGCAACGGATGACGGATAAACACGCAGGGAGTGAGGCTTAAAATATCTGTCAGCAACCCGCTCGCAGCGAGCGAGGCCAGAAATATGAGTGTGCTGCCCGAGGGTGATGGCTTCAACCCACCTGGCTTGAGGTCGGGTGAAAAGTAATCCTGTGCCTCGTTCTGTTCTTGTCAAACTAATCCCAGCATGAACTGATCAAATGCATTTTTTCCGTAGAAAATAATAAGAAGGATTATTTTCTTAGGTATACTTCCTGACATATTGAGTGGACTTCTTTTGAAAAATAACAATTTTTGAGTTTTAACCATTCACCAATGTATTCCTAGTGAGCACTGCGTATACTTGGTGCTTTTCTGAAAGCTTTCCGACAAGTTTGCTCGGATGGGGCTTGAACCCACGACTTCCTGCTTACTAGTGCAGACATCTTATATTAACTAAAAGACAAACTAGCTTGCTGGGGTCAATTGGTAAGATTGAATCAACAAAAGCCACGAACACTGCTGGTGGTGAAGCTATTTAAACACTGATGTGTTATTATTTCCCTGGCCCTTGAAAGAAACGTAAAATTGGCATCTTACTCATATCGGCAAACGACGATTGTCCCAACTGAACTGCCTTTCCTTGTAGCTCAGGAGGACTGTATGGCTGTTGCATCTTCCATGCATCCGGTTCGCCGGCCAGCAACTGCCAAATCTCAAACTGGCTCTTGGTGATATCGTTTTCGTCAAGGGAGGTGACGAAGAGATCGGCGGCATAGTTGCCCGTCAGGTCCAGGAATGCGTTCGAGTTCGGGATTTGTAGCGGCGCAGAGGGTCCATCCAGGGGAATGCTGACAAAGTCGTGGTTGTCAGTGTCACTGGAAAACGGCAAAAATGTTACGGATTAGATTTTTTCAGTTTATTCTTCGTGTGAAAGCTATCCGACAATGTTCTTACCACTCACTTAACATCAGAATCAGATGAATGCCTAACATTAACACTTTATTCTCCACCATTCATAAATACCTAAGACAGTTTACCCATTCCTATTGGTCGAGACCCGCCACGTGGCCGGTCTAAAACGGTTGATAAAACAGCCGCTGGCTGATCTTTAACACTTTTCCAGTGTCACATGAAATTTGGACTCCTATGAAATCTGGTCATTTTCAGCCTTTTTATTGGTTGAACATTCACAATCCTCACTTAGGCATGTGCAATACCACTAAGGAGTCAGTATTTCATAGTCCTAAATTCACACTACACCGGAACAGCTGCACTCTGCGCCACACGCGCCAATCTCCATATAAGGAGTTGTTTACGACTGCTCGCAAGAGGCACATACCATAACATAGTTAGAGGCGTGTTTAAAAAACATGAAGTAAAATCGTTGAAATAATTGTTGAAACTTTATATATATTTTTTAACTTGTTTTGACTCTTGGACCGAAAAGGTATTTATGAATGGGAATAAATATATGCTTCGCAGGTATTAAACCAGTCTGTTTAAGACCAGCTGGGGGCCTGGTCGCCAATAATAGCCCTCGCCATCGGCTTGGGATATTATCAGCATCCATTCCCCCCAGCCGACCTGTTTAAAACAGGCCAAGCACACGTTTATTCTCTTTTTAAAACTAAAGAATGTTAAGGCACGTTCTTTTTCTGATGCACAAAAATTCTTTACTTCATTTCCACATCAGTAACACTGTTAAAGAAATTACACTGATGAAAGTTTCTTTAAAACTGTGACGACATGGGATTTTTTTCTGGGTGTGAATTTACGTGATACTTACTTAAACGTCCAAAACTGTCTCACTCCATCCATATCTACACCAAACAAATCTGGAACCATGTCAGCATTGTAACTATGGACACAAAAAAAGAATAAAAAAGGAGATTGAAACATAAAATGACTTAACTAGAGCTAATCTGTTGCTAAGCGTTTCAAAATAAACCTGAAATTGGCTACAAGTTAAAATGCCACGTGATGTTTTGGACCTCAATTTGCATGTTGACCCCAAATGGGCGTAGTAAAACTTGGCCAAGCAATTTTGCCAAGTTTTTTCATCATCAGTGTTATGTTTTGCGTAATAGCGATAGGTTTTGGAGTGTTTTCATAGAGTAATGCTGTAATATTTAACTATTCCAAAGTCTGAAAGAAACAAATTTGCCAAAAAATCATTTTTTTCAAGTGCAAACCATGACTTCAAAAGACAGTGAAATCGAAGCATATAATTTAAGGACCTGCTGCATACGATAACCAAGCCTCTCCATTGAACATTGCTTTTTCTGCTTGCACATATTCTTTAGGTCTTTTACAAAAAACGTGATGCACAGAAATCAGACAGAAATCAGACAGACATCAGACAGATAATTTCATATAGGATTACTGCTTAGCATGTAAATCTGTCTTAGCAGCGTTATGTCATTTTGTCTTGGAAACTAACTCACAATGCAAGTAATTACCCCCAAAACATCATAATGGACTAACAAAGCGTCCATAATGAGAAACCATTACTATTAAGGTGGCTTCCAAAAAGTACTCTTTGCTTTCTCAAATTTCTTTTCTAGAGCTGTGCTTAAAACACGCAAATACTCACTCCATCATTAGTGGCTGATCCTTTAACACTTTGGTTACTGTTGTAACAGGTCCTGTGGAACAAAGAAAATCACTGTTAGTGATGAAATACCTGTACAGGGAAAAGTGTAATCTTAGGTCTTAGTAATCTCTGGTGTCAAGCTACATGCACTGGTATTTCGGTGAAGATCTGTTGATTTTAATTGTATTACTTTCTGGTAATGAAACCGGGGATTCCCTAAAAGTGCCCTAGGTACTGTAGCTCACAAGCTTGAAGAAACCTGTAGAGAGGAGACAATGAGAAGAAATTACAGTTTTAGAGGTGGGAGGAAAACCCCAAAAGAATATTCTGGGTAAAACACACGGAATCAGGTAGGGACTGAAAACCCAATCCACATTTTGACCAGGGTAGGAATCGAACCAGGGCCACAGCGGTGGAAGGCGAGGAAAGTAACCACTGTGCCAACGTGACTGCCTCTCAACTACATCTCCAACACCTTCAGGGGGGGGGGGGGAAAACCCAGCAGAATTGAATTCTTGTGAAATTGGCTGAAATAGGCCAAAGTTTTGTTTGTAATGAGCAAATGTATGTGCAGCTTTAACAAGAATTTGGATCTTATACATTCTTATACCGAAATGATTATCAGCCTATTCAAAAACCCAAGAGGAATTCCTTGGACTTTTTCTTACCTAATTTGTATTTTGCATTCTGTCCCCAGTAGACAAAAGCCGACGTAGGGGCTAACGGGTCAAAGACTCTACCGTTAGGTTTGGTGGTGATTAGAACATCCATCTGGGAATTGCCGTCAAAGTCGCCTGGGACAACACTCGTTATGGTGTCATTATTTCTGCATTTAGGAAAGAACTTTATATTTTAGTCCTCCTGCCGTCTGAACAGTCACAGACAGTCAAAACATCAATCCTCTTCCCCTGCCATGCCGTTTACACAGGCTAGTCACCAACAGTCAGATCATATTTTAAGCCAGCACTGTGACTAGTCAAAATTCAGTCAACAGACAAAAGCAGGCAAGCGGTAGGCACAGCTGGCTTATCAATCACCTACAGTCAAAGAATAGCTGTATCAAGTTACGCAAACAGTCACAGGCAATCAATCTTGCTTTATGTGTAGGCTGGGAGCTCTTAACTGTTGAAAAGTCACTTGACTGACTTTGACTGAAATGACAACTTGCACAGTGTGTGTGTTTGCATAGGAGGGTTAAGCCACATCACAGAGCTATATTAAATTACTAGAGCGCTAACTTCGTGTACAAAGTAATGCCTGCTGGGCGCATCCATGTTTGTGCACAAACCTATGGAGACCTAGAAATTTTGTACGGCTTTTGTACGGCTATTTGCATATGTGCATTTGTATTCCATACCAGTGCGTTATCGAAGCCAATATGCCCAAAACCATCTATGCCATAAAGATTTAAAACTTCAGACTTTCGATTATTTCATGATGAAATTCTGACAATTATTCAGAAAACAAGGCATTTACATAAACTGCATGGTCAATTGTGACTAAGAAAAAGGCTTGTTTTTGTACAAAGAAGTATAGATACTAATATTTTGTACCAAAAAGTGTATCCTTTGGGTCTGGCACCATGACTTTTCAAGTGTTCTTACCGTGTTATGGAAATACTGTGCACTGTTTTTGATAAGGTAACAATTTCCTTCATCTGTTGGAAGTATATGTCCATGACGTGGCCTGCAAAGCAAACAAATGATTCAACAAAATTAACTACAGCTGAAACATGTACAAAATAAAGCCTTGTGTTTTTTTACTTTGTAATTTGATGCTCAAATTATCCAAAACAAATCCAAATTTAATGTTTCATTACTTTATCTCATACCAATCCTGTTAAAATTTCTTTACATATATTTTACTCTTGAGCAGTAAAGCAGCTGATTTTCAAATTAACCCTACAAAAAAAACAAAAAAAAATACCAATCGGCAATATTAAAAAAACAAAAAACAACATAATGCTGTTATTTTGTCATGTTTGTGTTTCGAGGAAAAAATGTTGCAACCTGACGCCACTTCCGCTATTGTGTACAAAGTTTATGGCCATGGAGAGTCAAGAAATTTTTTAACTATTTCCTCACAAAATTGGAAATATTTCTCAGTCCCAGATTCATGTCTTATCACCATTTTTGCATGAAGAAAAAAGTGGCGTCTGGTTGCAACAGTTTTTCCATAATTTTCATTTACGACCTCTCTTCGCCCCCCCGGCCCCCCCCAGACGTGTTTACTTTTGGCAGTGTATATTTTGTCGGAGACGGCAAACCTTTAGTAAACGTTAGTTTGCCGGATATGCACTGAACATGCGCAGTTACTGTTTTTTTGTACTTTAACATTTTCCAGTGACAAGTTTTAGTCTGGCTCCATGCCAAAATTATCGTTGTTACCTCGTATTCACAAGACGGGATTCAGACTATTTTATAATTTCGGACTTTATTTCCCTTTTAAAAAAATCCTCCAGAGCCACAAATCTGAAAAAGAAAATGTAATAGGGCCTACTCTGCAAAAAATGTTTGAGACATGTTAAAATAATAAAAGAAGAATATTCTTATTTATTTGGGGATGAGAAAAAAAAACTTAAAAATGTGGTGCAGTCGGAATCGAACGCGAGTCATCCCGCTTACTAGAGCCTTTGCTTAACCACTACACCAAACGTGCTACACAACTTTTGGTCATGTTGGTGGGAATTTAATACATCTTATAATTCAGCCCTATTTTAAAGAGTACAGCGCCCTCTGTTGATATGGACTGCCGCCGGCAAACCTTTAGTAATCGTTAGTTTGCCGTCATTACCTCCGGCAAAATATCCACTATCTTTACTTTTACTAACCATTTTCTCGAATAACAAAAACATCAGTTCGTTTATCCGAATCGAAGTCACCGTACGCTGCCACGATCCCGTCACCGGGAACACCCCCAAAAACCTGATTTGTAGTGTCAGAGAAATCTGCAGTATTCTCGGCAAATAGATCGTCGCTGAAGGCGATTGAGAATAGGGTAAAAAAGAGAAAAACACAGCACTGAAACGGAGACATTTTCAGTTTCACGTCATTCTCAACATTGATCATGAGACAATTACTTGTAGTCTGTACCCCAACCCCAATCACAATTCAAATCACTTCCCAGGTTCATTGAAATGGGTACCAGACACCATTGCACTAAATTGTTAATCGTTTAATCTATCCAAGTTACATAGATATATTACTATAACTGATTGTACGGCTGCGCACTGAAGCACGCAAACGTCATTTCCAAGATGGCGCTGCCCAGTGATTTTATCCGGACGATTCAAGATGACGAAGAAATATCCGTTGCCTATGAAGACAGTAGTAGTGATGAAGAGGTAGTGTAAATGAACTAACACTGAATATAACGCTGTTTTTTAAGTTGTGGAATTTGCAGTATTTTGCGATTGTTACGGGCCAGTTTTTGAAGTCTGAAAAATTAATCTCGATCACTAAACGCACGTGTGAAAATAAAGTACATGATCAAGGCGAGAGGTACCTATTTCCGACACCGACTTCCAGCATGACTTTTAACACATAAATGTTTGTGCTTTAAACGTTTTGAACAGTCAACTGTTCTTTTGCTTTATTGTCGGTTTGATTCGAACATTAAAACACCTAATTTTTGAGAGAAGTGTGCTTTTTAGGTTGAAATTGTCATTTTTGAATGATAAAAATTTTATGATAGTGGATATTTTGCCGGAGGTAATGACGGCAAACTAACGTTTACTAAAGGTTTGCCGGCGGCAATCCATATCAACAGAGGGCGCTGTACTCTTTAAGATAGGGCTGAATTATAAGATGTATTAAATTCCCACCAGAAGTTGTGTAGCACGTTTGGTGTAGTGGTTAAGCAAAGGCTTTTGTGAGCGGGACGACTCGGGTTCGATTCCGATCCCCGCCACATTTTTAAGGTTTTTTTTCCCATCCCCAAATAAATAAGAATATTCTTCTTTTATTATTTTAACATGTCTCAAACATTTTATTGCAAAGTATGACATTTTCTTTTTCAGATTTGTGGCTCTGGAGGATTTTTTTTAAAGGGAAATAAAGTCCGAAATTATAAAATGGTCTGAATCCCATCTTGTGAATACGAGGTTACAACGATAATATTGGCATGGAGCCAGACTAAAATTTGTCACCGGAAAATGTTCAAGTACAAAAAAACAGTAACTGCGCATGTTCAGTGCATATCCGGCAAACTAACGTTTACTAAAGGTTTGCCATCTCCGGCAAAATATCCACTGCCAAATTTAATCATTCAAAAATGACAATTTCAACCTAAAAAGCACACTTCTCTCAATCCTAATGACACTTTTTTTGTAATTTTGAACAGTTTCTTGTGGTAAAACTTACGATTTTCGTACACGGTTTATGGTTGGTGCCGTGCTATTCAGCGTGCCTTGCACATTCATGGTATTTTGTGGGGGTCCTACTAAAGCGCGTCAACAAGCGTCAACAAGCGTCAACAAGACTCAACGGTCGTCAACGAGCATCAACAAATCTTGTACATGCTTTTGAACATCAAAAAAAGCGACAAAGAACATTTTCTGCATATCAATTAAAGTTAAAATTATTTCAAAATTTGTTTTTTTTAACGCGAAATGTACGACTAATTTGTAGATTAAAGTTGGCCGCCATCTTGTTTACGTGAAGCTTAGCCCTAGTACGCATGCGTGAAGTGTACAGAGCCATACTAGGCATGCGCGAAGTGTACAGCGCCATTCAAACAAGATGGCGGCCAACTTTAATCGACAAATTCGTCGTACATTTCGCGTTAAAAAAACCAAGTTTTTGAATAATTTGAACTTTAAATGATATGCAGAAGATGTTCTTTGTTGCCTTTTCTACCATATAAAGCTACTTTTAATGTTCAAAAGCATGTACAAAATTTGTTGATGCTCGTTAACGACCGTTGAGGCTTGTTGACGCTTGTTGACGCTTGTTGACGCACTTTAGTAGGACCGTTTTGTGGTGATCACCATCTTTATTTTCGTGTTTTCATGGTTTTACTTTAACCCCAATTTCCCTCAAAATTCAAAACCCTGTCCTCTCTATCTATGACAAACCTGCATGCTCTTATGTCACCAACTAGCTTGGTAAGGATTTTGTTCTCTTTTAGGGAACTGGGCCCGTAACTACATGATCGCCTAGTTTGTAGCTTATTCAACAGGGCCTACAAACCTTGACAAATGATAATTAGGAATACAAAAAATACGTAGTGGCTATTTTATGATTGACAGCTGTAATGCAATTTTCAAATACTATTATTGCGGCATTGTAAAAAAAACTATGCGAATGTATATAATGTACAACTGCCCAATCAACATCATCCTTCAGCTGCGGAGCAGACGACTACAAGCTTCTTCCATATGCTGCGATCTTGGGATTCTTTTAAAAAGCTAAATAATGTCCGAGAACCATTTGGTTGATAGTCTGGTTCCAACAGCCAAAGATCGTGATGTTGAATACTATTATGTCAGGGAACCTGACAGTTCCGTAACAATAGCAGTTGAAAGTCGCGTTACGGCTGCCATGATGATAGCCACTGCGTAAAAATAAAACGTGTAAAATATTTTTTATTAATATGATTATAAATGACTTTGGAAAATGCCTTAAAATTCAGGATATTTAAGGAAAAGACTATATTGACCAAACATGATGTAAGGTTAACTCAACCAATTAAACTTGTTTTTGGCAGTATTGTGTGTTTTTTTACGTTTGCATTCATGAGCAAAAGCTTTGTGAAAGACTAAAAGACCATTTTTCATCTTACATTCTCTTCTCTTTCACTGAACAGGCTGTCAAGCCAAAGAAACTCTCCAAACTGAAGAGACTGAAGAAGGGACAGGAGGATTTTTCACAGGAGTTTGAATTCTCGGAACGGGCCTTTGATGAAGATAGTGCCTGGACTCCTAACCTGCTCAAGAGTTTGAAGCCCCGAGGCCACACACGCATTGAAACCAACACGTCACTGGAACAAAAAATTGCCAGGATCCGAAGTGAAAAGAGAAAAGTCAGTAGAGCTAAAATAAATTGCAGTTTTATAAATAGGTTTGGTCCGTACATGTTGTTAGATTTAAAATTGTTTCAAATTTGTTTGTTTCTTGTCATTGCTTGGAACATGATTTTGGGATGAGGAAATGATCAAGCGGCATTTCACCTCAGTGACCCACCACCCAGTCCAAAGAGGGGGATGTATTTTGGCTCCCCCCAGTTTTAACCCTAACCGCCCTGAATCCTTCAAAATCCTATCAAGTATCAGTGAACACTTCTAATATATGTCCTTTTTCATTAACCCTAACCGCCCTGAATCCTTCAAAACCCTCTTTGCCAAAGTGGAGGAATTTGGAGGATTGAGATCAAATGGCAAAAGTGCGTTACTGATTTTGTAGGATGCACTTTGTCAAGGTCTTGGGCCAGACCTTGTGGTGTTTTTGCTCAGCCATGCATAAATATAGGCCTGGATTATGCTTGAAATCGTCTGTACTGCTCCAGGATATGTCACTGGCCAAGCCTCAACATATTGACAGTCACTGCCGCAGGATTTTGCAGGATTCAGGCAGTTGTCACCCCTCCAAGGATCACATTCAAGAACTAGTGGAGGAATTTGCGGGATTGAGGCTATGCTTTTTTTTGCATGAGGCCAATTGGAGGATTTTGCAGGATTGAGGCTACATCCTGGCAAAAAGGCCTATGGAGTTAAACTTATACAATTTCTCTTTTGTAAATCATCTTAGACCAGTTTATATTTCATGTCAAATATTTATCATTGATACGCAAAAGGGACAAATTGCATTTAATATTTTGACTTTTCCAAACTGCAGAAGAAAGAATCTGAGGAACTTGCTGAAGCTAAAGACAACCAATCAGATTCAAAGGAGGCAAAGGATCAAGATCAGAATGGCAGAGAGGTAGATGGTGACCATGGCAATGCTGACGATGAGGATGAAGAAGAAGAGGAAGAGGAAGAAGAAGATGAGGATATGGGAGTGGAGGACATGGAGTGGGACCAGATCAAAGTCAAGACGACAAGCGAGAAAAGACTGAAGAGGAAACAACAAAAAGGTCTGTACTTTAAACCATAGCCCTGAGAAATACAACAAGGATTAACAGGTGTAAATGTCTCGTGGACCTTGTTGCATTGGGTCATGGGCCATGAAGACCAGTGCATAAGCCCTCCTAGTCTTCTGCACTTCACAACCCTTCAAGTTTTGCAAAACAACTTTTGCCCGTAGAGTTAGCCCCCACACTTCGAATTCCGTTTGGTAATCTTCTGTGGAGTATGGATAACACTTCAAATCCTGGAACAATTCTTTTGTGTGGTTACCAACTTCTCGAGATGTTCTGAATGCATTTTTTCCCTTGTCGTTTTAATACTGCTGGTTTGGCACCACATCTGACATCTATTTTTTTTTGACTGAGCAGATGAGTCTGATGACTCGGAGGATGAGGAAGCCAAGAAGGCCAAGTTCTTTGCCCAGGCACCAGAGATGACCGGCTACAGTAGCTTCCAGGAAATGAACCTATCTAGACCACTTCTCAAGGTAGACTATCATTTCCAAGTCAAGTATCATTTTATTCGTTTTAACTTGTTAGTTTAATGTCTTACCAAAGAAACATGTCATTTTCCTTGTTCTAAATCAGTTGAAATCCCTAAATTAGTGATATGATTTGTTTTTAAATTGATGGAACCTAGTTCACTATGTTGGATTATACGGCTATTAGAATTTTGGGAAAGAATGTAGTATCCAGACGCCACTTCTTTGGTTGTGCACAAAGTCTGTGTTGAAATGAGTGCATTTTCAAAGTATTTTCTAACAAAATTGGAAATGTTTTTCAGTCCCAGATTCCTGTCTTTTTAACATTTTTGCAATGAGTGACCTTCATTGAGATAATGTATGATGCAAAAAGTGGCATCAAGATACAACGTTCTTTCCGAATTTTCAGATACAAAATATTTAGAATGTATAGATTACAAAACTGATGTGAGTAAACATATGAAACGGGGAACTAATTTGAGAAAAACCAGACAAAAATCTAGGGCTCGGTGACCTGACTTAACCAAATTCTTTTTTGATTGGTCAACATCCATTGCACTTGGAATGTAACATTTTGTACTTTTCTTGCTGTTCATTTGTATGCAGGCCATAAGTGCCATGAACTTTGTGAAGCCCACCCCAATCCAGGCCAAGACAATACCTGTGGCTCTCCTCGGCAAAGACATCTGTGCTTGCTCGGCTACAGGAACTGGTAAGTTTGCAAACTTTGTCGGACTTTGTCTTCAGAAACAACCTTTCTGCCTCGATCACTGTGCAGTTATTCTGTAAAGCATCAATGACTTGCTGTTTGTGATTCACGATCAAAGGGTTATTGAATCAAATCCAACTGCTGGTCATATGTTATGTCCTTGGGCAAGGCATTCTACCTAAAGCTGCCTCTCTCCAGTCAGGAGTACAAATGGGTGCTGGCATTAGCTGGAGAGTAACCAGTGATGGACAACTGTCCCATCCAGGGAGATTAGAAATAGTATTGCAGTTTAAAGTGTAGACTGGATACCTGACCTTGTATGGACGGCAAAGGTCAGATTGCTTCTGAAACTTGAAATTCTGTGCATCCTGAGGATGCTACCTCTATTTAAGTGCCTATTTTTGCAGGTGTAATATTTATTAAATCAGTTTAATTAGAGGTCATAAGGACAACGATACACTGGCTGTTTTCTGACTCTATATTTGAGTGAGGTATTTAGACAGTGTTCAGATTTTTAATTGACGGTTCAGCGACTGAGGGTTGGTGGCAGTGTTTGTGTCCGAGTCCCGAAAAGTCCATCACAGGACCTTCAGTCCCAAGTTCAATCAAATTTCATCATATGAGGTTGGACAATGGCATTCCTTTGTTAATGTTAATCCCCTGTGATAGACTTGTGATGGATTTGTGATGGATTTGTGATTGACTTGTGATGGACTTGTGATTGACTTGTGATGGACTTGTGATGGACTTGAGATGGACTTGAGATGGACTTGTGATGGACTTGTGATAAGACTTGTGATGGACTTGTGATGGACTTGTGATGGAGTTATGATTGACTTGTGATGAACTTGTGATGGACTTGTGATGGACTTGTGATGGACTTGTGATTGACTTGTGATGGACTTGTGATGGACTTGTGATTGACATGTGATCAGACTTTCAATGGACTTGAGATGCACTGAACTACAATACTGGTTGGCAGGCCACAGAATCACAGACCAGCATCACAGCATTTTTTACAAATTTGACATTTGATTGAACTTTAACCTCTCCCCTTTCATGACAGGCAAGACGGCAGCATTCATGTTACCTGTTCTAGAGCGACTGCTATACAAGCCCAAGCACTCAATGACTGTCACCCGTGTCCTGGTGCTGGTACCCACCAGGGAGCTGGGTGTACAGGTGCATACGGTTACCAGGGAACTGGCCCAATTCAGCGGCGTCGACTGCTGTCTAGCTGTCGGTAAGTTTGACATTCAGTCAGGTGTTCTATCCATTGCTGTTACCTTACAACTATAGCCCTTCGTGAGCAAAAAAAGTCGCCGTTTACCTGATAACAAGCATTTGAGGGACACTTCTCTGGTTCCTGGGTGCTTTTCAGCGGTTGTATAATCTCCATATACCATTATTAAGAAGAAAAAAAGAAGAAAACAAACAAACAAACTGACTCGAATAAAATTCTTAGAAATACTGTTCCATTATTAGGAGACAAAGGGTAAGTTGGCTCAGTTGCTTTCCCAAGACCGCAGGTCCACATTATGCTGCAGTCAGTCACCGTGCCTTTGGTCTGTCAAAATAGTGAATAATTCACGCCTTTTGTTTCCTTTGTGATTTGAAGAAACTGATTTTAACAAAAAATTGCATCCTCACAAACTGATCGTCATTTCATGGGTCGGTGGTTAGAATCCTGTTCCAGTCCATTCTGGAAAGAACCTCAAATGATATTCCCTTTATTACTTGTTTCTAGGCGGTTTGGACATCAAGCTCCAGGAGGCAGCCTTGAGGAAAGGTCCCGACATCGTCATAGCAACGCCAGGACGTCTGATCGACCATTTGCATAATGCACCGACCTTTGACCTTAAGGATGTGGAAATTCTCATTCTGGATGAGGCTGACAGGTGAAACATTCAAAACTTGCATTTCTCTTGAATAATTCTGCAATTATTTGAAGAGCAAGCTCCAACTTGTTTGAAGTCAGGAAAACTTGTTAAAGGGAATGTACAACATTTGCTTTTACTGCAATTTTCAGAAATAAATGTATTTGGAGGATTAGCATGTTATAGCAAATATTGTTACACTGACTTGTTTCACGTTTTTGGTTCATAGATGCTGGAAAAACCAAGAAAACCAATCTTATTCTTGTAGTCTTGACCCACTTTAGATGAAACGGAGCAATTTATAGACTTTGGGGAATTGTAAGATCAGAGAACCAGTCTAGCAGGCTTGTAGTCTTCACAGGTGTGTAATCAATTGCAAGGAAAAGGTAGACGAACTAAATATGAAAAACTGGGAGCCCTCTTTGAAACAAAGCCAGTTTTCTCCAACACTGGTCGGCCGACCAGCGTTGGAAAAATACAGTTTTTCTTGAAAATGTCAGCACACCAGGTGCCACAACTTTACAGGATGCTTTAGACTGTCATTTCCTAACAATCCAGTAAGATATTTTGTGATAATTTGATCATTTCGGTTTTTTTTTATGTTTGCAAATGTAGTATGTTCCCTTTAACTGAAGTCAAAGAATGATGGTTGATGTGAAAGAGAGACTGCATTGGATCAGGTTCTTATGTAATAGCTTAGTAATTACATAATAGCTCCAGTGGATGAAAGTAAACATAAAATCTGATCGGACAAAATTGCTTCAGCACATTCAATTCTGAACTGTCGCATGTACTTAGAATACAAAATTTGTTTGGACGAACATGGTAAATGATCAAAATGTCCAATGTATGACCTTTATTTCAACCTCTGTAACTATGGGAAACGGTCTTTGTTTCTCAAATGGTCTCGTTTTTCTCCAATCTGGCATTTCCTTGTGATTTTAGAAGTGAGATTAGATCAAGAAGTCAAACTTGACAAATGAGAATCAGCCTTGTTCAATTTTTTTTCCCTTCAGGATGCTGGATGAGTTCTTTGCAGAGCAGATGAAGGAAATCATCAGGTTGTGTTCCCACAGTAGACAGACAATGTTATTCTCAGCCACCATGACGGATGAGGTAGGGGTTTCACATATATTGACTTATATAAAACAAGTCTGGGACCCAGACTGGATACATATTAAGTTCCTTTCATGCTGCCGGTCCATGACAAGTGCAGCTAAACGCTGCAGCAGTAGAGAGAGCTATAAGCAAGATGAATCCAATTTAAAGAATTTGTAAATGGGGAACACCTCTCCCCACACGTACCACTACTAATGCCCTTGCTCCTGGAAGGCAAGGGCTTATTTCTTATTCGACCTTCCAGTGGAGTCCTTTGGTAGAAGCTGATGAAGGATATTACTGTTTTGGAGGTGGGAGGAATACCCGAGATAGGACTGAAATGACAATTCACATGTTAGTGGGAAGTCAATATTTAGAGCAATATGTAAAACCCTTTAAACACTGCAGGTGATTTTTAGGTGAAGGGAAATGAAGTGTTTAAGTATACTGTGTCACACAGAGAATCACTACAAAAAAAACCAGCTCTGTGGAGAGCAGTGAAGCATGACCGAATCTGCCTGCTTGCCCTGAGCTTAACCACACAAAAAAGCTGCGAAGGGATTTCAAGTGTTATCCATACTCCAGAGAAGATTACCTCAAAGGAATTTAAAGTGTGGGGGCTAACTCTACGGGCAAAAGTGGTTTTGCAAAACTTGAAGGGTTGTGAAGGGCAGAAGACTAGGAGGGTTAAAGAGATTCAACCTGGTTCACAGCATTAGAAGATGAGGAAAGCACTGCCAACATAAGTGGCTATAAGTATTTAGTGAGACAGTTGTGTTTTTGTCCTCTCTTGTAGGTCAAGGATCTTGTGGCAGTGTCCCTGAGAAACCCAGTCAAGCTCTTTGTCAACGAGAACACGGACGTTGCATACAACCTGCGGCAAGAATTCATCCGCGTCCGGCCCAACAGAGAGGGCGACAGAGAAGCTATTGTAGCCGGTATTGATCTCTAAAAAATAAATTCATATTTTTATTAACAGCGTACAGTGCATATTAATTTTTGCATTTGATCAGAAGTCCCCAGTTCCTCTCAATTCGTCAAAGTGTTTGTCATCAGCTAAAAAATATTGGCAGAGTATCAATAAACAGCGATATACATGAGGTGAGCTTCAGGATGGAAACCTGTTTTTGCCAAGAAAATCTCTTCTTGCTTAGCGGCTTTTGTGCTTGGGTGTCAACTCACGTATATAAAAAATGAAGAAACGATTTGTTCTACTGGTATTTGGTATGTTATGTCAAGTTTCCCCTTTTGTTTTGCAGCATTGTGCAGTCGGACATTCCACGATCATTGCATCATGTTTGTGCAGACCAAGGTCCAAGCACATCGACTTCATATCATCCTAGGACTGTTTGGACTCAATGTCGGCGAACTTCACGGCAACTTGTCCCAGGCACAGGTGAGCTAGTTGCCAAAGATGCTTAGTTGATTATTCATTTTTTCCCACCCTGTTTCAGGATTTTGTTAATTTAACCCAATATCCTTAGCATTTTTGCTGGGAACCATGTTTCTTGCACTTTTACTTTCAAAGCGCGTGAAGCCTCCAGGTAAAGCAAAAGTTGCATACTGTGCTCTACCTACCTACATCTGGCAATTTTTTTTTAACAATCGATTGATTTTAAGGGTCTGGAAAGGTCGTGGCTAAGGCCAAAAAAAAAATAGTTCTGCTTCCGATTACATGCCTTACCAAAATAGGGTCGATCGGTCGGAAATTTTTTTTTTTTGCCAATTTTTTTTATGCAGCTTGAATGGGGTATTCAATTATATGCGAAGTTTTAGCCTGAACTATTTCTATTGCACTACGAAAGCTATACACGAAATGGCAACAAAAAGTGAGTGAAACCTACCTTTAATTATTGTCAATATATTTACGTTCGATAATTTCAAAAAATAATGAAAATTCAGGCCGTTCGCACCATATGCACAATGCTAGTCAAGACGCGGGGAGCTGGCTAAAACTCCGAGGTGTGTGATGCTTGCATGTGTGGCGAGCGGCCCACCATGGGCCGACAGACCTGTTTTTACCGTCAACAATTTCGGGAAACACGCGGCATGTATCACTCCAAATACGAGTAGTGCGATCTCAAAATGAACTCTTGAACACAGAAAATACATACACAGACAAGCTAGATCAATTCTGTAAATTAACTTGCAAAAATGTTCTTTCTCCATCGGTGTTTTCTTGGCATTTTTACGATGTCGAATCCGACCAGTTGACAGTGGCCTGCACTGTACTGATAGCGCCCTATGGGTACACACCGGTAAATCGATCCACCAAGCTCATGAATAAAAGTTATACCCTCAAAATATTCTATATTAGAGAGTTCTGAGCGCCGTAAAATTGGGGAATTGAAGAGATATGGTAGTGAACCTCTGGCCCGGACTTGGGGCTTCCAGTTCTGAGCATTTTGGATGCTATTGGGCTCGAAAGTGGCGCTATTTTGCCATGTTGTGGAGGGATCGTTTTTCAAGATGGCTACTTTTCCGCTTTGGGGAAAATAGGGGTCGTCTTCTTTGCGTGAAAATATCTCGAAAAGTCAATGGTCAACCCACCATAAATTGAAAAGAAAATGAAAGATGACACATTGATCATCATTTTTCTGTGCAGCTTGAATACCTGTGAGAGTTTTGAGTATTTTTAAAAGAATTTTGAAGTACGGGCATTTAGCACTAGTGTCTATGGGAGTTTATTTGCAGGTATGCACCCCTATCGGTCACATACCGTAATTTCCTGCGGATAAGACGCGTCTTATCTGACTTTCTAGACCACAAAAACATCGCTGCGCCTTATCTACAGGTGCGCCTTATCTGGTGTCGCTTGAGTTCAAAGTGACGGTCTTTGTGTGAAGAATTCTTTCAATGCCGCAATCAATAATGCGGTCAACCAAGGCTCAACTCTCCAGACATTGTGACCATATTTTCATTCCAACAATGCCGCGATGTGTTGATCCCCCATGATCGTGCTTTCCTTCCAACAATGCCACAATGCGTTGATCCCCCTTAGTGATCGTGCTTTCGTTCCAACAATGCGGTCATACAAACGTTTTTCTTTGTGGCCGTTTTTTCATTCCGAAAATGCTGCAATCAGAATTACTTAAACGTTTGGAAATCGCATTCACTCAAGTTCTATTGTGTGAACGTTGAGGGTGTTTATTGTACAGGATATCTTCGAAGTCTGCAAGCCTGAAGATCAAGATGAAAACAGTGCGAGTCGGTAAAAGCGGCTCAGGAAACCGTACTTCCGGCCCGAGCGCCATGTTATGCATACAGAGACCGCGCGAACCTCAGTGCACGTGTGGCCGAACATTTTGTAGAAACACGCTGCGGTGTATCATCAAGTCCGAGCGGTAAAATCTCGTTAAAATATATATTTCAACGGACAAATACATACACAGAGAAGAGAGATCACGTTCTGAGAATTAATTTGCGGAAATTCTCTTTCTCCACCGATGTATGTTATTTTCTACGATCCAAATTCATCCTGATACGCTACTGTAGTCATGCACGGAACATCATGGTCCGGTACCGTATGTAGGCCGTAGTCACTGGTTCCTGGCCCACATCATAGCTTCGATTCTGTAAGCATGCGATGGGAACCAACGAATACTGATGGCACTGCTGCCGCACGGAATATCGTACAGCGGCATGGCTTCGACGACGTGCATCACAAATGCGTTAGAATTACAGGCCTTTTCGTCAAGATTTAGCGTGTCAAGATGAAATAATATCGTGTAAACGATTATGTTGTGCATGCAAATGGCGTGTGTAATATTACTGTGCGTATCGGCGGCTGAAAATGTGATCGGCAATTTGTTTTCTGTGTACGGTGAGTAATTATACTGACACTGTGACAGCTCGGTTACTTCTCCCACGCGGTCTGGGTAAATTTTCCCGTGTCGAAAGTCCAAGTGCGGACAGTGGTCAAATTTGACCATTTCTCATTTTACTATCGTCTCGGTAAAACCTTCCAAAAAAAAAGTCCAGTGCGGACACGGCTTAATTCATCCTCCGAATAGTGTGATCGTTCTAAGGCAACACAATGGCCCCTTTGTGGCGATGTACCGACACCGGGTGACGCCTGGTGTTCTTCTGTGTGCGGTCAAACATGCGTCTTATGCGGCGGTGCGCCTTATCTGTTGGCGTTTGAATTTTTTGGGGGTGATTTTAAGGACCTGCGCCTTATCCGCCGCGCGCCTTATCCGCAGGAAATTACGGTAGCTAGCTATGGACTGGTTACCGCATTTTCATTATGTCTGGCCCATGCGCGGCGCGGCGGGAACCAGTCGTCGCCACGTGATTATAGTCACCGTGCGTGACATCGAATTGCGAAGTACTTATATCGCGAAGCGAATTTGTAATAATGGAAGTTTCTTTTGAAAAAAAGCGAATGTAAGTAAGAAAACAAATAAATACAAGCATTTTTGGATGCAAAAGGGTTGTTGAGAGGTATTTTGTGAAGACAGAAAAGACAGATTTTATTTGTATTTATTCAAATTTTTTTTTTTTTTTTTTTGAATTGCCGATAAAATTTTTAGGGTCGCAGCCTAAAAATAGGGTCGGTCGGGTAACCGGAAGCAGAACTATTCTTTTTTTTGGCCTAATACACTCACTTCATATGTCATTTAATATTGTTTTAAAGGGAACATGAAATAAAATTTTGATTGCATTTTTTTTGCTTAAATCAATAAAGGATGATGTTCTTAACAATATTTTGTGTATGGCGGTGTTTATTTTCTAAGATAAATGGGGGAAAATAATTTGTGAACATGTTTGGTCAAACTACTCCGCCCCACAAAGGGAAGCTTCATTAACAAAACTTCGCGAGGGGTATGACGCAAGCGGAGGCAGAGACTTGCCGCGCTGCGGGTGCACCGGCATTGCGGCGTGCATCATAATACATGTACATATACATTGCGGCACTGACAGTTTTTCTGGTGTTTCGTTCGGAATCGAGGAGAAATAACACCCGATTTTCGGCCATGCCGACAAGGTGTGTGGCTGCTGGGTGTAGCAAAACTACCAAGGATGGAGTAAGCCTTCATTTGTTTCCAGTAAATCCGAAATATCGGAGCATTTGGAGAGCCAAAGTGAAGGTAAATACCAGAGCAAAGTGGTCCGGGCCCAGTGAGTTCGCTGCCCTCTGCGCTGCACTTTGAGCCGTCGTGCTTTGATGCTGGTCTGTACAGCAACTTGGGCATGCCCCTAAAAAAACATTGAGTCAGTGTCTGAATCATTAGAACTCTGATTCGAATCGGACGAATCTGTACCATTTTCATTGGATTCGCTAAGGAAAGAAGAGGACGGTCTTCGGAACTTTTACGGTCATGACGGTCGTCGTTGTGTTCATTCGACAACGGTGGCACCGTGGCACGTCCACGTGTACTGTACATATCCCATGTAGACACATTCGTACGTGTGCATATAATGCCACGTACGGGTACGCGGCGGCTGCACATACACACAGCACAGTAGCTTCGCTAATCCGTCTCGTACCCAGACGTCATTTACGGGCCCTGGATTTCTCTGCCTTTGTTTATGTCATGAACAGCGCCCTCATTTGGAGTTGCCGCGAAAATCAAAAAGGGGGGGGTTCAATTTTGGACGGCAAATTACCACACTAAACGTACACCAGAACCAGTTCTGCTTTTAATTCACATTTAATACACATAAATGAATGTATATATAAAATAAAATACGTTATGAAAATTTTGGACTGCATGTTTCCTTTAAGTGTGAACTTTCCTATCCGAATCCAGAAGATTCTCTTATGCAAAAGACGCGTGAACTATTTTTTTCTTTGTTTCATTTCAGAGATTGGAAGCACTCCGTCGCTTTAAGGAAGAGAACATTGATGTGCTGGTGGCCACAGACCTAGCAGCCAGAGGATTGGACATTGAGGGGGTGAAAACGGTAAGATCAAGGGCAAAATTATTCGACTCTGTTTAGTGTCCGTCAAGAGTTTCCATGGCTCTTTGAATGGCTAATGGTACCGTGATACTCCAAACAACCCCAAAATAAATTGCGAGTGACATGTATGACCCAAATCTTTTGCTACATAAGATCATGTGGTCTTGTTTTGTCCTATTTAATTGGCAGATTTAAATTGTGTCATCACTCTACAGTTTACGCATATTTGGCTGATTTGTGGGTTTGAACAATACCTAGTCAAAATATTCCATTTCTGATATAAAATCAGATCGAAATATCTTTACTCCATTTCTTTATGATGTGAATGTTTTTTGGGGTTTTTTTGCGCAGATTATAAATTTCACTCTGCCCAACACCCTCAAGCACTATGTACACAGGGTGGGACGAACGGCTAGGGCAGGCAAGAGTGGTCGGTAAGTAACAATGCTCAACGTTCTTAATCATTAGTATCAATATTGTCTAGTCTTTTGAAAAAACCTGTAAGTTTTTTTGTGTCTAAATGGAGAAGGTACAAATGAGAAATTTGGATACTATGGATATTACATGTAGACCATTTCTCAAACTGTGGCTTTCTGTCCAGCTTTGGTTTCAGGTTTATGCCGAATTTAGATTTGAACAGGTTTGAGCTGGAGACAGAGCAGCATTTGAAGCCAAGTTTTCTGGAATGGCTTTGATTTTATTCCTTGTCCACAATGCTTACATTTTCTGGACTGTGTTTTATTTTTATTCATTTTTTTTCAGGGCTGTCAGTCTTGTTGGAGAACGGGAACGGAGACTACTCAAGGACATTGTGAAGAAAGCAAACAACCCAGTAAAAAGCAGGGTAGTACCTCAAGGTAAGATCCATTATAAAGTCAATGTTCCCAGAACTTCAAATTTTGAGATGTATCAAAAAGAAAAGCCGAGAATGCTGTGACAGGAAATAAAAAAATATCTACATGGAAAATGAGTGAGTTAAAAAAATGGCCTTAAGACTCGTTTTGAAGAATCTGGTCATATGTATCTTTCCTCCTTGCAGACGTTGTGCAGAAGTACCGAGATAAGATTGCCAGCATGGAGGAAGACATTGAAGAAGTGATGCGGCTCGAGGAAGAGGAGAAAGAGATTCGCATCACGGAGCTCCAGATGCACAAGGCCAGCGCCATGCTGGAACACCAGAAGGAGATCTTCAGTCGACCCAAGAGGACGTGGTTCCAGACACACAAGGAACGCGTGCAAGAAATGGGTAAATATCCCCAGGGGTGTGAAATCTCAGCTTTAAAGCTGATTTCAGCTTTTTCTATTTTGGATTTCAGTTTTTGCCCCCACTTGCTGTGTACAAAAGTATAGGAGATTTCCAAAGTTCAGCTTGTTTACACCTTTTTCAGCTGTTTTCAGCTATTTTTATCAGTGGTCACTCACACTCCTGTATCCCAATGGACTCGGTGCACAAGTACTGGGTGTAGTCGAGTCCATCACAAGTTCTCCAGTCCCTTTTCAACTCGCAGGCTATTCAAATGAGCTTTGACAAAGGCATTCTTTTATGATTGACCTATCGCGGTAGAATCGTGTTAGAATTGCGTCAACGCAGCTTGTGAAATATTGTCCATTTCCATGATAAACAAAATGGGCGCGGAACGCGCAAAATCTGAGACAAACAAATCCGAGTGTGCGAAAACTCCATAGGGTTGTCTAAGGGGCGTGGCTAACTCGCAAACGGCGATAGGTCAATTGTTTATCCACTGTTACTTGTGACTGGACTTGTGATTTACTTGTGACTGGACTTGTGATTTTTTTGTGACTGGACTTGTGATTTACTTGTGACTGGACTTGCGATTTACTTGTGACTGGACTTGTGATTTACTTGTGACTGGACTTGTGAAAGACTTGTGACTGGACTTGTGACTGGACTTGCGATGGACTCAACTACATCCCTGACAAGTACCCTGTCACTCAGCTACAAAGAGAAAGTAAGATGACTCAGACACATTAAGCTGATGCTCATTCCTTATTTTCATCCAGAACAAACACAACTTAAACTAGGTTGGATTGGGATTTCAACTTTTTATTCAAATTATGAAGGAATGAGGGAAATGACAAAAATCTACATGAGCCGTTACTCCCCTTAGGTAATTTTAACAGCTTTATCTCAAAGACACCATCCCTGAAACAAAAACTGTCGTTTTTTTTATGTGTAAAAAGGTTTATTAATAGCTCATTAAATGATATTCCACCAAGTTGGATCAAACAGCAGATCTGTCAAACAGGAAATGATGTCATCTTTGGAAATGGGACAGAAATTTTTTTTAGCATCAGTTACAATTGCCAAGACACCGAAAGACTTCAAAACACCGAGTATGAAACTGCCTCATCACACTTTCATCCCTCCTTCATGATTCAAAATTCTATTTTATTCCCTTTCAGATAAACTACAACTACAACCTGGCAAAATGGACAAGAAATCCAAGAAAAGAGCAAAGAAACAACAACAACAGGCAGATGAAGATCCGGTAAGTTAAATCCAAAAATTCCCTCAAAACAATATTTTCTCCTTTAGGGGCCATTCAAAATAGTCAATGTTAAAACTTCTGATCTTGTTTTCGAAATTGTGGATGGGTGGGTCAAAGGAAATAACTGAAAATTGAAAATCAGTTTTCAGTTAAAGTATTAGAAGAAAAAAAAGAAGGGGAAAAAAAATAATAATACATGGGGAGATTAAGCAAGTCGGTAATTGTGAGGTTTTATTGGGGGGTACAGCGCGTGCAGGCCAATACGGCAGTACGGTTTGGTACATCATTGGCGCTCACTCAGTGGTGAAACCAGGCTTGTATTGAAGACTAGTGCAGTGCTGACACATTTTTTTGCGACACAAATACAAGAGTATTTTTTGTGTAAGATCCAGCCGGATCTACAACACTTTTGGACACAGCTGATCATAACGAAGCCAAAATCATAATTTTTTTTTTTAAATATAGTGTCATAGAAAACTGAAAAAACATTGTACAAAGTTTTGTGTGCTTGGCAATTTCCTCTTCTGTTTCAACTACAAAGTTGCTTGCTGGAAGCCTGGAAAAGCCATTGAAAACTCCTGAGCTGGGACAGCATTGACCTAAAATATCTGCTTCATTTGAAGCATTACTTTATTCTTCAGTGTATACTGAATTTTGTAAAAAAAGATCGAATTTTTTTTAGCAGTAACTATTCTGAATGGCCCCTCATGGACACTTTCAGTGAAGTCCGTCTGATACAACATGTGAATTAACATTGGAGCTTGGAACACTATAGTTGGTTCTTTTGATATCTGAAAGGAATAAAGAAGCTATTAATTTTTCTCTTTAAACCTCAAAATCAGTCAAATGCCACTGACATGCTCCTTTTCAAAGATAAAATGTTTGACTTAACAACCTGTTCACATAATCATTTGAACAAATTTTAAATGTGTGCCGGGGAATTGTAATCCTCTTACTTTCCTTCCCAGAATGATCGGCGGATGCAACGAGAACTGGAGAAGTCACAGCTGTTTTCCAAGAGAGAGGCCAAGAGGTCACACAAAGGTCAGGTCATCCGAGGCTTTAGAAACCAGGACCAGTCCTCAGGTAGGTAGAAAACGGACTACCCGCTCTGAGTATACCTATAGAGGGCGCTGTTGGCTAGCAACAAATAAAGTCGTTACTCGCAGTGGGAATTTAGGGGGAACTTGCATATCCCATGCCAAGTGTGGTACTTCTAGAGTTTGCGGTGTCCAGTCATATATACAAAAAAATCGGAACCCAAACCCCAAACAATGTATTTTATATTTGAAAAAAATATGTAACACCAAAAATAATAATGACTGGAAAGCCAATTTCATAAGCTACTTTCAGATGAACAAAATTACTGAAATTGCTCAATCCGTTCAAAGAATATCACCATTTAAACACAATGACCCTAAAACCTGTCTCGTCCAAAAAAACAATTATTGTGTGTTTTGACTGTTTGGAACAACAAAGAAAATGACACAGAATACTTGTTTCAATAACTGTAGTACACAATATCTTTATGACGGGGCTTCAAAAAGACTTTGTTGAATATTTTTAACTTTTAAACTGAGGATTTATCGCTGGTGATATTTGAAGACAATTGTGACGACGATTCTTGAAATCGCATTTTTTGGACGAGACAGGTTTCAGGGTCATTTTGTTTAAATGGTCATATTCTTTGAACAGATTGAGCAATTTCACTATTTTGTTCATCTAAAAAGTAGCTCATGAAATTGGCTTTCCAGTCATTATTATTTTTGGTGCTGCATATTTTTTTGAATATGAAATATAATTTTTGGGGTTTTGGTTCCGCTTTTTTTGACTCGTCCTGTAGAACAGAATGTGTACATTACACAGTGCAACAATAGTTTGTTAGGCATGTGTGCACACCACCATTTAACAATTTGCCAATATGTAAACTTTGTAAAGGCCAGCACACCCTTATGAGGATAGAAACGGGGTTTTTTTTGGGGGGGGAGCTACTACAGTGAGAAAATTTTTCTCAATTTGTCATCCTTGAAAAAGTACTGAAAATCTGATTGAAGCTTCCCATGAACATAATTCGAATGTGATTTGCAATCAGGCCTATTAAAAAATAACCAAAAAAGAAAACCCCAACAAAATCCATGACTCAACCGTTTCTGACATGATGAATATGCATGGTTTAACCATGAATAACAATGGACCACAAGAGTCGTCAAGTGTCTCTGGAAATGTCTGATCATTTTCTTTAGATAATTATGTAAAATGTTCATTTTTGAATCCTGTGACAAATGACATTTTTCTGTTATCCAGAAAACAAGAAGCCGTTTGGCAAGAGAGGGAAGGGGCAGGGCGGTCAGTTCAAGTCATCATTTGACAAGGAGCTGACGAGTACAAACAAACGCTCCGTCAAGCAGTTCAGAAACAAGTGAGTTAACTAGAGTGTGGATTTTCATCTATAAAGCAAATCGTGGTATGCCCCACAAGAGAAATTACACTTAACATAACGAGCCAAAGTAACAAATAATGTGGTTTTTTGGGGTCGTCGAATGTAATGAAGATTTAATGCCAGTGCACTTTTGAAGTAATAACCAAAAAATGGCATCCTAAAAAAAATTATCTGAGTTCTGCCACAATTTTTTTTTAATGCAGACACTTTTCTCTTTTTTGGCTTTGATGATAATTGTTTTTGCTACAATAAGTAGCATAGCATCCACCCAATCAGCTTAAATGTAGAGTAGACCATTTGCAGCTATCCAAAAAGTAACTGGCGAAATTATTGTCAAAGAGCTTAATTGGTATAAAGATAGTAATGGTACTTAACTTCCTGTGAAATTATTCCTTCTGGCATGCTGTCATTTTGAAGAAAACCCAAAGATGGGTCAAAAGACGAATTTTTGGAAATTTCCGTTAGTAGTTGGTTTGTAATTAGGCAAATCCGTGAACGGGTGCGTGCTAGCGTTGACACGACGCTTGCGTGCGTGGGGTTGCTATAATTTTTCGGGTCAGTGCGTGACATCGCATAGCTGCAATCGGCTGAATGAGAACGTGTTCCGGATGCTGATTTAGGGCGCAATTCAAACTACGACTTGGCAGCATTTGAATTGAAATCAAGAATTGAAGAATATTTTTTTCTCGGAATATACAGCATTAACAGAGCTAAAAATTCATCAGGTTAGCTGTTACGCACCCGTCTTTAGATTTTGAGCACTTTTGTTGCTTAAAAACAAAACAAATGCACAAATGACAAATGATCTACCCGACCTTCAAAGCATGAAAACACAGTACAAATTTGCATTGTTATATGATATAGGTGGCAGAAAGGGGTCCCCATTAATTTGAAATTATTCCCTTCGCCTGCCCAATTTTGGATCCCCGCTACAGAGACCTATAAGAACTGTTCCCTGGTCCGCTAACAGAAACTATTCCACTTCCATTATACATTCTTTTCCTTTTGTGTTTTCCTTCTGTGTAGGACTCACGAAGCAAGGAAGGATCAGAAGAGGAACCAGAAAGCGTCATCCAAGCCAAACAAACAGAACAAATCCAAGTCCAAACCGAGCAAATTTAACAAGAGAAGGAAATGACAGATTAAACTTTAACATTAGAATGACAACAGGCCAGCCAACTTTTTTAGATAAATTCCTTGGCTGCTTCATTTTGGGTTGGGGTGTCTCGTTTGGTCCTTTTATATTTAAAGAAATTTGAGCCACCAGTCCAAATTGCCTACATATTTTGTCCCACTAAACATTCACCCTAACAACAATAGGCTCGTTGAAGTATTGGTTATGGAATCATGTCTTCACTAATAATCCTTGTTTAACCATGTACTTTCAATCGAGTGTAATAACATTAACAAGCTCAACAAGTACTGCAGTTGGCAGTACAAGTAGTAGTGGTTAGATGCTGTTCCGGGAACTTAAATTAACATGTCAAATAAACCACAAACGTAGTGTTGGATAGCTCAGCTGGCAGAGCACTGGAACGGCAATCTGGAGGTCACAGATTCAAACCCCGCTCCAGTCAAATTTCGGGGTTTTTTTTCAACTTAAAAAAAACAACTTATGTTTTTTTTAAATTTGTCACCCTGAGCAACTTTTGCCGTAATACGATTTTGATTTACGTTGGGCATACACAAAATTAAAAAAAATAATAACTAAACCCCCCCCCCCGAAAAAAACTAATTAAATTGAGTCTAAGCTTGGTTCCCGAATGAGCAACTCATCTGATATGTGATGAAAAAAAGGGAAGAATACATTTCTAAAAAACAAAACCAAACAAATAAACAGAACACCTGATTTTTTTTTAGCCAAGACTTTCAAAAATCAGCAACATCATACCACAAAAAAAAAACACAACACGTCCCAACAAAAAAAAGAGCTGATGATTGTCGTAAAGAAAACAGTTATATGGGAAATAAAAGAATAAAAATGAAGAGAGCCCTGCATATTTTTGAAAGGTTTGAAAATGAAATGGACAGATCTGTTTCGAGAATAAACTTTACTATGTGATTGCTTCATGAATAAAATATTTCCCAAAACAGGACAATATGTTTGAGTACTTTGAATTTATTTTGTTATTTCTGTACATTTGTGTTCCTCAGTTATTATATATGTCAGTGAGGGGGATTTTTTTAAAAATAAATTGTCATGAGAAAAATCAAATTCCCCTCTCAACTCTAATTTAATTGCCTCAACAAACACAAATGAATGAAGCTTTCCAAGGCCCGCATTTTTGTTCTTTAAGGGCGATCTACATTTTATTTCTAAGACGGCGAACGTGTACTGGAAGGACGAAGTGATGAAACCATGCAAAAATACCTAGAGCAAATCAGTCCGCTGGCGAGATACTGGTTCCCCACACAACCAATGAAGGTTTGAATACAGTAACAGTCGTTGAGTGCCAGCGACAGCGCCGGGGCTGTGGCTATTTTATGCTTATTAGTTTTAGGGTGAAATGTGTTTATATTCCTACTATTATTCCGGACAGATATCCCAAAAATGAAAAAATAATAATTTTCGTTGCTATATTTCCCGCTTGTAAATGACGGAAAATATAGTATTTGTATAAGCAGTACTCGCACAATTGTACCATTATTTTAAAAAGACGTTTTGAACGGTAAAAATACCATTTCATTTCTGTCCGTTAGAATCGTAGGAATTAAATGTTAATCAAATGGCGTCGTTCAGTACAAAAATGGCGGAGGCAATTTTCAACAGCCTGTCGGGTGAGCTAATAAATCTCATTATTTTCGCTTTTTATCTCATAGTTTTACCTAAGATTATCTAGAATCAGAACATACAAACACTGGAGGGCCGAAAGGCTACATTTTTGTGCTTGGACAATGTGATATTGGTGCAGAAAACGGGGATGTTGTCTGCACTCTGTTCGCCCGATGACGAGACTTCGTGAAACAGTCGCCATGCATAGTTGTCATACAAAATAAACAGCCGCTTAAAAATGTGTTGCTTTTGATGTGCATGTAGCTAGCTGTAGGACTACACAATGCACTGCAGCACAAGTAAATTCTGCACGGGTCGTTGAGTTCCAGCCTTCCTGATGAGTTTACGTTGCGGTCTACTGTTTACGACTGTTCGATTCAACATTATCATCATGATCTGGAGTGGAGGGAAACTGTTTGAGCAGAACTTCAAAAATCAAAGTTCAATTCAATGAAAACCAAAAAACCCAAAAACTTAAGGCTAAAACTTGAAAACAACTTTGAAGTTAGTAATCTGGTAATGTTTGTAAAAACAAAGGAAATATTCCCATATCCAGCCATCAATTTCCACCTTGTGCACAAACCATTGACAATTTCTTAAGTGTTTTCTCAGTAAATGCTTCAATATTTTCCCTGCTAAATTGGACTTTTTAGGATTATTAATCACTTTCTGATGGCTGATGGGTCTCCGAAGGGAAAATTTAGTGATGGCCACATATGGGAATCTTTCCAAAACGAACAGTAGTCAGTGAGATCATGACAGTTGTGTTATGTTTGGGGCCAAATTGTGATTGGGCCTAATTTCTGATTTAGCTCTAGCTTCACTGACTTTTTATCAGAGAAATGTAAGGTGGTGCATTTAATTTCCGTTCCTTGCTCTATGGTTTGGATTGACCAGCCATGGAGGAAGGAAAATAGGAGCTGGTATAAACTTTTTTGAAGTGAATAATTTTACTTTAATAATAAGAAACCTTTGGCAAAGCTTTTGAAAAGGCTGAACATAATTGTAAAGTAAAGAAGAATTAGGGCCTAGCTTTATCCGTTGAAAAATTTAAGTGCCAAACTTTTTGGAAATTTTTTCTTAAAATGTTTGTCTTTACAAAAAAAATTGTAATTTGTATTTAAACTAGGTAGGCCCATTTGAAAAACTGTTTTCATTGACATCAGATTAAACTTCTAAGGCTGATTTATATTTAGGCCTAGTCTTAAAAAAAAAAAAAAATCCCAGACTTTTCTCATGCCTCATAAAAATATGACCAGGCCCCTATGCTTTTATAAACAAACTATTGTTGTTATTTTGCTTTCTCCTTGTCATTTGCAATTTACCTCCAAAATTTGAGGGGAAAAAATGTTTTCCTATCCTCTTTACTGTATGTAGTTAGTTTTACATAACATCTGTTGTTGTCAATGAATTCCCTACATCATGTACATGTAGTATTAATATGTCTTCTCTTCCAAGGAGAAAACAAATGTAATGTGTGCCAACTAGATTACATTTTGCAGAGTTGGCAGTAACGACTGGAACACGTTTTTTCTTCTTTTTGAATCTCTTTTATTTTGTGTAATTTCTTGTAGTGATGGACACCAGCCAGCAGGGCACCTGTTTGATGGAGGGCCAGCCCCAGCATGCTGTGCAGACTACTGTCACAGGTACGACAAACTGACCAATCACAAACAGCTTGAGCTTTCATAGAACACACTCGTTCCATTGGAACATTTGGAACACTTTGTGTTTTCCAATGGAAGTTTACATCCAATTCTTAAACCAGTTTGCATGTGAAGACTAATTTATGGAACAATCAATGCTGTCCTACACAACAGACTAGATTGGGAAAAAAAGTTTATTCCATTCAGCATTCACATTCATATCACTCTCAGCTACATTACAACAACGAATCCTCAAAGAAAAGAAATTTACAACAGCAAAACATCAAAAATTCTGGCAACTTTTGTTGCTGAAATAGCTGTAACATTGAAGTTTCTGCCTGAAATGACACACTTTTGCTCATGAATGTGGACATTTTCATTAGCATAAAAAAACCAAACGGGCATCAAAATACCCTTGATTATGGCAAAACAAAAATTGGAAATAAAATTAAATGGGGCACAAAGGCACACTTTTAAGGATTGCATTAAATAAAAATTAAATTGCATGGGCCCTTTAAAATGGGACTTGTGCCATTGGTCTTCACTTGGGAGAGTTTGCGTTGGTGAGATTAATTAACATCGAAATGTGGAAAATGAAAAGGGAAAAGAGTAAATTGTAATGTGTATTTTTTACGGTACTTTCGTAGATAGTTTGATAGTTGTTTAAGTGATAAGGAAGATTTGATAATTGACAGAAGATGCTTGATTTCCCCTTTGCTTGTGCCAACAGTTTGCGGGGAGGACGACCTGTTCCTGTGCGGCAAGTGCAAGCGCCGCTTTGCCTCCATCAGCCAGTTCATGAGCCACAAACAGACCCAGTGCGTGCCGCCCGCCAACCTACACAGCCATCCCATGATGCAACAGCAGCAGCAGCACAACCGGGGCCAGGTGGCGTACACCAACATGGGCCACCCCTCCCCGCACATGCAGGTCTCCCAGGAGGTTGTGCTGGGGGACCAGGGTTTACCCATCGCCCACTACACCAACATGGACCAGTACCAGAACACGGTGCTGCAGCGGCCCGCCATGACCATGCCCGCGGGGCCGTTCATAGCGCCCCCTACACAGATGGGCGTGCATGCTGGTAAGTTAACATTCATTCATCTTTTGGAAACCTTTGTGAAACGGCTTTGCTGTCGCTTTTTCGTGTCAACTTGTTGGGGTTCTGCTGTTGGTAGACCGTTGGAATCGTTTCCGTTGCTGAAGCTTTTTGTCAGAATTTTTCCAGCGTCGGGCTTGCAACGTCTTTGATCAGGACTTTCTGCTGTAGTGTGATGCAACCTATTCCTTTAGTTTCATCAAACAGCAAGAGCTTCAGGGTGGAAACTATGGGAAGGAAAGAAAAACAAAAACAGTGTGTGTTAAGCTCCTTTACTCTTTGTATTGCTGCAGTTAAAAATACAACCCAGTAGTCGATGTTGCCTTGTTATGAGTTTTGGTATCATATAGTGCCAGTCTGCTTGTCTTGAAAATAGTTTGCACATTTGCTTTAATTTAAATAACCCTAACCCTGCTAAATGCAACCGAATGCACCAATGGTAAAAAGTTGTTGCAAGTGTTGTATTTAGCAGTCTCCTGATCTGATGCATTCTACCCCTGCATTCCGTTGCATTTTGCAGGGTAGGTACTTGGTACCAAGGCTGGCATGTATTGGTTCACTGCATTCTGTTGCATTGGGCAAGGTGCCTAGAGAATACCCCATGGGGTTAAGGTTAATAAAGTTTCTTGGCGTATAATTGTTAGTTCTCCTGTTTTATACCTACAGCCACCAGCAATCAGCAAACGTACACCCACCCTACCAGTACTCACATTGGAGGGACCCCCATCTCCCTGCATCAACATCAGCAGCAACAACAACACCAACAGCATCAACACCAGCAGGTTCAACAGCAACAGCAGCATCAACAACAACAACAACAACAACAGCAGCAGCAGCAGCAACACCAACAGCTGCAGCAACAGCAGCCACAGCAGGGACAGCACGCACAGCACGCGGTCATCCTGCACACGCCCCACGATTCCCTCCCCACTACCTTCACCATCATCGCCAGCGCACCGGAGCAACCCCCTAAAGAGGTGCCCGCTGCCAAGAAAGCCCCGAAGCCCAAGAAGCCTCGACAGCCACGCAAGCGCAAGGAGTCCCCTAGCTCGCCCAAGCCACGCCGCAAGCGGCAAGCTTACCTCTCCTCATCCGGGGAACGACTGCCCCGCCCACCCTCCAAGAAGAGCCACAGCTGCGAGTTCTGCGGAAAGACCTTCCCCTGGAATCACGAGCTGCGACGACATCTGAGGTACCACACGCGGGAGAAGCCCTTTGAGTGTGCCAAGTGCCACCGGATGTTTGCCGAGAGGTGCACCGTCCGGAAGCACATGATGACCCACAAGGATTTGCCAGAGAATATCGAGAGAAACCTGCCCAAGCACCACGTAAGTGAAATCATTCATTCAAACCTTATCCATTACTTTGCAGAGACCCAGGGGTACATCTATTGCACTGTAAAAAGTTATCAGAAAAAGAAATAGGAAAAAAGACCCTGCAATAGGTTCAGAAACAATTACGAATCAGTGAGATTTGTGTTTCAGTCATTTATCAAGACTTTGGTAAGAAAATGCCTGTCTTTGTGCCTTTCTATGAACTTAAGGGGCATCAAGCTCATTCTAAAGTAATATTGGCCAAGCTCTTCTCTCAGCAATCCTGCAAAATCCCTCATGATTTTGAGGTCAGGTTTGGGTCAATAAGAAAAAATTACAAGTCATTTTGGAAATAATCACGGAAGAGTTACGGAGACATTCCCCCCCCCTCCAAGGGCTTACTGTAACTCGGTCAAAAATATCTGAGACTTCTGATTTACAATAAATTATGCTCAGTCAAGTATTGGCTATCATAAAGTGTTTCCTTCAGGATTTCAGGGAGTGATATGGAGTTTAATTGGACAAAATGAAGCCTTACAAGGAAATTTGTAATCTGCAACCTTTCCAGAATTAATGTTGGATGACTCGTAATCGAAACCCACAGCTTGAGAACAGATTTTGAAAGTGTGAATTTCTGTCTGCATCTCTCAATAACCTACATGTTTTCTTCCCCCTCTTTATTCTCTTCTGTTTTATTTCGCTGACAGCCTTGTCCCGACTGCGGCAAGATGTTCGTGGGCTCCTTCGATCTCAAGCAGCACATGAGGAGCCACACTGGGGAAAAGCCGTTCCAGTGCCAGTTCTGCAACAAGTCCTTCTCCCAGAAGTCCAACATGAAGACGCACATGATGCGCAACAAGAAGTGCTCCACTGCCCAGGCTGCCTTGCATGAAGAGGTCAGATTAATAAAAGAAAAACTTGTACCATTTCAGGCACTTAAAGGGAAAATACAACATTTTGCAAACATCAAAAAACGAAATGATCAAATTATCACGAAATACCTTACTGGATTGTTAGGAATGACAGTCTAAAGCATCCTTTAAAATCGTGGCTCCTGGTGTGCTGACATTTTCAAGAAAAACTGCATTTTGTCAACGCTGGTCAGCCGACCAGCGTTGGAGAAAACTGGCTTTGTTTTCAAAAACTGTTCTTAATTTTTCATATTTAGTTTTCTGAATTTTCTTTGCAATTGATTACACACCTCTGAAGGGGTACAAGCCTGCTAGACTGATTCTCTGACCTTACAATTCCCTAAAGTGTATTAGGTGCTCCGTTTCATCTTATTGGGGTCAGAGAACCAGACTACAAGAACATGATAGGTTTTCTTGGTTTTTCCAGCATCTACAAGCCCAAAACGTGAAACATGTCAGTTCAACAATATTTTCTATAACATACTAATCCTCCAAATCCTTTTATTTCTGAAAATTGAAGCAAAAGCAAATGTTGTACATTCCTTTTAAGTATTACTATGTAGTAGCAACTTTGCTTTTTGCTCCCGTAAGAGTGTAGAGATTCGCAGAAATAGAAGCTGAATTTTTGTAGAAGAGGGTAAAGATAATAATAATAATGTACTGGAGTCTTATATAGCGCCAACAATTAGGTACACAAGGCCTGGTGATTATGTCTATTTTTAAAGACAGGTAAATGAAGTTTATGAGAAATATGAGACCCATTATGTAGTACCTTTATAAGGGTTTACAAGGTGCTGCATTGCATATTGCAACCACTGCCAGAAACACCGGTGTTCAGTCAAAATCTGCCGTCCTCTTAAAATATATGACTGTGACCTTTTACTGTAGAAAATCTATACTCTGTTGGTATTAATTTGGTATTTTAATTATTGAAGGTTTAGCCTTAACAAGTGGTGTTGTCTTCATCCACGGTTTAATCTTTACCAGTTGTGTAATACCCACAGATTGCTTGTGAAACCATTGATCTCCATTAGTAAGACTGGATAGGACACAGCGCCCTCCACTTTGTGCATGCATGCGTATTCATCGGTGAGGGTTTCAAAGTTTGAAATGTGTCGTCACACACAGACCATGCAGCTTGCGCACGTACCGCATGCACGGACGCAAACATTAAACCCGCACTGTACTACCCAGCTGTTTGTGTCCGCGTTTTCCACATCTTCACTGCGCGCAAGTACACACGTGCCCTATCCAGTCTTACTAATGGAGATTAACGTTTGAAACGAACAGTAAATTTTGAGGTTCTCAGTAAAAGAGATGGTAAAAAAGTTAATTGTCAAGTTGCAAATTGTTTTTATATCCTTTTTTTCAGAAGGCACAGGAAGGAGAAAACAGGGATGGACAAGAAGGCACAACAGGTACAGTATAAGTAGTTTAGTTGTATAAACTTGATAGCGAGATCTTCCTCTAAAGGAGAGATGTGGAGAGATCACTGTAATTTTTTGTGGTCAAAATAAAAATTGAGCGGTGGTACAATTTTAAATCAGGATTTCTTTTGTCCTAAAGATGCAGAAATTAACAGTTTGCTTTTTTTTTCACAGAAAAAGGTGGCACAGGAGCTGAGACTTCCCAGAGCAAATTGCAAATGGCAGAAGAACAGAAGTGAGTTTATTGCAATCAAATTTGAATAAGTGATTGTAGTTGATTTAGTGAAATAGTCCATGTTCAGTGTCACAACTTTTCATCCTCTGCAAAAAGTTTGTTTTGCCATGCAGTTTTTTTCAGGTTCTTTGTCTTTACACCAACAGGGATTTTATCTGCCAGAAGTGTAAGGAGGAGTTCACTACCCTAGAAGAGCTAGGCCAGCACCTGACCAGCACCAGGCATCATCACAACTGCCCCTTCTGCAAGAACGCCTTCCCCTGCCAGCACTTTCTTCGACGCAACCTCTCCACCAAGAAGTCCGCCAAGGGTCTGTATCAGTGCAAGGTGTGCAAGAAGGTGTTCACCACGTCAGCCGTCTTCAAGGCCCACATGGGTACCCAACACGCTACAGTGAGCAGCCCCCGGCCCCACAAGTGCGACATGTGCGACAAGAGCTTCCGCCGCGAGGAGAAGCTGGAAAAACACAAGGAGCTGATGCACAAGCCCAAGCGGAAGCTCAGGTGCCCCTTCCGCAACGTCTCCGACTGCAAGAAGGAGTTCAAGAACTTCGCCTCGCTGCGCATCCACATGGTGTCGCACAGCGGCGTTAAACCGTTCAAGTGTCCCCAGTGCTCCAAGGCCTTCACCCGCCGGCCCAACCTGAACGAGCACATGCTGACCCACACCAACGATTACCCGATCCGCTGCAACAGGTGCAACAAGGGTTTCGCTTACGCCCGCTACCTTAAATTCCACCGCTGTCCGATGTGGGCGCAGTGCAAAGAGGCTGTGGCTAGGAGCAAACTGGACGTTGCTAAGGATGTGGGGGACGGGGAACAACGCGACAATGACAATACTGAAGTTACACCAGTGTCACTCAAAAAGCTCACCGATCAATCGACAGAGGAGATTGAGAGAGACCTCGTGGCGATAACCACGGAGCTCCAGAACCAGCAGACGCACGCTATTGTCAATGTCGAGGAAGTCACTAGTGATCAGATTGCAACGGCTAACGCTACGGCTATCGCGCTACTTGATATTGGACAGATGGTTGAACACAGCCAGAACCATGAGCGAATTAATATTTCACAGTAAAAAAAAAAGAGCAAAATTGGAACTGTTGTGTATAACTGTTGGAAGTACAAACCCTTCTTCCTTCAACTTTTGGGGAAGAGGGAAGCAAAGATTATTGACTTTAATGACATCTGTGATGTTTTTCATATGTTGTTTTCAGCTCGTGAATTCTGACCTGTTGTTTGTCAGAATCGTGTTCACTGCTCGTCAACTTTTACTCACTGTGATTTTTTCTCTCGGTGACATTCCTAAATGTGTGCAGTGCTGTAGTATCTCCTCAATGTCTTGGTGTGAAGTGGAGTTTTCATTCTTAAGAGGTGAATATTGCAACTGACAACAAGCCATGGTCTGTTACATTTGAGCAGATTCGCTCATTAATTATGCAAGACAACTGCATCTTGACCTCTAGATTTTGACCAATCAGTGGGCGCTTTCTATATCGGGTCTTCGGTCATTCATCCGGCTGTTGTTGTATTACAAAACACTGCATTCTAATTGACCAATCAAACCATTAGTCCTGACTCGGGAATGAAATGACATCACAATTTAGTAAAGTCGACTCCGATTGCCTGGCACGCGGTTTGCATATATCTGATTGTTTAGACATATCAGACGTTATACAGGAGATTTGGCTCCGTGGATTACAGGCGATACTCGAGACTAGCCATAATGTACTTCCAACAAAAAATAAAAATTCTAACCCAAAATTACTGGTCCTCATCTGATGCAATATAGCTTAATGAGTCGTTTGTCAGGAATTTTTATTTGGAGATTCAGGCCAAAATAGGGCCACTTCATCACATCACTTCATCACATCTCTTGGTGTTCCAACTTCCATAATTTTTGAACTAAAAATGGTATCAGCATCCGGTTTTCACAGCAGTAATGCTGAGATTGCGCTCTTTTCATATCTGTAAAAAAAAATTGACCAGGATCGACAAACCACTCATTTAGTTTGATCGCATCGCATTTGTTGGCCAATTTGAGTACTTGTACACGGAAATCTGCCACAAATCAAAGGATAATGTCAAACTGGCTTTACGCGATTTGTGGCAGCTTAAGGAACCTCAACTCAGAGAAAAAAAAGTTGTTTGTTTTTATTATTGGCTAAAAAGTTGAATCTTTGTAGCAATGGAAAAATTGCTCTGATTCATGTAAAGATACATATGCATGTAGTTGTGAATTTGTTGGTCTTACAAAATTGTTTGATAATTGGTGAGTGTTTGTCAGTTTGATGAACTCGTCTGGTCGGACTAAATCAGATTATTGTGATGAAATTAATAGAAAAATTTGTGAACTAAAACCTTGCTGATTTATTCAACTTATTTTGTATTTGAAATGCTCTGCTTTTGCAGTTTTGTGGATATGTGAAAATAAAAAATTTAAGTAATAAAAAGCTACACACGCAAGATTCAAAATGAGAGCGGTAGTGACGAAAAGTAAAGACTTGCTTTCAAAATATCACTGTTTATTGTTTATTAACAACATAAAGCTTGATACATCTGCATAGATCAACAATAGTAATTTGTCATGGAAGTTTATTAAGGCAACAATGGTGCAGCAAGGTTATCGTGATTAAATTCTGATCAAGTCAAAACAACATATCTGATAAGAAAACAAAATCCAACAATTAAGTTTAAACTTGATTAAGATACTTGGTATTCTGTTAACACAAAAGGAAGTCAATGTCGTATATGTATACCTTATTATCTTGATGTTGTAACAAGGATTATTCAGGAAAAATATTGCTAGAAAATCTGGAAGAACAAGAAAATTTATACAAAATGGCACAATGTGATAGGCCGGAATGACACTTGAAGGTTTCATTTCCAAAAACACTGCAAAGGCGATGAAGTCGACATTAGTTTATGCTGGAAACATTAATACATTGTACACATGGGCCGAGTTCGGGCGGTCTGTTCTTGACACGGGTATGATTGCTCTCGCACTTGAACGGTGGGAACACGACCCACAAACACTGCACTCGGAACAGGATCACAACACCACCTATCCGTCGGGGTTTTGCAAGAACATACCCGGGCCGTGTCAAGAACAGACCGCACGAACTCGGCCGTAGTGTTGCTTTGGGACTTTGTGCATATTTTTAAACATGAAAATGCATCGGTTATTTTTTCATCAAAAAAGGAAGCAGTAGAAAGTTCCACATCAAATCAAGTACATGTACCTGACAAAGCTAACACCAGAATCTCTTTTTTTATCAACCAAATTGAACTCATTGATTTTGTTCCATTTTTCCTATCTTTGTCTATAAGTTTTGGTACCCCCGCTTTCAAGGATGCCACTTTCCCTACTTGAGTGTAACAAATCTTCAGTCCATACATCTTCAAAATACATACTTAGTTTACTTTTTGTTTCACCTATTACATGTACTCCACTCTTGTGATGACATTCACAATGTGCATAGCAATGGAAAAGCAAAAATGCTCACAGGAAGCCCAGAAAAAAAATACAACATCTCAAAATATACCTTGAATGAAAATCAAGACTGACCAATCACCTTCAATACCTCTATAAAAGTTGTTTTATACCATCATTTTTTAACAAATTATTGGAAGAACTGTGTAACGTTCAACAACTGTCACCTGATTGAAAAAAAAACCTATTAAAACCATATATGAAATACGTGTATGTACATTAAATTTCTACCTACAATTGACACAAATGATCTAGAAAACAATGAAAAATCCCAACAAACATCCACCACAACAATCAAGTTTTTATCAAAAATATATAGAGTAGTGTTTAGAACTAAATGAACCAAAAGAATGATTTCATTTTCCAAAAGTTTAGACATTATGGAATTCATTTTTTTGTTCTCGGAATGTAAACAATGGCTGAATTGGTTTTTGAAAGTACACTTTTTAGAGGACTTATTCTGAATATTTTAATTGATATTTTAAGATATCAACTGGTGATATCGCAAAATACAAAATGATTATAAAATTGTGACTGTCGCCAAATTTAATCTTGTGTGGCTACCTTTTTCTCGAGAGAAAAGGCCACCAAATGAAATTGCTACCAGAGACACAAGAGGGCGCTTTCCTCATGGTCTGTCAAGTAAAAGTATCCAAGACGGTCCCTTTAATTTTACAGTTAACAGAGAAACTACAAAAAGAAGTTATAACGACTGACCACTATCAAAATACTATTGGAAGATCTGTTTACAATGACTTAATCAGTTAACAAACCATGTTGACAGAATGATATCAATGGCTTCAATATAAAAATATTAACTGTTGTACATGTATATAGTTTTACAACATGCCAATTTTACCAGAAATAATCATTGAATATTTACACTTGGAAGTGCAGCATGGAAGTAAACGGAAGTTGCTGCAAATAGATCTTGAATGGAAGCTCATGTTTGTTTCTGACAAAAGTTAAATGGTTTGGTATACAACTTTACTCATTCAACTGGAATTCATGTCGGTATCATCCCGTACGTCGCAAGTTTGATACGAACAAAACATAATACTGTAACAGCATAGACCTACTTTCTTAATCACCTTTGCTTTGTGATTGAATAAGTTCTTAAAGGGAATATACAACATTTGCAAACATCGAAAAATAAAACTACCAAGTTTTTACGAAATACCTTACTAGGATGTTGGTAAATGACAGTCTAAAGCATCCTGTAAAATTATGGCACCTGGTGTGAAGTCATTTTCAAGAAAATGGTATTTTTGTATACATTTCCAACAGTGAAAAAAACCTAACTATTTTTCAACTACTGCTCGAACTTTACACTTTTATCAGTCCAAATTTTGTTTGCTATTGGTTACATGTTCATGAACGGGTGCAGGCCAGCTAGACTGGTTCCCTTGCCTTACAATTTTCCGGCATCTATAAATTGGTCCATTTTATCTTTAGTGGAGTCAAGGAACCAGACTACTTGAACATTTTTGCTTTTCTTGGTTTTTCCAGCATTTTCGAACACAAAACTTTAAACATGTCAGTGTAACAATATTTGATCTATTATACTAAGCCCTCAAATAGTTCATTTCTGAAAATTACAGCAAAAGCCAATGATGTACATTCCCTTTAACTACACATACAGTACTTGTATGCAACATAAACATACAGCAATACTGTACAAGTCAATTAACTTGATTTTCAGTTTCTAATTTTAATCATTTTTTTGGTTGTATGTCGTGGTGTGCTATCATAATTCAACGAAATAACCAAATGGAACCACATTATTTGCAATTGTTATCACAATTCGTGAAAAAAATATATTAGTTACATGTAACTGTTATCACAATTCGTGAAAAAAATATATTAGTTAACTATTCTATTGTCAGAAGTAGTTCCACAAATGCTTCATATGTCTGGCTTTCACTTGGAGGTTTACTTCTTTATTTACATCATTGGCTTCAAATGATTTAATTAAAATCAACGACAATACGTCATGGAAACTTGACGCAACAAAGATATCCACTCAAAATAGTTGCATGGTGATTACTTCTTTGTCATACATTATTTTGCATATCTGCTGATTTTTACCCTTTTTTTCATTGTTTTTAACATTTTGGAAATTTAAACTAGTTGTTGAAAAATTTTGACTTTTTTTTTTCTAACAAATTCAAGACCATCCAACAAATCTGAAAACTCTCCTTCAACCTCTATTCTCTGGCAATTATGCATAATTCTGGCTATTATGCATAATTCTTTCGGGGTCTATGACAAACAAAGATGAAAAATCAATTAGTAATAGCAACTGCACGAATATATGTGGAGAAAAATTCTCCCTTTAAATTCAATAATACACTCTGGTTTATCCCAATGCCCACAGCCCTGGAAGTGCATGGAATGAGGGAAAGGCATACTGTGTATGAAAATAATACATAGTTATTGATTAACATGTGTACACCCTACGTGGTTAAGCAATATGCCATATTGTACACGGATATGATTAATACGATTACAATGGCATACTGGAAGACAATTGCTTGGTACAACGTAGGAGCAAATGGTTGGTCATTATAATACCAGAACTAATGCATGTGTGGCAACATTATCTGCCGCCTGTACATCTCAATGAGCATCTGTGGTCCAATTGTTACACTTGTTCGACTTGCGTGCCGTGGTACGTGGGTTCGAACCCTGACGGGGAACACGGTGCTTGTGTTCTTGGGCAAGACACTTTACTACAATTGCCTCTCTCCACCCAGGAGTATAAATGGGTACCTGTGAAGGTAGTCACTAGAATGCTCGAGCTGCTGCAAACATTGGTCTCGTAACCTGATGGTTACTTTCCTAGCCTTCCACCGCTGTGGCCCGAGTTCGATTCCTGCCCTGGTCCACATGTGGACTGGGTTTTCAGTCCCTACCTGATTCCGTGAGTTTTCCCCAGAATATTTTCTGGGGATTTCCTCCCATCTCTAAAAAGCCTGGTTATTTCTCCTCTGTCTTCTGGGCTTGCGAGCTACAGTGCACTTCTGAGCACTCCTTGGTTTGAGTACCAGAAATATAATAACAATGAATTTATACAAAACTTGTAGCGTCTGTACTTGAGACAAACTCAGGCATGGAAGCACAGTTACAGGACTAAAGTATCCTTTAGTAATAGTTTAACTTAATGCTGAGAGCCTACTTGTAAGCAGATTCCCTGGAAAAAAAGTCACATCATAAGGCTTCGATTGGAAGACATACATAGCCAGACAATAGAGATAAACTTTTCACTACAAATGCTACTTTTAGAAATCACTTAAACTTAATCAATTTTGTTAGCATACACAACATACCGGTATATACAGAAAATAGCACCACTTAATCAGTATGCGCAAACAGTATGTGAATCCGCACCCAAAAAAATTCAAAGTTTTGGTCCGTAAAATTTGACCAATTCAAAATACTGGAAGAAATTGTATCATATAAGATTCATAAAAGTAGTTTACTGTTTGATCGGAAATAACTTGGAATATTAAAGATATCCAGCAGCATATGAAACATTCTATATACATAGGATCTCAAAATCATTTGTTGCATAATTTTAATGGAAGAATAAATGTTCAGGTATATGTTGTATTTGAAGAGGGTGTTTTTTTTTTTTTTTTTTTTTTTTATTCTTTCATTGTAAGATGTACCAACAAATAGTCATTGTCAAGACTAAATATTTTATGGATATACATGTATCTAAACAGTGAAGTTTTTAATGATTTGGCAAACATGGAAGATTTCTGTTGGAAGTTTTCTTATCTGAGAAATCACTATGAGCATGTCTGGCCATAATTGTTTTTCACCTTCAATTTTGTCGAATCGTATTGTCTCAAAAGTTTTTTAATTGGCCAGCAAAATAATACTTTTACTTGTCATAAAATAACGTTGCCACTGTTTTTTCCCCACATATTTTGACTTACTCCACACCAAGGAGCTTGGCAGCAGAATCTGCAGAATCCAACATCTCATCGAGGACAGATGAGTCTTGTATCCCAAGTAGATTCTGGATCATGTCTGAGTTGTCGGTTTGTCCCGAGACGAAGACATCTCGTCCCCGGCCACTAGGGCTAATGATGGAGCAGTCCCTGGTCTCTGCAGGATGGTAGAGGTCATCTGAGGGTCCAATGCCTGAATCCCCATCCCACGTTGCCTCAAAGTCCACGCTGCCATTATTGCTCGCCTCTGGGTCCGAGTCCAAGATGGCATCATCAAACTCCATCTCTTCGCCTACTCCACCAAAGTCATCACCATCCAGGTCCCCATTTTCCTCCTCCATTGCATCTGCTTCATCATCGCTTGGATTCTCCTTGGATTCGTCTTCTGCTTCGGCTTGCTTCTCTCCATCAGTTTTGCCTCTGGTGCCTTTGACTCTGGAAGGTGTGACATCTGGATTCGATACGCCATTTGGAATTTTGCTGCTGCCCAACTGTGAGCCATGGTCTGCACCAGACTCCTGGCCGTTCTGTTGTGAAGCAAATTCCTGGTTGCCCATAGCCTTCTGTTGCTTTGTGGCCGGAATGCCAGGAGTCATCTCAGCTCGTTGCTTCTCAATGAGGGCCAGGGTCTCCTCTTTGGACTTGCCGTGAAGTTTCAACATGTGGCGCTGACAGTTGAACTTGGTGGTGAAACTGGCAGAGCACTCGGCACAGCGAAATGGATGCTCTAAGGTGTGGACACGATAGTGGCGCTTGAGTGTGGTGGCACTCTTGAAGCGCTTGCAGCACTGGCTGCAGCAGTGCCGGGCATGTTTACGTTTGGACTTGCTTCTGATTGCAGGCTGTTTGCTTGGCTCGCCCATGACATTCGCCTGATTTGCAGTGATGAGGTCAGTATCGTCAGTCGCTAAGAGATCCCCTGCAGCTTTGTCAGATGCCTGATCCTCAGTGGTGTCACTGCCATTAACCATTGATGGAGGAAGCTTGTGTTTCTTCTTTTTCTTGAAAATAATAGGAAATGGTTTGCCCTTGACAGATACACTATGCTTCTTCTTTGAATGAAACTCGTGAGATTTGTTATTTCCAACCTCAGAGGTTGATGCAGATGAATTTGAATTCTTCTTGACAAGGGCCAGTGGTTTGTCATCCACGGAAGAGTGTCTCCTCTTCAGGAACTGCTTGTGTCTAGAGAGCTTCAGAGTGGTCCCCGTAAAACCCACTTTGCTTTTGAATTCCGAGTTACCAAATGAACGTGACAAGCTGAGCTTGTTTGCTCGCTTGGCGAGTGCATTCCTGATGACAGAAGCTGGTAGCTTCTTCACCTCATTCTTGTAGCATTCTGGGAAGGGTATTCCTACGTGTTTAACCTCGTAGTGCTTCATCAGCTTCAGTTTTGTGGAATAGGCACTGTCTGTGCAGCCCTCCAGGCAAGAGAATGGGTTTTCAGGGACTTTGGATCCAGGATTCACATTGAGACAGTGCCTGCGTACGATGTGGCGTTCGCAGTTGGACTTTGTGGAAAAGCTACTGTTGCATTGAGGGCACTGGAATGGCTTGAGGCCTGTGTGTGTCAGGATGTGACGCCTCAGTGAGCTGATCCATGGAAACTTGCGGTTGCAGTATGGACACATCTCCTTAGTAGGGAGGTTGGATCTGTCTCGCTCTGAGGACCGCTCTTTCGTCTTGTTTAACTCCTGTCCATCGCCTGCCTCGGAAGAGGATGCAAGGGATTCATCAATGACCAAGTCGTACTCCTCGGCTAAGTCCACGTCTTGCATCTGTGCCTGATCCCATTCTGCATTACCAGCTGTATTGGTGGGATTCTCAAGTTCTAGAAACTCTTCCTTGATGGACAGCTCCTCGTCTTTAGCATATTCTTCTTTCTCCATTTCCCCCTCTTGCTTGGCTTGTCCCCCAGTTTGAGGAAAGCATACTTGGAAGTTGTTGCTGCTGGCAGCAAGAATTTTGGAGACACTGGCCAGCTCTCCGCTGGCATCTGAACCAAAGCTACTACCAGGGGATTGGAGGTTAGAAGTTTGTTGTTCCACATCTGGCTTGACGACTGGGTCATTGTCAATATTGTCAAGGGAGATTCGGACTCTCAGGCCCTGGCTGGAACGGGACATCAGCTTAAATTGCATTGGTGTGGCAATCTTGGGGATGAAGGACTGGGCAGGAGACTCACTTTTGGACTCGTCACTGTGGCGGCGCTCAATGTGCTTCTCCAGACTTTCCTTCATTGTGAATGCAGCCTTGCAGTAGTAGCAGCGGTGGGGTCGCTCTGTAGTGTGGGATCTGATATGCTCTTTGAAGATGGAGCCCCGCTTGAAGGACTTGCTGCAGTGAGGACACACCAAGGCATCTAAGGTTTTGCTGTAGAACTTGTGGTAGACTCTCTTGAACCGCAGTCGGCCCAGGCTGCTGTCAACAGGAGGCAAGAAGGAGGAAGAACTCTTGTCTTTGGGTAGACTAAGGTCAATAGGTGCATCCAGGTCGGTCAGGTTAGGCAAGGTGTAGGCACTTAACCAGGACTGGTCACTCAGGTCGCTATCGGATACCATCAAGGGGGATTTCTTGCTGAAATCTATGGGTGATAGTTGTTCTCCGTTGCTGGCAAAGGAATTGGCCATTGTCTGGGTGATGTCCTGAACTTCCATCTGTTTAACCATCATGTAGTTGTCAACGTCATCCTTGGTGATTTCTGGGTGGCATTTTATGATGTGGCGGCTGCAGTTGTTCTTGGAGCTGAAGCCCGTTTGGCACTTGAGGCAAAAGAAGGGCTTGCTAGGGGTCCGCTGGTGGACTTTCAGGTGATTCTGCAGATCACGGAAGAACCTGAATTCCCTGTTGCAGTGTTTGCAGAAGGTGTCCGGCGTGCGGAACCTGCTCGTGGAGGCATCACTGCCTGCACTGCCGGCCGAGTTGTGGATGATGGTCATTTCTATGTCCAGCTTTGATGCTTTGCCGTGTCGCTTCTTAATGTGGCGCTCGCAGTTTGCCTTGGTGGTGAAGGGGAAATCACAAATTTTGCAGGAGTAGGGGCGCTCACCGCTGTGGGTCCTCATATGTCTGACCAAGGTGCTCTTATCAGCACTTGAGTAATCGCACAAGAGGCACTTGAAGGGTGTAAGCCCCATGTGAGTACGTAGATGAATCTTCAAACTGCTGTACTGCAGGAAGCTTTCCTGACAGTACTTACAGACATACTTGCCGACCTTCTTGTTGCCTTTATCGTCTTCAGAATCTTCTTTGGTTTTCTCGGGTTCCATCGGCTCAGACTCTGTTCCGATGTCGGATGCCGTTTCCTCGCTTGTGGTGGCTGCTGACTCCATCTTACACTCGTCTCTTGCCACCTCAGTGGGAAAATGCATCTCTGTGGCAGGGTCGGCTGATCGTGGCTCGTTGTCGGCCTGTCGGATGTGGGCTTTGTACTGACCGGGAAAATGGGAGTGAGCGGGCGGGGGTTTAGAGGCTGTGAAGACACCAGCCTTTGCCTTGGACTTGGATGAAGGCGAGGTAAATGCGGAAGAAAGTGTGGAGGGTTTTACTGGAGATTGCTTAGCACCCTTGCTAAGATGCTTCAGCATCGACAGAGGATTACTTGATGCTGAGGTAGTCAGGGTCAGAATTTTTCCAACATCAGCGAAGTCCCTATCGGCATGGCTCTGATCGTCAGGCACAGAGTGGGATGACAGGGCTTTATTCTGGGATGGCATTTTCGGCTGTCCCAGAGTAAGGTGATGGTTTGGAAGCACCTTGGTATTGGGAGAGGGGTTGGGTTTGAGCAGCAGTGTGGCCATAAACTCCTCCTGGGAGGGAAACGTTTCTCGTAGTTTGTTGTAATAGTGTTTGTTCTCCTTAGTCGGCTCAACATCTTTTGTAAGAAGGTTTTCTTCCTTGCTAGGGCTTGCAGCATTTTCAATGACAGGCTTTGGCTTAGAGGCATTGGCTTTGATGGCATGATTTTTCTCTTTGTGTAGATCGAGAGCACTGGAACAAGGAAATGCCTTACTGCATACCGAGCAGATGAATCTATGCGCGATGCTGTTGCAACGCCGGACGTTGCGCTCGCACCACTCCTGAGCTATGAGGGGAAACTTGTCACAGGAGATGTCAGCCACGTAGCCAAGGTCTTGGAAGCCCAGGGGCACATCAGGAGGAGTGGAAGCCTTGCTGGGGCTGGACTTCTTGTGGGACATCATCACATGCATCCGCAGACCCCGGTGGTTCTTGAAGGTAGCGTCACACTGGTCACACTTGATGACCACGTTGGGGTGGAGCTCCATGTGGGTCTGCAGGCCGTAGTGGCACAAGAAGGTCTTATTACATACTGGGCAGGTCAGCTCCTCCTCCTTGACTCGGACTTTGGTTGGGCTGTCCTTATTGTCTAAGGCCATCCGCTTGGATAGGAAGAAGTCCGACTCAGGCTCCTCAGAGCTGAGGAGACGCTTGGATGGGATGCGTTTCCGGGGCTTGCTGTACATCGTCTCAGTGATATACTCCCCTTCTGTGTTTGTAGCAGTGCCATTAGAGGCACCCTTCTCGTGGGTGCGGACATGGCGGCGCATGTTCCCATTAGTCGTGAAGGACATGGGACAGATGGGGCACCTGTGGGGTCGTTCTCCAGAGTGGATCAGCATGTGGCGATCCAGGGAGCTTGTGGAGCTCAGCTTCTTGCCGCAAAGCTTGCAGGAGTGCATGGTGCCGTCACTGGTGATGGTGTTGTGCTCTCTGAAGTGGACAGTCAGGTGATGCTTGTCTTCAAACCCTTCAGAGCAGACTGGGCAGGTCAGTGATGTGTTGCCTTCCTCCATGGGGCGTCGCCGTTTGAAGACATTCTGCAATCACAAGAAAGTAATACGGTAAGTCAATTAATCAACATTTACTGATTTACATTTCGTTACTTAATTCATATTTATCTTACCCACGGCTGACCCCAGAAAATGATCAAATAGTTTACAGAAGATCAATTTTTGGTCACAGCTGCAGAACTTTAATATATGATATGCTTTGACAAGTACATGTGTGGCACACACGTCCTCAATGATTTGTGCCAAAAGACAGTGGTTTAAAAAAAAAAAAAGTCTTCCAAAAATGAGTAATGTCATGTTTTTAAACTACAGCTGAACACCTACGATAGCAACGCCATAGAAAGTGAACATTTACATCCCCATTTCCAAATGAAACTAAATGTTTCCTTCTTTAACATTTTTTTGTTGAATTTCATTCTTTTGTTTTATTGCAAGGCTGTTTCATATTGTAAATCTTCAGCTGTTGACAACATGTCACTCTATGACCACAGCATTAATTGTTTTTTGTAACAAACTAATACTCACAAAAGTGGGTCTAGAATGTTAGGGAGAAAATGATTCAAGCCTAAGTCGACATGATCATCATTACATGTGAGTGAGAATGCTATTAAGTTTGATATTCAAGAGGAATATTCCTGTTTTTTTATTAAAAGAAGATGCTTTGCTAAATTGATTAGAACTCAGATCATCTTTATACTTTGCATCACTCAGGACTCCTCAACATATTCTGTTCATCCAAGTGCAGTCTTTATTTTATACTTGTACATTGAATTTTCTCGAATGATAGCACCACTTACTGCTGACCGGCTTCGCAATGACTTCACAAATTCATCACGTTTAAACACTACAAATCTAGTATCTTCACAAGCAGTACATATGTTGTCACAATTTCTTTCTTTTTTATGTAAAAACTTCATCTCCGACGTTTCTACCCTGACGATGATGACTACATTTCGCACACACCTGTTAATAACACCTTGCTTTGATCATTCAAGGCCAGAAAAAAACACTATTTTCCTTTCATGAACCACGAAGCACAGGTAATCATTGGTAATGAGACATGAATCAGAGGTGCACATATGCTTGTACATGTCACTCCCAAAGTAATTGCTAATCTACAGCAACACCTTTTTTTTTTTTTTTTTTTTTTACAGATGATGCACCTGAACATGAGCTCCTACCTGTTATACTTTGTGGAAAGAACACTTTTCATGTTGGCATGTTTCCAGAATTCAATTTCCAATTGGCTAAAGTACCATTTTATGCACTTGAGGGCCTGATATTTTTCCAGTTAACAGAATGTACAAAGGGTATCCTTTTATGCACGGGTGCAAAATATTTTCATTTCCATTTGAGCCTGAAAACCTATGAGCTTGCTTACAAAACTGCTGAGTTTTCACCTTTTTTTTAAAGTAACTTGAGTATTGTCAAATGCAAAGTATCCTATGACTCCACAAAGTTAAAGTTAAAGATAAGTGAATGGCTATCAAATACTGCACCTTTGTCCAGGGAGAAGTTTCTGATGTGTCATCTGAGATTGATCCATCTGGCTGTTTGCTGGATCCCTGTGTTGCCTCGCTGCCATCAGCCGTAGACATCACAGTCTCCCCTGCCGAGGCCACGGCCGGGTCTGGGCTCTGCTCCCCAACTGGGCTGTCACTCCGCATGCCTGACTCAGCCCCGACTTCCTCTGATGTGGCACGGGGGCTCGATCCCGTGTCAGCAGTGCTATCACTGCAAAGATGACGGTGGGCCAAGTCTGTACCAGGATGCTGATGATGAGGTGAATCGCTGCTGTTGCTGAAGGCCGAGGCTCGGTCAGTGTCATCCTCCGCCGACGGCTGTGGCTTAGCAGCACAACCTGTCCCCGACGGTTCCGGGCAACTGGAGCTGTCAGTCCCCGTGGCCAGATTCAGGGGCTCAAGGTGTGAGTCAGCGACTGTCGGGGCTCTCTTGGGTAACTGGTGATTGGGAGCGGGGTCATCGTTGGTGCTTTTGGGTGTTGGAGGGTCATCCACCTGCGGTTCAAAGCTCCCATTCATCAATCTCGGACTCGCCTTTCCAACTTCAGTCTCGGTGCCGATTGCATCATCCTCATTAACTCCATCGCCACCAAGACTGTCAGTTGATACCCTCCCTGTACTCCTGGTTCTCTTTGCCACCGCTGCTTTGCCCTTCACAGCGACCTCTGTTGACCTCCGTCGTTCACTTCGCAGCTCAGCGCCAATCATCTTGTTCTCCTCGGCCGCGGCTATCTTCCCCAGCTTGTACCTCTGGGCGGCGTTCTTGCGCTGGGTCCGTCGGAGACCTGACCTCTCACCCTTGACTGGTGACCCGCGCAGCCCAACCCCCTTTGTCTTTGGAGCCTTTTTGTGGGTACTCGTTACGTTCTGGCTGCTACCGCTCGTACTCGACCGTGTCTCTCGGACGCTGACTGTTCTGTCTTTGTGGTCCATCTCTGCTTCCTGGATGTCACCAATTTGCCCATCAGTTGAGGCCTTTGTTTCCTGTTCCCTATCAGCTCCTTCAGTCAAATCTGCACAGACAATGACAAACAATAAAAGCCAAACTTTAACTTATGATTCAATGAAGAAAAAAAAGCTCACAATAGTTCACACTCTACACAGCAATGAATAGTAAAGTGTAAGTATAGATGAATGTGTAAGATTACTTTATTTAACAGAACACAAGTCTTTCTCCAGATGTCATCCCTTTCATGACGTCTTTACTTTTCATACATTTTCTTTGTTTCATGCATCCATAAGATAATGAATCAAAACAAAAAATAAACTTCTTTCTCCTAGAATATTTTTTTAATGACTTTTCTTTTCAAAATGACAGTTTTAACTTTTTCAACAAAAATGAGAAATGTCATTATACTATGACACAAAAAAGTAAGAAATGAAGTGGACTTGCATTTTTAGAGACAATAGTTGTATTATTGGAAGGTATATGGTCCAACGTTAGGAATTCACAAACCATACTTTTCATGTGATTAAAAATGAGGTACTCTGAAATATTTTTCAGTTAACTTGTAAACACATCATCACAGTTCACGCACATCCCTTGCTCCAAAAGGGAGAAAGAACAACCCTTCCTCCCCCCCCCAAAAAAAAAAATTAAAAAGGGGTGTAATGCCAAGTTTTAATGCATCAGTTGCTACTCTGCACCGCACAATGATGTCAATTTTGGATTACATTTTGTAACTCCCACACACTAGATTGTGGCATCTCCAAAACTAAGTGAAGCAGAAAAGTTGTTTTGTGCGGACAGTCTGTTTACATGCAGTACGCATCCAAACGTGCCTGTCTGCATGCCATCAAAATACACAATGGAGCAACATAGGGGAAAAAGTACACAGGAGGAAGGAATCAAATGACAGTGACCAACGAGTAATATGATTCATCTCATAATGAACAGGCGGCTCCAGACATATGTGACATGTTCTGTTAAAACCAGATACCGGTTTGCTTCTAGACAGAGCTTGAACTGAAGATATGTCTAAGAAATGATGTAGGGATGATATTCTTTTCCCTTCAAATTTCATGTTCTAATTGTACATTTTAGATCCTAACAATAAAAAAATAACAGTTTCAGAAAGCAATTTTCCCTTTAAAGCGGATTTTGTTGATGCTTTCTGGAGGTGTCAGTTCAAGAAATGCATAATCCCAACAAGGTTTAAAAGCAGTTTCACAGTTTTCATCTTTGTGACATCACAAACTTGAAATTGGAACAATTTATTTTAAGGAAAATTTATTTTCAAAAATTTAATTGTCATTGTAGAGGAGAGGATCTATAATTAAGCAATTAATGTTTCAAAATCTTTTTCTACAAGCTGCCTAAAAGAGTTTGATTTTTGATGGAACATTACACAAAATCCTTTTACTGCATCCTTATACTAAAAAAAAGTAAAGAAGCCAACACAATGGATAGTTCACTCATAAGTATCATCTATTGATGTGGAATTCACACGGTTCAACTCCCACAGCAAACTTTTTGTAAAGTTCTCCAATCAGAAGCTGTGAAGTATAAACTACAAAAACTACTGTAAAGTATACAGAGTACTGTGAATATTGTTATGATATTATTTTCTCAGAAGAAAAAAAAAACCGAAAAAGTTTTTGAGAAGGGCGTAAAAAACTTGAATCTTTTCTTGATTGGATTTTATTCAATCTCAAAACGAAATATAACGAAAGTTTGGAAAAGCCAATTAATAAGTACACTCAACGCTTTGAAAACAAGTTTTGGCAAATACTATGGCAACATAATACTTGCTGAAAACATAGACTGATTCAGATGACTCTGAGTTTTACATGTAGTACACATGTCCAATACTACACAGAATCTCAAATAATAAAGACTATTAACTTCAACCAGCAATTTCTTTTCATATTTAGTATTCAGATTTAGTGCTAGAAAATCTGGACAGTCTTGACATACTGAAAGACAATTACAACAGTTTAATGGGCAATGGCATATCCCATTAGGTTTTGGGTGAAAAAAATGAAAGAGATTAAAACTACAAAGTCTTGGTTCAAATTTCTTCCGCGGGTCATATCATATGAGAAACTGCTGTTATACCAGACCATCTCCAGCAAATTCTTCAACACAAAAAAAAAGAATCCTTGGTATGAAAAACAAACAATGAAATAGTTTCTCTTTATCATGTGCCAGTCGAAAACTAACAAAATAAATGGTACCTGTGATAATAATTCTTGGACAAGAACAAGGAAGTTGCTCATTATGCGATCTCTGGTTTGGAAACGCCGGGAAGCATCACAAAGCACACACACAGAACTCAACTGGCTCCTCTACATGTACATTGTAAACCAATGGCTACATCCACTATGCGTATGTGAAACAAGTCACAGGAAGTGGCAACTCTAGTCCATCATCCTGTCAGGATCATCCAGTGGACCTTTTGTGCTGTCTGCTGATAAAATATCCTTCCATCAGCATCATTATCATCATCCCTACCACACTGAGATGGACTCTTCCAAGTTCCAACAAGAAAAAAAAAAGAGTCAGTATCATGAAGATGAAAAAAAAAAAAAAATTCCTTAAACAAACACCTGAATTCCCTACACTGTAGATACTGAAACTAAGGCTGGTTACAAAGTCATGAGCTAGCTAGAAGCTGAGCAAGCACGCACGGCATTTGAACGCAACCACTGGAGATGAACTCCGCACAGAAAAATGATATGATTCATCGGGGCCAAACTTTGTTGTTGGAAGATACCACTTGTTGGAGCCGGAGGGGTGTTGGCAACATCCGGGAGAGCTCTAAGGGGAGACATATGGGTTCGTGTATAGTCTGTGTGTGTGGACTGTGGGTGTACTACTGAGATGCACTGTCAATGTGCATACATGTACACTGAGTTGTGTAGAAATGACCTCATCTGCGCAGTGTAGTCTAGCGCTTGATCCTACAGTTTTGGAGGATGACCCTGAGGTTCTTTGTTGGCTTTTTGCTTGCGTCACCTGTCTGATGGGGCTCACACACAGGTATAAAAAAATATCCACTGCAGGAGAGTATAGTTGGAGGTCCTTCGGTGTATAGCTGACATTGGAGCCCAACGGAGATTGTGGTTGGGCAATGCAGTGCGGCGCGACCTTTTACTGGAAAAACTCTTGTGCATCCAGTGAAGGGAAGTTACACACAAAAAAAAGATTTAAAGAGAAGGGCATTTATTCACAAGGGCTTAGGGCCAAGGTTGTGAAAACTGGGCATCAGTGAATGAGGCAGAACAACAACAAAGAACTGAGAGGAAACATACAAAAAAACTTGGGGAGGGAACAACATGGATGACAAAGAATGAAACACCATGAACTCATGAGGAGGAAATGTAATCCACAGTCAATGATTCTTTGAAAGGGGAAAGGTCAAAGTATTTGGACAGTCTGGAAATCACAAGTGATAAAAGTCAGTGGGGATTTACATGAGGATAAAAAAAAAGAATCTCGACACTTTGAATCCTGATGGGTGAACCGATTTTAGTCATGATCAAGAAAAGTGAAGGGTTACTCAACATAAAGTTTACAAATACAACCGATTGCTGTAAAAACTTCTGTTCATTGTAGATTTAAAGAGCATCTTCAGTACTCCATTTCTGTTCTTGTTAACTGATCACCTAGCAGCCCAAACTGGACGTGTGCCAAGTACCTGTTGCCCCATTCGCACCACACTGTGAAGTCATTAAAAGTGAAATAACACTGGTCATAAACATGACCCTGCCTGCCCAAATACGAGCAATTAGCAGTCAATTAATAAGAAGGGCTCCACAACACACTTGTAAACACAACACAATTGGTGAACAGTGAATGCCAGTTCAGGTGGTTTTATCCTTTTATATTCTTGGCACACAAAGTTAATATGCAAGATTGAGATGACCACCACATGTGCACATAAAAAAAGTGGCAAAGCGGGGAACCAGCCAAACACCACCGGTATCCTGCCTGACCCGACCTTGACTTCTTCACACTGTGAGGAGGAATATAATTATTATTTACCAAGAGAGGAAGAAGAAATTCACAGATGGAGAAAGGAGGTTTTGGGTGTTTTGCCATACATAGCTGTGCAAAACTGATGTTAAATTTGTTCCATGAATCATGACTGCCGACAGTACCAAAAAGTAGTATTTTTTGTGCGTGATACTACAGTGAAACAAGAAAATCGTTAACTTCAGAAACGAGGTTAACAAATTATTCCCACAAAAGGCACAATAATCAATGCTCATTACTTTTTTTTGCAATTCCTTTTAAATTAGTCATTTCACTTCAAAAAAATCTAACTTCTTAACAATAGATCAATTTCTTTTACGACTAGAAAATTCCAAAAAATATTTCATTTTCCCCAAGATATTTATACCATCAAATGAAAAGAGCAATCCAAAAGTTCTCTTTTTAAACATTGCAAGCCCTTTGCCTTTTTCCTATTATAAAAAAAATGCTGCTATTCTGTGAGCCTGTATAATGACCCTATGAACTTAAACACCTATCCTTTACGAGCATGTTTCTATTGATAAACAATGCATGCTCAGCATACCAACATAACAGACATCCCAATATCTTTGGAGTAACAATGCATTCATTCGATTTTCAAACAGCTTGTTCCAGAATACAATATGTCTTGTTGAAAATTTGTAGCCAGAAACCTCTTCCATACTTTTCAGATATTGAGTTGATCTGCTTGCACTTCCATGCATTGCCTACGGGCGAAAATTCATTTTTGTTTTTAAGACAGAGAAGATTGGAATGGAGCTATTCATATTTTTTCAAAGACGAACAGGGTTGTCGAAAGGTAAAGGCTCTCTAGTCTGAGGATGTTACAAAAAGATGAGAGTTGCATAGGCTGTTCTTGTTTTCTTGTTATTTATGAAAGTGGAATTTGGAATAGACTTCCCGGTTGAAACCCTCTTCTTTAGGAATATTAGACTCAACAACCTTAAACATATTGAACCTTGATGCCCAAATCCTTTCCATTATTTTCATTCTTGTCTTGCATCGTATGGATTTATTAAAATCCAACCATTACCA